ATGATAGATTGATTGATAGATTGATTGATAGATTGATTGATAGATTGATTGATAGATTGATTGATAGATTGATTGATAGATTGATTGATAGATTGATTGATAGATTGATGATTGCCAGCGACCATCCGGATCGGCCCCTACTCCAGTCCCCTAGCTAATGAGTTGGGCGCCCTAACCTAGGGATCGTCACTAGCATCGTAGTTCGTGCGAAGGGGGCATTGACGCATGTTAAATTCTTTGCGAGATGGGGGGATGGCGTCAAGATGGCGCGGCGCACACGTTGTTTGGCCGTCCAATGACGCCAGGATCTACGAGCCCATCTCTGGTCTCACGGCTGGTCAACCGTCCGAGGCTTGCAGTGCTCCATGTTCGAGAACGAAGAGGATCGTAGTGTGACTCGTGGTGGCATCGGCTCATGAGCCGCCCCACAATGGCTGCCGCCGCTTGACTGGAGCGATCCGACTGCCAGCGAGGGGGCAGCACTGATCAGGAAACCACACACAAAAAGGCTCAATGGCCAGGCTGCTCTGATGCAGGCTGATCTGGCGACCCTGGCTGTCACCGAGGGCATCGTGGAAGATGGCGTGCAAGCCAAGCGTGTGCGGATGCGTGTGGCCGCAGGGGCTAACGTTAGGGTCTTGACTCTTGACAGCCGGGCAGCTCATGATAGTGAGAAGGGGGCGGCCGCAGGCATCGCAGTGTAGATTTGTCCATGCATTGAGGCATGTGTGAAGCCGTTGTGACTCGTCAGACGCAGGCAACATGGAATCAATCATCAGCCACAAGAAGAGGAGCACGTCCTTCCTCTGTGGTATGCGCGTGTACGGAGTTAGGGACGCTCAAAGTGCGAGCTCAGTCGCCGACTAAACTCGGGCCACGGTAGCTTGTGATTGGAAGAATGTGGTGTTGAATATTGGCTGATTTGCTGGAGGGACTGGAGGCTGGAGCAGCTGTCACTGTCAGCCGTCCGCCTCCAGTCTGTCTCCAGTCTCCGTCCGATCCTCGTGGCGGTGCGGGCCCTGCGATCGGTACAGACGTGCTCAACGCTCCATCATCGTGCAACGTGCTTCAGCTTGTAAGCCGACAGACTGCTCTGTTTCATATGCTGCCGAGAGTGAAGGGTTTGCGGCCATTTTTGGCCGACCTGCAGACATCTAGACTGCTCCTCTGCCTGCACTCGCTCCTACACAGCAAGTTGAGGTAAGGCGATGAGCGACCACCGTGCTCACCGTCTGCTCGACATGCAGCGACTGGAGCGTGAAACGCAATTCAGAGACATGGCAGAAGCACTAACACCGAGAAATGTCCAGGGGGGTAGGCCCCCAGCGACTCGAGTATCCAGTCGCTGGCCACGCATTCCCGCGCCTCCGTCCTCCCCCCCAAAAAGCGAGTGCGAAAGTCTGAATGAGGGTGCTCCGCAAAAGCCGCCCGGGCTGCGAGCGCTCCGGTCCCCTCGACTGGAGGCCAGTCGCTGCTGACTGATCCCGGGATCGAGATCGATCGCAACGCGTTGGAGAGGAAACACTGCCTGCTTCACGCCCCCGCCAGCCTGATCCAGCTGCAGTGCTCCCGGATCGAGCTTTACTGCGTATCGGTATCTTGCAGGCGGCCAGACATTGCTTTTTGGTTGAGCTAGTCGTTTCCTAACCCCAGTCCGTTACAGCGAAAAAAGTCCATTTCCGTAGGTACCTAGATGCCTGTCTTTACCCAGCAGATCTTTGCTATCAGGCTTTGACTAGCCCGTGCCGTGCGTGATGTGCATGCCTCCTCCATCAGGTCCCCTCCCAAGGTACTAAAACATGTCCTGCCCAGATCTGGTCCTTCCCTTCTGGCCCCTCTGATGTTCCTTGATGCTCCTTGTCCCTGTCACAACTTGGTACAGCTAGCAATTCGATTGCTCCATGAGGAACTTGCCTCTATCACCACTTTACATCACATTGAGCTACCATAACCAAACAACAGATTACCAACGACTACACTCGCCGTCGCCACCGCGCTAGTCGTCCAACAACAAAGTACATATCCTTATCAAAACACCTTGATCACCATGCCGAAGAGAGCTGCACCAACCACCGACACAGGCGCGAGAAAGATCTCCGCGTCTGATGTCTCGGGCATCAAGAAGGTTCGCGCTGCTGCTCCCCACCCCACAAGCGCCAGCCGTTGCTAACCTCTTCCCAGGCAGAGCGTTCCCACGAAGAGAACCAGGAGCGCGCCTACGTCGCCGCGTCGAGGCGCCAGGACCGCAGCATCGAGGCTCGCGTCCAGTCCGCCCGCATGGCGTCCGAGATCCACAAGAAGCGGACAGGCAAGGGCCTCCGCATCACCGAGGAGATTGTCCGCCGCGAGGAGATGTACGAGGAAGAGGAGGACGACCTGCCGCGCTCGCTGCGCCTGCTCAACCCCCAGATGCAGACCAGCTCGCCCGAGTTCAACGCACGGATCGAGGCGTGGATGACCAACAAGATGGCCATGTCCCAGTTCATGCAGCGCTCCAACGACGCCTGGGCGCAGAACCCCGTTAACCGGTTGTTTGCCCAGAGCTTCCCGGATGCGGGCGTGCACGCTCAGCAGATTACACGCCAGATGAGCCTCGGGGCACCCCAGCAGCAGACACAGCAGCCGCAGCAGCAGGCACCAATGCAGTCGCCGGGGCCTCAGTCCCCGCACTCCCAGATCCCCCAGTCACCCATGTCGCCTACCTTCCAACAGCCATTCCAGTCCATGCCGACGCACAACCACGAGCGTCACGACTCGGTCGCCTCGGCAGTCTCGCCGACTAACGTGGGCACCAAGGTCTCGCCCACACTCACGCACGACGCTTCCACGCCAGCGACGCCAGCGCCTCAGCCGCAGTTCGTTGAGGATGAGCCGCAGTCCATCTTCACGGCCGACCTGCCACCGGAGATGAGGCTGCTGATGGGTATGCCCAACATGGAGCCCAACCCGTACAGCCAGAACATCTACGGCCACAACTGGCAGAGCATGGACAGCGGCTTCTACGATGGCATGGCCGCTGCGCCCCAGAAGCTCGGCGAGTACGACCAGCCGCCTGCGGACAGCATGTTTGGCGAGGCCATGGGCGACGACGCCAACTGGCAGTACCGCACCGAGGAGCCCGCTTGGGACAGCTTCCTCAACGACAATGTGTGGTCGAGCCAGGAGTGAGGAGTGGCTCTTCAGTCATTCGCTCACTTTTTTTTCATTTTTTGACGATTACGAATTTCCTAGCACCGTTCACAGATTATTTTGACACTGCGAGACTACGGTCCGCCGGCCTAGGCCAACAATTCTCCTTTGAGAGAATCACGACGATACCCACGTTACCTCTTTTGGCGTGACGGCTGTGGGAGAGACGATTGCATACTTATCAGAGTTAATGAAGCAAATTCGGGTCGGCCATTGGGCGGAGTTTTACTTTGGGAGGACAATCTTTCACTGCTGCACACGAGCTTTTGGTGTTGATGGCGTTGCTACCCCCTCAGGCGTTTCGCACCGACATTTGAGTGTCGAGTCCGCTTATTATAGGACAAGGACCTTTTGATTTGATTTGGCATTTTTCGATGGATTCGTTGGGAGGCGGCAAAAACATGGTCGAGGGAGTTGAGCAAACATGATACCACCACTTGGAGAAGATGGTCGCAAGGAGGACTGTTTGGAGGCTCGCACACCGGAGGCCCCCCTTTTGAGGACAGAGTTGACTACTTAATGATATCTCTGCTCTTGAGAATGCTTGAGTGTCGTACTGAGTTGTCTTCGTAGGTGACTGATGCTCGCTTTCCGTGTTTCATGCAGGACCCTACTTGCCCTAGATGCTGAATTAGTGATCAGAATCCAATCTGCAATGCAGATACTGGTACGTCTTATCGATTGACCTCGTCGCCTTTGCCAGCCAGGGCGACAGAAATAATCATCAGCTTACGTGAGATTTGACCGGACACATGTGCCTCTTATTCAGTCGCGCGGGGTCACTCGCTCCCCCACAGGGAAATTTCCAGCGCCCCCACTAAAATTCCCTACCGTGACCTGTCATCCTGCAGTCCAGCGAGCGCCATCCGACTCATGCAGCCCAAACTCATTAGTATACAGGAGAAAAAAAATCTCGCGCATGCCAGATACCCTTAGTATATATCAGCAGGCGGCCTATTGGTACTATTACTTACTGTTCACGCACGACGTGACACACGCCATACGTCGCTCTTTCCTTCTTCCCTACCGCGCAACACTACACCATGTGTGGCGTCACGGCCCTGTTGGTATGTGCCTCATCTCACCTGGAGGAAGAAGACGGACAAGAGGTTGAGTGACTGACCTTTTCTCTAGTTGGGCGACACTTCGGCCAGCACGGCTGCCATTGATCTTCACAACAGTCTTTACTTCTTACAACATGTACGTTGGGGATGGGCGAGCGAGCGAGAGAGTGAGAGACAACGGCTGACCTCTTCCGCAGCGAGGGCAAGACGCAGCGGGTATCACATCAAATCAAGGAGGACGTCTGTACCAATGTAAAGGAAACGGACTCGTCGCCAAAGGTATGCGCGGGGAGACCGAAGACCGCATGATGGGACTGACCAGGCCACACAGTCTTTGACGAGGGCAAGCGCATACAGAACCTGCCTGGGTCCTCCGCCATTGCGCACCTGCGCTATCCTACCGCTGGCACGTCGTCGGCATCAGAAGGTAGGGTTACTCCTCTCCATGCAGTACGCTGTCAGCCATGAGGGAGCGGCCAGCTGATAGACCCTCGCAACCACAGCCCAGCCCTTTTACGTGAACAGCCCCTTTGGCTTGTCGCTGGCGTGCAACGGCAACCTCGTCAACAACGAGGAGCTGCAAAAGTACCTCGACCTCGAGGCCCGCCGACACATCAACACAGACTCGGACTCTGAGCTCTTGTAAGTCACCCGTCGTCCCTCACCCCCAAGGAAGAAGCAGCGGGCACCGCTGACCTGCCAGGCTCAACGTCTTCGCCCACGCGCTCGGCGAGCTTGGCAAGGCGCGCGCCAACGTCGAGGATGTCTTCAAATCGCTCCAGGACGTCTACGCCCGCTGCAACGGCGCCTTTGCCTGCACCGCCCTCATCGCCGGCTTTGGCATCCTCGGCTTCCGGGACCAGAACGGCATCCGCCCCCTGATGATTGGCGAGCGACCCTCGGAGACCAAGGCCGGCGCCAAGGACTACATGATGGCCTCCGAGTCCATCGCGCTGCAGCAGCTTGGGTTCAAGAACATTCGGGACATTCTCCCCGGCGAGGCCGTCTTCATCGAGAAGGGGGGACATCCTCAGTTTCGCCAGATTGTGAAACCCGTGTCGTACACGCCGGATCTGTAGGTCTCCTACCAGAGGTGTGATGAACCCCCGAAGAGAAAAGTGGCTGACCCCACCCCCTAGCTTCGAGTTTGTCTACTTTGCCAGGCCCGACTCGACCATTGACGGCATCTCCGTCTACAAGAGCCGGCGGTTCATGGGCTCCAAGCTGGCCAAGCGGATGAAGGAGACCATGAAGGACCTCGTGGACGAGATTGACGTGGTCATCCCCGTCCCCGAGACGAGCAACACGGCCGCCGTCGACATGGCCACCGAGCTCGGCAAGCCGTGCTCCAACGCGTTTGTCAAGAACCGCTACGTTTTCCGCACCTTCATCCTGCCCAACCAAAAGGCCCGCATGAGCGGCGTCCGCCGCAAGCTGTCGCCCATTCAGTCCGAGTTCAAGGGCAAGGTCGTCTGCCTGCTTGACGACTCCATCGTCCGCGGCACCACCTCCAAGGAGATTGTCCAGATGGCCCGCGAGGCCGGCGCCACAAAGGTCATCTTCGCCTCGTGCTCGCCCGCTGTCAAGCACCCGCACGTCTACGGCATCGACCTCGCCGACCCCAAGGAGCTCATTGCCCACTCGCGCACCGACGACGAAATTGCCCACATCATCGGCGCCGACCGCGTCATCTACCTCGACCTCGCCCAGTGTGTCGAGGCCTGCCTCGAGGCCCGCGTCGAGCCCGTCGTTGGCGGCATGGACATCACCGCCTTTGAGGTCGGCGTCTTCAACGGCCAGTACCGCACCGCCATCCCGGACGGCTACTTTGACCACCTGAGCTGTCTGCACGGTAAGAAGAAGAGCAAGAAGCTGCAGGAGGAGGGGGTGGGCGGCGGCAGCGACGCCCAGACACAACCCGTGGCGGCGGTCGTCAACGGTGGCCCCATGAACGTGTCCGCACCGCCGGAGACGCACAAGACGCCAGGGGAGAAGAGCGACATTAGCCTGCATAATTTTGGAGATGAGAAGTAGGGTACCCTCATGTCTTGAGCACTTGCGAGCGTTCATATAGAAAGGACGGGCGCCCGTGTGCGTCTATGATGTTCATCTATTCGCTGTTCTTCTATCCTGTATCGACTCCTTTTCATGCTACTACAGTGAAGCATGGCCGCTTTCGCCTTCTTGTCTGATCCCCCTTACTTCTTTTCTGAAGACCGATGAAACAATGCCCTCTATCGCTGGTTGTGCGCCGTTGTCGCCATGAGGCATGTTGTCCAAGGGACCGCTCTCCAGTGGACGGATGCCAGGAGCCGGCGGCACTGTGTCAAATGTCATGCCAAGACCAGGAGAGTAGTTGTCGAGGAATTGCCCGTCTACTATAGCTGGGCACGCATATCCTGGGCATGGGACACTCACCATATCGGGCGTGTCTTGAAATACGGACACTGGTCCAGAGGCCGTGCCTGGCATGAAGCTGTTGGAATCAAGCAACCCAGGAAGAGGATGGTCGGTAAACCCATGGTTGCCGTCCCCGCCCAGGCTTGAGGGGGAACAGGACGATGTCCCCAGTGTCAGATCACACGGCGCGAACGCCGTATTGTAGCTCGCCAACTCAAGATCAAGCGTGGTCGGCTGGTGCAGCACTTGATCAAGCAGCAGTGCCTGTTGCATCTCGTCCGGTCCAAAAGGACTCCATCGAAAGTTTTCAAGTACTCCCTCTGTCGAAAACAGACCGTCCATCTTGGCTTGGCGCTTGCTGCTCGTCTCTGCGCCTGTTGGTTCAGACTTACTTTGGCCATGTGCGCCTCTCTTCCTCTTCTTGGTCATGGTCTCGCTAGACTCTGTGCGCGGGTCTCCCGTGGGCACGAGCTTCACGCTGCGAGCACAGTCCAACGACATCTTCTCGAACCACTTGCTACTCTGTGGATAGAGCCATGGTGGCATGTCAATGTTGTTGTTCTGCTTCGACGGGGGAGGGCTAGGCACGACAGGCGCAGGCTCGTGGCGATGATGGCCACTTGCGAAGCGAGCTGATGACCGAGGCGGGCCGTTGGATCGGAGTATCAATGACGGTGGTACACTTGGCGGTGGCGGCTGTGCGTAAAACATTCGCAGGTGTTCATTGTTGGAGGGGAAGCCGCTGAAGTGGTACGTCTGGCCGTGGGAATCCGCAATGGGTTGTGTAGGATGATGGATAAAGGAGGACGTCGAGCTGGCGGAAGAGTAGTTGTATCCAAAAGCCTCCAACGTGTGGTTCTGAACCACGCCTGGGCCTCCCCAGTCTCTTGGTAGATATTGGAGGCTTTTGTTGCCTACTGGCAGAGCATTCGAGAACTGTTGCCAAGCAAGCGGATCTGCGTATTCTTGCACTGGTAGTGACTGTCTTTGCTGTTTCCTTGCAAAAGGCTCCTCCTAGAAGCGTGAAGTCAAGGAGCTCGGCAGAGCCATAGTCAATACTGGCTGGCGTGTTGTCGCAATCTCTGTGTTGCTCTCATGGGCGGCCTTGTTGTGTATGTCCTTCTGCGCTGTGTACATAGTACTCATTTCGGGAAAGGAAGGATCCCCCTTTGAGAAGGTTTCCATGTGGAACTTCCCAGAGACGCCTACCTTTTAAGACTTGGCCGGAGTGCCCAGGGTCACCTTGGAGGTCTGTTTGCTTGGTTTCGGAGAAGGTGGTTTCTCGACGCCGGCTGAAGAGGCCGTCAAGGGGGCCGAGCTGCTTTGCTTCGATTTGGCCTTGGCCTTTGCGGATGCTAGTGCTCGGGCGGCTTCAGAGCCCGATGCAGCGAACGAGACGTCGTAAAGGCCTCGAGGCATGCTGCTTCTTTTATCAGTACTTTGATCCCGGTACTTGAGTGAAAGGCAGGCGGGTCTGTAGTTGGGAAAAGTGAAGACGGCGAAGAGAAAAATCTGTTGCGATCTTAGAGGAGACAATAGTGGTGATGCTTCGTTCTAATTTCATCCCCTTTCTAGGTGACACTGATGGAACTTGAGCTATTTATATCTTTTCTCCTGCGGAGAGAAATAGCAGAGAAGCCACAAATGCGCTGTACGAAAATGTGGACCAGGAATGATCAGACGAGAATGCTACGAGGCTTGAAAAGGTCGACAGCTCGTCTGGTGCCCATCGATGCTGGCGGTTCTCTCGAGGTGTCGCACATTCAGGGGTAGACGCCCAACTCGGTTTACTCGAGAACAACAAGTTCCGGAAAAGGACGGGGTGCGCCAGGGCAGCGACTCTTCTCAGACCAGGCGCACAAGTTCGTGAATCGTGACTGTTCTTGACAAGCCCTATGGGGTATCTACTCCTCTTCCTCGTCTGCTACGACCTCCTTTTTGGCCTTCTTTTCCTTCTTCTCCTTCTTGGCCTTCTTGTCTTTCTTTGATTTCTTCTCCTTCACATCGCCGTCTTCGCCAGTCTTGTCCTTCTTCTTCTTTTTCTTGTCCTTCTTGGGCTTGGCCTCTAATGACTCTCCGTCCTCAAGTGGCACCGCCTCTGAGGGCTCCTCCTGAGCCGCTTCAGGCCCGTCGACATCCATCGCATCACCATTCTCCTGCGGCTCCGTCTCATCAGCGACTGTCTCCTCGACAACCGCCTCCGCAGCAGCAGGCTCCTCATCCACGGCCTTCCCCCTTCCGTTCTCCCGCCTCCCCTTGACGGCCACCTTGTTTGCGCTCACCGTACCCTGCGCAGGGACATCGACCTCCCTCATCCACACCTTCCAGTCGCCCCTCCTCGTCTTCCACATGTCGCCCTTCCACGACCGCCACACGCTACGTCCCATCCAGCTGTTGCGCAGCTCCGCCTCCATCTGCCCCAGCTTGTCCATCACGGCCTCCTTCATGTGGAACGGCACGCTGCGCTCCTTGCCCTTGCTAGGGACCTCGACGAGCGTGGTGAGGATGTTGTGGCCGTACTGCGACGTAGCCAATACGCCAATGTGGGGGAGCACGAGGGTGGAGGTGAGGGTCTTGTGGAAACCAGGGTTGTTGGGACAGGGGGTGTTGAACGCCGTGGTGAGCACCGTCACCGCAGGCATGGACGCTTGCGCGAGCTTGAGCAGCTGCGCACCTGACAAGGCGAGCAGCGCTTCCTGCACGCCCTTGGCCGGACCGGGGATGGAGAAGAGCGTGGTCAGTAGCTGGGCGCCGTGCGACTGAATGGCGTATTCGTTGCGCGCCAGCTGTGTGGCGTCCTTCTTATTCTTCTTGCCGTCTACCTCCGACTCTTCGTCCTGTAGGAGGCACAGGGTGCGGATGAGATCGGCGGGCTGTGGGCCACAACCTTCCTTGAGGCCCTTGTTGAGCTTCTTGACCTCATCGTTGAGCCCGCGCGCGACGCAGCGTTCAAACAGCGTGCGGATGACGTTGTAGCGCGTCTTGCTCACGAGCTGGGGGATGGTGGGCTCGATCTGCGCCACGGCCTTCACCAAGTCATCCTTGCCGAGACGGTTCAGCACCCGGATCGCCGGATAGCAGGACACGTCGTTGCGGACGTAGCCTTGTATCCGCGGCAGGAAGATGTTCTGGTTCATGGCCTTGAAGACCTTGCCTGGTGCGTGGGTGATCAGCGTCTCGACCAGCCGCGAGCCGATCTGGTCGTATACCATGCCGTTGATGAACTCGCTCGCCTCCGACGACTCGTCGCCCAGCGACTTGGGCGCGTCGGGCAGCAGACGGAAGAGAAGCGTCGGCTTGTGGTCCTCGGATTTGTTGAGGGTGAGGTCTAGCTCGAGCAGGAGCTGCAGCGTCGGGTTGCCGATGGGGTGTTTCGCGAGGACGCGCAGACTCGTGGCGTCGACGTTCTCCATCGAGTCCGAGATGATCTTTTGCACAGCCATGGTGAAGCTTGCCGGCACGACCCGGGGCCCGTGGTTGGCCTCGTCGGCCGCCGCCGCGCCCGCCACGGAGACGTTCTCCTTCTTCTTGCTCTTCAGCAACGTCTTGGCGGCCGCATCGTCCAGTGGCCGGCCCGACAGGACCAGCAGGAGGACGCGCAGCGTGTGCGATGCAAATCGGTCCGTAATCAGGAACGCTAGGCTCCCCTCCAGCTCGTCCAACGTCTCGAGGAACAGCGACTCCATCGACTGCGCGGGCGAGACTTCCGCCCCGTTGCCGCCCTTTGTCGTGTCCACCACAAACGGCACAGCATCACCGCCCAGGTCCTCGCTCACGGCGCCCGCCGACCGGAGGAACAGCGCCTCACAGCAGTGACTCGCGAACCGATGCTGCACGAGACTGAGAAAATGCCCCGCAAAGGCCGCAAAGAGCTGCTTCTTCTGGGCCGTGTCCGCCAGCTGGATGAGTCGCTCCATCAGGCGGGAACAGCTCTGCGAGGACGCAATCTTGAGTTCCTTGCCCTTGGCCTCGTTGAAGACGGAGGTGATGAAGAGGCCGCGGTCGTCGGGGCTGGGGAACTGGTTCAGCTCCAGGAGTTCGTCGGCGTGGCGAAAATATTCCTGTTCCTCCTCGTTCAGCATGCCGAAGAACTCGGTCTCGGGGGCCTCTTCGTGGTGGAGCGAGTCGCCATGGAGGTCGACTTGTTCTGGGTGGGCGTGGGCAGGTTCATCGTGGTCGAGATCCTCGCGGCGCGAGCGCTTGGAGGCATTGGCGGCCTGTTGGTCGTCGTTGCGCTTCCGCTTGCGCTCTTCGCCGCGCTTGGTACGTGGCTTGGGCATTGTGGGCGGTTGAACCAAGTTGCTCGGGTTGGTGATGAGGTGGGAGGATCTCCTTCTCGCTGTTGAAACTTTTTGATGGCGGGCTTATCGATAAGGTCCACCGTGATGCATCACTACAGGGTAGGCTGGCATGCACCACCACGAAGAGCCATACAAGCACTTTGCGCGCAAGCCATCTATTCATAGTCTATCATAAGTCATGTCTAACGTCTATCCATACAGCTCCATGCCCACCGTCTCAATCGCCTTGATAAGACCCTCGACCGTGCCCGGCTGCGTCTGCCAGTTGACCACGACGCGGAAGAAACTCCCCCTATCACCAGGGGCGTAATCGACCATGAATCCACGCGGGATGATCTGGTGCACGATATCCGCCGTCATCTTGGTGACAGCCTCCTTGTCAGAAGGCACATCACCGCCGCCCGGTCGGTAGTAGAAGCAGACCTGCAGGCACGTCGGCATGTCCTGGCTGACGAGCTCGAGGCGCGAAGACGCCGTCACCTGCTGGTACAGGTGGGCGGCCATGTCAAACGAGTGGTCGACCTGTCGCTCAAAGCCCGCCGTGCCGTGGTACTGCCACGCCAGGGCGAGTTTGAAGCTGTCGGCGCGACGGCCGCACTGCAGGGTCAGGTCCGCCAGATCCCAGACCTCGCCGTCGCCGTGAGAGTGGAACAAGTAGCCGGCCTTTGTGCTGTTGGCCTTGTTGAAGATGCGCACGTCCGGGCCGAGGAGGAAGGAGCACGTGCTGGGCACGTTCATCATCTTGTGGGGGTTGATGGTGATAGAGTCGGCGAGGTGCGAGCCGGCCAGGTTGTGGCGATGCTTCCGCGAGAAGACGACGGGTCCGCCAAAGGAGGCGTCCACGTGCATCCACAGACCGTGCGCCTTGCAGATGGCCGAGATCTCCTCGAGGGGCTCGTAGGCGCCGCGGACGGTGGTGCCGGCCGTGGCGTTGACGTAAAAGGGGGTCTTGCCCTCGGCCTTGGCCTTGACGATCATGTCGTTCAGCGCAGACGGCTTCATGCGGCCGGCGGTGTCGGCAGGGACCGCCCAGACGGCGGAGCTGCCCATGCCGCAGATCATGGCGCTCTTCTCGACCGAGTAGTGCCCGCTGACGGACGTGAAGACGACAAAGTCGTGCTTGTTGCCGCCGGTCGCGCACTCGGGGAACAGCGTGTTGCGCGCGACGACCATGGACGTCAGGTTGGAAGAGGATCCGCCCTGGCAGGTGAACCCACCCGCGTGAGGTCCAGTCAGGCCAAACATGCCAGCCAGCGCGCGCGCGGTGGTCTTCTCGACAATTGTCAGCGCGGGCGAGACCTGGTAGACGTGCAGGTTGGTGTTGAGAACCGAGAGGACCAGGTCAGCGATCACGCCCACAGGCGTGTTGGTCGAGAAGAGCTTGTCCATGAAGCCCTGGTCCCAGGTGTTGACGCTGTTGGCGAGGATCTGCTCGATCCAGTGCAAGATGCCCTCCTTGCCGCGACCCTCGGCAGGGAGCGCCACATCCAGCTTCGCAGCCAGCTCGGCGGGCTTCTGGTAGTCAACCAGGACCTGTTGCGCCTTGCCGGTGGTGGGGTTGACGTAGGCGTTGCCCGTGTGTTTCTGGGCAGCCGCGTTGTCGGCGTTCTTGATGAACGGGATGATGAGCTTTCGCACCTCGGACAGCAGATCGTCTGTTTCCTCGGCACGGTTGAGCTTCAGACCGTTTGAGAGGGGGTCGTGGGGCGCGTGTCCGTTCAAGATGGCGCTCAGGGGGTCCTCCTTGACCTCGGCTTTGGTGCCAGGCACTTCGTCCTTGACGCTGTCGGTACACTCGTTGGCAATGGAACCGTTGCCGTTCATCTGCGCGATGCCGTTCCCAAAGGCAGAAGCGTTGCCTTTGCCATTGATGAAGGAGGATCCGCCGTTACGCCCACCAACGCTGGGGCCGCCATTGCTCATGTTGTTGTCCAATGCAGGCATTTTGTGTGTATTGTGTATGAATGTGTCTTGGGTGGTGTACGCTAGGTATGCGGTATGTGTATGTAAACGCTTGTGAATCAGTTGTATATGTGCGCTGAGAAGGAAATAACCAAGAAATCTACTCTTTTGCTGAGTGAGGAGGAGAGACGTGCAGCACGAAAAATCGTAGGATTTCGAGGATTCACACGGCTACTTGTATTACCACCGAATCCCCGGATGAATAATAAGAAGAAACAGTGGAAAAGTGAGCCATTTCCTCTCCACATCCAACCGAGCCTTTCCCCCGTAATGTTAGCGCGTATGTCATACTGCTCTCTTGGCGAACCAGATGGTCTTTTGTATGCGCCTGCGCAGTCATCTGCCTTGTCCAAACCGATCCGCAGGGGGGAATCGGCCGCTACTACGGGGGCGAAGCGGCATATGCCATGCCATGCGGTGCAGCGTGTGCCGGCTCGTCGTGACCGACGCCGAACGGGAGGCGTTGGAGGACGGAGTGTCATCGTCATCTCGCTGCCTGCTGGATTAAGTGTTGGGGAATTTGGTCGAAATGCAATGTCAGGTTCCTCAATGTCGATTCGGTCATGCCTTTTGATCCTTGTGCGTTTGCGCGTTTTCACGATCCTGGCCAGGGTATTTTCGTGCTGTCAAAGTGCGATTTCGCGATGGGGCTGCTTTCTCTTCCCCGCGTCGTCACGATGCTTGGCAGCGAAGCGCATGGACACGTCGATGCTGTAATAGGACCAGCAGTCCAATCAAAGTGAGTCGAATTTTGGAACCTTTCACGATGGCTCATGGCACGGCGGATCCTGATAGCCGTCGAACTATTCGCTTCGCAAAAGGAGGACGTCGCTGTCAGCCATATGCCTACGATCGTCATCGGATCTCACGCTGGTGGGCCCTCGCATCCACGCCAATGGTGTCGAAATCCAGGGTCCGAGTATTCAGCAGAGCGTGTTTATCGCATCCCTCGTGTGTGGGTGCATTGTCGATCGAGGAGGAACAGTCGGTGCACGATATCGGAGGCATGTCAGCCACCATTCAGCTTGAAACGTGCAAGGCGTGAATGTGATGGGCGCGCCGATGCTGCATGGAGGTTGCGTCGAGGGTACAGTAAGATGGGCTTACTGTGTCCCTCTCTCCAAAAGAATGGATCCTTGTGCCAAGGAGAGCTTCAAAGTCCAGTAAGTAGCACAAAGGGGGAAGACATTAGAAGAGAAGGATTTCTGAGTCGTCATCTGTCCACATCGTCAAAAGATTGGGCGGTCGCCCTGAGGCAGCTGCAGCGGGAAGGAAAGAGCATCTGGGAGCTCCTTCCCTCAGTTTGGCAACAAGCATGACTGCGTTGACACATTTCCCAAACGTCACAAATCCCCTCTCTTCTACACTCTCGCAAAAGGCAACCCTTCGAGTTGTTACGCTATCACAATGGCTCTATTGCTAACGAATAGCATCTCGTTTCTCATATCTCGTCATATCTCAACAGCCACCAACGCCTCGCTTCAATCATCAGTTTCCACTGTCTTTTCCCAGCACGACTGCCCACCGCTTAGATGATGTCGTGATCACACAGCTTGCCGTGGCCGGCCCCAAACAAATCGCGCGACTCCATCCACGCGAGGCCCGACGCGCGACCCTGCAGGCTTCCCACGGACGTCTCGTTGACGGGCGTCTTGGGGATGAGCTCCTTGCCATCAATGGCGAGAATGGACAGGACGTGCGCGGCGGCCTTGGCGTTGGTGGTGATGGTGTCGGGCTCAATGTTGTTGATGTCGTCGCATTTCTACCAAATGTCAGTATGAAGCATTTTGTGAGGAAGTGAAGAGATGACCTGGTGGTAGCAATCGTCCTGCGCGGCGCCGGTGCCGGTGAACAGACCACCGACGGGCTTGTTGATGACCTGCTGGAAGGGCACGTAGTCTGTCCCGCCCGTCAAGCCGACGGATGTGACCTCGAGACCCTGCTCCTCAAAGTGTTTGACAAACAGATCCTCAATCGTGTCCGAGCCGGGGGCACCACCCGGTCCCGCGTCCGAGGCGTCGCCGTCAAAGACGCCCCAAAACCCACGGCCCACCATGTCAAAGTTGAGATAGAGCAGCAGGCCGTTGATCTCAGGGGCCGTCATGTTGTTGACATAAAACCGCGATCCCCACAGGCCGTTCTCTTCGGCTCCCCACCACGCGAAGCGCACCTTGAGGTTGGTGCGGAAGTGCGACAGGCCCCTGGCCAGCTCGAGGATGGTGGTCGAGCCGGAGCCGTCGTCGTTGATGCCCGCCCCGGCGACGACAGAGTCCAGGTGGGCGCCCAGCATGACCGTGTTCTCGGCGTCGCCGCCGTTGGTCTCGAGGATGACGTTCTGGGTGATCTGCTCCTCGATCAGCTGGACAATGGTCGTGTGCGACTCGACGGTCTCGCCGCCCTGGATCCGCGCCTTGAGCGCCTGGCCGGGCTCCTGGTCAATGAGCGCAGCAGGGACGTAGTCGGGGCTCGGCATGGACAGCGAGCCAGCGGTAAGCTTGGCGGGATCCGAGTTGTACAGCACGACAGCGACAGCGCCTGCGGCCGCGGCTGCCCTGACCTTGCCGGCAAAGGTGGTCGCATCCGGGCACAGGCCACGCTCCACGAGCACAATCTTACCCTCGACATCGCCATAATTGGCGGCGTCGCAGCCATCAGCGCCGTCGGGGGCCAGCACCAGCTCCGCGGTGACACCCTCCTCGGGGGTGCTGGGGGTGTAGGTCAGAGCGACGGTGCGGTAGGACTCATCGCCGACCGAGACGTCGGCCGCGGTGGTGTTGGTGAAGAGGGCGGGGAAGTCTTGCTTCCAGGCCGTGAAGCCCTTGAGCTTGGAAACCTCGCCGTAGATGTAGTCGACCGAGGCGGCATAGCCCGGGTAGCCAAAGGCACGGTTGCCGCCGTTGGCCTCGGCAATGTCGTAGAGCTTCTGGAGGTTGCCGAGCAGGCCCTCCTCGGTGATGAGCTCTTGTAGCTTCTCTGACTCGACGGGCGGGTGGCATTCCTTCTTGGCTGCAACGGCCAAGGGAAGCAGAGCGGCTGCCGTGCTGAGCTTCATGGTGATAGTGTCAGTCGCCAAACGATCTAAGATATGCTGGGTCGGTGGCCTGCCGGGGAATGGAGAGGCCAGGACTCTTTAAGGACTTGAACTGGAGGTGAGAAGAATTTCTAGACTTCAAGGAAGCTCGCAGTCCATCCAATGGGGAGGACGCCGTGTCCTGGGGATCTTTTGTTTCTTGGCTGGTGCATGCGTGCTTGCGCGTGCGGGTTATCGAGCTTCCCTATGCGGAGATGTCTCCAGGCCAAGCCATGCCAGGCCGCCTTTGCGGTACTTGAATGCGGCCTACTGAGCGCTTTGGAGAAGTTCTATACGTACGTGCCTGGAATTAAGGTGGAAAATAAGCGAGATATAAGGTAACGCCCGAGTGCGGGGGGCAGCCACCACTTGTCGGCATGTGCCGGGGTCCTGGCATTAGTGTTGAGGTCATTTTTGAGCTTCATTGAATCTTGCTTGGTATGAAAGACTTGAAGTTTGGGTGTGATCATGATTTCGAGAGTCTCGTATGAGTGTCGCCTGTTGCGAATATCGCTAATGATGGTCTGTTGGCTGAACGACAGGGGCTACCTGGGACATGGAGGCTTAGATCGATGCTAGCGTTGGCATTCATGAAGAACCACTATGTTCAGACATGACAATCGATGGCTTAACTTGAGGAGAGTACATGTAAGTTCGTGTTTGAGTCATCGCCAATTGGATACATTTCTAGCACCTTGTCAGGACCCTGGATAACGAGCCCTGATTATTGTAATCCATGGCAATGTACCTCAGCGAAAAGCGTCTAGTCATGCTATTTGGGGGTACTCACGAGCCTGTGGACGTATACAAGGCATTCTGAGCATAATATCGAGTGAGCTGGGCCGGCTTGCGCAGCCTTATCCTTCATGTTCCCTATTGAAGTTCCCGGACTTGGGCGATCTCGGCATCTGGCTTCTCACGCGAAGACACTACTCTGCAGCGGTTTATTGAGGTAGTGTGTCCAAAGTAAAAGTGCTTCTATTCTAGCCAAAAATTAATGCTAAGCCCTTGTCCATGAACCCGCCTGATATCTACGTGTGGTAACCCGAAATTCATCTCCCGTGTGAAGGAAGCTCCTGAGGAACCCCATACCCAGAATACCCCGGCATTTCCACCGGGGCCATCTGTGTCATCATCGGCTGGCCAGGCGGCGGACTGGATCCCGTAGTCGTCGAGGCATATCCCGCAGGCGCCCCTGCGTACCCCTGCGGCTCATAGCTCTGTGTCGACGGTGCATAGTAACCGCTCTGATACCCCTGAGGCGGCGACCCAGCATAGCCCGGCTGGTCACCCGCGTACTCGGATTGGCGGTAGGGTTCCATGCCGGGCGTGGATTCAGCAGCGGATCCGGCCGACTTTTTCTTCTGGAAGCGGATGAACCAGATGGCAAAGGCGATGAGGAGGAGGAGGGCGACACCGCCTATGGTACCACCCACAATGGCCCCTATGGGCGTGCTCCCTCCGCCGCCCGAGTTCCCACCATTGTTGTCTTTGCTGGCGTCATTGTTGCTGTCGCTGCCCCCCTTATCCTTGTTCGAGGTATCTCCGTCAGAGCCTGGGTTGCTGGCATCGCCTCCATCCACGCTGTTCTCGTCGTTGGGAGTCGCCGTCGCTGTGTTCTCGGTGATGACCTTGGTGACGGTCTTGATCTTGTCGTCCTCCTCCGTCGTCACTGTCGTCGTGCGCGTGAGCGTGCTGGTGATATCGGGCGAGAGGTAGAGCGACGCCTCGCCGGACAGCTCGCCCCTCCCGCAGCGGAAAGCCGTGAGGGTGTCGGTACCCGAGGTGAGAAAGCCAGTGACGCAGAAGGGATAGTCGCTTACACTGCCAGCGTTCAGCATGAACACATGATCCTCATAAGAAATTTCGTGGCCAGGCGCAAACTCACCAGCAAGTGACGTCCGGGTTGGACGTCGCCGACGCAGCGCACACCGGATCGGTGCTGTCCTGGCAAGTCTGCGGGATGTAGCTGCACCCAAATTTCCCGTCGCTCGTCGTGCATGCCTCCTCGCACATGAGGGCGTCCCAGTCACTGGCGCTCGACGTGAGCGAGTACCACGCGCAGGTCTCCATGGACGCCTGCCTGGCACCCAACAGCGGCGGGCCGATGGTGGGCGCTGGAGGCGCGACGCCAAAGCCCTCCAGGATGGCGGATGAGGCGAGCAGAGCCATGATCAAGCGTGAGCGATTGCAATGGGGCCAGAGCTACGGCGGACGGCGATCTTCAACAAGCAGCACAGGACACGCAGGATGCGCGGGCCAAGAGTGCGAGGGGAGGACTGGAAGAAGAAAGGCGTCGCGACCGACGAAATGTGTGTGCGTGCCGTCGCATGGTGTACTTGTCGTTGATTAGTCCCCCTCTCTTTTGTTGTAGGACGCCAATCTGACGATGCAGGGGTTTTCTATGCAGGCGTCTTTCAGCTCTGTGGATGCTCCATGGCACGACAGTAGCCTGTAGGAATCTACAGTTTACTTTGGCACTACCACACGAATCGTACGGGAATCGTATACGCGGCAAAAGTCTTAGATACGAGTCGTACCGCATCGACACGATTAGTCGTAAACAGGTTAAAATTCCTACAACCTCCTCTGAGCAGGTTCCTTGCCTTACTGGGACACGCGCGGGTGCGCGCTTGAGCCGCGTTTCAGGGTGCTATTTCCAGGCGCGCTCTTTGCAAGCAATCCAGCTTTGCTTGAAGAACCCAGCGCCTTTGCAGCGGAAGACGAACGAAATGCGCAATTGTCATTAGGCGCGCTGGCGGCTGATCGGCAGGAGACGAAGCCTGGTGGTGGATGGCGCTGGACATCCTCATTGGAGCTTGAGGAGACGATGGATTTTAGGGCTGATGGGTCCATCTGCATGCGACTCGTCCTCATCTCGGGAGCGGCATCCCAGTTTCCACAAGGCTGATTGCTTGTTGTTGGGTGGATGTAAGAGACTAAGAGTTTTGAAAGATCAAGATCAATGCAACGGAGATCATGTTGCTCTTAAGCTTAGCTAAAGAGAATGAATTAGATTTGTCCCTCTTCGACGTTTTACTGATGAGCTTTCCCTGCCCCCGAAGCAACCAGGAAGTGTCGAATCTGATGCTGCCGTAATTAGCGGACAGCCACCAGACGCGATTCCATGGTATCGACTGCAGCCAAGAAGCTGCACCGCGTTTGCGCAACGGCTGAAATTTGGGCTGAAGGTGCGCAACTGCTAATTATGTAGTACGCCTCAATTTGGCCTGATACCTCGCGTATCACGGGCGGCAATGCTCTCTCAGCGGAGGCGCAGTGGCTGTCGGAGGCAACTCTGCTCGACGATTGCACGCAGTCAGCATGGAAGGATCGCAGCAGCGGGCGGTAGACCCTAAGATATGATTTATTATCAATTTATCATATCATGTGACAGCGTGACTTTTCAAACGTTACAGGGAATCTCACACGACTACTGTACATGGATGTGAGGTTGGCGCAACGACAAACTGGAATCATGGCTCTCTCTCCCAGCATACCCTACACATAGCCTCAACTCCTCAGATAGCTCGAGCGCGAATCCTCTGTTACTTATTCGGACATGTAGCATTTTCGATGGAACTCGGTTCGAATTCCGCAGTGGCGACGATCTAGACGGCAACTCGATGTGCAGGATCTCAGTCATGCCAAGAGAAAAGGGCGGTTGGTGCGTGCGGTGTCTGGAGGTCAATATTTGGTTCGATCCAGCCACACATCCTCAGGCTCACCATTGTGAAGATACTCAGCAGACTTTACTGATGTTTTACATTGACGTGTTCACGCAAGGGCGATTTGAACAATGCTATCAAGCAGCACAAAAATTGCACCGCAAGGTGTGACCTTACTCAGGCGCTGGGAGCCAAAGCCAGCTTTCTGACGATCACCAAGACCAACAATCAGGCAATGTCTTGTCGCCATGACATGATGTGTTGCAGTCGGACATGGCTGAATCCCTCCGTCTACGTAATCAATGTCAAGCGATCACCATAGCCGTTTCCTGGGGATCAATGCCGGACACATAATGTGTTTGACTTTCAGGCAGAGCAAGCCGGATCTGCGTCTGACAGGACTGGTGACGACATGCGACTTGGCTTGGGTTTCCGCTCGTGATATTGCGTGCAAACAGAATCCGCTGGAGCGTGCGATAGTTTATCTACGTGCGTGCTGGGAGCCTGGTGATCCAGCCCTTGACTACTCCTGTTTGGTGATCCAGTACTAATCCGCAGGGTGATTAAGGGGGTCGGGCACCTGAAAGGGTGTGCGTGCCCCCACGACTCAAATGACCGCGATTTCGAGGCTGAGCACATGACACATCTGGGACAACGTGAGGACCGTTCAACAACTAAGGTTTCTGACACCGGGGTTTCCTTTGCCGAGGATCGTCTGAACTGCAATCGGACACGGAGATGCGCAGACGAGTCTGCACATTGCTACAATGCACGCGCGTCCCCCGCAAGTGACACTCCAGTCCCTGCGAGCCACAATCTGCCGACATGACGCTGACCGTCGATCGTCCAGCGAGCAAATGCAGCAAAGCCGGTCACCAGACCTATACTACAGTAGCTATACGTAGTACAACTTGCAAAATGCGACTGCCATCGCAAGGGCTGCTAGCTGTTGTTTCAAAAGACAATGGTTTGCGGCCTCCGCCCGCGCGATCGCCGACCAGTGCACGGCAGCGGGCGAACGGGGGCGGGCACTAACTGAATTAGTAGCGACGGGAACCCACTGACTAAATACCTGGCGGCCCGTAGCTACCTGACATTTGCCGCTGGGCACCAATCCGCCACGCTGAAATCTGTGAAGCACCGAAGCAGTGAGGCTGTCTTCGAGTCCAGGCCTGCAGGCAGTTCAGTCACATCCCGCGGTCCGCGTCGTTTTTGTCAGTCCCGACTCCAGTCCCTGCCACCCACTGCGTGTCTGGCCCATGCGGAACACTTATCAATCACACGGGTTGCTTCTTGCGCCTCGCGTTTGTTTTCTGTTTGTGGCGGAAGGGCGGGTTGCCGGTTAGAGGCGTGCAGCGGCAGGAGACGCTGCCGCCTGGCCATCTGCCTGGGCCACCACCTCCCGTCCAACCTCGACTTTACAAAAGGACTGGATCGTCTTGCTAGAGCGAAGCCGCTGCTGCCCAACGACCAGTCTACCGACAATCACTCCATAATTACCGCCGATTAGAGCAACGCCAATTCCCGACAACTCGGGTCGCTTCACCACAAAAAGTGCCCATTGAAAGAGGGGCGACGTGTGGGTGGACCCGCGCGCAGCTAGGGAACGCCTCCCGAGTGGTTCCTAACTTCCTGTCAGGCTGCTTTTCCAGGGTCTCACTCTCACCTCGACGCAGGCCCGTCTCCTCCTTTCCAGATACGCCCCAGGAAAAAGCAGCAACTCGATCGCTGTGCCGGGCAGGGATCCGGCGGGCAGGCCAGACGGACGGACATTGCGGCTGCCGACCATTCTTCCTCCCTCTCCCTCTCCTTTGGCCATCTTTCTTCCCCATGTACTCTCACCCATCCACCTCCCTGCTGTCTGGTGGTCATCTCCTCCCCTTTCCGCATCGCGACGGGACAATGAACGTTCCCATCAGCATCACCATCTGCGGCGACGGCGGCTGCGGCAAGTCGTCCATCACCCTCCGCCTCGTCCGCTCCCAATGGACGTCCGAATACGACCCCACCATTGAGGACTCGTACTCCCTCACCCGGCGCATCGACGGGACCACCTACCACCTCTCCCTGACCGACACCGCCGGCCAGGAGGAGTACCGCGGCATGTGGGCGAGCTCCAACCTGGGCGCCGACGCCTTCCTCATGGTCTACGACATCACCTCCAAGGACAGCCTCGACGCCCTCGGCTACTTTGACGACCTGGTCAACATGGAGGCCGAGGCGCGCCTGGACAATGCCGAGCGCGCGCGCAAGGCCGGCCTGGACGCCGACGAGCTGCACAGCCCCATTAACGAAAAGGCACGGACGGTGCCGCCGGTCAAGATTGTGGCCGGCAACAAGTGCGATCTGCAGGACACGCGACAGGTCCCCGCGGCCGTCGGTCTCGAGTGGGCGCGCAAGCGCGGGTGCGGCTTCATGGAGACGAGCGCGCGGCTCGAGGTCAACATTGAGGAGACGTTTGCCCTGATTGTGCGACGCGTGGTCGAGGCGAGGAAGCTGGCGGCCATGGGCATGATGGACAATATTGCGCTGAACGCAAGGGGCATGACCAAGCCGCTCAGTCCGATCCCCACGCGGGAGGGCGAGTTTGACGAGAAGAGGCTCGTCGGCGTGCGGGGGCCGCATCTCCACGGTGGGCGGATCAGGCCGCGGAGTGGCTTCTGGCAGAAGCTGCGGTGCTGGTGAGCCGTTTTTTTTAGTTGGTGTTTTGGGTTTCCATCATATTGTCCGCATTTGTAGCAGGGTATGGCCCTTGCAGAAGGGAGGCGTCTGGTGCTCCGGTGTTTCTTGGGCTGGATTGGATTGGACTGCATTGGGATTGGGTTTGCTTTCTGTCAGATATCACGCTATGTCTAGCCATCATTGCTTTGTCATGGGTAAGACAGGAGAAGCAAGGAGGGAGGGAAGAGGCGCACATGTCATTACTACCTACCAAAGAATTAACGCTGTTCCATCGTTGCCCTGAACGCCATCCCGTCTTGTCTGTGTGTGCGTGCCTGCTGCTACTTGGCGTCTACCCAATCCTTGAAGCGCTTGTACTCTGCGTACCGCACGCTGCACTTCTTCCCCTGGTACCGCGTCACCTGGAGGTCGAGGTCCCTCCACTTGCTCTGGCTGCCGACCCAACCCGCCTTGCGCGAGAGCGAGTAGAGCGCCTCCTCGCGGGTCCAGCCCTGCTCGCTGGCGACGTCGGGCAGGTACGTCGACCCATAGCGGCGCCCCTTGTCGTGGAAGCTGAGCCGCACGCCGTGCACGCCGACGACCCAGTCGTACGGGTCGTCCACCTTTTCAAAGTCGGTGAGGAGCGTGACGGCGGCCTGCAGCGACGGCAGCTCGCTGGCCTTGATGGGACGGAAGCGGGTGTCCCGGAGGGCGGAGATGAGGGCGTACTCGGGGATGCCTTCCTCGAGGAGCTCGTCGCTGAATGTGCCGATGCACCCTCTCAGGGACACCTCTTCCTCTTCATCGTCGTCGCCGTCGGATTCCACCACGTTCCAGGTCACAAAGAGCGGCGCCTTGGCGGGGATGTTGTTCGCTACGATGGAGGAGAGGGATGTGTTGGATGTGTTGGATGTGTCGGGCGTGGAGGTGGAGAAGCCCGTGGTCGAGGATGTCGAGGACGAGGACGGGGATGGGTCGGCGGTGAGACGTGACAGGGTGGGGTTCTTGGGCGTCGGGGAGGAGGATGTCGAGGCGACGAACTGCTCGTAGAGGGACTGGATCTCGTCGAGGGACAGCGCGGGGCGTTTGGCGAGGTGGGCGTCGAGAGCCTCGAAACAGGCGATGCAGTGGGCAGCGGTGGCCATGGCGTTGTGAGGGAGTGAGAGCGGTAGGATGCAACGCTGTTCGAGGCTCTGATGGTGGTGATTTGGAAAAGAGAGGCTTCAGAGGTCTGACCCTCAAAGACTAGAAGATAAGCCGGATCACGGATCACGGCGATGGAGTCTAGCGGCCCCGCGTGGAGTTGCTGCAGCGCAGTGGCCCGATGACGCCTGGCCGGCTGGCACTGGTGGCATTAATTTGTGGATGCACAACTTAGGCCGACATGCACAATCCTTGTGCAAGTATGCATGCCGAGTTGTGCAAGTTTTGTTTCGCCAGCTGAAGGTGAAGCTGTCGCAGGATGGCTCTTGATACACCACTGCGACGACCTGGGCCAGTTTCGTCGCGGCTCTGCACCCCAATATGTTTTGCGGCATGGAAGATTCGTCTCAAGTGAGGCCTCCTTAGCGCTTCGTAGCCATCTGAGCGCCGCGTATAAGAGTGGTCACTCCTCATCCACCCAGCATCCAGCTAATTCACCATCAGCAACCGACCTTGTCTCCATTCTCTCCTCTGTGTCGCCGGCGACGTTTCCTTCTTGCCTCTCCTTCATCGATTCCACTGTATTGACAACCGCCATCCCTCACTATGCAGCTGTCCCTCTTTTCCGTCTTTGCCCTCGTTGGCTTCACACTCGCTGCTGGCAGCCACCCAAGTATGCCCACCTCGCGCTCTCTGCCACTGACATCAACCCACTAACGAGCCTACCTAGCCACCAATACAAACGCCCAGAGGGACGTTGTCAATCCCGCAGACACAGACGGCCAGGTCTGGGCCAACATCATCGCCCCCGCCAAGCGTCAGAATGTGCGCCCGCCCCTCGACCAGCCCGCCATGACCGACGCCGACGGCAACGTGGTCCCGTACTCGCGCGAGGGCGCCCGCAAGGCCAAGGCCAAGCGTGAGGAGATGGCGCAGCGCAAGAGGAACGAGGAGAGCATGAGGAAGAGACAGGCCAAGAAGGAGAGGACGAGGCGGCACCAGGCCCATGGGGGTCGCCAGTTCTGAACGTTGGGGGTGGCCGTGTAGAAGCGAGCGCCTGTGACGGATCTCTGGGCCATGCTGGGCATGAACTCATGAGCCGTGGACGCTTGGGGGTGGTAGGAGCTGGGGCACAGAATACCCAGGGTGAACAGAATGACTATGCCTGGCTTTGTGGGTGACAAGGCGGTATACTTGATAGGATCATGGATACATGTACATTCATCAGCTCAGACGTCCCCTGGGCGCTATCTGTAATAAAATATAACAAATTCAGCCAGGTTTACCCAACAGACATGTTGCCCCCTAAGATTAGGTAGGATTCTCCACACCGTAATAAGCACAGTAGGGCTCTGTACTACGTACATGTACTCCATTCTCCCGTTGCATCGTCATCCTCCAGAAGTGTATCTGTCGTAGGGCTGAGCTAGCCGTGCCAACATTGGCACTCGAGTGGAATGCTCTGCGCCTGGCACGGCCATTTCTCTCTCATTCTGCCAGGATCATCGTTACTGTCATGACTGAGTATGTTGAATTGCCAAGTCAATTCTCAGGAACTCTTGAGCTTCAGCGTGCTAATTAATAGAAGGAGGATTCACAATGCTATCGCTTGCAGCAGCGACTGCATGACAACCCCACAGTGCACGTTTCTATTCTCGTCTTGTTGATGTCCAAGGAGCTCCTTTCCCCTCCCCTCATCGGCGACCAGCACGAATGGCAACCCTTGGTCGACGCGGAGATGGACAGTCGACTCGATACCCGCGCATGACACAGCCACGCGTGACCGACAACGTGGTCTGGTCTGGTGGGAGCTTTATTACTTACCGCCAGTCTGGCTGCAAAGTGTGAATCTGCATCCTGGGACCTGGGCTGACAGGCGAGAAATGTCCGCCTCGAGAGCGGGTCCTTGGCTCAGACCCTGGATCCCGCCAGGTGCACCTCATTTCCGGAGATGGAAGACTCAAGTGTACGCGCTGCGCTGGCGTTGACTCTCGAAATGGACTGTTCAAGAGGCGAGACAAGGTCGTCATTGAAGCATTTGCCATAAGGCTACGCACGTGTTTGTTTTCCACGACAGGCCAGGAGTCTTCGTCAAGAAACTGATTGCTGAACTGGTAGTTCTCTTTAGGGTCTCTAAGAGTCCAATTCTACCCTATCCCTGTTCTTGAAATCCCCACAGCCAGGACAGCAGGACGCGCGCGAGATAATTATCGCGCCTTTTGGGGGCGGTGCTGACCGACCTGTTCATTTTGATGAGACTCAGAGTCTCAGACTCCTGCGGCCTTGCCCCATTCAGTGGGCTGACATGCGCCAACCATGCGGCTGACCAGGCATCTCGACAGCTGAACCGGCTACCGGAAGGGCTGAGGCAGCCGAGCCCGATGCTATAAAAGACGGGCGGCTGGATGCATGTGCAGCTAGCTGAAAGACATCAGCTCGAACCGCTGACGCTCAAATGCTGTTGATCCCCAAAGGCATGACACGACGTGACGATTGACGACCTTCCTTGCCAACGACGACCACGAATACCCTCACCCCGCCTCACAGAATGGGTAGCCTGCGCTCGCAGGCTCAGTTTGAGCAATCGCACTGGCGCCTCCGCCTCCTCGGACCGCTCTGGTGCCTCCAGCTCGCGCTCACGTTCACCATGGCCGGTCTCTTCGCCTACCGGATAGGCGACACACTCCACTCCTACGAGGACCGCAAGGCGCCCCAGCTCGAGGTCGTCTGGGAATCCACCAACGTCGGCCTGTCCTTCCTAGCCAGCATCTGCACCATGGTCGAGATCGCACGCTACCTCGCCGAGTCCCTCACGCCCTGGACGGTGCTCTTTACGCACACTATCAAGCTCACCTGCGCGGCGTGCCTCCTCGCGCTCGACATTGTCGCCCACATCAAGGTGATTGACGAAAACTTCTCCATCGTCGGCTTGGCCCTGGACGCGGCGTTTATGCTCACGACGAGTGCACTGGCTATATACGCCCTGGTCACCTACCGGAGGCTCTCGTCGAGGGACGCAGCGCACAGGGTCGATATCAAAGGCTATGGGTTCAGCGACGGTCTAGGTCGCGACTCGTCGTACAGCGGGCCGCGACCGACGCTGGAGAAGAGGATATCATCCGTGTCGTCACGTTTGAGTTTCGGGTCCATGCGTCAGCCGCACCCCGAGCCCCAGACGGACGGCGTCGTTCTGGAGACCATGTCGCGGACGCCGTCGCTCTACAGCCACGAGCGTGACACGCGGTTTGACGACTTTGTCAAGGGCAAGAGACGCGAGTCGCTGGGGAACAGTGAAGATATTGAGCGCGGCATCTCGCCGCTGCAAGAAGTGGAGGACGGCAGGCAGCTCACGCGGCCTCGAGCGAGTAGCTGGGTGGATGAGCATGTGCTGGTCTCGGTGCCCGAGGAGGCAGAGGAGCACGTGGGGGCAAAGTCTGAGGAGGACAAGAAGGATCGCGAGGCGTTACTGGATGACAACCGTCGCGGGAGCGAGGATGATGAGCAGCCGCATCGGGTGTTGCATGAGGTTGATATTGCCGAGCCACGATGGAAAAGGGAGCAATAGATACTGTGATGTGTTTTGTTAGCGTACAATTGAAGCATTCTTGGGTTTGCCTGTTTCGATAGTTGTTCAGCCTGCAGCCAGGCGCTTGACGTCGGCCGAAATGTGGTTTTCCGATGTGAGACACCGATGTAGGACACAGTGACTTCATGCCACGCCTGACGCGTCACTGGATCCGATACACCAGCTCGAAGATGCAATCTCCTGATCGGCGTGGCTGACAAGCTGTAATTACAGCGTGACAGCAGTGGCATCTTGGGTATTTCTCAGGAATGGGCTGATCGATAAGAGTCATCTGGAACATCATTAGGGCGATCAATGCGGTATTTGCGTGGCACTGGCGGCAGCGATTGAAGGTTGAAAATCTGCTCTGCTCTGGTTTAGGCTCGAAAAGAAGCTTAAATTAAGGTTGGCGGGAGGAACATCATGACGCTCGCGCAGGTCTTGAAATATGGTGAAAGAAGTCAGCCTTCACGCGAGCAAGACTGCCACAAGCAGAAACTCCAGAATCTCAAGAAAAATAAGAAAAGAAGTTCAAGTCCAAGACGTCCTAGATGCCCACGCTTAGCACACTCGCCGCCAAGCCGCTCCCCCACGAGGACACTCGCCCCAGCTAATCAGCAGCGACTACGGGCGCCAACCCTGCCCTCATACATCCATCCCACTATTTGCCCAGCCTGATGACGGTCAACTGCCATGGCCCATGACCCTCTTCTAGGTATTCGGGCAGCCACTCACCACTGGTGACTGACGTACGGGTGTGCGGCTCTGCCCCATCAGCGGCACGTCCCCTCTTGCGCCGTTATTCCCTCTCGAGTCTGGTATCCAGTTCCTGCACAAAATTATCTTTCCCTCGCTCTCCAGAAACCGCCAGGGCATGAATACTTCCATCTCGCATGGCGACGTCGGCGACATCTCGCCCCTAGAACCGCCACGATGCGTCAGCCTCGTGGACTGAGCTTCGTCAAGCGCACGCTCGACAAATTGGCGCCGAACCGCGACAGCAGCAAAGACGCATCCTCGAAAAAGAATGGCAAAGGCACCCCATCATCCGAGGTGTCGTCGACGCGGGCCACGGGCACCCTCCCCTCGGGCTCCGTGACGACACTCGCCAACAGCGTCTACTCGGAGCGCCTCGAAGACTTTTCCCGCACGCTGGCGGACCAGTCGCCTGGCAATGACAAGTACCCCATGCTCCGGCTCAACGACAACCTGAGCGTCGCGATCGGGGACGCCTTTGAGGGGAACCCCAGCAGCAACATTGAGAACACGGTCAAGTTCGACTATGGCAGCGTGCGCGCGCCCAAGAGGATCCGTCTGCTGCTCATCTTCCCGGCGGCGCACTACAAGGACATGCTCGAGACAATCATGTTCCACGCCGACCTCGACGAGGTGCCCTTCCAGGCGCTGTCCCACACGTGCCCCGAAAAGGAACGCACCACATGGATGCACTGCAATGGACGTGGCCTGTCCGTCACGGAGAGCATGTACCAGGCCCTGCTTGGCGTGCGCAACGCGGCACAGGCGGACGCCTTTAGCATCGTCTGGGCAGAGGCAGTGTGTATCGACCAAGAGGACGTGCGCGATAGGGAGAGACACTTGCATCTGGTCAGGGACATCTTCTCCAGCGCGCACGCCACATTGGCTCATCTGGGCGGTACCGAGGACCAACGGCGCAAGGCGTTTGAGACGATTGACAAGCTACATGAGGCATGCAAGTACGATGAGTTCCGGGACAGGCTCGAGCAGGACGAGATTGACCTCTCGTCGCTGAACCATCTCTGCATCGAAGACATCAACCTCGAGATCCCCCCCGAGAACCGTCTCGAGATCACGCGGCTCTTCTCGCACCACTGGTTCGAGCGGATCTGGAACTGGCAGGAAGTCGGCGTCTCGAAAAAGGTATGCATCATGTACGGCGGCGGACTACGGACATGGGGCTACTTTGCCGACGCGGCGTGGTGCATGTACCAGCTGCGCTGGGAGACGTCCATCAGCGACGACTGCCTCGCGCCCGGCCTGTCCCGGGACGACCTCAAGCACTATCACATCCTACACTTGGACGAGCATCGCGACGGCGCCCTCCACGGGACGACTTTCACCCTGCTCAGCCTGCTGACCGAGTCGCGCCACTTCACCGCCGCCCACCCGCTGGACCGCATCTTCGCCCTGTACTCGCACCTGGGCAACTCGCGCGAGCGGGACATTGTCGAGGCCTTTTTCGACTACAGCCTCCCCAAGCTCGACATGTACCTCAACGTCGCCCTCAACTGCATCCTCTCCCACCGCACCCTCGACGTCCTCCACCTCGCGCACAACGACGACCTCACCACCACCAGCTGGCCGTCCTTTGTCCCCGACCTGTCGCGACGGGACAATATGCGCATGCTCGGGTCCAAGAACGGCCGTCGCTCCTGGCACTACCACGCCGCCGCCGACACCGCGCCGCAGCTGACCATCCTCCACCACCCGGGCACCACCCGCGAGGGCATCCCCTGGTTCTCGGACGACGTGCACATTGTCCTCAAGGGCGTCGAGGTCGAAGAGATTGTGGCCGTCGGCGCGGAGATGAAGGGTCCCACGCTGGGCTCGCACAACTTCCTCGCCGACTGGGTCAACACCGCCCTCATGACGGAGCCGGGCCAAAAGTTCTACACCACGCCCGAGCTCAAGCGGGCGCGAGAAGTATTGCATGCCACGATGAAGGACCACAAGCTGCACGGCGGCAAGAATCCAGAGTCCAACGCCATGTGGGCGTCTCGACGCACGTCACTCCGCTCCGGCTCCAGGGAGAAACGGCCCACGCCCGAGTCGTCGTCGTCACGCTCCTATCTGCGCAGCACCTTTGCGCCCGGTCTCATCGAGAGACTGCAGAAACTCGACATTGACGCCGACGCCGTGCGGGATGCGGACAATGGCATGGACCCCCTCGCCAGCCTACCGCACGACAAGATGTACCCCATCTGGGACATTTCTGTGGTGGAGGCCTTTTGGCGCACCCTGATCAAGAACCAAGACGAAATGGGTCGCGAAGCCGCATCGGATATGGGCGTTGCCTGCTTCGAGCCGTGGTTCAAAGCTATGAGCGGGAGTGTCAGCCACATGCTCGAGGCGCTCGCGCACGGGCAGTCGGACGAGTCACGGCAACGTCCGGAGCCACTGTTCAACGACCTGGTGCACATGGCCTGCAACGGGACGCGGATGGCGCGTACGAGTCGGGGGTTCATCGGCACGGTGCCCCGAGGGGCGAAGGTGGGCGACAGGATTGTCGTGCTGTATGGCGGGCAGACGCCGTTTGTCCTGCGGCGCGATGTAAAGGGCGATATGTATCGGTTGGTGGGCGACTGCTATGTGCATGGCTTGATGCAGGGCGAGGCCCTCGACATGGAGCTGGAGGAGCATAAGTTTGAGCTGCATTGATCTTTGGTCTTGGGTTGCGCATAGATGTTTAGAGTAGAGTGTAGACGGCGATCTGATTTATTTACTTCAACACGCGTCTTCTCCCCCCGCCCCCTTTCCAGCGCATCTTGCCCACCCATTTCGCCCATTTTTGCACCTGCTCGTCCTCGAGGAGCAAGTCGACGGTGTAATAATCCCTCGCGAGGTCCTCATGCCCCCTGAACTGGTGCACGAAGCGATGGCAGGCGCCGCAGAGCCAAGCGACATTCTGCAGGTCCTCCTTGCGGTGCCAGCCGCGCTTGACGACCTTGTCGTGGACGAAGCGCGGGATGAGGTGATGGTAGGACAGGTTGATCCACCAGCGGCCGCAAATCTCGCAGGCTTCGGTGCGTGTGGCCGTCGTCGCGGGCGGCGGCGTGATGAGGGGCTCCAGGTAGGCGGTGATGATGGGCAGGAGGAAACTCTCTGGGGAGGAGGGCAGCAGGGTGGATTGGCCGCTGTCGTCTGGTGTTGCGATGAGATTGTATGTTTCCAGCGTCTCGGTGACGTGGGGTGGGAGGTTGAGCTCGGCGAGGGAGGATGTGGTCAGGGGTAAGGCGTATTGACTCTGCAGCCCCTGGCTGTCGCGCCATGAGCGGTAGTCTAGGTCCTGCAAGTCTTGGGGGAGATTCTCAAAGATCTCGGTGGCGAGGTAGTCGGTGAACTCAGCTAGCTCGGCCGCATCTTCTACGCGATTGCCAGTGGTGAGGCTACTTGAAGAATTTGGCTTGGTGGTGGCCTTGCCGCGTCTACGTGACTTGGTGGGATGCTGATGCTGCGTGGTGGGTGGAGGACGGAGAAGTGTCGTGGAGAGGCAGTCACGGAAATGCGCATAGTTGCTGTTTTCCTCGTCTTCCTCCTCATATGATGCGTCTGTACCGCTCGAAGATGACATTTTTGGGGGAATATAGGTGCGATGTCGGCGGGCGAGGCAAGTGAAGCTAGTCGTGATGCAAGGTGGATGACGTTGACGGCGGTGGGCGGGGTTACATCATGGCCATCTCATTCCCTTGATTGTCCACTTTCCTCTGTCGATTTATACTATTTCATACGGAGGGCCTTCAAAGATACGATATACATCTTTACGATTGATTGTCTTGATACAGCAGACCTCCCCGGTTGACTCATCGGCGCACGCTGCATCACCCTTCAGCCTCACCTGTGGACCGTCAGACCAATATGCCTCAGACCGTCATCGCGTTCGACCTCTTCGGTACGATTCTGTCGACCGACTCGATTGCCCAGAAGCTGGCAGAGATATATGGAAAAGACGATGCTACTCGTATCGCTACCGAGGCCAGGCGGCTGCAGCTGGAGTACACATGGCGCTGCGTCAGCATGGGTAGGAGGATACGACGATGGGCTCTAGGGCGAGTACTGACATCTCGCAGGCACTTACAAGCCTTTTGACCAGTTGACGCGATTTTCATTCCGCCAGGCCGTCCATCAGATCGTTGGAAAGGAACTCAGCTCAGAGCACGAAGAAGCCATCATGGACGCGTACAACCATCTCAGCGCCTACCCAGAAGTGGACTCTGCTCTGTCGTCGCTCTCGTCACACTCTGAACTTGATGCGTACATCTTTTCGAATGGCACCCAGCAGATGCTCACATCGGCCTTGTCCTCGTGGTCCATCTTCCCGCCCGAGAAGGTCATCTCGGTCGACATTGACGCGCTCAAAACCTTCAAGCCTGCCCCCAAGGTCTACGAGTACGTCACAACAGTCACGGGGATGCAGTTCACGCCCGAGCGAGTGTGGCTCGTCAGTTCGAACCCGTTTGACGTGCTGGGCGCCGTGTCGAACGGGTTGAGGGCGTGCTGGGTTGACAGGACGGGTCAGGGGTGGAGGGATGGATTGGCGCATAGTCTGGGCAAGGAGCCAACCCTGATTGTCAGGGGCGTCGACGAGGCCGTGACGAAGATTATGCAGGCACAGTGATCGCAATGAGATCGATGAGCCAAGGGTTTGTGCCTTCTTTGGCGCGTGATAAGACCAATACTGACATCCCGCAGATCTGTCGAGCTTGAGATCTTCAGGGTCTTATCTATCGGGGCTGATATACATATATATAATATATTTTATGTATTTGTACTGGTACTGATAAGAGAAGAAAGTGAAGCAGATAGGGTCGAGACACGCGGCGGCATGAGGTCATTGTGCCTACCCCACCGAAAGGATCACTGGCATTGCGCCTGGGCTGACGCAGATCCCCCGTGACCACGAGGCTACGCTGACCGCGATCGTGGGGGCGGGCATGCTGCCAGAAGGGAGGAAGGGAGGGTGGGAAGACACACAATATGAAGTTGAGCCGCATTTCCATCTTTGTGTTCCTCTCATCGTCCACCAACTGAGTTCAACTCCACCACCGTCATGTCGCCCTCCGTACTCAACTCCACCGTCGAGACGACCCAAATCATCATCAGGCTCTCCAGCCCTCTCGCCGAGCTCGCCACGCTCACCCCCCTCGTCGATCTGCTCGCCCTCACATACGCAGTCACCGTGCCCTCGCCCCTCAAGCAGTCTCGTCTTTCCACGCTCCTGCACACTCTCTCGTCCGACCCATGCCCATCTTCCCAGCCCGCGCCGCACAGCGAGGCAGAGAAGCTCAATTCCTTTATCCGCTTCCTCTCCCCGGTGCTGAACGGCATGGCGGGCCTGCGGGACTTTGAGGCGGCCGTCGACCTGCGTGATGACGACCCGCAGGACTTTCGAGACTTTTGGACGCTGGAGGGGCGCAATCTGATAAAGGAATACGTCGAGGACGGTCAGGTGGGGGGCTCCAGCCCGGGAAGCGAAAAGGTGTTTCTGGATTCGTTTGTGCGGGATGTGTCGAGAAGAGTGGCGCTGAGCCATGAGGGGCGCCTGATGCTCGTCGATGGGCACCGCAAGGTTGGGGAGGAGGTGTCTGTGGCGGAGACGAAGCGAGCTGGTTTGTTGATATACAGAGAGCAGGGGCTGGAGGGGTGAGGAGGGGCTTTGTTCTCGTCATGATGAGTTATGAGGTACGGCCTGGACGATGTGAAGGCTAGAATTGATGGATCAATTAGTCCGTGTACAAGCCAACATGATCTTGCGGACTCACGTCTTGGGGACAAGGTGCGTTTGTGTTGCATTTGGCTGCGACAATCTGCCTCCATATTCATGTAGGAACGCGGGATAAATCAGCCAGCAGTCACGCCTTGGGGCATGTCGACAATGACTGTACATCAGCGCCTCTTTTCGGCGGCAGCATCAGCACGTACTCGCGCGTGCTGTGCCCAAACATGACGACATCCTTGTTGCGCAGCTCCAGGTACCGCCCCTCGGGAATCTTCTCGCCATTGACCATGGTTCCATTGGCGCTCTCGAGATCAATAATATAGGGCTTCACCCTACCGACCTTGTCGCCAAACTCGTTGCGCTTCTCCGTGTACCGGAACTGGATGACGGCGTGCTGCTTGCTCAGACTCGGGTGGTCAGCCTGCAGATCGACGACGGCGGCATCACGGCCAATGAGCCAGCAGCTGCGCAGCGCCAGGTCGGCCGTGTCCACGACGTCGCCGCCCTTGAAGATGAATAGCTTCCACTGGTCCTTGGGCGGGGGCTTCCTGGCCTCGGCTGGCTCATGGTATTTGAGGGCAATGTTTGTGCCGTCGGCCTGCTGGATGGAGTTGGACGCGGCGGCGAGGAGACCGGAGGACTTGTAGTTGGGCTTCTCCTTGGGTTTCTCGGGTTCCTCGCCGTTGGTGACGGCGAAGGAGTCCTCCTGGGACGGCAGGGGACCGGAGCGCTTGAGGGGTTCGATGCGCTTTGGCTCCTCTCCCCGGCTGCGACGGGGGCTGCGGTCCTCGCGGTGTCTATGTCTGTGTCTGTCGCTGCCGCGATCGCGGTCGCGACGGGAGGACGAGGATTCTGGGGTGCGCGAGCGACGACGTTCGCGGTCGCGGTCGCGGTGAGAGGGTCTGTCGCGTGATCTGTCCCGTTCCCGGCGGCTGTCACGGTCTGGGTCCCGTCTACGAGACTTTCTGTGGTCTCTGTCTGTATCTTCGTCACGGTGGCGCCGTTTGCGCTCTTCGCGGTCGCTGTCGGAGCCCATTGCGGTGATCTGTGTCTTGGTCGGTGATTTGATGGAGGTTGAGGCTGATGGTGTGCGTTGGAGTCGAAGATTTTAATTGGTCTTTGCCTACCCTGTACTATGTAGCAGTGAACCAACAAGGTTCTTAAACACTCGTCGCCTTTCACACGCACTCAATCATCAAATCGCTGCAAATGAATACGTATCCCATTGTATACACGATGGCATCATCCGCGCCTCCAGGTGATGCTCATGCCATTAGTGACAGATAGAATCATGAACATTGGCAACCTCGCACAATTCAATCAGAGGGTCCCCCAGCCAAGCTGTCCCTTTCATCAAGCAGCATCGGCTTCAATCCGCCGTGGCTACCGTTATGGACGGCAGTGGTCGGCTGTAGCCTGTGAGCCTGCGAGGCTGTCACCGTAAGTTAAAATCCTCTGCCGATTGTCAGGCCGCTCTACTGCATACACCCGCAGCAGGGCTCACGCATATTTCCGCCTCAAGATATTAGTGCTTCACATGCATGTGCGAGCGAGCGAGCACTTCATCGAGATCTCGCAATGCTCTCCAACACTAGCAAACTCCGCCCCTGAAACACGCATCGGGAGTTATTTAATGCCGCCTGGATTGACTGGATCCGAGGCTTTTCCATGCAAACGCCTGTACCGCGCCGAAGGACACGCACGCCAAGGCTGAGGCCGGTCGAGTGGAGCAGGAAGAACAAGAAAAAACCGGAGCCCGATGGTTGTCCTTGGCCCGTGTCGGGCCGTTGATCATCGGCTTGTGGGCAGATTTTTTCTTCCAGCAACGTCATGGACGGGGTGTAAGTGAAGGTTTCAACCACCCAGACGGACACTTGACTCGTGTAGGTGGTAGTAGGGTGAACAATCACAGTGCAGTCAATGTGGTCATGGTAAGAAGTCATAGTAGATAATCAAAAGGCTATTGGCAAACGCTATGCTATTTCTATCCGGAGAGCAACGCTCAATCCGTGTAAGACGACCTAGTGGTCGGCGCCATGGCGACGTTCTATCGCTTTTGCGACTCGTCGGATGTCTATCATGTCTGCAGACCGCGCGCAGGTGTCTTTCTTCCATGTCGTGATGATAAAAAAAAAGAGTCGTGAATATCATGAGGCGACAACCGCTCAGTCGGCGGACTTGTGCATGGAGCCGGTGACATAGTTCTCGGCACCGAGCTTGTTGATGGTCTCAATGTCCTCCGCGTCGAGGGTGAAGTCGAACGAGTCCAGGTTGCTCTGGATGCGCGAGGCCGTCAAGCTCTTGGGCAGGACGACGTTGCCGCGGGACGCGTTCCAGTTGAGGAGGATCTGGGCAGGGGTCTTGCCGTACTTCTCCGCAATCTTGCCAATGGTAGGGTCCTCGAGCTTGTTGCCGCGGGCGAGAGGGGAGTAGGCCTCAATCTTGATGCCGTGCTTGGCGCAGAGGTCGACGAGTTCCTGGCGCTGGCAGAAGGGGTGCACCTCGACCTGGTTGACCGCGGGGACGACGGTCGCGTTCTCCAGGAGGTTCTGAATGTGGGCGGCGCCAAAGTTGGAGACACCGATGGAGCGGACCTTGCCCAGACGCTTCGCGTCCTCGAGGGCGCGCCACGAGGCCAGACGCTTCTCCTCGTCGTCGGCGGGGGAGTGGATCAGGTAGAGGTCGAGGTACTCGAGGCCGAACTTGTCGAGGGAGTCGCAGAGGGCCTTGAAGGTGGCCTCGTAGCCGTGGTCGGCATCCCAGAGCTTGGAGCAGACGTAGATCTCCTCGCGGGGGGTGTTGGTGCGCTCCATCCACGCGCGGATGGCACGACCGCAGGCCTCCTCGTTGGCGTAGCGGGCGGCCGAGTCAATGTGACGGTAGCCGGCGTCGAGGGCCGCGGTGACGGCATCCTCAGTCTCCTGGCCGTTGGGGGCCTTGTACACACCCAGGGCGACCTGGGGGATGAAGTTACCGTCGTTCAGCTTGACGGACGAGACGGACGAGGCGCGCGAGCGCACGTCCTGCTCGACGACCTTCTTGGCGAAGACCTTGCGCTCAGGCGAGGTCTCGGGGGTGATAGCGGAGGGAGCCATGGTGATGAATGTGCAGAAGTGTGGAGGTGGAGGTGAAGGTGATGAAGATGTTTGTTGTGTGCGGTGATGGCTTGTAAGTTGTGAGTGTGTAGATGAGGATGGGGAGGAATAAGACTCTTCTCGACCAGAGTGGGCAATGAAGCCATGTTATATAGATGCCATCGATCTCAAATTCTTTCTCTCCGATACGTATGTTTGACCTTGTCGCCGTGATTGCCGCCGAAATCAAGGACCCCCCGATGCTGGCGTGTCAACACCATCAGCTTCTGGATGCTTATCCTCGACGCCGTTGTGGAGACTGGATCCAGCAGCCTCGCGCGCAGCCCGAGTCCTGACAGCCAAGCCAGCGCGATGCGTCCAGGAATAGTGGAGGCCCACGATAACACTTGCGTGATTTTATCAGGAGATCCAGTGTTTTGTTCTTGTCGTCACTGCTTTCTGGCCCATGCCCGTAGCCTGTAGGGCCAACTGTCTCAGTCAATGATAGTCGTGGACGACCGCTGACCCTGGAAGGACCCTGTCTGCTTGGCTTCCAGCTCAGGGGAGAAAAGAACAGGCAAAAGCTCTGCCAAAGCTGCAGACTGTGCCTCTCTCCCTCCATGAAGAGATACTGATAACTTCTCTATTCGCCTTTGCTGTCCATGGGCCATGGCATATCTGATTCTGAGGCCGCTGACGTGCTGGCGTGGTTGCTGCCGCCCACTTGCTCACCCGCTCTCTCCACGAGGCTCAAAACGGGCCCAAGCCTATCCTGGCCGTGAATAGTCTGATTATGCACCAAGAGCCGCCTACAAGTGAATCACCACAGCAGCGAGATGACGAACGGGTGGGCTTCGAGTCTTCGACTGGTGGATCGGGAGCACGACGCCGACCGGTAAGGCCCTGACTAGCGGGGCCCGCTCTTTGACGTGCGTCCAGTCAGCGGCATTCCAGCGGTGCAATTCTCGAAGGATGGCTGGAAGCCATGTACGTTTACAGAAATTTCGTTGTAGCGCCCGGGAAGAACATGACACGTTATGTTGCTTTGCGTGCGCATTGGAGACATGCGTGTGGCCAGTGAGGGCAGAGGACGCAGGGCCGTGGTGCTGTACTATCTCGAGATTTTCGCTTGTCCAGCCATGGTGGAGGCTGGTGGAGTCGGACGAATACGACGTCATTTGTTTGACTGCTGGATATCCAGGAGAGCGTCACAGTGCAAATGCTGGAAACGAGGCTCAAGGGGATGAATTTTCCTGGGTGCACGACGAGCTCTGTGAATGTCGAGTTGCATCCATGTTGGCTGCGCGGGATGTCGTTCGCGATAAGATCCAAAATAACACTGTGCTACTGTGTTTGAGTGCCTATTCTCGCAGAGCAATACAGTGCGAATGACTCCCCTGCAACTGATGTGCCGTCATTCAGGCACCGGCACCTGCCTGGCGGCGTCCATCGCTTCCCTCGGCAAGAGGCGCTCCACCCCTGGCAACGCCGCGTCGATCCCGCCTTAAAAACTTATCTGCTCCCAATCTCTGCACTCCACTTGGCAGCGTTTCCGCCCCGCTGCCAACCACTCACCACCACTCATCCCTTCACGCACTGACAAGTGAAAAGGCTATCGATAGTCAGAGACGAGAGATACTGCTTCGCGATAGGGGACGCGGGATCCATACTGACGTCAACTCTCGGGATGGGAAGCCACATCCGTCAAAAGAAAGACCAGCGGGCGGTTCGACGCTCCGATAGCTTCGGCGATGGACTATGTTTGGTACAGTACTACGTACGTACGTACGTCCTAGCTGTACCGTAAGCATAGAGGAGGCTCGGTAACCTGGTGGGATACCCATTGGCTCCAGTGTCGGCCCTTTCGAGCACGACTTGTCTCTACAGACTACAAGCACTGCTCAAGTTGACCCCGAGTATGGCCGAGCACGCCTCATCGAAGATGGACTCAACATGAAGAGGTGGACACTTGCACGCGAAGCCTGTCTCAGCTCGTATTGCAGTCCTTGCTTCCAGCCAGCCGACTGGACCTCAAAGCGGCTATCTCGCTATCTCAGGGGACTTCTGCGGTGTATTATCTGCAGCGTCAGATTCATGCTCAAGGGCCAAGGCGTCGAGATAATGCCTAGTTGCAGCCTGCGTTGATCTGCCTCTTGGCTTGCTCACAGGTCTCCAGTCTTTTTTTTTTTTTTTATTCCGCAGGTTCACTGCACATCAAACCATCGGCGTTCCGTGTCCTGAATGCCGCCAGAGTCAGGGCCCTTTTGAGTCCCAACAAGAGGCCGACGGTCGCTTGGCGCGGTGCGCGCGTCATTTCCACCGCCTTTTTGTTGGAATGAGCCGTCCAGTGCAGTGCAACCCGAGGCTGAGATGGTTCAGTCAAGTCAGGCCACGCACATCTTCGGGCCGGCAAACTTCGATCGCGGCGGCCTGCGGATTCCAAACTCTGTCCTTTCAACGTCGACAGAGCCATGAGAAATCACTCTTGGGTTGATCGACGAGGCCGACAACACGTCTCACAAAGGCGGAGAGATTTGGCACAGACATCTGTCTTTGGATCCAACGGCATGAGCGAGCTTTTTGGACTCGCGAGATGCCAAAGAATTCGACATGAGTAGACAGAGGAACGATCACCACGAACACTAGGATCTTCCATCGCCAGACGCCAAAAGAGACCATTTGCTCACGACTCGCAACAACCGTCCGGTATTTGCGTGCCCATCTGGTCTCGTATCTGTGCACTTCACGCCTTTGTCAGACAAGTCATTCACATGCTCTCGCGTTTCTCGTGGCTTGGCGAGCCCACTACTCGAGCAGCAAGGATCGTGCTTAAAACCCTAATAAGGTTCGCAGACGACATTCCTGAGACTACGAATATAGCATAACCACAAATGACCACTACATCAACAGTGCGCAGACTACCTTAGACATGAGGACAGAGCTGCAGCGTCGTCTGAGGCCCACGATAAGAGCGATGCCTGCAATAGGAGAGGCTTTTACGAGAGCATGGCCATGGGACACAATGAGAGGATCCCTCTCTGTCTTGGAAAATCTTCAATCTGCTGAAAATTTGTTCGCAAGGCTCAAATCGTTCATAACAGCTGTTACCCCTTTGTCGTCGGCCGTACACGTTTATCCCAATTCGTCATTTGTATTAGGCTGAATTGGTGCAACACACGAAACCAAGTGAGCACAAACACCATTACCACAGTAAGCCGAGAGACGTGCAAGAACTGCCAACCACGAAATCGCAATCGAAACTTCAACAAGACTAGGCCACTGAAACTTCAGTCATGGCTATGCCTGAAGATTCTGTGTGAACACTGCACATCAACGGGAGCATTCAAGCTGCCGATATCTGGTTTAGGGTAGTCATGCCCCGGAATCAAAGAGCGGCTGACCACCATTACAGAATTTAAACTCAAGGTATCTGTATATACATCTCTCCAATAAACCTAATTTGATACCTTACATGCCTCAGCTTGCGTACACGACACGGAAACACACTACAAAATGCATACAAACTCCAAGCCCATGGGGCTAACCTTCCCAGCATTGGCCCTGGCGCCTTCCCTTTGGCCTGCTGACGGCTCAGAACCTCTGACCCGACGCGTCAGTGGTCGAATGACGTTGATCATCGACGCCACCACCACCACCACCACCAACAAGGTCATCCTTTGCGGTCACGATAGCATGGCCCAAGGAGGCCGTTATTTGAGTTCTCGCAGCGGCTGGTGAATTTCACGGACACACATCGACGCATACTCCCATGCTCTCCGTACTCCTCTTGCCGCTCGCCGTTACTGCACGTCCTCGTCGCGCCAACAGCGTCCACGTCGTCTAGGAGATGGCCAACGCCGCCATGGACCCTTTCACCTCGTTGTACCGCTGCCAGATTGGCGGCGCAGACATTATCTCCTACTCCTACACGGACATGCCTTGGAAGCTGCTGGGATGGGACATTTACTACTTCTTTGTGTACGCGTGGGCGCTGCCCTGGGTGCTCTGGCCCATGTTCACGTACGGCTCCGGGGAGCTGGATGAGCTGTATCCCACGTTCCAGAACCTCTTTTGCGTGTTCATGCACCTGATTTTGGCGATCCTGCAGCTCGGCTTTATCATCGCGCTGCCCTTGACCGTGATTTTACCGGTCTGGGTGGCTACGGGGGGTATTGGCGCCTTCCTGCTGGGCAACTGGCTGCTCTGCAAGCTCCTCAACGGCACGGGGCGCGAGTTCAGCTCCGACGACGTCTTTGCGGCTGAGTTGCCCGAGCACGCTCATGAGCAGTGGGTATTTGTCAATGGCGTGGCCGTCGGGCGACACTGGTTCAAGAACAACCTAAATCGTCTAGCATTGACGTTCAAGCGCCCCGTCCTCGGCATACACAACGAGACACGCGGCATTATCTTTGATGTCTTTGAGTGTCTTCTCCAGCGCAACTTTTCCTATGCGACGACAGATGTGCGCATCACGTACCGCGTGCTCAAGAACATTCTCTACGATCCCAGCAAATCCAAGGTCGTGCTCATACTGCACAGCCAGGGCGGCATCGAAGGCGGTCTGGTTCTGGACTGGCTGTTGCAGGAGTTGCCGCAGGATCTTCTCAGCAAACTGGAGGTGTATACCTTTGGCTGCGCGGCGAATCACTTCAACAACCCGCATCGCCACGCCTTTGCGCAGAACCTTATGAAGGAGCATCCGCGCTCTGCAATCCACACTATGCTCACCGAGACGAGCTTCGCCAGCGAACCTCTAGTCGATGGCCAGAGTGATATGAACGCCAAGGACCCCGGGCAAGAGAGCACCCTGAGTCGGGAGAACTCCTTGTCCAGTTCGCGAACGATGAGCGTGAGTAAAGATCGGGCTATTGGCCACATCGAGCACTACGCGCACTCTACGGACTTTGTCGCCATATGGGGCGTCCTGCACTTTGCCACGAACCGTACCAACTCTCCACAGATCCCACGCTTTCTTGGTCGCCTGTTTGTGCAGTCGACCGGCGGCGGGGGCCACCAGCTCAACCAGCATTATCTCGACGGCATGTTTCCTCTCAAGAGGAATGACAAGGGGGAGTTCACCGGCGTGGAGGAGGAGAACAACGAGTTCATGAACGAGGTCGTCAGGCTGGGCGAGGAAGGGGCCGCCATGAAGAACATACGCGAGGCGTTTGACATAACGTACGCTGGCACGGATGGATTTGGCACCGGGGAGAGTAGCGAACCTGTGGAGGTGCACGGCGTTGAGCACGGGAAGCGAAGTATTGTCAAGAGGAAGGAGGTGAGGGTGAAGGATCTCAGTCGGCTGTGGTTGTACCGCGACGGGAAGAGTCCCAAGGGCGAGATGCCACCCATGTTGGTCGGCGAGTATGGCGTGGCTAGGAACGCGACCATGTGAGCTTGTCAAGAGGAGGGAGCTTGGGGTACATGACGCTGTCGTCGTGCTAATAGCCTGCGTAGTACGTGTCTGTTTTTGAAATCATAAGCTCATTGAGTCATTGCATTAGTAGATCTTTGCATCAATGCCTACCGTCGTCTGCCATCACTGATCAGGCATAGACCACCCTGTTAGCATGTCCATGGGCGCTAACTGCGTACCGCATCTTCTCATCAAAGCTAAGCTGGCCTTCATGAACATTGGTAATAATGCGCCCCTTTCTTAATGATACTTGAGCAAAAGCAAGGGCAACAAGCGTAACTCAGCTTGAAGCCCGCAGAGATGTAGCAATCTGCATCGGCATGCACAAATTAATTATACATGGTCCCCAGTCCCCACAGAAGAATGGCGGGCAGGAAAAGGGGACCCAATCAGCCTCCCCCACTAGCCTCTGTGGCGTGCCACTGGCGCTTGACCGCCCGCTCGGCAACCCCTGAACCCGGCATGGCATGGCGCAACTGGACGAACCCCAGGCGAAATGATTAATTTATCAATGATTCACCTGGGAGGTCGACACTCACTTCTCTACGGTCTATCAGGGGTAGATTAACGCAGGAAAGACATTCATTTCGATAGTGCAGCCTCATCGCTTCTTTTCCCAGTACAGATACATAAAGAGGATTGCTTTATGAACGTGATTGCCATTGCTTTCAGGCTTCAGTGTCTGTCTGCCAATCCCCCCAGAAAGACCCTGAGACTTGCACGTGTCAGGTCTGGCGTACGTTTCATGTCACAGAGGGAGGCGATTCGATAATCATCAAGTCCATCACGCAGGGGCACGAACACCTTTAATTCTCCTTACTAGTACATTGTACAAAGGTCGACGACGCCTCCTGTTGTCCCACGTTGTCCTGTCTAGTGTCGTCGACGTCTTTGCACAATTCGAGGGGGACCCACGGGGCACGCACCCCCCAACGAGTGAGACGTCCCCAATGCAAGGCCGCCTGCGCACCTTCCGTCAACACTAGTCCATCCGTAAGGTAGCCTGACTCGGAGCCTGAGAGACATCGCTCCACAAGGCACCAGGCACAGCACAGGCACGTCCATCACTATCACACGGGAGGGTTAGACAGCCAGCGAGCCAGCCGCCATTCGACGCAGCCGCGATGGCCTCTCGCGTCCGAGACTCGCACGACTTGTCGCTGTCACCGCGCAGTGTGACGCGCGACTCTTTGGTCACCAACATGCTCATGTCCCTCGATCAATTCTCTTCCACGCAGACCACCAGCAGCGGCAGCAACGCCCACGACGCGCCCCAGTACGAGGACGACGACGACTCGCCGCGGTTTTTCGACATTCCTCGCTACCGATCCAACAACAACATCACCGCACAGGCCAACAATTGGCAGCAGGGCCACGGCCCCTCGTACAGCTCCGACATGGACGCGGACGATGCCAGCCGACCGTCGAACCAAATCTCCCGCGGACGACGAAGCAACAGCAGCACGACCCACAACGAAGCCTACGCGCGCCTGAACAGTGGCCGCCCGCCGCCTTCACGAAGCAATCATGCCAGGGGCGGGCGCGGCAGCAAGAGTAGTAGCATCACAAGCCTTGAGCAGCCACAGGCGAGCAGCGCCAAGTTGCGCCACGCACCCAATCGTTCCGCCAGCTTTGACAACAGCCTGCCGCAATCCAAACTGCAGGTCTACCCTCAGCTCGAGGACGTGCCCCAGTCGCCCTTTCGCTCCGACTTTATCAACAGCTTCCTCACGGAGGACTTTGACGCCGCCCCGACACCGACTATACCGGGAGGGCCTCGACGGGAGCCATCCGGCCTCGAGGACCGACCGCGCAACCGTAGCACGAGCCGGTCCGTCAAGAGCTCATCGGGACGCGGCAAGGCGCAAACACGGGAGCCCGCACCTCCCATGCCCTCCAAGGCAGCCGCCATCATGGATCTCGACGCCGCCCCAGCCCCTAACGTTGGCTATGGCAAGTCCAAGGAGCCGCCGGCTAGCAGCAGCGCGCAGAGCCCGTCGGCACCCACCGCGGCGGCGGCGCCCAAGGAGAAGCCAGGGTTCTTCAAAAGAGTGTTTGGTGGCGGTTTCGGCGGGGGATCAAGCAGCCCCGATCCCGTCCAGCAGCCCACGACCGGATCGACACCCCCATCACGCGATCGTGACATGCCCTCGTCGCACTCGAACCACCCGCCGTTGCAGAAGAAGTCGTCCTCGTTCTTTCGTCGCCGCAAGAAGTCTGTGGCCGACGAGACAGCGCCCGCCTCGGACGCGCCGCCCGTTCCTCCCATCGCTGCTGCCAACCTCAATCTGCAAAACGTCGCGCCTAGCCCCGCTGGTAGTCTACGCCAGGCTATGGACCCGTACCTCCACGAAGCGCCTGGGACACCCGCAGAGAAGAAGCAGCACCCAGAGTACCAGCGCGAGTTCTCGCCCGACTACGAGCCGAGTCCGAACGCCCGCATACGAAAGGTGCCCTCGCTGGAGCTCGATACGCCTTCCAAGACACCCACCAGGGACAACTCGTTCCTGGATCTGGATTGCGGGAGCGATAACGAGGTGCTGACGCCCAAGGTGAAGAAATCCAAGGACGACACGATCCGGCCCAGGAAGAAGAAGTCCTCGAGGCGATTGCCGATTCAAAACATCCAGACAGGGAACAGCTCCTCGCTGTCGCTACCCAAGGAGGGCACAAAGGGCAGCGCCTCGCCGAGGTCGCCCGCCAGCATCGCACCAGACGTGAAGATCGACGGACCCATGGGCGAGCTGGACGAGCCCATCTTTGTGATTGGGGAGCCTACCGAAGACGACAGGCAGAAGGCACAGCAGATCTACGACGGCAACGAAGATTTCATTTCGCAGGAGAAGGCGGCTGCGTGGATGGGCGAGGAGGGGCCAATCCGGCAGCGCACCCTGCAGGCGTACATGGAGCTGTACGACTTTGTCGACAAGAGCATCGTGTGGTCACTGAGGCAGGTCTGTCTACGACTAGTGTTCCGCGCCGAGACGCAGCAGATGGACCGGATTCTGGTCGCCTTCTCTAAGCGGTGGTGTCACTGCAACCCGAACCACGGCTTCAAGGCGACGGACGTGATCCACACGATCTGCTACTCGATCATGCTTCTCAACACTGATCTACACATGGCCGACATTGAACAGAACATGACGCGCAGCCAGTTCGTCAAGAATACCATGGGCACCATCACGCAGGCTGTCCTTGAGGCAGCACCAGATGCCTTTGAGCGCCGTCCAAGTATCTTGGCGGACAAGAACTCCATGCTGAGCCCGGATGAACCCAGCACGCCTACGCCTACCGAGGAGCGAAAGTCTTTCCGCAACTCTTTCCGACCCCCGCCCCGGATCGATTCGCAGGGCGTCATGGAGGGTGTGGAGGACTGCGGCCCGTTGGTCAAGTCGCCGCACCACGGATCGCAGAAGAGCTGGGAGGAGCTCGTGGAGCTCGTGCTCAAGGGTATCTACTCGTCCATCCGCGACGAGAAACTGCCCCTGTTCGGCGCGGACCCCACCAAGCCCATGGCAGCGCCTCCCGCGCAGCTGTCCGTCATGGGGATGCTCAAGCGGACGCCTAGCGTGCTGAGCAAGGCTCCCTCCGAGGGCAATCTGTCAAGCCGTGGCCGCGTGACGGAGAGTCGGGGCACCGCCTCGCGCTGGACGTCCAAAAGTCGCTCACGGCCAGGCCTCGGCCGGAATGGGTTCAACTCTAGCCGCACTAGTTTTGAGGATGGGAGCTCCATATGGAGCCCGAACCTGTCCTCGGCCACCTGGAGTCGGCAGTCCCTGGGCCGTACGCAGGCCTCTGCGTCGCAAGACTCGTTCGGATCGGCCATGCCCCGCGGTGATTACCAGGCGTCCATTGGGTTTGCCAACGCTCTGAGCCAGGCCATCATCCGCGATGAGGAAGCGTACGGTGACGGCTCGCCCTCGGTTCTCAGTGCTGATCTGTCCGCCACGCAGTTGCTGGAGGATGAGTCATTGGAACTCATGGGACCGCCCTGGATGAAGGAGGGTCTTGTCATCCACAAGCACCACCTTGATGGCGTTGACAAGAAGGCTAGGGAGCGCAACTGGTCCGAGGTCTTTGTCGTCATCCAAAAGGGGCAGATGAGTCTCTTTTCTTTCACATCGACCAAGTCACAGCGCCAAAAGAGTCGGTCGAGGGCGGCTGGTCCCGTGGGTGGCGGCAACTGGCAGGACAATGCTACGACGGTTGGTTCATTCAGTCTCCGACAAACACTTGCCTCCGCGCTGCCGCCGCCCGGATACTCGAGGACGAGGCCTCACGTGTGGGCGCTGAGCCTGCCCACGGGCGCAGTCCACCTGTTCCAAGTGGGCACGCCCGAGCTGATCAAGGAGTTTGTCACGACGGCCAACTACTGGAGCGCACGCCAGAGCACGCACCCTCTCGTGGGCGGCATCAGCAATATAGAGTATGGCTGGAGCGGTGCCATTGTGAACAATGCGTTGGTCAGTGCCATCAACGAACCACGCCCGCCTCGTCCTGGCAGCAGCGCCGCGCATGGCCGCAAATCGAGTGTCAGCAGCTTCCGATCCGCGAGTATCGACCAGGCCACTGCCGCCTTCACACACGCCACGGGACGAGGCAAGCTGCCTGGCGACAGGATCCACATCTCCGACTGGACGCCGCCGTCTCAGTCCCTCCGCCCCTCCAACGCAGGCGAGGCCGACCAGCTGGCCACGCTGCAGGCGTACGTCAAGAGCATCGAGGACGACCTCCAGGCGCATAACCAGCTCCGGAGTCCGATGCTTCTTGCCTTCACGCCCCGGGGCCACAATGCCATCAAGGCCATGGCCAACTGGGAGCGCAAGAGCGCGTATCTGCTGCGCGAGATTGTCAAGTTCCGGACCTATGTGGACTGTCTGCAGCAGGCGGACACGCGCAAGCAGCAAGTCTACGCCGAGAGGGACCTGGCGCACCGTGCAGCGCGGGGTGAGCTGTCGGATGGTGACATGGACGTGAGCGGTGGTGAGGAGGAGCATGAGGAGGACGAGGCGGCTGATGATACGCTTAGGGCGTGAAGGGGGGTGGAGGGCTTGTCTGTATGACTGACGATTGGCATTGCGGTGGAGTTTTTGCATGTGGTATGACCCTTTCCTTTCTCCTTTCTTCCATAGCGTTCTGAATCGATGAGAACTTGAAGCTTGTTCGTCCAGTGAGGCGGCTCTAGGAAGGTTTATTCCTACGCTGCGAGAGGGGCTGGGTGGCTACCCTGTACCGATGCTGGCCAAGACATGAATGGATGGTTTTCCATTCATCCTTTGATGTGAGAGATAATACAATGCTTCCAAGTGGAACTACAATTTTCGTTGTTCATGATGTCCGGTTTTGAAAGGGGGGAATTGTGGTTGGCTGTGTGTTGTGCCTATGGACACCACGACACGATGGTTCATCGACACTTGTTCACGCAGGACTCAACCCATGCTACAGACTACTAACAATGGCAGGGCCGCTCTTCTGCAATCGTAGAAGCAGAGTCTTGGGCAGGAGTGTCAAGGATTGTAGTTGTTGCAAAGATCTGTTTCCAGTGGAAGTTTCGCCGTTGCCTGATATCAAATTATATGAACACTGGTGACAGTTCATCATCTACACGAGCAACGGAGACCATGGCAGGGGATGTACAAGAAAGAATGCTGGGAGACTGAAGGATTGCACATCACGGATCACAACGTGTCCTTTGGCTCGGAACAGGCGGAAGGAAAGCAGGTTCAACGACATTGGCACGCACACACGCATCCACGCCTGGTCCATCCAGACACGTTGCGCGCAGGAGTGATTGCAATCAGCCGGGACATGAGTTCTGAAATCAATACTCTCGCACGCTTTTGCAATATCCAAGCCAATCACAGCTCCTTGCTCTGGAATTGCTGAATTGTTACATGGCTAGTGAACTTTGCATCCATAGACACCGAGACTACGTGGTGTCGTTGCAGCGGATCAGTCGCATTTTGCGGCAGCATAGCTGAATTCTCGCACTGCTGAATTATCTCATTGGTCAGTAAATGGTTGTCCAAAGGACTGGACGTGCGTGTGCGTCTCCTCAGACCATACACGTTGGGTTCAGCGAGAAGTGTGAAATTGACTACTCGAACCTACGATGCACCCCCTTGACTCACCACCCTTTGCGCAATCACTCGCAGCCAGCCGCAGGCCTCGAAACGAATAAATACTGAGAGGCCCCCTCTATAGAGTAGTCAAGGAACTTTGCTCACTCTGCAAGCTACATACTACTACTGAGAACACGTAAGCCCGTGGCCAAGCTGCTGCTCATCATCAACTACACTCCCAATCTATACTCGGGATTCAATCGACGAGAACATGAAGTACATGAAGTACATGCCGTACAAGTTAATGGGACCTACCATCCCGACCCAGCACTATGTCGTTCAAGGTGAACCTGGCAAGCCCACGGCGTTGATAGCCGTCCCTGAGCCGCGCCGTCTGCGGCCTCCTCTGCCTCCCCTGTCACCAGAGGAGAAGGGCATTCTGGCTCCGCTGAAGACGGACCACAATGGGTTCATTAAAACCAGACGTCGGGCTCACTTTGGCGCGCCCAACAACCCATTCCCTATTGCTCACTTGATGACGACACCCACTGGTGCTACTACTACACCGGGTGTTGCCACGGGGTCTTCTGCTACGCCGAGCACTGGTGCTTTTGATACACCATCTCGTGGTGGCACCACGGCCAGAACGGCACGTGGTCGCCCGCGAAGCAATGCAGTCTCTATTCCCTCATGGGTCACACACCCTCAGGGCGAGGCACCACCTCATGCTACCACCACTGCCAGAACGGCACGTGGTCGCCCGCGGGCAAACGCAGTCTCTTTGCCCAGAGGAGACATTCCCCCTCAGCACGAGTCTGAAGAATTGACTGCTGCGGAGTGGAGGATGCGCGTCAGACTGGCGGCCATCCGTGAGCGTCACCGACTTGAAAGGCCCGTCACGCCGCCCCCTGCCATTGTCATACCTGTGTACACTACAGAGAACCTGGACTGGCAGGGCTACTCGCGCCGTGACGGTGCCAATGGGACCTCACTCCAAGCGCAAGTGGAAGCATCGTGGAGAGTGTTCGATGAGTACATGGCCAGCATTCAACAGTAGCTGAGCGTTTTTTTCATTCTCATGAAAACGCGTGTTCTTTTACTTTCAAGGACATGGAGACTTGAACTTTTTCTTTTTTTTCTTTCTGTTCTGTTCTTTCTCCTCAGCGGCTTGGTTTTCATGTCTCTCGAACGGTGCTCTTCTCCTTTTTCAGCGATGCTTCTGCGACACTTCATTTCTTTTCTGCTTTTCAGCTACACAGCGCTTTGGTTTTCTTGGTTTTCTCAGCGGCATTTCTTTCTTCAGCGACATTGTTTTTTTTCAGCGGCATTGAGTGGTGGTTATTTGGTTTCTTCAGCGTGAGCCTTTGTGCTCTTGGCGATTGTTATTTTGGGTCTTGTTGGAGCTTCGCGTTTTGGTCTTCATATACCAATATCACCAGCGTTCTTCATCTTTCACTTACATGCAACTGTGTGACTGGTGACTCTCATGCAAGTGTAACTCTGTCCTCTGCATCGCACGGCTTGGGTTGCCCATCCACGTGGCCCCAACGGTCTGTGGCAAGCTTTGTTGGAAGCTCAATGCGTCGTGGTTTACTCAGACTCAGGCGCTAGGCTTCAAAATTCAAGGATCCACGCACAAGCTTCGACATAATCTCATTGAGCCTCGAACCTAGTTCTTACATCACATTGACTTTCATGGGACACCCTGATAAGCTTTGCCACGCGTCACCGCCTCACGCTGCCACCCTCGTTTCCACGTGCTCGGCACTGGCACGTGTGCTCCTCTTCTTCACCTCGTCGAAAGCCTTCTGCTGGTTCTCCATACTCGTGGCCATCATGATACTCCTCATATCATCGTCACAGAACGGCACATGGTCCCTAAAGTAGTGCTTCGTACCGTGAATCTCCACGGCAAGGCCATAATCCTCGCCAGCAGCCACCTTTCTCCCCGTCACGTCTTGCATGGCACCACCGTCCGCCAGCATCTTGACAGTCGAAGCAATCTTGTCCACCGGCGTAAAGTACTTGTCGGGAAACGTGTTCCATTCTGAGTCGAGGAGCAAGTTTGTCCTCACGGTGCCGGGACAGATGGCGTGGATCTTAATGCCGTCGTTGTGGTGCAGGGGAAAGGCTAAACTGCGCACGAGGTTGACGACACCGGCTTTGGACGCGGCATACACGGGCGTATACTGGCTGGGATACTACCAAAAGTCAATCAAGGTTCGTCCAGCCATTCAAGGGTCCAAATAAACTTAAACTTACCAGGCCACCACAGCTGGCTGTCGCGACAATCGTGGCATTCTTTCCCTTGTGGGGGCTCAGGCGCATGTAGTGCATGGCCAGATACGTGGTTGTCACCACAGCGTTCATGTTGACGTCGAGCGTGGCCATGTTGGGCGCAGGCGGCGGCTCGCTGCCCTTTGTCTCTGCCTTTTCGTAGAACGAGTGGCGCTCAACAATGCCGGCGTTGGCAAAGACAAAGTCAAGACAGCCTTCGGCGTCAAACACCTTTTGGAAGGCCTTGGACAGGGACTCGTAGTCTGTGACATTGACCTGGTGGAACTCTGCACCAGGGACACTCTGCAGGGCTGCCTCGCCAGCCTTGGGGTTGAGGTCGAATAGATGAAGCTTCCAGTTGCCAGTTGCTTGTAGAACTTTGGCGGTCTCGAGGCCCATGCCCGAGGCGCCCCCTGTGATTAAAGCCACTTTCTTTGCCATTGTGTTAGCTTAATTTCAATTAATGGTTGTTTGACAGCCATATTACCGTATCTCAGGGCCGCTGCCAATTATACACGATTTGGGAAAGGAGAATGATAGCCAAGGCCCCGCGAGCTACCCCAGACCTCGGAAACGGGAACGCGAGGATCGAGTGGGGATCGTGGCAAGCCACGGAAAAGGGGATCCAGAGTTCCTTGCTCAGGCAATGATACAACTTGCATTTCAATTGAACATGGCACGAATGCTCTGAGTGACACTACAGTGCAGCCACGACGGCAAGGATCGCTAGTCCCATCGACGCACCCAGCATCAGACTCCCATCATCAGGGTCTTCATCCTTAGGCGGCGCCTCTGGCTCCCCCGTGCTTTCATCGCCAGACGCCGTCGTCGTAGACGACTCATACCATCTATCGCTCATCGGTGGCATGGTCCCGCTCGGGACAGAAGGTGTCAACATGTCCGCCGGCTTGCCCTTGCATCCACTGACCTGCACATCCTCCCACGCCCTAAAGTGCTCATCGTAGAAGTACTCGACACGATTTTCAATCTCGCGACAGCCACCAGCGTAGTCTTCAATCTCCACGCGATGGATGGTTGCCGTGAAAGGCGCCGAGTCCCATGATGGCTGGCCCCCTCCCCAGGTGACCAGACCAGGATCATCCGACGACGTGATCGTCCACAGGCGCAGGGCCACAAACATGGGTGTCTGTGGCCATTTGCTCCTGGGGATCTGGCCCACGCGCCAGGTCTTGACGTCAACGTCATCGATGCTGAAGACGAGTGTCTCATCCGTCCATTCTATACCGTAGACATGCGTGTCCGTGATGGTCGTGTTCATGGCGTATGTGGTGTTGTACGTGTTGGGCACAGCATCGCCGTCGTGGAAGTAGTTTGTCTGCGCCTCCTTATCGGACGCACCCAGCAGCTCCTATCGTCATCAGCATCCGACTATGAGGAGGTAATGCGCGCCAACTCACCCAGTCAATCTCGTCGCCAGAGTCAGATTTGAGCACGAGCGCGGTCACGATGCCCTGTCCAGCAGCAGCCTCGACCTCAAACGTCACCTTGCCAAAGAAGAGGTACTGCCTTGACGACACCCATGCCTCCTGGCCTTCCTTTTCGACTTTGATTTCGAGCGCCTTGTCGTCGTCATGGAATTTGACGAGGTCCTCGTCCTTGATCACCCATGTGTTGTCAGGGCTGTTGTCCCACGACGAGGAGGAGCTGAAATCAAACGCCACAGCGCCGGCAAAACCTGGATCGGGAGGGCAGTCTGCACGTATTAGTACAGGATCATCCCTATCGAGGGGAAATAAAAAGAAGAAGACTCACGCTCATCCTTGCGGGTAGGATCGCATTGGCTGCGATCTTCATCAACGGCCCACGCGCAAGAAGCGCAAAGCGCAACGAAGAGATACGGAGAATACATGGTGTCGAAATAATCTACTGCCATCTGTCAAGATCAAACGTAGGCTCACCGCTGCCTACATATACCGAGACGCAAACGCACTGAATCACCATCACACGTTTGCGTTTCCTGCACCATCCCGAGGGACACAACACTCATCGCCACGACAGCAGGGCGTCGAATCAAGTTTCGCCAAGATGACACAACATCGAAAAAAAAAAAGGATCATGGGTATGTCATTGAAACAGGAGATCGCAGAAACAAACACTGTCCCGATTCAGACGTCATGTCACCACCACCATCACCACCACCATCGCTCAGCACCGACCCAGCATCTCCTCCAGAGCAGCCTGCTCCGACGAGCTCACAGTCAGGTCATAAGTACTCTTCACCTGGATCCACGCGGCCGCATACTTGCAGTGGATGTTTGTCTGGGGAGGCTGCCACTCGTCGGGCGCATCCGACCCCTTTTGCGAGTTGGTCGTGCCGGTGACAGCCCACAGCTGGGGACCGTCCACGTCGTTGGCAAAGGCCTCGCGTTCCGCTGTGGTCCATTCAGAGGCACCAGTCTGTTCGGGCATCAGGTTAGCCGGGGGGAGACAAAATGGATGTTTGCTCGTATCTGTGCGACGATGAAACGTACCATCCACGCGTTGTGCAGGGGCACAAGGTGATCAATGGACACATCACTGGGCACGCTGTGCGTCTCGCCGTCAAAGGGGCACGTCCAGGTGCCGGCGGTAGGGTAGCAGTCGTTGCCCACCGTTACGCCGTCGCCGTCGCGGCGGAGCACGAACTCGCGTGCGTTGCAGTTGCCCTCGACCGCGGACCAGTGAGGGAACAGGTCGCGGTCATAGGTGCCGTCGTTGACGGTCGGGGCCACCGTCAGGCTGCTCAGGAGGGAGCGCGCAGTCGACTCGCTGGGGATGCCCGGGGGGATGGCGACGACCGCGATGGCGGAGGAGAGAACGGCAGCGAGGACAGCCTTCATGGTAACAGACGATGAGGAGGACGATAAGGAGGAGGTAGTGATGGAGGATGGCAGCGCGCAAACCAACTCACAGCGAGAGATATGCCCATCTACTTATCTGCCTCGTCGTCCAGCTCACGCCCACACCGCACCTTACTATTCGGCTACACGTCCGTTCAACCTTCCCTTCTGGAAGCAGGACCGCGAACTGATCCGCGCATGCAATGAGTACCCTGTGTGCCCGCGTGCCATCATCATTGGTGTACGTGCAAGTCCCGAATCACTCCCCACAACGGCAAGTGATTCAGATGGAGCCAGTCACGACGCCTGACGTGGGCACAATTCCGCAGCTGAAACGATTCGAATGGGAAACTGGTCGCGGACACTATCAATAAGCATACTGCTTCGGCATCCATGTGCTGCTGAGTGCCGATCAGGGGTGGGGGATACATCATTTGCCTTCCTATTCGAGTAGCTGCCAAGCGCCCGGCTTTATGCTTCTCGGTACGCTAATTGATACCTGGCGATAAATATCTCAGATTGCGGTACCAGAGGACCATCACGTGGTGCAGGCCCATCCGTGAATGGCACGTGTGAATAAGCGGGCGGGCGACCTGAAGGAGAGACAAGTGGTGCGTATCGATTCATGGCCAAAGCTGTCCTGTCCTGTCCTATCCTATCCTATCCCGGGTATTATGCTCCCAAACAACGCCGCGCAATGCCAACTTAGCCCTCAATGCGGAATACCTCCCGCGAAATCACTCGGTCAATCGCTTGCTCCTTGCTCTCGCCCTGCGTGTGGTATCCCCAGAACACGTCCCCCGCCATCACCCTTGTCCTGTTTCTGTACTCAGGCGTCGTCCTCACTCGCAGTGTCGTTCGGGGCGACAGTGAGCGAGGTCGCTCCTAGAGCTCCTTCACCATCGTCCGCTTGGGCACCTCCACCCACTTCTCCTTGTCGCTGTCCCGCACGTAGCAAAGGTAGTAGGGTTCCCCCTTGGTGTTGAGCTCCGACAGCACCTGTTCCGTCGACTCCTTGACCTCCACCGTCTCGTCGTTGTAGTGCCGCCACAGCCCGTCCTCGAAATCGTAGATCCACACCCAGTAGTGGCCAGACGCTGCCTGGCCTCTGTGGCAGATCACCGCTTCAAGCCGATAGACGTTCTCGCTCGCCCCAGCATATAGACCGTCGAGCTCCGCCGCAAGCTCCTGTCCCTCTGCTTGGATCATGCCGTTGAGCTCGTTCTCTGCGGCAGCCAGATCTTCTGGCGGCGCAGGCCGCTCCTTGCTTCCCACGCCCTCATGGTTGACTATCATAAAGTCTTCTTCCACAGGTCCATCAAAAGTCCAATCCTCTTCCGGTTCGTCCCCCATATCAGCGTCTTCAGACGATTCGACGCTCGCGACTGCGGCAGACAAGAGAGCAGCGCTACCCTCGTTGGACTTGACTGTTTGATTCAGGGTCCTGTTGACGTCCTGCAGTCTTTGCGATAGGGCCCACCCTTTGGAGCGGCGTGTGAACTCCTCCGAGTCATGCTGTGCGTCCATGAACTGGTCCAGTGATAGCTTTTCTGGGATGACAACAGGGTGCATATTCTTGGTGCCATTCGACTGCGTGCGCTGGATCAGGACGTGCAGGACCGGCGGCAGTTGGCGGATCGCAGTGTAGCGCAACAGGCGGCTGTCCTCGAGAACCTGCAGATCAAAGTTGCGACCCAACGCCTCCTCGAGCGAGCACGATCCATCCGCAGCGGGGAAGGCAGTGATCGATCTGTCGTAGCTAACCTCGGTCTGGTAAGCGGTGTCGTCAAACTTCTTGGTGTAGTTGACCGTCGTCAGGAAGAAAGTCTCGATAATCTTCTCCAGCTGGATGCCTGTCGCTTCGTCTACCCCGGTCGGGCGGATGGCGGCTTGCAGGCGGTTGATCATCCGGCCAATGACCTCCTCTGCATCCTGCTGTTCGGTGCCAGAGCTGCGCTTCTGCACCTCCAGCGCCTTTTGAACCTTTTCCTCAATGGATGGTTCGACGTCCTCCATGACGGCGTCCTCCATAGCATCCTCCGCATGTGTAACCTCGGGCCTGCTCTCATCGTCCACCGCAGTGGACGCATTGCTCGCAGCTTCTTGGCCGTCTGCTGTGCCCATTGGCACGTCGTGGGCGGGTGAGGCAGGCGACGGCCGCGCGGGCAACGGAGGCGCCTTGGCTTCAGCTTCGCTGTGCGCGCCCTGGAGCAGGTCATTAGTATCCAACAAGACGGCGTTCGCTAGGCGCTGCGTTGGTTTCTGTGCCTTCTTGTCGGACGCCACCAAACTCTCGAAAAGGGCACCGAGCTCCTTGACAAAGACTTGCGACACGACGGCTTCGGCGCGATCCAGCTTCATCTTGTTGGCGCCGAGCCTACGCTCCTCCAGCGTTTTGTCGTCCATATCAAGCTGATACGCCTCGTAATTTGTCACAATGTCGCGTACTGGTTTGACAGTGAAGAGATACTGCAGCAGGCTGTTCAGATAGCACGTGTTGCCAATGTTGCTCAGGCCAACCGGCAATCCAATATCGCCCGGCTGCTCCCAGATGGGCACATTCGAGCTGGTGCCCGAGGCATGCACGCTGTTCATACGCAACCACCGGTCCCTAATCAAAGGGTCGTCGTGGTCAGAGACCAGGGTCTGGATGGCCTGAAGCAGCGCTGGCTTAGCCCTGGGGTCCTCGGCCTTCTCCAAGAGACGCTCCGCAGCGCCCAACCACTGAATCGGCGTGGCAGCATCCGAACAGCCCAGTACGGCCATTGCCGTGTCAGCCGTCATGCTCTCGCCGCCTCCTTCCACAACCAGCCTCAGCTGCATGTCTTCCTTCTGGCAGTCCGTAGCAAGCGCCATCAAAGCCTCGCGCAAGTCTGAAATGCGAGCCGGGTCTTCGAAAAGCTTCTGCCGATAGGCGGCCATAATCTCGCCATAGTCATATATGTTGGGAGGCGGCAGCCCCAAGAGCGCCAAAGCCTTGCCGACAGGGCTGCCAGGACTGGCCACTGCCCCATAGACAGAGTCCTGCGTGGCAGCGTATTCGGCCAGGGCATCGTCAGGGTGGTGTTGGGCGATCAAAGCCAGCGCAACAATCATTTCCTGTCTCCTAGCGGGTAGCAGATTCCACTGCTGGAAATACGCGTTGACAATGGCAATTTGATGGAGACCGGGGACCACGCCAATGAGCTGGTGGCTGTGGCTCTGGACCAGCTCATTGTCTCCCAGGTTCAGGATCTCTTCCACGCCAAGGAGCTCGTGTATCAAGGCATTGACAAACTGCGGCTTCTGGGCCTCGTCAAAGGTCACGCCTTTTTTGTGTATCAGAGCCTGGACCTCGGACCGCGCGTCTTCAATGAATGCGCGCCTAGAGCCTATCTCGGTAGGACCCCACGCATCCGCCGGGCGTGGTGGGTATTCGGATATGAAGGATCCCTCGTCTACACCGTTTTCTGTAAGCGTGACCTCCTCTGCAAACCCCAGGTACCGAAACAAATCAAAACAGCGTGGACCAAACACCACGGCAAATCGCTTGTTACGCTTTGATATCGTCTTTTGTTTGTCGGGTGGGTCCTCAAGCATGTTACGCAAGTACGTGTTGAGATTTAGCGGCGCCTGCTTTGCCCATTCGTCCGTAGCGACCTGGTATCTTTCCGGTTCGTTCTGTCTGGCGGTGTTGAGCGCCTTGAGGATTGTGTCTTCGTCCTGCAGCAGCTCCAACATGTCTGTGCTCAAGCGAGGCTCGCACACATCGACCGTCACTGTAAATGTACACTGCGCAGCGGTGCAGGCAAACGTCTCCCGGCTGACGACGTTGCTGCCGTCTTGTCTTTCTGCGTCGATGATGTTCTCGGGCTCGGTACCGGCATAGGCGAGGTGATGGAAGCACGGTCTGTCCTCGAAGGGTACCCATTCCGCGTGGGCTTTGCTACAGAGCGTGCTGGCATGCGCTTGTTGCCATGAGGTGCGGATGATGAAGTGGAAGTGGCAGTCCAAACATAGCGTCGAAGTGATTGTATGAGTGGCCCAGCGATGGCTTTGTTTGCCGCTGTTGACGAGTCGATGCGCGTGAGAGGTATCGAACGGTACGGGCAGCTGACCGCCTTTGGCTCGGTCGACGAGGTCGCACGTCATGAAATCATTGTTGAGCAGATCGTAGACCCATCGACTCGGGTGGCAGCCTGTCTCATTAGCGAAAATCAGCGTGGAAGGCGAGGATTCGTACCGACAGGGTCGAGTCGAGTCTGCGCTCGATCCTTCTCAGGCGTCGAGATGCGATGGGGGCGACTGCATGCCGTCCATGGTAGCTTGCCGTATCTGGCTTCAAGGTCCTGGCCCCGGGATCGCAAGTTGTAGTTGCCGTTCATAGTGATGACGATAACATGCAGAAAAACAACATGCGAAGGCAAAAAAATAGAAACACTCTGTGATTATGGGAGAGAGGTAGATGCAAAGGAGAATGCGCACCCAGCCCGTTCTGAATGTGGCTCGGGGCAAGCTGACGTTGCCTCGCCTGTCGTTCTTGGAACTGGGACTTGGGAGGCCGAAGCTTGACAGTGACGTCCAGGCGTCAGAGGACAAAGCAGAGGCAGGCGCAGCCTGGCTTGGCGGGGAGGATTACTAAGGGGATTCACGTCAACCCCGAAATAGACTGCGGTGGCAGGGAGTGGCCTACCCTACGTCTGACCTCGCCAAGCATCTTCGCGTTCATGGACCGATCCATCTGCATTGATTGAATACGCCATGCGCACTTGAATCCCTTCACGCTACTTGGAGGCTCATCTTCTCATGGAATCTAATCGGATCCGACATCCTGGATTCCTATTCCGTACGAAATAATGATTGTTCCGGACCTTTTCTCGGCCCTGCGCGGACACAGTTCCAACTCACCCCCCTTGGATGGCATTGCACCGACGTCTTCAGAACCTGCAATGGGAACCACAGTCCAGGGATCGTGGGAAGTTACATTGAGAGATCCTCGGACTGGACTGTAATAGGTACAAGGCTCGAAGGCAGATGTCGAACTGAATCCAGGCTTGTACGCTGGAAACTCAGCAAGCATGCTTTCTCCTGAGCATCTCAAGTCATCAACAAACAACGCAGCCTCGTTCATCCCATATTGGAAGCACCGCCTATCCAATTGAATCAACATAAAGAGCCAATCGGACTTGGTTGAGAGCCAGAACCAATCTCACCTATAAATCTCCCTCGGATCTCTGCTTTTCCTGCTCCCTCTTCCTTCTCTCATCAACATTCACCCCTCCACCCACCATGGCGTTGTACTCCATCATGGTGGACGCACAACCAAAGAACTACTTGTCGCGCATGCCAGAAGAGATAAAGCGCCTCATCGCCGACCACCTTCCAAATGGTGACCTTCTTCGACTAGCACGCGTCAGCCACATCATGCAACACCAAGCGCTGTTCGTGCTTTACTTTCGAGATGCCACCCAGGGCACATCGGAAGCCATCAAATTCGCCGTGGTGCGCAGCTGTTTGGCGCCGGCAGGCAAAAAAAAGAAGGCAGTCACGAAATCCTGCCGAAATATATTTGAGCGCTCCCTTCGACTGGGCGCCAACGTCAATACCATTCATGTCAGGGGCTCCAGTCGTGCCACGGCACTGGCTGTGGCTGCCGCCTTCAAGAATGGATTGTTCTGGGTCCGAAGATTGCTCGCCGCCGGTGCGGATCGAACAATCGTTTCCAAGAATCTGCTAGCCATGCCGGGGCTGGAAGGCCTGCGTGGCAAATGGAAGGAGCAATGTCGAAAGATCGACAGTCCACGCATGGTGGATAAAGTGCTTCGAGGTCAAACAGAATGGCTGCCCCTTTGTGTACCGGCCGTGATGAGGTACGATGAAATCTGCAACGTTCTGTGTGAAGATGAAAAGTCCTCGCCATACCTTACTGTGCCATACGATGCCGTCGACACCCACAGACTCACCATCTTGCATACTTATGCATGGAAGCTGGATACGGACACACCAGGGCAATGCTTACGACTTTTCGAGAAGTACCCTAACAACTGGAACGATTTGATTCCACTTGCGGGATACAATGCTTTACATCTAGCGATAGCATCTGGGAACATGATACTTTTTGACAAGCTCCTCGACGCAAGCAATGCCATCATCGACAGTCAAGAATGGACCAGCTCGCCGATTATATGGGTCATTGAAGAGTGCGCTGAGACCAGCAAGCATCACGAACCGAAAGCCATAACTCAGAGGAGACAAAGCCTCAAGCACATGTTACAAAGGCTGCTAGACGCTGGGGCTAGCGCCCAAACCGGCAAATACTACGGGAAGCCGATGAGTCCATTGATTTTTGCCATTATCAATAAAGGCAGTTATTGGACACACCATCGCCAATTCTGGATACAGATAATGGACTTACTCCTTGGTGCTGGGCCTGACCTTAATGCCCTCCACGAATGCGACACGTTGCTCCGTACGTCTTTTCCAGCCACTTGCACACCGCTCATGGCTTTGTTGATTGCCTTGACGAAAGCAAAGTCTGGTTCAAGGGAAGACGGTTTATGGCCAATGTTTCACAAGATGGTCAATGAGCACGGCGCAGACGTCAATGTGTGCCATTCTTCTCAGGGCTCGCTGATGAGTCTCGTCTTCCATCATATCCTAGAAAGTCAGGAGAAAGATTTGCTGAGCGAGAGTGACGCAAAGTCAATGCTAAGGCACATGAAGAAGGTCGGTGCGAGGCTCCGGTCCATAGAGGCGCCGAATTTGTTGGAGCATTGGCTTGACAATCCCACACTTCGCCAAGGGTATGATATACAACAGGAAGCAGTGTACATGCCAGCAAACACTATAGGGCCTTGCGCTTCCCGACTTCTGCTGCAGGGGAACGAAGACGAATTTATATTCTTCGTACGCACATTCAGGCCACGGTCGTGGACTGGTCGCCTTTTGGATCAGGTTCTTGATCCGGAGTTCTTCACGAAGAAGAGCTTTCGAGTCGTTATGGAAGCTGGCGCCAAAGGTTGTCTAAATAACCGGTCGTAGGCCGACAGGTTGTTTGTCAAGTGGGTATACGTGTATTGCAGCCGCCTTGATATTTACTACGGCGCGACTGAAGCCATCGCGGATATCCAAAAGCTCCATTGCCTGGGTGCCAAGGTGGGATCAGAACCGAGTGGTGTTTCGGCCATCGACGAGTTCTATTGTTGTGCCGACAAGTTCAAGACCGCGGAAACTCGCACTGGCGCGGTTATGGACAAGGTCAAACTAAAGCTCTTTGAGTTGGAGAGAGAAGAGCGCCGCATGAGTCGGAATGGCTCTAGGCAATGATCCATCCACTTGGGTTTGATTTTACTTCAAGGATTTTACTTCAAGGATAGCGCATTGGCTATGGGTTCTGAATATAGGCGTTGTGGTGATATGAAAAGTTAGGCTTGGGGCGTTAGATTGGGATGATTTGACCGGCAAGCTCCTGGTGTTTGGTTCAAGACAGCGATGAGTTTCCGGTAATCAGACTAGTATCTTTGCCTCGTGTCCATCGAAGCTCGGTAGACATGATTTCAACAACTATATGATACATATCGTAATTCTTTTCCTCACATGACCGTGTTATTTATTTACCCTTGAACACTGGCTTCCTCTTCTCCCCGAACGCTTTCAATGCCTCATCCCTGTCCTCAGTGTTGATAACCCGCTTGTACATCTCATTCTCCTTCTCTTCTCGTGCCCACGCAACCGCCTCCAAACCCGCACGAATGGCAACGGGGCCTCCCTCGCAGATCTCCTGGGCGAACCGGACAGCCTCGCTCAGCGCTGCCTTACGAGCGGACGTGAGAACCTCCGCGCCCTCTTGGCCTTCCTCTGGGACGACTTCGACGAGACGATCTGCGATGCCGAGGAAGTACGCCTCTGGTGCGGCCACACGTCGGCCCGTGAGGATGAGGTCCCTCGCGCGAGCCAGACCGATAATGCCAGGAAGACGATATGTGCCACCCGCACCAGGGATGATGCCCAACCGCGTCTCTGGCAAACCCACCGTCGCATTCGAGGACAAGACACGGAAGGTCGTCGAAAGGGCGAGCTCGAGTCCTCCACCAAGCGCCAGGCTCGAAATGGCGGAGATGCTAGGGATGGGCAGAGCAGCCAAGTTCGAAAAGGTGCCCCTCAGGTTGCCCAGGAACTGCGCCGTCTCCTCCTGCGTGAAGCCCTTGCGCTCCTTCAGATCGGCGCCTGCGCAGAAACAGGTGTCGACAGCCGACGCGAGGACGAGCGCCCTGGTTGGCCCAAGCTCGCCTGCGTTGTAGGACGCGTTTTCGACGCCATTGGCGCCATATTGCGCGTGGATGTCGTCAATCTCGGCGCGGAGGACGGACAGGAGGTCTTTTGAGATGGCGTTGCGAGCCTTGGGGCGGTTGAGCTCGAGCACGCGAATGTGCCCGGAGGATGGCGAGGGGAGGTTCGTCACGGTGATGAGAGGCTGGTTGGTGGCCGTGGTGGCGTAGAGGCGGCGCAGAAAGCCGCGTGTCTTGGGCGCCTGGGCGAGGATAGTTCTTGGGGCCATTTTGGCGATTGTGTGCGGATGTTGGAGAGGTCAGAGGACGAAGAGTTGTTGGCGACTCTGGAGTCTGGGGTAAATGGTAGGCTCGGCTTGCGTCGGATCGTCACGAAAGCCGAGGACCGATGCGCACCAACGTACAGTCCAAAGCGAGCCGTTTCTTGTAAGAATTGTCCAGGTAGTGAATGCTTCTTGCTTCCCAAGCTCAGATTTTGATAGCGCAAGCAGGCCCAGATATATCTCATTTAAAGAGCTAGAGCTTCAAGGCCATAGATGACGTAGTTCCCTCGTCACGTGTCGGATGAGATCTACCTTAGACAAACGCGAGACCAGACTGTGGACGACTGTTTCACCAACATCAATGATAGATCTTCCCAGAAATCCCAATCAACCAACATCTTTGGCACAGATGTTCCCATTCCGACCGTCGCGACAATGTCCAGATACCACCGTCAATGCTTGGCGGGCCAGGCAACCCCCACTTCACGCAACACGGTATTCGCCAACATCAAATTGCAAGGCTGCAGGGGTGTCTGTCGGTGTCGTCGAATCCTTCATTGAGAAGTGTGAAGTCTTTCCTTTCCTCACCAATCCCTATCCCGAACGTCACCAAGCCAGACATGCGCCGGAATTGAGCATGGTACGAAGTCTCGACCATGGCCTCGGACGAGCTCTAGGCTGTAGCATCACAGAAGCCGCCACTCCCTCTACATAAGCGGGGAAGCGCTCAGAGCCAGGGGCAGTCATCATGACCAGCCTCACAGCGACACCCACTGCTGAGCCGACACCGCTGACGGTGCTTATGCATCCCGGCATCGACGACATTTCCGACTTCTTTCCCTTTGAAGACTTGGCCAGCCTGAGCCCGGGCCAGTCCTCAACCGACCCAGCAGCGCAGGATGCATTCTCGTTTCGCGGCCTCATTGAAAGCGGCATTGACGGAGACCAGGAGATTCTGCTGCTTGCGTCCGGGTGCAGACTACAGGATGGCACAAAAGACTGCTATGCTGCGTGCAATGACACCAGTCTCTTCTTCGGTAGCCTCGAGACCTTTTACAACTGCGCAGCGCTCGCGTCCATCTCATACTGGACCCAGGACTCCATGGTGTACTATATCAATGACGAGGCTGAGAAGAATGCGAGCACGATTCTGGGCAGTGGTACTTTGGCTGGCTTCGACGACAAGCCCGTACTCGACAAGTTTGTCGATTGTGCTCAGGAGTCCTGCCGCAGTGATGGCTTGTCCGTGCCATGCGACGACTCGCTCCGCGTGTTGACCAAGAACTCCTCCGCCAAGGAAGTCTTTGACGCAATGGGCACATTCTGCCCATCAATTGAGGCTGAGATTAACCCAGACATCTTCGGACCCGGGGTGCTCATCTCATACGCTCTGCAGGTGTCTTTTGCGACTATGCTCTACCTCGCCGTGAAGCTGTTCACTCTGTACGTGCGCCTCACGCAAGCACCAAAGAGACGAATCCCACAGCCATATACATTGACACGCATCCGCACCATCATCTGGCCTGATCAGTCTGCCCTATCGCGTACCAGCGTTGCCATTGCCACGACGCTCGTTGAGTTTCAAGAAGCGCAATGCTGGTTTGTCTTTGCCGTGCAGATCGCCTCCATCCTGGCTATTGTGGTGAATTCCCAGGAAGGCACCTTTTGGGGGGAGATTCTGGTCAATGCTGCCGTGGCCTTTCACGTCAGCCAAAATGGCATCCTTCCCATGTTCCTGATCCAGATTTGCCTACACAACGAGGGCATTAGGAATACGCACACGTTTGTTGGGTTTTTGATCGAGTACATCTTGGCCATTGTGGCAGCGAGCCAAAAGGTGTATTTCAAGGACGTATTTGGAATGTTCAGAGGCCAGGCGCAGATGGAGGCCTGCGGCGGCAATCCGAGTCCCAGGACCTACTGTGCCGCCATCGGAGCGGTGGACGGACTGCAGCTGAACTTCTTCCCGCACCCGTTACTGTACAAGATGGCATTCCTTGTTCTCGACACGATTGCTATCATTGTCCTTGTGGTCGATCAGGTGGCGTGGACGCTGCGCACTCACCACCGCACGAAGAATGTCAGCTTTGGACGGTTCAGACCCGGACGATTCCCAGAGACCAGCTGGAAGCCGAGATGGATCAACTTCAAGCGCTGGTTCTGGTGGGTGCTCGAGATCGTCTACGTGGTCGTGAACATATTGTACATGGTGTCCCTCATTCGCGTCATCACCATCGACAGTTTCGCCACGAATCGATGGTCCTATGGGCAAATCATCGCCATGACGGTCTGGGGGCCGGTCATTGTGAAGCTGTTTGACCTCATTATCTGTGAGCAACCCCCCCCGGGAGAATCATTGCGCTACCAAGCTAATGTCATCAAGCTGGCCCTCAGAAGAATGGCATGAGCATGAACTCTGGACCGCCTCGTCTACGTGTCGATAACACCATCAACCTACGGCTCGGCGCCAACTCGATGGACGAAAGTTTTGCCTGGTCGCAGAGCGCTCCTCTGTGAGTTCTTGGCGTGGAGTCACCCTGTCTTTATGTCATTGTCTCAGGCAAAGTTGTCAATAAGACTTCCCGGCCGCGATCGCTATAGTCATTGGCTCTGGTTTGTGATATGTCGAGTAGAGCAAAGCTGTGGCCAGCCTGTTCAAGCAGGGGTAGGTGCAGCATCAGCCTTGCTTACTCAGACGCGTGGCATTCCAGAAATCGACTTCATCCCGCAGGACCCCGCGCAGTCATTCCGCAGCATCGAATTTGTCGGGTTGGTTGACCTGTACGTACGCTGCGCCGAGATCTGGCGTACTGTCCGACGAGCACTGAGAACGCAAAAGGCCAGCTTGGCATGGTCTTTTTTGGTCATCCGTAGCGACAACGACTATGAGTTGATGACATTGTCAACTGGACATTGACGATGGCCACGAACGTCCTCATCAGCTCGCAAGGTGACTCAAATGACCTCGTTTCGGACCATCCTGTGTTTACACTAAAGCAGGCACCGTGTTCCTTGTCATGCGTCGTTCTGTCGAAGATGACACCATGCTGAAGTTATTTTCAGAGCAACTCAAAGACACGACCCAGGGTAGGAGCAAAATTCCTCCACTGGCTGATCAAGGCTCGCTGATTACTTCAGAATCTACATTCGATGTGTTGTACCCGCTATTTAAAGATGATTGGCTCCAGAAAGACGACATCATTGACCCATTCCTCGACAGAAGACGCTACCACATGAGGACAGTATGGATCTTTGACCTCGATAACGATCTCGTTCGGTTTCATAAGGCAAACCACTACACCTGGGTCGCTCTCGATCTCTTCCGCCAGCAAGATGTTACTACTCAAGATTTTATTCCATACACGCCACCGACACCTGCCACGCAAGGATCTCTATCTAAACTTAAGCTGCATAGACGGCTAATGCGGCGCAACGGCATCTGTGCAGAAAGCCTGGCGAGGCGTGGAGCGTTGGTTGGCAGGTTGCTTTTCGACTTCGCATACCAGTGGAGACATGTTCTTTGCGGTCGATACAACAACTCTACTTGTACGTTCCGCAAACTGGCCTACGGGATTGTTAAGATTCTGACTCTGGACTTCAAAGTCAAAGAGGTGTGTACACCGCGCCCAGGCATCGGCGGCTATTTAATCTGGCTGAACAGCCTCCCTGAATGGGAACCGTTCAACGAAAGCATTGTCCGAGTTGGCGGGGTATCCATTGTCTTTGCCCAGCATCCTTGCCATGCCATCACTATGATCCGCAACGACTTCCGAGACTACGTACGTTGGGAGACCAAACTTGATCCTTCTTATTGTCTGAGGGGAAGTCGAACCTATCTTGTGCTATCCGTTCGGGAGGTCGCGCTTTTCCGAATTGATTCTGAACAAGAACGATGTACCACCACCGAGCGCTTACTTGACGGCACGCTGCCTCTGTCGGATACAGCGCTCAATCTACTTCTCGAGGCCACACAGGTCAAGGTGCCTGTGACGCCTCTTCATCAACTCCCGGTTGAATTGCAAGATAACGTCCTCCAAAACATGTCAGCAGGACCAGTCGAAAGGGCGAGGGCAGGATGTGTACTGGGACTGGGAAGCCCCTTTACATGGAGATCGGAAGGTCGAGATATACAGAGGGTAGAGGGACGCACGAATCGAACCCCGTGGCCACCAGTGGAGTCACACATACACTTTGGCGAGTCGATTCCTGGGCTCGTCTATAAGTGAACGTGGTCTGGACTCTGGTGTGAGAGAACCAGAGCGGCGCGCCAGAGGCGCAAAACGGAAGGCAGAGTCAAGTCGGTCACATTGAAGACCCAGAGATACAGTTATTCGTTGAAACTTGTTGTTACATCCCCGATTCCCCGTTGTGAGCTCCGGACAAGTTGGTGGTCTGTCGCATAGAGGCAAGGATGGACCAGGTCGATCAAAGGCCGGAGGAGAATCCCCTAATTATGCCTGCTCGAGATGTGTTCATGATGAGGTGACGCAGAAAACTTGACTGCTGGCCTGGCCTGGCCTGGCCTGTGCAGTGAGTGTTACGCGTACGCCAAGCTTGGCGGCTGATGGGCGGGGATGAGAGACTCCAATCACGACGATCCTTACGACGGCGAATTGCCAGAAACAGGAACTGCGGTCTCTGTCAAACAGTCAAACCATCAAGCGTATGATTAGCGTCTGTGGAGCCTGGTGCTTGATCGAGATGCTTAATTTCAATTGCTGTACATCCGGTTCCCGGGTATTCGTTGTAAACATGAAGCCACTCAGTCGATACCTCCTCGTCCTACAGGCTACCATACGCCTGTACCAGAGAGACTCCCAATCCATTCCGCTACGGACGAAGCAAACATTGTTAGACGAGCCATGGCCGAGAACCGACATCAATCACGGCATGCTTCCAACACATGGCGCACTGCAGTGGCTTGGCGTCGTGATTCGCCAGGTCCGGCATATCTGTGCCGGCCTCAACTCCAGTCTCTCGCCCGGCACTGCTTTGCCGCTATTCCCGGCCATAAAGCTTGCTGGTTTATTTACCGTTTAGGTAACACTTCATTCTGTGTCGCGCGTCATGTTTCACCCATGTCAGTGACGTCTGTTGGCTGTCCTTTTCCAAGTTTACGCCCAAGTCAGGATGTAGATCATGACCTCAGGCACATCAGGGGCTGCAAGAACATGGTGAATATATGTACAAGACAATGTGCCGTTGGGAAACAACAATTCGAATCACTTCTTTCCCACCCTTTCGTTGAAAGCAGCCTAATACCCCGTAGCGCCTGACCTAGTGTTGAGGCTCTGTCCAGCCCAGCCCAACCACACCACGATGCGTTTCTTCAACCGCAACAAGGAGGCCGCGCCGCCAGCTCCCACTGGTCACGCCCACAAGACCGACAAGGTACGCACGACCAAGCGCAGTCATGGACGGGGGCCCTACAGCATGGCCAAGAGACCGAGCTTCGGCCAGTGGCTCAAGTGCACTTGGCTGGACATTGTGACCATGGCCGTCATGGGCGCCATTGGTCTGGGTGTAAGTCCCCCACGAACCTCAACGTCCTACCCCTTACTCATGTGAACCAGGTCTACATGGCGGACCCTGCGCCCTCTCGCTCGTTCGCCGTCACTTTCGCGGACGGCGAAATCGTCTATCCCCAGTTCGCCTATCCCCTCCGTGACGAGATCATCCCCATCTGGGCCGCCGCCCTGCTCGCCGCGCTGGTGCCCATCTTCGTCTTCCTCGTGATGCAGATCCGCGTCCGCTCCTTCTGGGACGTCAACAACGCCGTCATCGGCCTGCTCTACTCCCTCATCTGCGCCGCCGTCTTCCAGGTCTTCGTCAAGTGGCTCATCGGCGGCCTGCGTCCCCACTTCCTCGACGTCTGCAAGCCCGACATCAGCCTCGCCGACGACCGCGGCTACAACGAAAAGGGCTTCAAGCAAATCTACTACACCAAGGAGATCTGCACCGGCGACAAGAGCCAGATTGACGACAGCCTCGAGTCCATGCCCAGCGGCCACACCACCGCCGCCTTTGCCGGCTTCATCTTCCTCTACCTCTACCTCAACGCCAAGCTCAAGGTGTTTTCCAACTACCACCCGGCCATGTGGAAGCTCGTCGCCATCTACGCCCCCGTCCTCGGCGCCTGTCTGATTGGCGGCGCTCTCACCATTGACGAGTTCCACAACTGGTACGATGTTCTCGCTGGCGCCATCATCGGCACCATCTTTGCCTTTTCTTCCTACCGCATGGTCTACGCCGCCGTCTGGGATTTCCGCTTCAACCACATCCCCCTCAACCGCCGCGCGCCCTTTATGTACGCCGTCGAGGGCGCTGAGCTGGCCAACGCTGTCTTCACACGCCATGCTGGCTGGGGCGCAACCGGCCTTGACGGTGGTCTTGGCCATGGTGTTGGTCACGGTGTCGGTCATGGTGCTGGCCACGGTGTTGGTCACGGTCATGGGCATGGTCACCCGGGTACGTATCCTGATGGATACAACGGCCACAACGGCACGTCGATCCCTCGCCGCGCTGTGGGTGGCCACCACGAGCCCGAGACCATGGTCTAGGAAGGGGGAGCGGATAAGTGTGGCGGAATGGCCCAGGTGCCTCGGACGAAGTAATGTAATCACGGCTTCTGATCAATTATACCCATAGTCTTCTGAAGCGAATGGTACTTTCTCATGAAATGCTGTCTGTAACAACTGTTCTCGTGTGTCGCCTCCATCTTGATGTGATTTGCCGATGCAAGTCCCTTGTCTAGGAGGAGCCATCTGCGAGGAGCCATCTGCCTGCTTTCGTGTCGAGGCACTGCAAGGCACGGCGAAGCGCGTAACTCTAATCATCTAAATTTGTGTAATAAGCCAAGGGCGGGAGAAGTGCGCATAACTTTGCAAATGCAGGAGCCCGACAAGGAAAACAGAAGGATACGTAGTCTCGAGGGGCCTTATCTGCTCTCCTCCTGCTCATCGTCCTGCGACTCAAACTTGTTCGGCGCAAACTGATAGGACACATTCTCCCTGTCCCGCAGGAACCGGCCAATCCTCTCGTCCTTGTTCATACCCGCACTCGCCATGGTGCTCCTCCTCACTTCATTGCCCACAGCTTGATGTCGCAGTGCCGTCTCCGATAGGTATTGCGCGCCCGAGGTCTCCGCGCGCTGGCCCTGCACCATGGCACCCACCATCACCGTCATGGCGATCAGCATGGCAAAGATGCTGTTGGGCATGTACACGGTGCCCTGACGAGGGGCTGGCGCCTCGCCGCGTGCCTGGTGCCAACGCTCCCAGTCTTCCCACGTCGCATTCGCTGACGCATTGCCCGGTTGATGCCGCCACGCCTTGTCAAAGTTTCGTAGTGACGACCTCGTCAGCCATCCCACGCCGTGGAGGTCGTACGCGCGTCGTTTGTCCGGGTCGGAGAGGAGAGTGTTGGCCGCGACGATGAGTCGGTAGCGCTCTACGCGTACTTCGGGTGGCACCTTGGAGTGGGCGGGCGCCTTCAAGTCTGGGTGATAGAGCTTGACCAGCTGGTAGAACCGCTTCTTGTTGTAGGGCGTGACCTTGTTGATGGCAAAGATCTCGTATGGCGTGGGATGGTCAGACGTCGGCCACGGCGGGGGCGCGGCGTCGTCGGGTTGCCGGGGCGTGGCGTAGTGGCGGCATTGGTGGCCGACAGGCTGGAGAGCTCGAAGGGCTTTGCGTGGGAACATGGTCTTCACGGTGAGAGAGGCCCGTCGCCAGGAGGAGTCATGGTAGGCGACGGAGGTTGGTTGTTGAAGCGGAAGACGATGGCCGTCGCGTGAGCATGAATGCATGGGTTCGAGGTTGATTGAGAGTCGTGAGGTCACAGGGAACGGCGTCCCGCATGCTGGCCCCATAATTGCTTATCGATCTTATCTGTCTCTTATCTTATCGCGGACGTGTGAAGTAACGCAGACGCCTGTACCCAAGCTTTGCGCTTCACCGAGGCATTGTCCACGCAACAATCGACGGCATGACCTACGAGACTGCCCTGGGTAGCCGTGGTCCTCAGGAAAGCATTGCGCACCAGTCGGCGCCCAGCCTCTATTTGACTCATGCGCGCAGACACCTCCATTCCAAGGTTGGACAAGGTCCTCACAGTGGCCCTGCATTTATTTAGTCCCTACCTTTTGAATCTTGTATCCGTAGTATTCAAAGGCGCCGGCACCGCCAAGGACTTGCATGTCCATATCCATGCCCCGTTCCACCATGGGATTCAAGAGCGGTTTCATAAAATGTGGTTGTCGAAACGTGACATACAAAAACACGCCGCCGTCTCTGAGTACCCTGTGAACCTTGAGGACGGGTCAGATCAATCGTGCCGCGGGGTATACGATTTTTGGTCGCTTACTTCCTTGAGGTATGCGCTCGTATTATCCTTGACCATTTGTGGGGGGTCCCAAGGACTCCCATAGATCATGGCATCCAGTGTCCCTTTGTCAAAGGCAACATCGATGGATCCGTCGGCCACGACGGCCATGTCGCGTACGTCCATGAGCTTCCATTCTATCCCTTCGAATTCGGCATGGCGCTTGGTCATGAGATCGACGACGGTGGGGGAGAAGTCGACGCAGAGCTGGCGTTGATAGCCCCGGGACGCGAGTTCAACCGGAATGACCTGGACCGATGGCGGGTTAGTGGGTGCGAGTGACGACGAGTCAGACCAGGCCATGAGCGATGGAACGACGCACACTGTCTCCAGAGCCAAGGTTGAGAATGAGGGGGTTGTCGCTGGGCGTCAGCCCGTCGGCGTCGAAAAAGTTGGTCTGGAAAAATTGCTCCAGATCGCCAAAGGAGCGAAACCATTCGTGCGTCGGCGCCGCGCCATCGGACTTGGAATAGTACTCGTCCCAGTACTCGGCATGGCTGAGAGCCTTGTCGTTTTCAGACGTCATGGGTCTCGAGGGGAGGTTGTGGCTGAGAAGTGAAGGGGAAAGATGGCCTCGCTTTGCCGCATTGCACAAAATGCCACCCTTGTTGAGGTACGTCAGGCGGGGCAGCTTTTCCTCGTTGGAGTTTGGACCAACGTACAGTCGTTCACATATGACATACCCTAGACCCTACTCCGTAAATACGGACCGACGGCGGGAGTCCGGGGCCCACAAGTCCAAAGTCCGCCGCCGACAACCCGGATCCGGCCCCGGTCGTCGTTCATTTAGCGTCCTCCAACAACAGCACATTATCAAATCAAACACAAAAGATCCTTCATCTTACTCTGTGTACTAGGCCAATTAATTCTTGGGCATTCTTTATATTCACCAGTGTTCAACGCACCAGCCGGGCCAGCTGACAGCTTGGCTAATGCCCTGATGTCCTCGACCAGTGCATAAGGAAGTACACGAGAAAATACGCCTAATGTCTCCAAATCCGAGCGAGATGATTTCTTGCCGGTGACTAGCTAAAGTCGCAAGTTGATCCAGTGGCGTGAGTCGGTCAGCTTCTCATTGTCAGCAGGACTTGGGTGAGCTTGAGTCATCCACGAAGGGTTTGGCACCTAGGTGCTTCCAGCCCTGCGCTGCCATCAGATCTTCTTTCTTCTCCCGACTCTGGAAAAGCAGAGCCGTTTCACCGTGACCGAAAAGTGATACTGACCGGTCCTACGGTCACATTAGTCAGGTTTCTCGATTCAGTATGACGCGAACCCGTACCAGTCCCAGGGTCAGTTTGATAAAGCCTTGCAGCCAGTGGTTCTTGTAGACATGCCTGGGTTTCTGGTCTTTGATTGCGAGTAGAACATTGTCGGCTACCACACTGCCCTGCAGCATGGCCGATCGTGCATTCGGATTTGGCGTTTGCGTGTCAGCAACGTCTCCGCAGATGTAGACCCTGTCCGAAAGCGAGTCGTCCCTGATGCTCAGGTTCGGGTTGACTTTGATGTGACCCGTCGATGCAATGGAGCTGGGCGAGAGCTTCGCGATCAGTTCGGAGGAAGGCTTCTGCCCGGTACAGTTCACCTTGAGGGCTCAGAAAAGTCGTGCCAGGGGTAAGGTCTACTACTCACAACGCAGTCAGTCTCCATGACTTTTCCCGATTGCAACGTAATCGTCCCGGCTTTATCGTCCTGCTCAATCACCCTCTCATTGAGAATGAGCTCACATCCTAGTCGCTCCAAGCCCTCCAGTGCTGCCTTCTGCAGACTACTTGCCCAGAGGTGCATGGGCGCGCTTCTTGAGTGGACAAGGGTGACATGCTTTTCCGGATACTTGGACTTGGCGTCGGTAGCAAGCTCGACGCCGGCAGCGCCACCGCCAACGACAACAATCCTCTTTGCGCTTTGGATAGAGGCCTGGAACTCGCGCAGGAGCTTCACCCCCTCTGTCTTGTCCGTCGCGTTGACTCTGGACGGTAGTCCCTGGCGTACGCCCGATCCTGTCGCCACAACAAGATACTCGTACGGGATAACGTCCTCATTGCCCACAGTAACAATGTTTTTTCCAATGTCCGTAACCCAATCCCTGACCCATTGCAAGCTTCCTGGGGCTGTGCCACTGATGTATCCGCCGTACGGTATGAAGGCTTTGTGTTCGTGTCCCGGGGCCACGCAGAAGCGAGGCAGAAGCCAAGTAAACTGGAAGTGACTGTTTGGCTCTATCACCACGACTCGGTAGTGGCTATTTCGAGGCAGGCTGCGCGCCATGAGACGGGCCGCATGATAGCCTGCAAATGAAGCGCCGACAACGACAACATTCTGGGTACGCTGCTCAGGTGGCGTCGATCCGAGAACGCGGATTTGCTGACGGAGGAAAAAGGCGTTCATGCCGCGCACAACTTCGGCGGCAACAATAGCAGCTATCTCCGCTACGGCGTCTAGCCAGAGTATCGTGTGTTGGAACATGATGGCGACACCATGTTTGATGGTTTGGTAACAGAGCAAGGGGAGCAGGCCAAGTACATGTTGCAGAGTCCGCTGGTGTTAGATCAGATTAGATTGATAACAGGAGACGGAGATACGAAATTCGGGTTTGTGATTTCGGTCGGGGTACTCGTCAGCGCCGGTCTTTTGACCCTGTCACATTGAGGGGACTCTTGGATTGGCTACGTAGCTACGGGCACGGGCTGACTGAAATGTCCGAAGGATTTCTTTTGCAGAAACCGATAGAGCGTATGTTATTTGACATGTGATCCCCAGGTTCGATAGGCTAGAACCATTACGTTGACAATGGTCGACCGGGTTTGTCGACTCCTTTTATACACAATCCGCCGCCAGAAGTGAAGATTCATCTGAATGACATCAGACTGGACGGCATCTAGATATTCCAGTTCTATCTAGTCAAGCAGACATGATCTAGGTGGTGATATATACGTTGTCTCCCACGATAGAGGCAATCCAGGCGAAGAGCTTTTGATTCAGTTCAGCATTCGAGCAGAGTCGGGCTCGCCTCGTCTGGCATAGTTAGGCAATATAGACTGCGAATCCAGCAATTCGAACAGCTGTCTTCATGGCGCAGTTGGCTAGCGCGTTGGTCTCATATTACAAAATATGATCAAGCTCAGTCTTGAGATATCCAGAGGTCGTGAGTTCGAGCCTCACTGAGGACATTTCTTTTGCCAAAAAAGACATTTTTTATTTTTCTCACGCAGGTTACCACATTGCTTTGCCGTCGTGCCTTTTTATTTTTGCGAAGAGCGTCATTCAGTACATCCGGCGGCTTCTGGCGTCCAGTACGGGAAGAGTGGAAGAACAGACGGGACCGCCACCGTCCTGACTCCTCCCAACGCTATGAACAGCTACAAACAGCAATGCTACCCTATCATTGAAAGACCTTTCCCTTACTCGAAATCTTTTAAAGAATGATGAATTTCCTCAAGGCGCTATGGTATTGTTTTCACGGACAGGCTTCGCGCGGCATTGTGGGTCATTCTGGGACTGTAAAATGAAGTAGAGTCTGCGAGCTCTGACCCAGAGGCAGTGTGAAACCTTGCGGTCTATTCGGCACCACGTTGAAACTGTCTGTGAAGCAGTCTCATCACGTTCCAGGTGTAGATCGGCTAGGGTCCAAAAGATGCTCAACCACACCACGCAGAAGGTCAAGTCGCACGTAGTGACACAGGCGTGCGTTCAGGTTCCCTGCTGTCCAAAGACTTTGAACAACTTTTGCTTACAACGTTGGCGACAACCCTCGTTTGCCGACTTCCACTACCCTATCATAGCATCATTAAAAAGTCGTCTGCAGCTTTGGATAATCCTTAGCCCTCGCCTCCAAGTCCGCAAAAATGGACGAAGACTGATCGCCCGGCAAGCCCTTCATCCGATTCAAGTCCTCCTCCTCCAAATGCTCCAGTGCCTCCAGCGGCTCCTCCTTGTGGTGCTTCTGGTCTTCCTTCTGAGGCTCCGTGGCCTTTTGGATCCCGCTAGTCTCGCCAATAAGCAGAACCTGAGCATTGACGTAGTCAAAGTGCTTGGGTTGCGTGGGCAGCCAGCGCAAATTACGGAACTCTTCCTGAACTCTATACACTATTAGCCGTCAAGGTCACCCGCTGGGAGAGTTCAACATACTCCTTGGGAAACTCTGGACCCTCCGGTATCTGCGCGCCTGCCGGGGGGCTTGTCTCTGGATTTCTGGTGCTGATGATGAAGCTTCCCTGACTCTTCAATCCGAGATCCTTCTGGAACTCACCCAGCTCCTCCGGCAGCGTCAGTATATACGCAAGATGACTCTCGCGTCCCGTCGATGTGATGGCATAGACGCCTTCCGCGGCAGGCGTCGCAGCGGGCGTGTGTCTCTTTCCCGCAGTCTTGGTGTCGTAATTGGCGCCCTCCAGGAACTCATTCTTGATCTCGTCAAAGGAAGTGCCAGTCTTCTCCACAAAGGAGAGGAACCGGTCTCTTCCGCTCTTGGGGAAGACCTTTTTCGGCAGGACGACGATGCGGATGTTGCCTGCGTCGCCAATTTTGCCCTCTGTGAGCTTCGCGTCGTGAGGCAGGGGACGCAGGAGCATGAAGCTCCGCGCAATATCCTCGACGGACGTGGGGCTCTCGACGTTGACTCGCCCGCGGATGAAGAAGTAGATGATGCCCTTTTCGAGGATAGAGGATGGAGTGTCGGGTTCGCCGTGTGAGTTGACAGCCGACTTGCCATCACCGTGGGACCGGTCTTCCTTCTTCACCTTCTTGTTACTAGCCTTCTTGTCCTTGCTTTCGGGTTTGGCATCTTCTTCCTCGTTCTCCGCAGGCCTGGGCGACGCTCTCCGCCTAGAGCGTAGGTTATGCGTGTTTTGATCGCGTGTCTCCTCAGGCCCATCCGAGTCTCCTTCTGGATCCGTGTCTATGCCCATACTCTCCCCGATGCTGGTTTGCTTCATCACCTTGGCCTCGGGCACCTCCTTCCCCCCGGTGGGGGAGTCTCGCTTACCCGAATCGTCGTGTCCGGATGCCATGATTGGTGCGTACTGAAGCGCGGCGCACAATGGTGTTTTTTGCTTGTGTTAAGTAGGTAAACTTGAAAACAAGCTGGAGTTGAGTGACAAACTTGATAAGAATGAGTACTTACCCAAGGTATCTTAGCCAAGACGCGTCCGAAAGACGCGAGCTGGGACATGCGATGATCGTTACATACACGTGATGTCATAGACGTAGGGCGAGGCAAGCGCGATCCAGGGATCGTGCTTAAGGTAGTAGCTTAATTGAATGTGACGGATCTCTGCGTGGCTATCGGCGCTTGGCCTGATGAACGAATGACGACATGGATGTCTTGAATTGTTAGTGTCATCACTCGATGTAGTCTGAATATCAAAGGCTCACCGCCAACTACCAGTGTCCGATGCGCTACCCTTCTCACAAGCAGCGCGTATTCCAGAATGCATCATCCCAGGTAAGATGAATCAGTTCATTATGGATCATCGTACTGACTTGGGAACAGCAGCATGATTTGGCACTGAATAAAAACAACATCATCAGGATGTATGTGTAAATTGTAGCGAGAAAAGACGCTATCTCTGTCCAAAATCGAACGACGATCAAAGAAAACAAGCTCTATTTTTATCCCAACGAGATCCAGGTACGCCCGCCGTTACAATGCAGTCAAAATCAATGTAACCCCATTTCGCCTTTTTCAGCCATATCCTTTTGGCAGCGGACGAGCAGTTTGACCTGCTCGCCAACCTCGCCCAAGCGTCCTAGCACCTTGTGGTTCCCGTCCACGAATCCCATCAGCGAGTATGGGATGTTGGTGTCCTTGGCGAACTCCTTGAGCAGAGTCTGCACGCGCCTCAGATTGTGGCGAGGCACGCGGGGGAACAGGTGGTGCACGACCTGGAACTGCAGGCCGCCGTGGAACCAGTCCAGCCAGGTGGGACAGTCGATATCCATGGTGGTCCGCATCTGTCTCTGGGCAAAGGACTCGCCCTCGCCCAGCTCGGCCGTGGACATGCCCCAGTGAGACAGGTTGATCTGCACATGCAGAGGCATGAGCACAATGTGCGAGATGAGGACGAACAGGATGCGCGACGTCCACGTGGGGATGGAGCACCACACGAGACAGTAGCCGAAGAGGAACCAGTAGCATGCCATGCCCGCCATCTCGGCCGGACGGATCCACCATGCCTTGCTGCCGCCTAGCCCGGACGACTTGTTGGACAGGACATGCAGCCATGAGAGGACGTACAGGTTGAAGCGGGCAATCGCCATGATCGGGTAATAGGTGTACTGCTGGATCGGCACCAGGAACTCGGCCAGGCGGTCCCAGTAGAAGACGAAGCCGTCGTAGTAGGAGGAGACGAGCGACTTGAAGAACTGCGGGCTCGTGGCGAAGAGGGCGAGGTTCTGGATATCGGGGTCGTGTTCAGGGTGGTTCGTGATGAGGTGGTGGACGTTGTGGCTGCTCTTCCACCAGCCGATGGAGAGACCGCAGCAAAAGTCGGCAATGAAGACACCAATGGCCGAGTCGATGACAAACTTCTGGGTGATGGCACGATGGCCGGCATCGTGGGCGGTGAACATGATCTGATGCCAGAAGCCGCCGAGGAAGACGGCCGACAGGCAGTACTGTTCATACCGCAGGGCGACCAGGAACAGCACAAACAGAGAGGTGTAGCGGACCATCTCCTCTCCATACTTCCAGTAGTTACACTGGTACAGGCCCTCGTCGATGACGGCCTGGTGCAGGGCGCGGTAGCGGCGGACAATGTCCTCCTGGACGTCCTGGTCGAGCGGAGGATACTCAAGCAAGTCCTTGGCGACATCGGCCTGGCAGACGGACGTGGTGAACTCGGCGCGGGTCATGGCGCCGGCGTCGCCCCCCTCGACGGACGCGGAGCTACATTGCGACAGCGGTGTGCCAATGCGCTTTCGCAACCCGGCGTCGGTCGAGGAAAAGACGGAGGTGCCGGAGGAGATGTCGGTCAGGGCAGGCTCCGAGAGGAGCGACTCGCCCTCGGTGTCGGAGTCGTCCAAGGCCCCGCCAGCCCGGGCCTCGTCGTCGGTGCATTCAAGGTAGACGCCGCCGCGGATTGGTGGCTTCATGTTGATCCAGGGGCCCAGTGGTTTCCGGCCGATCCGAAATGCGCTGACGGACTTGAGGGTGGGCGCGCGATGGTACCTGGAGATAAGGCGTTAGCTCCATGGAACGGCAAGTACCCAGGCGGGATTTCTTCTCCAGAGTCTGACAAATGCGAATATGCAGGACCCTGGCGGGGGAGGAAAAAGGAACACTTCAAAAGTAATCGACATCCCCCCGGGGGAGATCAATCGCACATGTCGATTTTCTTTTTCAGTTGTTTGCGATTTCCCTCCTCACCAGATCTGCTCGCTCGGCGCCGGGGGAAATGGGTGGGAACATGGGACTCGGGGAACACTCTGGGTACCGTACGCCATAATTTCGTCTGTCGCATCGCGACCAACCATGTGGAGGATGGCCAGCTTGCCGCCTGGGTGTTTTTGGAGCCAGCCGTCGAGCTTGAGGACCATGTCCTGAAAGATGACAATGGTGTCGCCCTTGGCGATCATGCCCTCGACCTGGCGAGGCGTGAGGATCTGGTCGCGATCCATGCTGAGGTCTGAGTGTCACCGTCTCCTGTGATTTGGTCGGGTCGGCTCTGTGTGAGCAGAAAGTCAAGTCAAGACAGTCGAGCAACGATGATAAGCTCGGTGCCAAAGGTCTGGTGCACTCAAGCAAAAGAGGGATGCGAAGGAGCGACAATGAAGAGAAGGAGTTGAGGACACAAAGGAGCTGGTCTCAGGCAGGCGTTTCAATTTGCGCAAGTGATTGGAAGGGGATGGATGAACAAACAGGAGGAAGAAGAAGAGCAGCAGCTTCGGCTTGGCTTCTCTCTATTATTACCTATACGTTCTGCAAGGACCGGCAGCAAATCTACAGCCCATGGACGGACAGACCAGGCGCAGCCCACGAACGGAAAGGACCGACGGACAGACAATCACGGCGAGCGTACCCGCGAGAGGGTGAGGAGCCGGATCCAGTTCAGTCCAGTCCAGCTCAGCCTAGGAGGCTCATCAATCATGGCCCTAAAAATGATCAACAACGACGGGGCCATTGGGACAAGCCTGCAGTGAGGAGCCTGGCCTGGCCTGGGCGGTGACAAGATCAGACCGGACCGGACCCCTCTTCTGCTTCAAGCCTTCAACTGTAAATGGATCGCCCCCCGGGCCCCGGCGCTGGTTCGTATCATCGTCTGGAGCCTTTGATGGACCGGCGAAGGGGGACCTGACGTGGAGTCTAGTTCTCCAAGGAGCAAGCCACGGGCTCCACCGCAATGAGGACTTGTGGCCGCTGAGCACGTAACAAGATGCAAGGTACAGCGGCCTGCGACCAATTGGACATGACCAAATCTCACAATCTCTTCGTTATTGTATCGACAGGGGGGCTCAATTCTGCGTGTGGTAGTCACGCACAGGCCAAGGATCCCTGAATTGCCAACTTCCCGTTGAGAAACGCCGCAGGATGCAAGAGCCGCCAGGTTTATCCGCTCAGTTGCTGCTGGCTGGTCTAAATCAGTCAAGCAACCAATCTCGGGTGCCCCCTTGGTGGGCGTGCGTCGGATAGGCCACGCGAGGATGAGAAAAACGCAAACCGAGCGAGCGAGCGAGTGAACGAGCGAACGAACGAGCACGCGGCCAGGGGCGAATGCGAATGAATGTGGCTCATTCATCAACAATTGTGGAATGGCGCTTACGACGACGACGAACAGACCTGGACCCTTTGCTCGTACGCACTGCCGGGTGCGCGCTCGTTTCGCAATGCTGGACCCTGGGTCGGTAAATTCTGGAGATCTCCGCAGCAGATGGGGCACACGTCGTCGGGGTCCTCGCAAAGGTCGGTCAACTTATTTTGTCCCGTCGGACGCGCACGAATCCGAGTGGTCTAGAGGCGTGTGGGTTGTGCGCTTGTGCGCGTGTGATCAATCCTGTGTGCGAGAGAGCCCAAGCAGAGCCTAGAGCCTCAAAGAAGTGGTGGTGACACACGTAGAGGGCAAGTCTAGCGTCCGTCCTGTCAAATTTGTCAACGGGAGACGTCAAGTCCAGTCGCTGTCGTCGGCCTGCCGCGGGCCCCTACTAATAATTGAGCTAAGCTTTCCAGTGGCCCCAGGGGCCCTGCCCAAAGCAGCAGCTCCAGCCAGACTGTCAGTCCTCAATCAAGGCTGTCGATACCAGGCAGGGTATTCTCTCCACATGGCGTGAACCCCGGCTCTCCACCGCTCCACCAGCGCCAAAAGAGCCAATTTTATCGGGTCAGGGACCCTTGAAACCGTGCCAAGGCATGCACTGCGCCCCTAATATTGTGGATAAAGGGGATAGGCTAGCCTGGTTCTTGTTTTCTGGAATACCTGGAGACGCCCGGAAAGTGCTGGGCCGAGACACTCGACTTCTTGTGTCAATCGACCTGCGCAATAAAAAGAGTAAATAGACTCGAGGGCAGAAATTTGTTACGAGACGACCATAACGTTCAATTCTTCTAGAATTCTCTCGTTACCTACCCCGGGCATCCAAGCGAACAACGCAGGCCCTCGAACCAAAACCTGTCCCCTACAGGTACTGATCCTGCAGCAAAATATTATCCAAAATGAACCAACCACTCACTGCCAGACCGCCGCCACACCCACCCGTGGCTTGTTACCGCGGCAGGCGCATTGGCGACAATTGTGTGCCTACCTTAATAGCGCAGGAACAGCCCTAGACCAGAGCTAGAGTCTGTTCTGATTAGGGGCTCTGCCCTTTGACGTCAGCGGCGGGCGCACGCGCAGAGCACACGTACGCGTCCAGTCTTCAACATCCAGTCCAGTCACTAGTACGGGCAGTGAGTGCAGCGGCGAAAGCGACACACATGAGGGGATTGCGCTGTTGCCTGTGACGGGGTATTGCGCCTTCCCCGCCCCATGATAATGTTGGCAGCTTGGCGCAGTGGGATGTGGGCTTGGAAGTTGGGACAGCCGACAGACCAACAGAGTGAGTTGAGGAATGAGGTTCCATTGATCAGAGGCATAGAGTCGCCAACGCTCCTCGGGTGCTTTCATTGCACAGCACGCCCTTATGGAGAGAAAACTTCAGACAGGTAACCTGCGATAATCGTAGCCATCGCCTGCCAGTTGTCCTCGCTGTCGGAATACCAACCGACTAACGTTAAAAGAAAAGGTGTGCCAGACCTGACACAGAGACGGCAGGAGGAACCTGCCTGTGTACTCGATCTTGGCAGCTGCAATTATTGCCAGGTACTAAGGTACTAGTAGGGTCGGACGGGCCGTAATAATTACCAGGTACTTGCAAAAACGACACCTGTCAACTGAGGCGTGATTTGCGGTGTGTTGATCACAATTCTTGTGCCCTTGAGAATCGAGATGCTACGATAGCGAGTATGAGCGACCTGCTTCATTCACATGCTTCCAAGGTTATGCGTCTTTCCAGCGAGGGGGATGATTCACTGGCTCCAAATGCTCAGCCTACCTTATTCAAGTGGGATTGGCTGCACGAGCTGCAACAGCACTAGGTATAGACATGAAGGTATCATGCATACTTCTGACCAGCGAGATTACAATGTCCCCACTCCAGGCATTGTAGCTGCATAGGATCAAGTAGTAAGTGGTATTTGGCATATCCGAATACCCCACCATCACCCAGTGTGAAGGGGCATGGATGTGAGCTCAAGTAGCTCAAGAACGGGGGCCCATGAAGACACAGGGTCAAGTCTTCAGAGACGGCTGTCTATCTTTCGGGGAGACCGTTGTGGAGCTGATGTACGCGCGTAGTCTCTCGAAGGCTGTCGGTTGAGAGTGACGTAGAGATGCCTCAAGAGCACAAGAAAGTGAGGGCATCTTCAGGAGGGCAAGCCTACGGCAGTACTCTTGGGCCAACCACCACAACGAGTTGAGATTATTGACGTCTTCTCCCGATTCGTGGTCGGTCTACTAGGAACAAAGGCGAGACTGGGGCGTCTTTCAAAATGTTTAGATCCACGAAGACTTGTCGAGGCTGAAAAGCCGCATCGCACACTCAAGGGTCTCGGCAACCCAACACAGGAGGATCCCCAAACAAAGCATCATAGCCACCGCAGAACTAGAATCTGTGTCTGCCCATGTATTTTGGACTATGAACGGCTCGGCGTACCGCCTGCCGGCAGTGAAGAGCAAACAAAATCCAGTTTCAACTGAGCGTGAGACCGTCGTGGAGGTGTGGGAAAGGGACAAATCTAATGTGGCTGAACAAACCTCTCTTGACCCAGTCTCGAAGCCTCATCTTGCGCGTGCTGCCATGGCTTCGGGGACCAGGGGGCTTAGCCAGAGTCTTTCGTATACGCTGATGCCATGGACTCCAGCAGCTGGCGGTCTGGGAGATTTGTGGAACGTCCAGCCACCGTTGCCCGCGGTCAAGTGACGGTCCCTTTGTTGATCAGACTAATATTGAGCCAATCACACAGATGCATTTCATGATGTTTACTGACAGGCAGCTCACGACTTCATCTGTACTGGCCTGTCCGCATGTCGATGTTGCCAAGGGGTCACTCCTTGCCCAAGTCTTGAGCGCGAGCTCATCTGAGATCAGCCAGACCGAAGCCTACTATAAGAAAGTCATTGCCCTCGTTTCTCTTTACTTCTTCTTCTTCCTCCGTATAGACGCCTGCCCTCTCTGACGCACCTCGTTGGTGGGGGGTCGTGCTGGCCACGACGCTGCTGCCCTGGTGGCACAGCCAGGCAGTTTTGGATAGGCTTTTCCAGGACAATTTTTGGGACCAAAAAATTTTTCATTAAGAGGAGGCTTGATGCCTTGTCTTGAGGAAGAAGTCATGTCTTCTCTAAGGTGTTCACATACTTCTCGAGTGACTACGGGCGGCGCAATGCACAGACGTAGAGGAATATTAGCGCTGGGCGGAGGCTATTTATGTTTATCATGCTGGTAGTATACCGCGTTATGTTGTGGCTTGGATTACGAGAATTTCTGTTGTTGCGCGGTGATGGGACCTTGAAAGACTCCCCTCAGCCGAGTTGCTATCCCAGACACCTTCACGCCATGCCTTAACACTTCTTGAAAAGTTCAAAAATGGCTGTTGATTTTACTTATTACTCAAGTTACTGTCCGGCAGCTGCCAGTCTTGAACATGTTGGATCCGCTGTTGCGTTCGCGCGTTCTCCAAGTCGCAAGAAAACTAAACTCGTGTTTAGATTCTGAGCCACCACCCCAAAAGACTTCGACCTGTCCATCGACAACTCCTACCCATTACGATGCCCAATACGACACGAAAAGCCTTGGTCCCAACCAGTACGGACTACGACTCCTCATACAACTCTTCAAGGACCGAATCACGGGCAACCGCGAGCCCATCACACATCACGTTGGCGGCAACGGCGCTTTCGAGCTCTCTCTCTCTCTCCATCTTTGTAGCGTTCAACGACCTCAGAAACCACCAGAAGCTGGAAAGAACCACTTGCATCGACAAAGCCGCAGACGGAAGACTCGACGTAACGTGGCTTGCATACGAAATGGCTTCAAAACGGTAGAGCTAACGAATCCCAGACTAACAAGGTTGCAAGCTCTCCCCATTTCGACGGCAAATAGTCGAATTGTCAAATCCATGCGTTTTCCGACCGCCTACTCGATCGTCTCCGGGCTTCAGTCCTGTTGCCAGGAATGTGCGGGTGTGCCACTGCTTGGAGCTTTTGCGCGAGACTACACCATTCCTACTCTATCGATTGAAGACTACGTCTTTTCAATGCAGCGCGAGTAGCCAACTGCATGTGGACCGAAACCACACTCCTGTACTCACAACTTTGCTGCTTTGCATTGTGTACGATATCTACTGATGCCTAGTTCTTTGTCTATCTAGGAACTTCCAAACACTTTGGTGAACTAGATCGACGACCCTCCCGAACTTTCAACTGGGTGTAGCTGAAACCGGGCACGCATGCCGCGCTGCGAATCTTTTACTAAACCACGACCGGAAGAACATCAACAAACAGAAGCTTGTGAACGAAGCCGGGAAAGGCAGAAATCATTGAGAAGAAGCCTATTGGGAAAGCTGAGTGGAGGAACACTATTCGCAGGGCCAGTACATGATGTCTACAGAGTCAGGTATCCTTCCCGTCGCTTTGATCGAATCGAGCAAGTGCCAGAATAATGTCCGTCCATGTGAACCGCTCGATTACGTGGCAACCAACAATGTAGCACTTCTGCATGGGCCAGGCTGAACGATTCAGCTCCCAACTCCTCGTGCCCTAGACGACCCCAAGACGAGTTCCTACTTCGACGAAATAGTCAACGCGGGTCGCAATCGACAGAGTATTTTTGGGAAACCAGCTCTAGAAGCTCCATATGGCTACCTGGTTGGTGTTGTCTCCGAGTGACCCTCTCCTGCCCCTTTCTCAGGAGGAGGGGCTCCATCTTGACTACAGGCACTTTCAGTATTCACGATTGAGCAATAGAAGCGCACCTTCAAGCAAGGAAAAAGGATAATAGTCTTGTCATATTTTCTTCTTCATCTCGGACTCGCAGTCCTGCACATCATGCTCGCTTTGTAGTCGTCTGTGTCGGTACATAGATCAGTGAAGACCAGAGTCAACACATTCTTCGCGAAAGAAAGAGATTTTCGAAATACCAGAAATAAACACTGTATTTGTGCCAACCTCTTTGTGCCAGTGAACGCTGCACTGGGTAGGTGCCACAGCGCATGAACTCGCACTTGCTGTGGCAGAAGATCTGACGTGAATCTGAGAAATCAGATGAATTCGGCAGGTATATCTGGCAACGCCTCTTTCAACCTCCTTTGTTTTCTTTTCTCAACTTCACACACCTCTACCGATTCTGACAATATCGCACTTTTTCAAGTGCTGTAGCAGTACGAACGTTGATATCAACACCGACAGTAGCAGCAGCCACAGCAGCAGCAACAGCAGGGGAGTCGATAGCAATATTCTCACCATCTACGCCTGTGCCGCGCCCTTATCCCCTCCTTCAACGCTTCTGCTCGTACTGCTACGATCACCACAGTTATGCCCAAACCCCGGCGTAACTTCATTGTCGGTCGCGACGCCACCACCCGTGGCCCCTCCGGCCCCGTCACCTTCTTGCGGCGTCTCACGGCGCCGCCAACCTATCTCCTTTGGCCGGTCCGCCAGCAGCACGTTGTGGCCCTCGAGATGGAGATTGTCCGGCAGGCCATAGAGGCACAACATGAGCAGATATACGACCCTTCAATCATCTGGGCGATGCTTGTGCTTCGGGACTTTGTCGAGGCGAGAACCGCGGGCGTCATCGGGGCTTGGCGCGAGATGTGGGAGGAGTTGAGGCGCAGTTGCGTTAGCTGGGCCCCCATTGAGTGCGAGATCGATTGATTCACGTGAGTCTTGATGGTTGTTGTTTGATGGAGCAGTTGACTGACTTGTTTCGCAGGGGTCGATGCTTGTAAGGGTGCCGTTGGTACACTGTTGGGGTTCGGTTTTTGTTCCGTCAAATGGTTTCTTTGACCGGTCGTGGACTGTCTGGATCAGTTCTTATATCTTCTGTTACTTAAACCCAAACAACATGCCCATCAAAGAGAACAGGCACCAAGAGCTTGTGGGAGAACTGGGTCTGGATTCCTAGTCTGGCGATGCCCTCGGTTATATCAAACTCAATAACTGGCCATGTTGGCATCCGATATCCCTCTGGGATCAAACCATCATCTTGTTTATCTCCTGATATTAACATCAATAACAATGCCTCGTCAACCCCAAATACCCCATCCAAAGTGACGCCTACAGATTCTTGGGCTCCAAGTCCTCTGGTTCCGCCGCGGTGAGTCTCCTCTGTCCCTTGGCTTTCCTCTCCGCGTCTAGTGTCTGCGCAAACTTGGACTTGGCGCGAATCCGAGGTCCGTAGAAGTAGATGACGTATACGGGTATGAGCACGACAAAGGCAATGCAGGCGAGGATCGTGCTGGCGTATTCGAGATGGCGTTTCTTGGGCGGAATGTTGCTGTAGAGCGGGCCAGCGTAGAGCGCAGCGATACCCGCGAGGAGATCTCGAGCAAATCCGTTGCCACCTGTCGCTGACGCGGAATAGACGCCGTAGGCTAAATACATCAGCATGGTGCAGTGCCAGATGAACAAGGGGCGACTTACCGGCGATCATGTAGTCGACAGTCGACATGTAGATGGCGTAGTTGGCAATCGCAATCAAGAAGGAGAAGATCATGGGCGCGATCCAGTGCGACTCGGGCGGTCCCATGGATGTCCAGGCAAATCCAAAGAGCCCGATCGTCTCCAACGGAGCTAGCCAGAGCAGCAACTTGAGACGGAACTCGGGTGCGAGCTTCTCCGACCCCTTTGCCTGGAGCTTATGCTGGTCTTTGATAATCCAGGGCCAATAGCTGGCCCACGCGACAAAGTAGCCAATGTTGATGGGAATGAACGCCCAGGCAATCTGCAAGGTGCCAAATCCCCATTGCTCGTAGACAGGGTGGAAACCCTCCTGGAACGTGAAGATGAGAGCATCCGAGAATCCAGAGAGGAGAGAGCAGCTGAGGACAATAGGCTCGCGCAGAAACATCTCAAAAGGCCGGGTCCAGGTGATGAGAAACTCGTGCATGGAGATGCGCGGGTTCTTGACTTCGTTCGGGCCGTACACGTTTGGATCCTCACCGGTCTTGCGCCGCCGTCGCGCCTCGCGGTCCATGATGATGGTCGATCGGCTCTCGGGCATGAAGAAATGGATAGCCTGGGCGGAAGCGCCGAAGATGAGCTGGATCCAGAAGTTCCAGTACCAGGGGAGAAACTTTTCGATCGGACCGCCCACGACGGGGCCGATGGACGTGCCAAGGACGGAGGAGAGGACGACATAGGCGACAGCCCATTGTTGATTGTCCGGACCGTACAGGTCAGCTACCATGCCGAGGGTGACACTGCCACCGGCGCAGCTGATACCGCCCTGTCTGGGTTAGCGAGGTCGTTCGTGGCAGGTGAGGTACGCACCAGTGCCCGTGCGGCCATAACGCTACCAAAGTTGGGGGCGCATGCGCCCAGGATTTGCCAGATGTTGACGAGGAAGATGGACATTCTGAACGGTTAGTTGAAGGGGGGGCATGGTAAGTGAATGGGACGGTACACACTGGAGGATCTTCCACCGCCCAAACTCCTCACTCCATGGTCTTCGTCTTGGGGAGGGCTATCTGGCGGAAAGAGTCCTTCACTTTTGCCTTCTTTTCTGACTGCGTCATCCGCTGGAGTAGGATCGGATCTCAGCGGAGACTGATCCCTGCTGACAGACATGTTGGGGCTTCTCTGTTTGATCTTGGGCAACCGTGGAGAATATCACATCGAGCAGCTACCAGGGCACGGCTAGCTATCTATATACATGTACCCTGTAGCCAAAGTCCTAACACGAATCCCCAGCCGAAGCAGGACAGCGTCATTCTGGGGCCATGACGAACTTGTGCTTCGCGATGCGCGGTTGGTCAGGGCGGGTTAAGCATACTGTTTAGCAGCGGCCCTTGTCCAGGGGCGGGCCCGGCCAAAAAAAGGCACCCGACTCACCGGCAGCAGCGCCTATTATCTACCGGCAAGGTAAACGATTGACATCATGTAGGAGAGTCGCGTGAGATGGAAGCATGAGGGCAAGAGGGCCGTCGGGCAAAAGACCGCACTGTCGTTGGGAATTATGGGCCAGGGCCCAGGGCTGACGGAGCCGCATCTTGGCTAGCGGCAGTGATCGATGATGGCAGGCTCGGCCTTCCCAGATAGGTAGGCCGTCGGGATCGGGGATATCACGAAAAGGATAGGTCGCGGGCGATCATCTTTGCTTGGTGAGAGGCCTCTCGGATCGCGTGCAGTGAGGGACCGACAAGGTTGGCTCTTTTGTGAAGCGGACGGAACTGTGCGCCGACCGCTTCGTCGGATATGAGCTCACCTTAATCAATGGCAGGACATGACCGCAGTGATGGCTCTCTTGACGAAGGATGGTGGAGTTGAAGACGAAGAAAGTGAAGCCAAGACGTGACACGGCAAGTCGGAAGAGACTGGTGTCTTTGGGTGACGGATGCGCTACGGCGGCTGGTGGGGCTCTCCCGACCACCTCGGGACTTTTCAGGAGAAACAAGCCTTTTCTTCTTTTTCTACGATTTAACAATTGCAATTGCTGTTTGTGTCTTAAGCGTCGCTGTTCTCCAGTCTTCGGTCCCTGTAGAGCACTGTCCGTTCGTCGTTCTGGTGATTTTGGGAACACCATACCACACTGCACTGCGGGTCGGATCTGATCCTTTATCTTGAGTGCGCAGACAGTGGGTAACGAGTTTGGTGACTCGCTTGGCCAAAGATCATTAGGTCGACCATTGATCATCGCTATCCACGACATTATACTTAAGCTACACTATTTTAAAGCGCAAAGGCCGCCCATGAATCATAATGAAATGAAGACTGTAGTTATCGACTTCAGCAGCCCTCACTCAAGTCAGGACCGCTGGGTACCGGGTAGCCAGCTACCCCTGTCAACGCTCCAGAGTCCAACCGCCAGCCGCGCCTCTCAAGCTTCACCAGCATGAACACACCGTTGTCCGCCTTCAACGGCATTGATGACACCCCGAGCCCACAACCATGAAGATACTACTTCACTCTCACTTCCCAGCAGGCCATGCACTTCCCATGCACGCTGTCGCCCAAGCCCTCGTCCGCAAAGGCCACACCGTCCACTGGCTTACATCGCCCACTCATGCCAAGCGTGCAGCCCAAGCGCCCGTCAACGTGCGCCCAGAGTTTCACGCAACAAAGGACACTTACAGCATTGACCAGCCATTGGAGAAAAAGGGCGAGACTGGCCTCTTGGATGGAGACTACTCCCGGCTCCAAGGTCGAGTCCTCGCTCAAGTCGAGGACTACCGCCGCGTGCTGCGCGAGATAGGCGACATTGATGTTCTCGTCGTCGACGTGATGCCCTATGGCGCACAAGCAATGTACGAGCTTGGGGAGATCCCCCGATGGGTCTCACTGGGTGTCATCCCCATGTACACATCAGGCGCGGACGCGCCTCTCGCCACCTCTGGCCAAGCCCCTCCCACCAGCTATCTTGGCCGCTGTGTCAATGCCTTTCACCAGTGGACCCAACAAAACCTGACCCTCCCATATTCTCTCGCCCCTGTTGTCAACAAACAGCGTCGACAGCTCGGACTTGCTGATCTTCCACGCGGTCAACCGCTCGAGAGCTACTGGTACAGCCCCTTTCTCCACATCCAAGCATCCTCCTCTGCCCTCGAATTCGACCAGACACCAGCAACCAAAACCGGCGTGGCGTTTGTCGGCCCGCTCTTTGCGCAAGACAGTACAGACAATCCGGACCATGTACCCCATGCGTGGGACGTAATTGTCGCCCATCCGCGTGTCATTGGTATAACCCAGGGCACCTTCACCATGAACCCGACCTCACTTATTATTCCGGCCATCAAAGCGCTTTCCGAGGACAAGCAGAACCTTCTTGTCGTGGTATCACCTTATGAACGCGACATTCGTGAGCAAATCGACGTCCCAAGCAATGTCCTCATCAAGGAGTGGCTACCGTACGACTTCCTCCTCCCCCAAATCCGCCTGTTCGTGACCAACGGTGGCTATGGAAGTATCACCCAGGCGCTCTATCACAAGGTTCCGCTGCTCTGTGCCGGGCAGACGGAGGACAAGAAGGACACAGCGGCCAGGGTGGCATGGGCCGGAGCCGGCATTGACCTCAAGACGGATAGTCCGAGTGTGGAGCAGGTCAAGCAAGCAGCGGAGGAAATCCTGGGGGACGAGAGGTATCTAGCGCGCGCGGCGGAGCTGGGCGAGGAACTAAAGGCTCTAGGGGGTGCCGATGAGGCCGCGCGCCTGCTTGAGGAGTTTGCGAAGCAGGAGTAGGTCTCACACCTCCACAGGCAAGCTACAGCACAGCGTTGAATCTACGCAAGGAGGTCCACAAGTTGGCGGCATACCCACGCCAGGCATTCTCATTGATGCACTTAGCAGCTATTTCTGTTCCTTGCTGGCCTCCGTCTTTTCACCCTCGTCATTGAACAGGGTTTCCTGGGCTATCGTCATGTTAGCATGTACTGGATGTCAGAAACACATAAAGGCACTCACCACTCCAGAGCTCTGCGTAGACGCCATCGCGGTCAATGAGCTCCCTGTGCGTACCCTGCTCCGCGACCCGTCCCTCCTTGAGCACAATGATCAGATCCGAGTCAAAGATGGTGCGCAGCCTGTGCGCGACAAAGACGCTCGTCCGCCCCTTTTCGCGTAGGATGCTGTTGATATTGTTCATCAAGGCCTGCTCGGTGTGCGTGTCCAGCGCACTCGTGGCCTCGTCAAAGAACAGCAGCGGTGGATCCTTGAGTAGGATGCGTGACATGGCGAGACGCTGCTTCTCGCCGCCCGAGATCATCATGCCGCGCTCGCCGACCTTGGTCTCGTAGCCCTCGGGGAACCGGGCGATGGTGTCGTGGATGCGGGCGCGCTGCGCGGCGGCAACGACCTGCTCGCTAGTCGCGTCAATTTTGCCGTAGCGGATGTTGTGCTCGACTGTGTCGTTGAACAGGGGCGTGTCCTGCGGCACGACACCGATGGACCGCCGCAGCGAGTCGACCTGTACGGAACGAATGTCCTGGTCGTCAATGAGGATGCGACCGTTCTCGACGTCATAGGAGCGGAAGAGCAGGCGTAGCAGCGTGGACTTGCCACAGCCACTGGGGCCAACGATGGCAACCTTCTTGCCGCCTGGGATGGTGAGCGTCAGGTCCCGCAGAATGGGCCGTTCTGGGTGGTAGCCAAAGTCTACATTCTGGAACTTGATCTCGCCAGTCTTGAGAGCCAGCGGCTTGGCATTGGGCTCGTCCTTGATGGTGACGTTGACCTTTTGCAGGTTGAAGAGGGTTTCCATGTCGAGCAGGGACTGCCTCAGCTCGCGGTACACCGACCCCAAAAAGTTGAGGGGCACCGACAGCTGAAAGACGAGCTGGTTGACCATGACGAGGTCACCCACCGTGAGCGTGCCCTGCGCCACGCCGTTGGCCGCCAGGTACATCATGCCCGTCAGCGCCGACGAGAAGATGATGTTCTGGCCGCTGTTCAACATTGCCAGTGACGTGGCCACCTTGATGGAGCTCTTCTCGTACCCAGCCAGGGCCTTGTCGTACCGCGCCACCTCAAACTTTTCATTGTTGAAGTACTTGACGGCCTCGTAGTTGATGAGCGAGTCCACGGACACGGTGGACGCCTTGTTGTCGGCGGCGTTGGCCTGGCGGCGGAACTTGGTCCGCCACGCCGTGGTCCAGATGGTAAAGGCCGTGTAGCCGACCATGGTCAACACCGTTATGGCCGCGAACTTGGCGCCATATTGCCACGTCAGGATACCGCAGACGAGACTGATCTCCAGTGCCGTGGGCAGGATGTGGAAGACCATGCTCGTCAGCAGAAAGCTGATACCCTTTGTTCCCCTGTCTAGCGCGCGCGTCAAGCCACCCGTCTGTTTCGACAGGTGGAAGCCCAAGTCCAGCCGTAGCAGGTGATCAAACACATTCCTAGCCACGCCTCGGATGGCTTTCTGTGCGACGGACGCAAAGACTGCGTTTCTAAGCTCCTGGAACACCGTAGCACCAACACGGGCGCCTCCGTATGCTAGAATCATGCTGCCCACCACGGCGCTCGCCGTCCCCATGGTCGAAATGTCGACGTTCATACTGTCCACAATGGACTTGAAGTAAAACGGCACCTGCACGTTGAGCAGCTTGCCGCCCACGAGGAGGCCGACGGCCAGGGCCACGCGCGTCTTTGTGTTCATGTCGCCCTTTGGCCAGAGGTAGCGCGACATCTCCCGCATGATGGCCCAGTCCGCCTTGCGCTGGGCAGCCGGGCTCTTCTCCTCGGGCGTGAGGTTACCATGGTCGCGTGGCTTGGTCGGTGTCGGCGACTTGGTCGACGACGACGGGGCGGCTGGGGTCTTTGGCGCTTGACGTCGCGCGGTCGATGTGCGGAAGGGCTTGATCGCAGCAGCAGCAATGGGTCGTTGCGCCAGCCATGATGGCCGGGACGGGGCGGACGAGGCTGGCGTCGCTGCTGCCTGGAGGAGGGATGCGCACCGCGGGCACTGCGTTCGAACGAGGAGTCGCGGAATCATGGTTGGAATGGCATAGCGAGGTCACAGGCTGCTCAGTTGCCCATGGACGATTGCGAGGAGCGTGTTCGTATTGTCGGTGACGTTCGTTGCGGCAATTGTGCTGCGGGCTCGTCCGTCTTCGGCTCCGTCCAATTTTGGGCCTCAGGCTGCAGCCTCCACGACACGCGATCATTCTCTGGCAAACACGCGCCATCAAGGTGCACCGTTCAATCTTAGCTGAGCTCAATTGGAGATTTCTTAGCTACTGTACTAATTATATGCCATCACTCTTCATCAGGCTGTGGCCTCCGTTTGATCCACACCTTCATCTCCTTCGTAGGGTGCCGGGAGGCCGCTTGCTTCGTGGTCTTTGGCACGGACCATTCCTGGCCCTCGGGCCTCCTAATGTCGTACATGGTCACAATGGCAGCGGTGTACATCATGAGCTCCCGCATGGCAAATGCACGCCCCTTGCACATGTGTGCGCCTCCTCCATATGGCCGGATGCTGCCCATGTCCGCGGTGACAGTTATCTTGCCGTCCTCGCCCATCACCTCCTTGACGTGCCTTCGCGGCTGCCATTCATGGGGTTCGGGGAAGTATTTGGGGTCCAGCTGATGCAGATCGTGCGGCGCATGAGCATACGTCCCCTCGTTGAGGACGTACGTGTCGTCGCCTCGACCGAGCGTGGTGTCTTGCTGGACGTACTTGATGGACCAGGCGCTCACGTAAAGCCGCAAGGTCTCGACGTATGATGACTTGAGCAGAGGGCATTTTGTAGAAAGACCCTCAATGTCAAACGTCTCGAGCTTAGGTGGTATCGAGATGCCAGTACCGAATAGGTTCTTCGGCTGCACTCCCTTGATATACGGTGCAATCTCCTCCCGGATCTGCTCCAGCAGCACCGTGTCCTTGTAGATATGCAGTAGCATCCAGTACACCAGAGGACTCGAGTTGGCGTTCATGGCCCATACCAGACCCAAGTCGGCGGCAGCGCGCACGGAGGTTGGGACCTCGTGCTTTTCCCATATGCGCACACGCTCCTTCTGGAGGATACTAATGTCATCCAGGTTCTCCCATCGGTGACCAGGTTCCTCTCCCTTGGACCACTTGCCCAAGGCCTCGTGATACTCGTACAGGCAGTTGAGCTGCCGCCTCTTGGACGCCTGCGCACGCTGCAGTGGCCACCAGGGGAGCCAGGACGGGAGGCCCATGGCCATCAGCACAAACCCAGCGTCGAAATCCCAGACGTACTTTGGGTGCTCGGGAAAGTTCTTGCAAAAGTCCGTGCCCATGAGAGCCGGGTTGGCCGTCTGTGCGACAAAGTTCTTGGACAGGCCCATGAGCTCGGCTTCAACGTACTGTTCACCATTGTGGTCGACGACGTCGGCCTCGGCCATGCGCTCCCATTCCGCCTGGTCCGAAGGATAAGCGTTGAAGGTGACAAAATCGGCAATGGACGATTGGAGACTCTTTGCTGTGGTCTCGACCAGGTTGGCCAGGCCCTCGCCGCTGAGCATGATGTTGTACGCCTTTCCCACCTCGTCCCAGAACGCCTGGAAAAGGTCCAGATCGGACTTTTTGAACCCAAAGTTGGTGACGCAGAGCCGCTTGCTCACGAAACTCTCGTCGGCGACCGAGTGGGGCTTGTTCATGAGGAGTGTTGCCAGGGACGGCTTGTAGACAATGCTGTGCGTCTTGCCCATGAACAGGAGCGAGACGATGCCCTGGGGATATTTCTCTCGGAGACCAGCGAGGAAGGAATCCCCGTTGAGGGACATTTGGGGCACATGGCCGAGGAAAGGGACGTAGTAGCCTGGCTGGGCCGCCGTGTGGGCGCCCTTGGAGCCGGATTCTGGCGCGCCCGTCAAGAGGCGCGTTGTGATGGCGACGATGAGCAAGGCTGCGATGACTGCGACAGTCGTGGGCTGCTGGGCCTTGGCCAGGAGCTGCTCAAGCTGTCCAGCCATCTTCAGAGGGCGGTGGGAGTGAAGAGGGGAGTCGTGCTGGCAGACAAAGCGTTCGATCGAACCCTTAATTAATATTCCAGTCCTGAATCCTGCTGGTACGAGACGCCTTTTCGGTATGTTTGTTATTGGAGGTGGTCAAATCCTACCTTCAGGGGTTTTCGTTAGTGCTGACGCCCTGACAGCTCTCAGAGACTGGAGGGACGTGGATTGGCTAGCACTCAAGGCTAAGCCGAATTGAACGTTTTTCAGGGGCCAGCTGCGCGGCCACCACCCCTGGACCTTGGGGTATTTACGGACTTAGGACTATGTACATTTACCGAATTTTGGGTACGACGATAGATATTAATGATAAGCTCGCTATTAATACTATCCGTGGACCGTGCCTCCACGATTTTGTTATCAATACGGAGTAGGCGCTGGCGTATGGATCCCCAGTCTTTGACTTGAGGCGGCGTACCAGCTTTTTGTGTCTGAGGACTGAAGTTGCTGAATTCGACATGGCGCAAAGTTTCGGCAGTTATCTCTTTGAAACAGCCTTGCTTTGACGGGCTGTTGTTTATTTCATCAGATATGAGAACAAGAGATGAGATTCATGAGCAAATTCCATATGCTTGATTGGTTTCTCAACGATGAGTAGACTTGAAGTGATCAGGGAGCGCGACGCGATACAGGGTAAGCACACCGCACTATCTCTAATGCGGGGCTTCCAACTTCAATTCAAAGGTTGACATAAAGGTCGTTGCTATCGTCCGCTGCAGATTGATAGCTACGTACTGCTTAACCAGTAGTGAATAGTGTACTCAAACGAAAGTCACGCGGCACTAATCAGGTACATGATAATCGTTGGTTGCAGAATCTTGCAGCGATCCATGCTGTCTCGGTTTCCGCCGTGGAAAACCGTCCCGCTGTGAGCGAGCCAGGACCTTTTGCTCCGTCACCCTACCTGGCAGCGGATGCCAATCCCGTTCAACGCCAGACTCGATGTCGCTGATCTCAAGGCCGCCCTGGCGAGTGTCGGCAATCTGGTCATCGTGCTACAATCGATGAATTCACTGGCGACGCTGAGTCGCTGACCATGACATGCTCCAAGAGCCCAAAGTAGGGCTGTCATGGGATTGTATAGATCCCGATACGGCATCCATGCCCAGTGCCGATCATCACATCCCACTACAGCCAGCGTCATCAGCCTGACACAAGATGGCGTTTTCAGCACAATACCTACGTAGTGATCGGCATGTCGTAGTTAAGCTGTGCTCGCCCACCTCTGAAGTCTGAACCTGACCAAGACGTGATCATCATGAGGGCTGCCTGGCTTCCATGGCACGGCAATGCAGCACTTGGCAGCAGCCCCGCGTGCATGCCAGCCTACGCCATTCCGGGCTAGCCCACTATGATAGATCTTCGATCTTCGATCATCGAGAACGAATAGCATGCATGTCCGGCTCATTGGCGCGCGAGGTCGCGCGAGTCGAGTCGAGCGTCCGTATCTGCGGTCGTCTTCCTTCTCGAAACTTTCTAGACTAGCCACCTTCCATGATCACATCTGCTGAAGAAGTCGAGACAGCCGTCCGCTCTCGAGTCTCGAAGCAAACCACACGACGAATGTGCAGCGGACGCTCGCCGTGCCCAACTAACTGCCTGCCTGCCGCCTGCGAGGTGGCTTGTTCCTTGCATCTCGTACCTGCCTCGACCTCCAGTCGACCAGGCCTTTCGCAAAGCGCCATGACATCACAGGGACCGACTCTGGGCACCGCCCACCCGGTCAAGGAGGTCTCTGAGGCGACAAGAGAGCGCGAAACTCTTCGCTACGACCCTTTTCTATACCACGACTTTCGCGCGAACGATACCGGCATCCCCATACCCAGCTCAGAGATCCATAGCTCCCGCGACAGTATTCTCACCGGCCTCACCCAGCTGGGCGCCTACCAGACGGGCACAGAGCGAGCCTTTGTCTCCTTGTTCGACGTGAGCCACCAATATGTGGTGGCCGAGGCTACACCTACCATGGGGCTTGCACCCAACCTGCCCAGCGCCGTATGCCCTTCGCCTCTAGCCCTCTGTGGTGTGGCGATTCCAAGAGCGCATGGTACGTGCGAGCACGTCCTCTACCTCCAGGATTGCGACGCTGCCGAGACAAACCAGCTGCCACTCTCCTTCGTGCCCAACTTATCCGACGACGCACGATTCAACACAAGGCCCTATTGTCAGTTTGGCGAGGCGGGCCAGTTCTATGCTGCTGTGCCGATCCGGACCAAGAGGGGCATCAACATTGGCTCGTATTGTGTCATGAGCACCAAGAAACCCGAGAATTGGAGCGACCAGTCCGTTTCACACATGCGCGACATCTCCCGCGCCATCATGAACCACTTGGAGGGGAATCGCGCGAAGCATGTCTTCCTGCGAAGTGAACGGATGAACCTAGGATTGAGTTCTTTCATTGAGGGGAAGGCAACACTCTCAGGCTGGCGATATGGGCCAACGTTGGATCCATTTGCAGTGGATGAAATTGCGGAAGGCCATCTCGACTATACACAACAAAGCCTTGATCCTGACCGTGCCGCAGGATTCGCGGAGAACGACGCTGACTGGGCAAAAGTAATCGCATCCCAGCCCAAGTGGCCTGGTATCCCTCCTAAGCCCAGGCAACCTGCACCGAGCACTCGGTCGAACGAGGCCGAAGTCCTTTCCAAAGCATCCAACATCATCCGCGAATCGTTCGAGGTGGCTGGCTGCCTGTTTTACGACGTAGCTATGACTTCCGGGCAGTTCACAAAGGCCGGCAACGGCAATATATCCTCTACCAGCAGTAGCGACGACCAGCCCGCCATCACCCCAGCCGTGTCGAGCGACGTGCCTTGCGAGCTTCTTGGATTTTCGACATCCAAGGCGTCAAGCATCAACGGCGCCAAGCTACCCGCTGACTTTGGCATTTTGACACAGCGTCTGATGGCAAAGTTCCTGCGACGCTATCCCAGCGGAAAGATCTTCAACTATGATGCGTCTGGGGAGTTGGAGACGAGCGATTCCTCTTCGGATGACGAGGGCACCGACGCCGCGCATCAAAACCCTCCCTTACGAGCCCGCAAATTATCGACCCATGTCAAGGATGAGCAATCCGTGTCGCAAATCTTCCCCGGCGCACGTAGTGTCGCATTCATCCCCGTATGGGATTTCAAGCGCGAGCGATGGTTCACTGGAGGCTTCGTCTACACCAACAATCCTGCAAGGCTGCTCAACAATAAATCCGAGTTGAGCTTCTTGAAGGCCTTTACCAAGCTGGCGGCCATTGAAGTGCACACTCTACAGGCGGTCCAGAGTGACAAGGCGAAACTCGACGCGTTGGGGTCTCTCTCTCACGAACTGCGCTCGCCTCTACATGGCGTCATCTTGGGAACCGAGCTGCTGAGCGACACAAACCAGACCGTGTTCCAGGGAAACGCAACACACATGATCGAAATCTGCTGCAGGACATTGCTCGATACGGTCGAGCATCTTCTGGACTACTCCAAGGTCAATAGCTTCTCCGTCATGCGCAATCAGGGTCCCTCGAAGAGTCGCAATCGCTCAGGAGAGAAGCTTATGCACACAGATGTGCGTCTGGACGGATTGGTGGAGGAAGTCGTGGAAAGCATGTTTGCCGGCTTCAATTTTCAATTCATGTCGGTGCGGGACCTGTCCAAGAAGGATCTCGCGGCACACAACAGGACCATGTCTCTCAAGAAGCTCACCCCCGAACAGCGACTCTCGATTGGAGATTTAGCCGTGTTCTTGTGGATCGACCCGGCGTTCGAATGGCTGTTCTATGTCCAGGCTGGCGCGATTCGACGCATCGTGATGAACTTGTTTGGAAACGCGCTGAAATACACGCCCTCGGGCACGATCAAAATCACGGTCACACAAGACACCGCCAAAGACCACGCGAAACGTCAACGGGTGGTGAAGTTGATTGTGCAGGATACAGGAAAGGGCATTGGGGAGGATTATCTGCGCCACAAGTTATTTACACCATTTGCGCAAGAGGATGAGCTGGCGCCAGGAACGGGCGTGGGTCTGAGTTTGGTCAACCGCATTGTGTCCCAGCTAAAGGGGCAAATCGCCGTGGAGAGCAGAATCCGCCAGGGTACGACGGTCACTGTCACGCTGCCTCTGGAGCAATCGTCAAAGGCTTTGGACTTGTCGGAGGATGATCAGACATTCGAGGAGCAGGTGCGAGAGATGGCGGGTTTGCGCGTGAAGCTCGCTGGCTTCGACATGGTGCCCGAAGGACGGCCCATTGTGGAAAGGATGTGCAAAGAAGCGCTGCAGCTAGAGCTGGTCGATGGTGAGCAGCCTGGAGTGGAACCACAACTTGTGCTTTGGTCGGACGATACGTTGCCCAGGGACTTCAAGCAATCCGGCGAAGTTTCAAAACTACCAAACGTGGTGGTCTGCCACAATGCCCTGGTGGCGTACCAGCGATATACGGAATGCGAGGCTGCTGGCCAAGCCGGCATTTTCGAGTTTGTGTCACAACCGTAAGTCTCCGTTGTCCAAGTCGGTCCATAGCCGCGCTAACTCTGACCAGGATCGGGCCCCGTAAACTCACCAGATCGATACAGTGTGCCTGGAAGCGATTCAACGGGCAGCTACAGGGTTCTGTGGCACCTCGACCACCAGGACCCACGCGGATACGAAGCTCGTATGGCAAACAAGTGACCTCGGCCCAGGGCATAACTGCAGATCTCACCCATGACTCTACCGCACTGAGCACACAGCCAACGGCATCCCCCAAGACGCCACCCAAGACACCCGAGGATACAGAAATCCACGACTTTGAGCTTGGACCGCGAGCAACTTCTCTAGATCTCCCGGAGACAGCAAGCGCGAAGAAGATGCTCCTTGTCGACGACAACCCCATCAACCTCAAGGTCTTGTTCGCATACATGAAAAAGCTCGGCTGCGACTTTGAGTCGGCCACCAACGGCCAGGAGGCTGTGGACGCGTACAAGGCGAATCCCGAACAATTCCGCGGTGTGCTGATGGATATATCGATGCCCGTCATGGACGGTCTGGAAGCAACGCGCCTTATCCGTGCGCATGAGCGGAAACTGCACCTGGCGGCTGTGCCGGTGCTGGCGCTGACCGGCCTGGCGTCGGAGAATGCCTGCCAGGAGGCGATGAAGAGCGGCGTGGACATGTTCCTGACAAAGCCTATGCGGTTCAGCGCGTTGAGCGATGTCTTGGAGTCGATGAATATACTGGGGTCGGTGACGGGCACCCATGAAGTGCCGGAAACCCCGAATGGAATCACGGCCGAGGTGGCTGCTTGATTGAAGTCTGGGTATTTAACTACAAACGGACACACATGTTTATTTCAGCATTGCGGCAGGAGTTTGGCGACACGGAAACAATACACGAGGCATGACGGATTAGCGGAGCTAGGCGTTTGTTTGTTATATTGACGGGACGCATGGAATGCGCTACGACATTTTGGATTGACGATATTGGTTGTTATAGGCTTGGACAGGCTTCAGATGGAGTGCATAGAAGGAAGGGATGTGTGGTCGAACAGGATTGCATCGGGCATGATGAGTCAAGACACAAGATACCCCCATCATGACTTACTTGTCGGTGCCCAATAGTTTGTACGTGTATGCCCCGTTTTCCGCCTCTGAGAGCAATTGGTCATCGGCTTCTGGAAAAGACCACAAGAGGTCGATCCATACTGTCATCCTTCGTCGCTGCAAAAGTGGCCGAAAAAAGTGTCCGAGGCCACCGTTTGCCCCTGACGTGGTGTCCGGCGGTCTTGTCGACCATGAAACCCCATGCTTTAACCTCATTTTATCATGACTGGTCACATGGATGGCTTGTCTTGTTACCAAGTCGCTGATTTGGACAGGCTCGCACACTTTCTCACTACACTGGTTGACGATGCCTCATCGAAGACCATCCATAAGTCCCCGTCGCCTTCGTACAAAAGGCCAGCATCTCGCTCTCCTCCTGCCGCATCCATCCTCACTCTCGAACCATCTATAGACGATCCTATCAACCTTCCAAGAAACTCCAACACAGACCCTCGACCAGCATGCCCGAGTACACCCTCCTCATCTGGGCACGCGGCGCCTTCCCCCGTCGCATCGTCTACCAACTCCTCCAAAAGGGCCTCGTCACCTCGCCAGCCGCTCTCCTGGCCGGCGAGACGACGCATCCCAATCTCACGCTCAACATCCAAACCATGACGATTACGAACGGCGCCTTTTCCGATACCCAGTCTAACCCCTCCGACCCCAAACCTGCGGACAAAAGCACCCCCTGCCTGCGTGTGCGAGACGGCGACACAGAGTCCTGGATCCACGAAAGCGCGTCCATCATGATGTTTGTCGAGGACACCTTTGAAGGCCCCAATCTCGCGAGCAGAAACCCTCTCACAAGGGCGCAGACGTGGGATCTGCTGGGACAGATCAACCTCGCCATGGTCGATAGCATGTACTACATGCGCCACGCGACGCCCGTCACGCAGTTTTGGTCGGGCATAGATCCCAACGAGCGCTCGCACCCCGCCGCACGGAATGCTCGTGACACATTCCACCGCGGCCTGGTGAAGCTGCAGACCTGGGCGGAGCCCTCGCTCAAGAGCAGTGGATGGCTTACACCTGGCGTCGACGGTCCTGGTGTCGTGGACTTTGCGGTTGCAGGCCCGGCGCGATACCAGTGGCTGGGCTATGAGCTGGACAGCTTTGAAGATGAGAGGCTGGGGCTCCTACGGGAGTGGTGGGCGCATTTCAAGACGTTGAGCTGGTGGGAGGAGTTTGAGGAGTGCAAGGACAACCATCCCGAGGGATTTAGCTTTCCGAAGGAGGTGAGAGAAGTGTGAAGTGCTTTAGACATAGGGAGAGTCTAATTCACCATTGGTTCGCCTCCTGATTCAGTCTCTCCAGCTCCGCCCGCGCACCAGTCCAGGGTTTTCGTTTCCCTTGGTCAAAGAGCCTCCACATGACGCTCGTCAGCACGCCATCCATGAGCATCCTCCACAAGTCCCTCTCCTGCCACCAGAAAAGCCACCCTCTGAGGCCCCAGCCCAGTCGTTCGAACACGCCCAGTCCAGCCGTCGCGTCCGCCCATAGCAGCCACTCCCTCTGTGGCACAGACGCAGGAACGGGCGACCCTCGTTGCGCCAGTGCCACCATCCTCTCCTCCTGCCTGGCTACCCAGTTCTGCATGGCTTCGCGCGTCGGAAGATCCGAGTTGCCCTTCCAGATTTGCGCGACCGACATGCTGGCCAGATCAGCTAGTAGAAACGCCCCTGTTGGGAACCACGCGCAGCCCATGAACGCGAGGGACTCTGGCTTTTCGAGGGAGAAGACGTTCTGATATAACCGTGGCAGCGGACGACCTTTGGACCCGGGGGCGGCCGTCCAGTGTGGATTTTGGCTCGCACTCGGATCGTATCGAGGATCCAGGATCCCAAAGTCATTCTGGTAACCCGTGCAGCAGATGATCGCATCGACCTCTATGACTTCGCCATCTTCAAGCTCGACCTGTCGGGGTCCCACGACTTGTCTCACGCCAGGCACAGAGGCTACCGCTCCTGATTTGAAGTGGTCGATGAGCGTGTCGGACACGACAGGCGTAGCCACCATCATGGATGGGGCAGGTTCGAGCCCCCATTCTGGTTTCGGGACACCAAAGGAGTTTGTCATGACTTCCTTTGCCTTCTTATTGAGAGACTTTTCCACAAGAGAAGGACTGAAACGCTCGATGAAATCCTGAGTGTTGATGCGTCGCTGAGTGACGAGCCTATTGACCGGCTGGCCGTTGATAAGGCGTGGCATCTAGTATTGGTGTTAGCGAGGCGCTGCAGTCTCAGGAAACATTCGACATACTATGAGAGCGCCGCGATGATGCGCTATACAGATGGACGAGGCGTGCGGCACCAGAGCATGGGCAATGTCACCACTGGTGTTGCCCAGTCCCAGCAGTAGCACCCTTTTTCCTGCGTAGTCGTGCGGTCTTGTTGGTGTCAGCTTGGCAGCACGAGCTGGGGAGGGAAATCTACCGTTTGAAAGCCTTGGAGTGTATGAACTCAGCCGTAAGAAGCCTCGAATTTTCGACGTGAGGCATGCTGGGCCGAACATGCGGGCCGGTAGCCATGACAATCCTGTCAAAGTGCCTGGCGTCCTCGCCATGCACATCTATCCGCCACTGCTGCTTCTCGTCTACAAAGACGATCCTCTCGACAGTCGCATTGAGACGGAGATGGGGACGGAGATGGAAGTGGTCGACGTATGCTTCGAGATACTCCTCAACCATGGAAGCGGAGGGAAAAGGTGGTGTTCCTGGAGATCCAACGTCAGCGCTCTGCTTTGGCTGTTTAGTGAATAGGCAAGTAGAACAACCTTTTGGAAACGGGAAGTCTGTGTAGCAGCCCTGTGCAATTTTGTCAGAAGGAGATCTACTCAAAGCACATGTCCAGCTCGTACCCTGTCTATCGAGACATTCACCTGGGTATCTTCTTACGTTAGCCCGGCGCATTGTCTAGTTTATAGCTGAAAGAACAACTCACCCTTTAACACGCTCAACGTGTCCCTATCCTCAGTATAATGCCATAGTCCACCGACATAGCCACTGTTCTCAAAGCCAGTCACGTCGAAATCCTCCTCCAACAGATTCTTGACCGCCACAATACCCATTGCCCCTGTTTCTCGGTAGTTAGCGAACGTTTCCAGCCTTTTCGAGATTGGCGACGACACTCACCCAGCCCAATCACAGCTACCGTGTTCCCTGTCATGACAACGGCAGATACTGGCGAGAAGTCTCATGACACGAGAAGAAAGCAGAGAGCGACAAGAAACGGTAAGCTGAGATGGCACGACAAGCTCACCGAGAAAGGCGGTGCGACACATCTGGGACCAGGGGGTGGTCAGTCGGTCGGCAGTTAACTGGGCCCCTGACACCGAACCTCAGGCCCGCATTCGTATGAGTTCAAGGACATTTAACGCGCATTTAACGGACGCCAAGTGAATGTAACGTGTCCACGATATGCAATGGCCCGGTTTTGCCAGTAGCCTTCGTCAACCAGGAGTCTTGGGCCCAGCCTCACGAGACGCGCAATGCTGCCTTTGTACGGAGTAGCGCACATCGAATCCAATGCATCCGCGTGTCCGAAAAAGGCAATTTTTGGCTGCCGCCGTCATGCGCGACATGCTCGCAACTTACAAGGGGCCGGTCCCCCCATCGCGGAATCCATCCGCTGCACAGGGACTTGGACAGACAGACAGAAAGACAGTCGATTATACAGCTACCTGCTCATTTGAATGGTAGCCACCTAGCATAGCGAGCTACGGATAACAATACCTCCCGTTACGTCGACGTGATCCTCTCATTAGCAAAACACATCCATAGTGACCAGTAATTATACCTTGCAAAGACTCATCCAGCCCAAAAGCCTACACCTCCTCAATCACCGGACCGCGAGCGGGCACGTCCTCCATGTCCTCCTCGAAATCACTAGACGCCGCATCGTCCACCGTCGCCTTCCCTGGCCCCTTGGATCCTCCCTCCGTAGGAAGCTCATCGTCCTCGATCGGGTCCTGGGACAGCATGGCGCTCGACTTCTTCACCGACGACGACCCACCCTTGCGCTTGCCGTACGTCTTCTTGACTTTCTTGCTGGGCGTCTTCTTCTCATCCGCCAGCACTTCTTCCACATCAAACCCGTCCTGCGCCTGCGCCATTTGCGCCTCCGCCAGAGCCGCCGCAGCACCGTCTTCTTCGGTCGGCTGCGCCAGTTCCGCGTCGAGATCCTGCAGGGCAGGGTCAATCTGGAGCTCCTCCTTGCCCGCAGGTCCTTCGCCCTCCGCGTCCGAGTCCCACACCTTATCGGCACTCTTGTACTCGTGGGAGACTCTGGGCCTTCTGCCCCTAGCCTTGGCACCTCCTTCAGCGTACGGTGTCGTGTGCGTCTGCAGGAGCTTGCTTTCCACCTCATCATCTCCCTCCTCCTCGATGAACTCGGGCAGCGCATGGTTCGCTTCGTGGTAGTCGAGTAGCCACTGCGCAATGTCGCGGGGGTTGTCCTTCTCCTTGCCGAGGTCGGGCACCGTCTTCTTCAGGCGGTGCCACAGCAGGACCTGGGCGCGACGATGCCACTGCAGGCGCCAAGGGCGGTCGACCAGTTTGGACCAGGGGATCTTCAGGTCACTGGAAGCGCCGCTTTGCTGGATGGCCCTGATCATCTGCAGACGCGGTTCCTCACCCATCTCCTGCAGCTGGCGACGGGCCAGCTCGAGCTGGAATGACCCTGGGGGCGCATCCTCAGCAAGAGATGGAAAATGCTCATCCTCGCCCAGGTAGATGTGGAAAGACTTCCACTTGGTGATGCACTGGAGCCGACTGCGGGTGTTGTCCATGGCGGCGCTGATTTCCTGCCAATCAATCGAGTCTTCTGGCGCATTTGTGTACTCGCGCCCAGGCGTCAGACGACGCGCAGCGTAGATGGTGTTCAGCGCCTCGAGGTAGACTCGGAGCAGTCTGATCTCTTCCGCTTCGCTCCAGACGTCCTTCTTCTGGTTGTCACCGCAGACAATGTAGTTCCTGAAGCGATCACGCAGATCTTCCGGGTGGCGGTTGAGAAGCGCGGCAATGTGTGACCACGCTTTCCCGTGCTTCTCGATGAGGCCGCGAAGCTCGTCATCCTGCGCCTCATCCCAGGCGCCACGCGCGACAAAGTTGTGAAAGTTCTTGCGGCACGTGTTGATGACCTTTTGCCGATGACGATCTGGGCATCTTTCGAACAGTCGGTTCCAGAGCTCCGCGTGCATTTCGCCAGCCTGCGCGCCGCCGCGGGAGTGCATCATCTATCCTGTCAGTTACGGATACAAGACAAGGAACGGAACAAACAAAACGTACCGCAATGACTTCGTCGTCAGTCTTGCCATGCTCCTCGGCAAATGCTTTCCACTCCTTGCGAAGGAGGTCAATCTCCTCCTTGGAGAATCGCCCCTGCGTCTTCCCCTCCATGCGATTACGTTTCGGCTTCTGTTGTCTCCTATCAAAGTCGCCGTCTTCGTCGTCGCCGTAGGATGCGACCTCGGCCTTAGGTTTTTCCTGCTTCTTCTTGGCAGGTTTGGCTCGCTTTCGCGGCTTTGGCTCGGCCGCGGACGGCGACGGCATTTCTTGCGCAAATTGCTGCGGCTCATCGTAGAACGTCGGCTTCGCCTTCTTACGCGTCGACGCGCGCTTTCTTGGTTCGGCATCGGCGTCAGCCATTTCCGTATCACCGCCCTCAGCTTGCCCGTTGTCGTGTTCAGTGAGTGCCTCGCGGGCGAGCTCCTCAACATTGGTCGACGCGGGGGGCTGGCCAGATTGGCTGTGACGACGGACGTGCGCGACACTGGGAGAGCCCTGGGGGTCAGCAGCGTCCACATCTTCGTCTACGGCCTCCTCGACGCGCGCGGGTCCGGACGCGCTGTCGCGGTGCAGGAACTCGCCGTCGTCTGCAGCTTGGGGCTCGCGGGACCTGCGCTTCTTGGACTTTTTGCCATCGGCGTCGACCGAATTGCGCTTTCGCTTCGTCTGCGGCACTGTGACAACCTCTGTCATCTCCGCCTCCACCGCAACAGGGCCATCGTCCACCTCGACGGGTTCGCGCTTCGCGTGGCGATGGGCGGATTCCTCCTCAGGCTCTTCCACGTCAGGCTCATCGGCTCGGTGCTTACTCTTGCTTCCCTTCTTCTTCTTCTTGTCCTTCTTTGACTTCTTGGAGATGGACGGTGGCTCCTCGGCCGACATGAGCGCGGGGGGCGCCGGGTTGTTGCGCGCAAAGGACGCCGCGTTCGCCTGGGACGAGTAGGGCGCTTCGACCGCGTTGCTGTCAAACACTTCGAGGGTGCCAAAGTCGTCCATGCTCATGTCGACACCCTCGACATTGTCGTCATCGTCCAAGCCGCCGCCCATGGCGCGCCCGTTTGTGTCGTGGAGGTCATTGCGACGGCTGCTGCTGTTGTTGTTGTCGTCGTAGCCACCGGCGCCGCTGCTGGTGCGGTTTGCGTCATTCGGGTGCTGCTGCGCGTCGGTCGCGTCTGGGGCGTCCGGGGCGTCCTGCTGGGGTTTCTCCCCCTCCTGCGCGCGATCCTTGCTCTGTGATCCAAAACTGGACCAATTCAGGCCAAGGCTAGCCCATCTGCTTCCACTCGACATTGGATCCGCGTTTTTTCTGATGGATGTTGATGTCAATGGGCGGATGAGCAGTGGCGCGGTGAGGGAAGAGGTGTAGGGTGAGGAGATTGCAAATTGTGTTTGTGTGGGTCGAGGAAAGGTGGGGACTCTTTGGCCGGATTGGTCAGGTGGCCTGGTGCCTGAAATTTGAGGCACATGCGTGGCTGCGTGCTTGATTCTAAGGTACACATGATAACACTAGGAAACTATAAGTGATTGTACAGCGTTCTAGTTCTTCTTCTCATCACCGTCGTCGTCGTCGTCTTCGTGCATGTTCAGATTCACAGTGAACCCGTTCGACCCCTTCTTGATCTCGTACTCTCCGCCCAGCACCAGGTCCTTTGCAACCAGCTCTCTCGTGCGGCCCAAGCTCTCAATGTCGGCGATGCGCTGCATCGTGTCCTCCAGGAGCTTGTCGAACCCTTCCTGGGCACAGATCTCCTGGAACGCGCGGTGCATCGGCACGCTGCTCGCGCGCACGTCGGCTTGGCTGGTGATGGTGACGAGGTTGAGGCTGTCGAGCTCGCGGATGAAATCGCAGCGCGTCATGATCTGCTGGGCAATGTGGAACGGGTACGTCGGGAGCGTGTGGCCACGCTCGTCGTCGTACGTCTCCATGTCTTCCTCCTTGTCAACGAGCGCTTTGGCGAGGGTCATGGCCGCCGACGCCCACTTTTGCTGATCCATCACGTCGTCGTCCATCTCCATGCCGAGGATCCAGCATTGGTTGAGGAACCATCGCTTCTCAATCTCCTTGATCTTCTCGCACGTGCCAATCATATCTCTGCTCTTGGCGACGCGGTTCAGGAAGCTGAGGCGGCCGCCCACGCGTCTGTAGATGTCCTCCAAGGTCTCCTCGGACACATCCTGCTTGAGGTACTTCTTCCTGTACTTGGCGAGGGCGGTCATGGCATCTCTCTTGGGCAGATCCGTGACGCTCATGACTTCCATTCTCGTGGCCAGTTGCTTGAGCCGCTCGTACACCCAGTAGTCATCCGAGTTGAACACCATGGTGACGAGGTTCGCCGCCGCCCATTGCTCGGCGCGCTGCTGGAGGAGCTCGATCAGGTCGCGGCCCTCCTCGACATTGCGCAGCAGGTGCATCTGGTTGACAATGACAATCAGGGGCTTCTTGCGGTGGGCGCGCATCTTCAGGGCCACCTTTTCGAGCTTGTTGAGCGCTCGCTCAATGTCCAAGATGGCAGTCGACTCGCGAGGTCCCCGCTCGCTAAAGTAGCCACCAATGTAATCTTCGTGGAATTCGTAGTCCAGCGCCTTGCCCAAGCGCAGCCGGAACACCTCCAGGTCGGGGTGTGCCTCGAACATGGCCACGGCGTCGCCGTCAATCCGGCGCATAGCCTCGATCAACATACTGCTCTTGCCGGACCCCTTCTCGCCCACGAGCAGGAAATAGTGGCCAGCCACTTCGCCAGAGACAATCTTGTTCACCTGGTCCTGCTCGGGTCGAACCACCCAGTGGTCATCGTTGCTGCCGGGCGCGTGCGGGACATCTTTACCAATGGCGGCCAATTCCAGCACAGGATCCCCAGGCTCAAAGGCACGCGTCATCTTGGCCACGACGAGCAGCTTGTAGCTCTTGTGGTAGATGTATGCGGCGAGGGCGAAGCCAGAGGCGAGCACAAAGATGGACGCGAACGTCGTCGCGGCCGACTCGCCCATTTTGCTGAGCAGTGTTTTCTCCTTAGGTCCCTGGTTGACATCTTGTTTACCTGACGATGTGTTGTTGTTGTTGTCTTGAAGGTTAACTGTTAGCACTCGCGCCCATGACCGCCACATCCCGTTGGATCCGCATGTGGGCAGATTCTCACTCACCACTTCGCCTCGCGCCATACGTCGCGAAGCGTGCTCGCAGCAAGGGCTGCCGGGATGCATTCAAGGTCTCACGCAGTGTGATTCTCGGCATCAGGGCCAGGCGCGTCAATCGCGCCCCTCCGCGCGTGAGCATCATTGCAAAAAGAGCGACTGCGTCCGTCAAGGACACGGAAAGTGAATGAGGCCGATGGGCGAGATGACGGAGGGCGAAGCGAGCCCGCTTTCCCCTGGGTTAGGGCGATCTGGAACTGGGACTCCTCCAAGACGCTGGGTCCACGACAGCCTCCAACAAATTAACGGTGCAGGCAGGGATGTCTGGGGCCTGGCTAGGGTTCCATGTGGGAACGCTCGACCACGTAAATAACCGGGTCCGCGGCGCAGTTATCACACTGACACACCAATGCCATCAGCAAGTCGGTTCGAATGTTGTTGAAATAAGATGGCAATGCTCTTCATGGTCACTCGCGAGTTCAAACTGAGGTGAAGGCGATCAGAAGGCTGCGTTGTTTCCACTGTCCGGCACACTGGCACTACTACCACAGGATGATCTCCCGGGTAACTTGTATGCGCGCTCACTTTGCCTTCAACTACGAGACTTTTCTTCTGCATCTAAGAAATCAATATTCTGAGCCCTCATAGCCGTCACTGATCACATCTTCATCATATGGCTCAAACTGCAAGTCCTCTCTATGTGAACGACCACCCTGCCCGAGTCCAGCATGCCCCCGACGCCCGGCGAGCTCGAGGACTGGTGGCTCAACCAAGGCCGCCTCGCGCTTCAAGAACTGCTCAACTGTTCGACACTGAGCCTCACGAGCCGTGAAGTCGGCTACGCTCAAGCTGTGCAGCGAAGACTGCGCGCCTTTGACGGCAATGCTGTGCTACATGATCAGCTGCGAGCAGACTGGGAAGCGGCACACGCAACCAACGAGATCCGCCACGATGTGAATCCGCGCAAGAAACTGCGAGATGCCTGCCACCTTGTCTTCCGCCGAACAGACGATGGAGGCATTGACTATGATTGCGCCCTGGAGGGATTGGGCTGGCTTGACAAGGCTGAGAGTCACCGCCAGCGCCTTCTCGCATCAACAAGGGAAGCCATGGCCATAGAGTCAACTGTTGGTGAAATTCGCGAGAGGATAATTTCAGAACTCCAGATTACTACTTCTAAACGCTATACCCAGTTCTACCTTGGATTTCGCGCCTCCGTGAGCACTCGTCCTCCTTCTTTGGGCTTCTCCGTCAACCCAAGCCTTGCTGACATGACCAGGTGCTTATGCAAAACCTCGAGCAGAGTGCGCAAGGCTGTGTCGATCTCATAAAAACAATGGCACTCCTCAACTCACTGTTCCCTTCAGTTACACAACTGGAGGATGGTGTTGACGTTGCGCCCTCGCCCTGTTCCGCTGGCCTTTGCGAGAGCATCCGCTTCACCATCTTTCGCTACATCCTCTCCCCCGATGCATTTTCCGCCAACAAGCTTAAAGATATCCGGATCAAGCTCGTCAGCTGGTGCGGCATGCCTGACTACGAACACGCCCGACAGAATCTTGTCCGATATGTGGAAGAAACCAAGAAACTGGAAGATGCGTGCTTCGAGGCCCTCGACGCTATAGAGAAGCGCACAAAGACATTGTCTGGATCTATTCGCACCACGTCAGATGGCACGTCCTTGGTATCCATTCACTGTCCACACGACTCCGTGGACAGTGCCAATCAGTCCTTCATGGTCTCACCGGCCCCTCCAGTGCCCAATGCCCTCCTCTTGGGGTTTTCTGGACGCGAGTTCCTCGCTGCAGAGACCGACCCCTGGGCCTTTGGCGTTGGCAAGGGCAAGCGGGAGTCCTGTCGACCGCTGTCACAGTGTGGCTTCGACGAGCACCCTCTAGCCCGCGAGCTGGACTTGACATCCGCCGAGAAAGCGGCCCTCGGCCTCTTGATCCCCAGAGCAGCGCCCTGTCAGAACACGTAGGACAGTTTCGACAGCGACGACGAGGGAAGCTTCACGGTCAGCAACACGACTACACCACCCAGAAGCCCCAAGAAAACCCCCTTTCTTTCCAACAACCCTTCAGCAGCAGCATCGATACCCCCCATCCCTCCCATTCCCGAGTCATTCCTGGAGCAGGGCAAAGTCTGGCAGAGACTCGCGCGCCGTATACGCTCCAGGACGGACATGCGAAGTGCAAGCGCCAGTGCCCAGCGCCAGCCCGTGCTCAAATCGCAGATATCCGACCCTGCCTACATCTCGAAGCGACGCACGCCTAGCCACGACAGTACGCCAAGTACACCCACGAACCCCTCGCCATCGTACCGAACATCGACACTATCGCAGCAGTCCGAGCAGCGCAATGTACGCTATGGCCTCGCGCAGCCGCGCATCTCGCCCTTGGAGTATACACGCATGTGGTTGTTGGAAAAGGTCAACGCTGCCAACGAGAACAGACCTTGCCAACTGCCCGCACCTGAGAAGGTTTGGCGCTGGACGGCTGGGTGGGAGAAGTTTCTCGTCCTTCCTGTTATCCCTTCATCTATCAACCGGATCCCCAGTATCCTCGGCCCATCCAAACGACAGAGATCTAGCGACCCTCCTAAGGACAAGGTACCTGCTCAACTGTCGGATCCAAGCTGTCCGCGCCTGTCCTTGAATCTGGGCGCGCTTACCTCCCTTTTCCCGTCCACGAATAATCTGATGGCTGTAGGGGAGTCACGCACTCCTGCTACGTCTCACTCGGCAGATATACCGTCATCTTCAGAAATCGATGCTGCACCACCGAGAACAACGTCCAGTGACGGGTTTCCCCGTAACCAGATTCGTAACTCGGCTGTCATGGCCAGCAAAGGTCATCGCAAATCCATGTCAACCGGTAGCATTCTCACTGGATCTGCCGAAGAGACTCTCCATCTGCCTTCCATTTTGTCTGGGGCCATCGGTAGCGTCAACCCCTTCGTCAGAGGGGCAGATTTTGATGCTGATACTGCATCAGACCCAGGCGATGCGTCGTCTATGTACTCTCAAGACAGCCAGGAGACAGTCATCCCGCCAAAAGACATCGCCTACAGCAAGTCAAGTCCCGAGAAACTAGAAGAAGGCACTGAAAATCACACCATGGCCTACAGTCCCGGTTCGCTACAGGCGGAGGACGCTGCCATGGATACACCTATGACCGGCTTCCCACTTGCTGCCAGCCGCGAAACCCTCACACGCAACGTACTGGACGGCGCCGATGACTTCTTGAATCCAGAAAGCGCTCACAAAACTCAGCTGACAGCGGCATACTCTGCGCGGTCCATGATTGCTGAGTTGCAGCCGGCACCTCTACGACTCCCGTCCAGGTCGGACAAAAAGCCAACCTCAAGAGCAAACACCCCCGAGTCTACAACACCAGTTCTTTGTCCCTCTACGTCCAGCATCCGTTCTGTGGAATCTACTTCAGACACCACTGTCGAGAGCACGGCGGCCAACGAGCCGTCAGGCTTCACGCCGACCAAGGTTACCGAGCGCAGCCGCGAACCCCAGCACTCACCCACGATCCCAGACTACGAGCCACGCTTCAAAATCTGTAGATCTACGCCCAGCGAGGAACGCCCCGCGACCCCAGACTCTTGCCATGCGCCACGTAATAGCTGCGACCGAAGCTCTTTCCTGCTTGAGCGCACCAAAGGCCGCGACGCCATGACGATCCTCCCTCGATCGGACGCGCAGTACTTTGCCGACACGCGAGCGCCGAGTACCCAGCACCCGACGCCTGGCCGTCCTAAACACGTCCCCATCATGACTGCCTACTCAACCCTGCCGTCAAACATGACAACGCGCGAGCGCCTATCTCAGGCTGCTCCGCATAACCCTCCTACTCCCCCTCGTGAGCCGCGCACACCATCGTACACCTTTGGCAACCTCTTTCGTCGACGCAACCGCCCCAAGACACCGACCACCCCTTCGACGCACTACAAGCCGTTCGAGGACGTCCCAGAGGGTGGCTCCCTGCGCCGTCGTAATTGCACCTTCTCCCAGAGCAGCGTGCACCCTGGCCATCGCGAGTCACTCTACGATGTCCGTCGTGCCCTGGATGAGAACCCCGTGCCACCACTGCCACCAACGTCAACGTACAAGGGGAAGAAGCCCGAGGGCCTCAAATTGGACACGGGGAGGAAACGACTTCGCAAGCCGCAGAGCATGGAGTTGTTGAACAAGATGAGCAACGGGGGGTTGAGGGTAGCATTTCGACGCGGTTGAAGATAGCGGGTGGGCGGCGGTGAGGTGACATGTTCGATTTGCATCTATTGTACTGTCTGGTCCGTACGGTGTACGCTTTGTATAGTGAACATACCTACAAGTCCAAGCCACACTTTGACCGAGCGGCGAAACGGTGAGAGATCCATTGCTCGGCATGAGGCGAGGAACAGTGGGCTGGGCATGGTACCGTACATAGCGTGAGTGACACTCACAAACACGGATAGGCGACGAAGCGCGAGAACTGGCCCGCAATTGCGGGTCAAATATGCGTAGCATGAGGTGAGCTAGTCCCAAAAATCACACTTAAATGTTAATAAAAATAGTCAGAGAAACATGTCGGACGTCAGCCTGAAGAAGAACTCCCCGATGCCTGGAACGCCAAGGGCACGGTAGCGCCCAATTGCTCCAGGCGTTGGGTAGGGTAGCGTGACCCCAGCTGATGGCGAGGCGGTCTTGACCGCATCTTTCCCGTGTAGATCGAGACCGCTGGTGTGGTGTGGGGGAGGTGGAGGTGGAGGCATCTTCAAGTGACTCTGGGTGAGATGCTGAGGGCGCTGCAGAAAACGAAACCTGCTCGACAGAACTCTTGTCCAGAGGACTATAATTCTGTGGCACCCTTCGTGGCGCGGAATCGTCAGTCAGCCGCAGTCACCCAGCGCGTGGGAAGATGATCACTTGACCAGCTGACGGCCAGGTTGGTAAGCTGGAAGAATGATGGCGGTTTCTTCCATGTCTTGGGCAACCGTGGTAGTCGCGTCTTTCCCTGCTCGATTGCCAATGGTGGTGGCCCGAGCCGATGGGATCATTGCGCATGGGCGGTGCGGTGCAGTCATGCAGTATGGTTGTAGGACGGCTGGTAGGAAACGCCGAATGTCACAAACATTGATGCGCGCGGATGCCGATTCAGGCTGCCTCGGGCTCATCGCCGGCGGTGTTGGATGTATGCCAAGATACTGAGGGCTGAAGGGGTCAAGGGGTCCTGAAATAGAAGAGTTGTTCGTATTGCAAGAGTAGTAGGCTGGACTCTGGACTCTGGAGCCCTCATGGACAAGTGCACTTGAAGAGAACATCCTGCCTACCCGGAGCCAGTCCCTTCACGAAACACGTGAGGCCGAGCGCCTTCCACCGGGCAGTTGATTCATCAACCGGCAACTAACAGGTAGTAATACCTGGGTACAGAGTACTTGTAACTGCCATGACTGTCGGGGCGAGGAGGAGATCTCTGATCTTTGCGGTTCCAGTCGGCAGCACGGTGATTGGCCTGTGGCTTGCCGGTGCGCAGCGCTGATCTTCCGCTCCCAGGACGACACATGTCCAAGGACTGCGACTGCCAATTCATCGACGTTGGGGATCTCTCCAACCTTGACTGAACTGTGCTGGGCTGAACTGGCCCAGGCCAACATATACGCACCCCTTGGACTACCGGGTCGAAAGAGGAAACAAGTCCTGGCGGTGAAAAACACTGGATCGCCAACAGGATCCGTTGGGCCTTGAACTGCTCACAAGCAACAAGTTGCAACAAGGCCTGGAATGGTCAACTCCCAGCATGGATCAAGCCTGTGGAGAACCAGCGCGCCAAGACTGACTAGACTGACGTTAGCTAAGGAGCCCTCTGGACCGTCGGTCGAGATGGAGGCATGGTGCTGTACTGTCGTGAACGAACATGCTCCACGACGGGAGTCCTCAAAATGCATCAGCAGACAGACAGTCCCTCCCCAGGAACCCAACGGCTGTTGCCGAGCAGAAGCAATGAGCAGCAAATCGTCACGCCGACGGCCCGTGCCATCCACCAACAAACAAACAACCACCTCGCGAGGGAACGGACGGCCACGGAACGGTCCTGCAAAACGGTGGTGGCAGCACACCAGTAACACCACCCTCTTCTCACTTACGTTACGATGCCGCCCTTGCTGATGTGCAGGCAGCCAGCCATCAATAACAGTGGAGTTCCGACGCATCTCATGGGGATCTGCTCGCCCGTCCATGCTGCCGACGACAATGGAGCCCTCAAGACCCCGTCTCAGCCAGTGGCCATGTCGGAATCTCCATCGCACGCAAGCAGTTAAGACATCCCCACCCCCCTGCCCTGCCCCTCCATCCGTTCGTTTGTTCGTTCAACCATCCTACTGTACCATCCGTCCATCCATCCATCCACCCTTCCATCCATCGAACTCGGACGACCACCACCTCGCAACTTCTTCCACCGTCCCATACCGCCACTCCAGCCCGACCTGACGACGCACGACCGCCACTGCAACGACAACGACAACGACAACGACAACGACGTCCTGCCCCTACCGTGCAAATGGCTGTCTCTGCGCTTCAGCACCGCCCGTCGCCTTGAATTTTCTGCTCGAACAAACCATGGATCAATTGTCGGCGTCTGCCGTTGGTGCGACTACCTGGGACGACCGAATATCCCCAGACATGCCCATGAACGACGCCGCCGCCCCCAACGCTGCCGAATACCCTGCCTCGTCCACGTACGCCGACTCGTGGGGGTCCGGCGGAAACGCAGAAGACCTCGAGATCGACCAGGAGGAGACGCAGTGGGAGCAGGACTCGGAGGGTGCCCTGGTCATCCCCAAAGTCGAGGCCGACGAAGACATTCCCCTCGACCACGTCAAGCCGGTGCCCACGACCGACAGCACGGCAAGCCCGGCCAAAGTGAAGCGACCCAGGGGCCGTCCGAGGAAGCACCCACTCGTGTCCGTCGTCAGCGCCACAAAAGTCACAAAAGGACGCTCCAAGACGGGCTGCATCACATGCAGGAAGCGCAAGAAGAAGTGCGATGAGGCCAAGCCAAGGTGTAAGTGCACCTGGGTCTCTGGCCAGGTCTACTACCCACGTTTGTCTGACAGAGCACTATAGGTATGAACTGCGAGAAGAACGCAGTGGTCTGCGAGGGCTATCACGAGAAGCAGGTCTGGCGCAGCGGCAAGGAGAGGGCCGAGCAGGAGCGCATCGAGCAGACGGCCAGCATCACCAACTTTCCCCTTTTCCACGGCGTCGAAACGACAGAGGACCGCATCTTCTGGAAGCACTATGTCAGCAACCTCAGCAACCTGCTCACCGTCGAGGGCGAGTCGAAGAATGCGTTCAAGGACATTATTCTGCACCTCGCCAACCGACACCAGGGCCTCATGCACTCGATCCTCTCCATCAGCAGCAAACATATTGACTGGGACGCGCCGTACGGGAAGAAAATGCTGGACGAGAATCCGACGAATCTGTTTGCGTTGCAGGAACGATCCGTCTACCACCACGACGAGGCCATGAAGCGGTTCTGGGAGGACATGAGCCACACAGTCGACCGAAACGACCCGCATTACGAATCGGAAGAGTACCAGACCACGCTGTGCGCCCGATACGGACAGATCATGTGCCGCGTTCTGCAGACGAGGATCGAGGGCAACAACAGCGGCGAGCACCGACTTCATCTCAAGGGCTACCAGGCGCTCATCGCGGACTCGCCACCACTCGACCCGACCTTTTATACTTTCATCACCGAGTTCTTTCAATATCACATCTACGCCGACGACCTCTTGTGGCACCCGGACACGAGCCCGGAAAGGTTGTCCTCGGAGGACTGGCGACCCGTCGCTCCCATCCAGCCCCAGCGGCTCGTGGGCGTCTCGGACGGCCTGCTGCACTGGCTGGCCGTGGTGAGCGGCTTGCGGGTCGTCATCCGCCAGAACATGATCATGGGCACCACGGAGCCGCCCGTCGACTACATGATGCTCTTCAGAGCCGCTGAAATTAACAGCGCTATACAGGAGTGGCAGCCAGAATGGCCGGCCACCGATAGCAGGCACAGGATCTGCCTGCTCTACAAGCAGACCATGTTCATCTACCTCTTTAGGACCATTTACCCGCCATCGGCGACGCCGCAGTCCACCGTCAGCGGGCTGTCCTCGACGCCTTCGTCATCCTCCTCCACGCCCCAACGCAGGGCGTCCATGGCGGCGAGCGTCGTATCCACCGCATCAGCACCCATGTCGAGTTCCACCTACAACAGCTACCCGCCGCACAGGGGCCCGACACGACACAGCTCGATGCACGAATACGACTCCCGCGGCTACGCCTCCTCGAGGGGGTCCTCGCCACAGAACAAGAAACGCGCCGTGCTCGATGACCCAAGACTGATCAGCGCCGTCGACGAGTCCCTGAGTCTCCTCGAGTCCTTTGGACCCTCGGACCCGGCGCAGACCCTGCTGCTCATCCCGTGCATGCTCGTCGGCGTGGCGTGCTTCGACCCGGAGCGACGCGAGAGGCTGCGCAAGGCGCTGCGCGCCGTACGCGGCTACACGGGCATGCGCAACTGCGACCGCATCCTCGAACTGCTCGGCGGCGTGTGGGCCCTCATGGACGACAGCGAGTGGGTGGCCGTCTGGGACTGGCAGGCCGTCGCGCGGCGCATGGGCGTGGATGTTCTCTGCGCGTAATGGACACTACAGCACACGACGAGGGGGATTGGAAAAGAGAGATACAGGAATGCTTTTCATATAGAGGCATTTTATATAGAGACAAGACGCTATAGCATACAGGGGCTCAAAGAGCTTGAGCTCTCTCCGCTACTACCTCTGGCATGTCGCTGGGGTAGTAGGTATCATCATCATCACTAGGATAGACGGCGTTTGGGGCGTTGCTGGGAGCATCGCGCACGGATAGAGGCGTTTTTTTTTTCATACTTGGCCACGACGCCATGTCTGTCAATGCATCCGTTTTTTTGGATGATATTAAACACATTGCTTCGTCAAAATGAAAAAAGGGGCCACGCATCGTCCCGTCATGGCTTCTCGTATCGACAATACTCGTTCGTCCACGGCTGACTACCTTACATTTTGCAACTCAAGCCCAAATCAACCCAGCAACTCCGTTTCGCAACCTACATACCGGCCAGCAGTATCAAGCATTGCTGCAAACCCTTACCTACTCTTTCCGTTGCTGCCCCTCGAAGTAGAACTTGCCCAGCGGTTGTCCCGGCGCGCCGGCGCTGCTCATCGCGTTAGGCCCTGCGCTCGACTCGCCGTGATCCAACCGCTGCTGCACAATGTGCTCTGCCTCCCTGACGGGTCCACGCACGGTGGTGTCAATGTACCCGTCGTTGCTACCGGCCTGGGGATGCTGATCTGCCGCGATGCCGTCCATCAGCCTCGCGTCGCGACGCTCTTGCAGGGCGGCCGAGGTACTCCCGTCCCCGGTCACGGCAAAGTCGCGTTCCCGCCGCGCGTCGCTCAGTCCTGAATTCGTCCGCTCCAGAACCCAAGCCTGATGCGCGGCCGTGCCAGGCGCCGGTCGTCGATGGTAGATGGGCCCGGAGACGGTGCTGCCCGCACCCTCGCCGAAGCCGACTAATGAGGCGGATCCATCGTCGTCGCTCATCCGGTCGTCGTCATTCTGCGGTGGCATGTCCTCGTCCATGGCGTAGTGGTCTCCCCCTGCGCTTGTCACCGAGCCAGCGCCCCTATACCCTGTGCCTGTGCTGAGCATGTCCTCGTCTCGTTCCGCCGCCGTCGTTCGCGCGTCGTCCCCCGCGTGGCTCTCGGTGGCGTGACTCTCCGTCGCACTGGCCGTGCCCACTGTGCTCATCTTCGTCACGGCCACGGGTTGGCCATTGCTGTCAAAGTACGACGGCGTCACCGGGTGCTGCGGCGCGTAGTTGGCCGGGAAGCCGGTCGATGTCGGGGTCGTCTGGGAGGGCGAGGGCGAGGGCGCGCCGCCCCCGGCGCTGCTGGGTGGTGCGCGCAGGGTCGAGACGCGCTCGAGGCCCGCGAGACGGGAGATGCGGTCGGCGCGCTCTGCTTCGAGACTGGTGGTCGATGGGTTGTGCTGGTGGCCGCCGCGCTCGAAGCCGGGGCCTTGGGGGAAGTGGCCGCGCTGGCCGTCCTTGATGGCGGTTGTGGAGAGGGCGCTAAGGGATGTGGTCGTGCTGGTGGGCGTGCCGCTGTGACTGGTTAGCAGGGGAACGAAGCGCAAACGTAGCGAGATTGGGGAGAGCATACGGCATCTCAGAAGGGGTATCTGGGTTGGACCGTGGCGGGGGTATGGTGATCGTTGTGGGTGGGATTCCTTGCGCCATGGTTGCGCTGGCGGGTGATATGTTCAGAGAGTAGTAATTGAGAGTCTTATTACTGTCTGCGTCGCTATGGTCTTGATGATTGCTCGATATGGGTTGGTCGCGGAAACGAAAACGTGACTATCACAAGTGTTGGTGTAGTTAATAACGTGGGATGGAAGAGCTTGGGGATGGTGAAACTGCAAGATTGCTCGCTTCCTTTGTTGCTCCTGCCAGAACTTAGAAGCCCACCATCACCCACCTGCCGCCCGCTCTCCAGCGGCCCAGGTCCAGGCTCCAGCTAATCTATTATAGGTAGCCTATTCCCACTTCAGGACTTCAGGGACCAACCGCCTGCGAATGCAATGCTAGGCATTGCTAGCGATTGATGACGTAGCATCCAGGCTAGAGACCAATTCGGACTGGCCTCGGGGCCCCGCAGGAGCTGGACAGCGTCCTGCTGACAGGATGGGATTGGTTTGTTGGGTAGGACAGGCCTCTTAGATCATGTACTTGTACGGAGCTACGGATAGCTGATGCGGTCGTTGCCCAGACGGAGAATGTCGGATGCGTTCTGGACCAACTTGGCTCTTGTCCGGCCGTGAGAAGCAGACCCAAGAGCCTTAGCAGCTTGCCGCAGTAAAACCGCCCATGCCCTGTTAGTCACTAGCGCAAAGGGCATGGAGCGAGCCAGCGACACCCAGCAAAAGTTCAAGATTCGTCACCACTGAAAATAGCATAAACTCGTAGTATTTCGAACAGCTATAAGTATGGGATTTCTTCTTGGTTTCAGGTAACGCAGATTTCGGAACAAGCAGAATTCACGTTGCGCGTAGCTATCCAAGTACATGTTCCCGTCGTATCCCCCAAATCATGACATGGACAGACTGAAGACCTCGACATCGCACCCTCACCAACAAATCATGCTACTGCCAGCATGCCGATGATCATGATACCAGAGGCAATGCTCAAAGCCACAAAGCCCGGGTCTATCAGCGACAACGCCGCACTATCGCCCCTTGGCGCGCTGGCTGTTGCCTCGACCGATGGTTGCATCCAGGTAGATGTTTCGATGACCACTTTCGTGATGCTGAGGATGCCCGTCTCTGCCGCAAGCGAGCTGCCCATGGCCTCGGTTGCGTTGAGACCGACGTCGACGGTGATGGTGCCGGTGCCGATATGACTAGCGACAGCCCAGGTGAAGAAGAGAATGAGATAGGCAAAGATTCTCATGTTGACTGACTGAAAGGAGTGGAACGGGGCAAGAATGCTCCCTGTGGATGTTGTTGTAATGAGTGGACAGAGTTGAGAAACTCCAGGCGCAAGTTGATGGTTGAAGAGGTGGATATCCTTCCGCTACTCGGTGGACAGGGTCTCTATAATAAAGTAGTTAGATCTCATCATGCAGATTCGGTTCTCGCATTCGCAACGCGTTGGTATGCCGGGCGGTCCACAAACAGCCTTGTCGCGGTTGCCCCTGGCGAAGGGTTCGGGTGTCTCATGGAGCGAGACATCATCCGTGTGTTCGAGACGGGCCTCATGTCTTCGCAGATTCCAAGCCTCACGCGAGAAAGCCTGGCATCACCCCGGGACGAGCAAAGCATGCGCGCCCTCGGGGGATGGCGTCGTATTCAGGAACGCAGTCGACCTGTGCGGTTGTGCATGGCAGGTATACCAGTGTCAAAGAGGCCCTGGTAGGACAGCACGCCTGTGCCGTATAAGCAAACAAGCACGATGGTAGGGAAGAAAGCATCTCACCTGTCGTCTTCACTTCCCCTAGCTGCCATGCACACTTTCGGATTGCTCGAGATCCGGTGGCCATTGTTTGCACCATTTATACCCCTGACCACGTCGACCATGGACATGCTAGCACCTTGGGGATACACCCTGCGGGATAGATAGTGACGAGTAGGAGAGATGAGACATGATAAATTGTTTGCGCGTACACGACATGTGTGCGGTATTATATGCAAAAAGATAATAGAAAAGTTTGCCGACTTTCACTTTCCCTCTTCCTATGTAATGTCTCTCCCAAGCGAGCGCCATCATTAAACTACCAAACTCCCATTCCTATGTGCATCGTAGATTCTTTGTTTTAGTGTACGTATCAGCGCCATGTCTGTCAAGATCTGTCTGACTACCGATAGTTCTCTGACGGCATCTCGTACACTGGGCCATGAGACTGGTTCAGGGCCGGTTGGCTGTCAATCTCCGTGGCATGGGGGTTCGCCCAGCGAGAGGCGGCAGCATCGTTGTGCGCACCGAGCTCTTGCGGTTGCGCGTAGGAGGCGCTGTCCATCTCGGCGGCCGTGGGGTGCTCAGGCAGGACATCAGGCCCGGACTGCAGAGTACTAGTCCGGTCCGTGGGACGAGAGTAGGCCGTGTCCGGGCTGACGGGGCTGGGCGACAGCGGGCCCGGGCTCTTGTTGATGCCCGAGGCGCGCGTGTAGGCGGCGCCGTAGGGTTCAGGCTTGGCGTACCCGGCGCGACCATCGCCCATGGCTGTCCCGCGGTATCCCTCGGGCGCCTGGTATGGCTTTGGTCCGGCTGCAGCAGCAGCAGCGGGCGCGAGGCGGCTGTTGGTGGAAGGAGTGTGGGACATATCGGGCGTGCGGGGACCAGCGGCAGCGCCAGCAGCACCGCCGGCGGCGGCGGCACCGACAGGGACCTCGGAGGCGCCAAAGGCATTGTCGTCAGGGTCGTACTTGGGGCTGTTGCGGCGCTTGCGCCAGCAGAAGAAGACGATGGCGCCGATGATGGCGAGCGCAGCGACACCGACACCAGCGCCGATGCCAGCCTTGGCACCAGTCGACAGACCACCGCTGTCTCCGCTGCTGCCACTGCTGCTGTCGCCGCTGCTCGTCTCGGTAGGCTGGGTGATGCCGGTGGAAACACTGGAGCTCGTGACGGTGAGGGTGCTCGTAACAGTCACAGTGGTGCTAGCATTGGCCTGCTCGGTCTCGGTCACGGATTCGGTCACCGTCGTGCGGCTCGTAGCGGTCGAGACGGCGGTGCGGGTGACGGTGTCCACCACGGTGGTATCGGCGCCCTTGTCCCCGGTGACGGTCTTCGTGACAGTGATAGTGTCACGCTTGGCGAGATGAGCCCTCGGCTGGGCCATGTCGGGGCTGTGCTCAACAGCGGACGTGACGATCGGGGCGGGCGCGTCGGTGGTCGGGATGGCATCCACCTGGGCAACGGTGCGCATGGCCAGTTCAATGGCGCGACGCTTGTTGGCCCATTCTGTGGATGTCTCGTAGATGGTGGTGGTCGCGGTTTTCTCGTCGCTGCTGGTGACAGTAGTGGTCTTGAAGACGGTCGCTGTCACGGCAATGGTGGTGGTGCGCGTGGAAGACACCGTCTTGGTACTGGTGTCGGTATTGCCAGAGCCGCCGCTTACGGTTTTAGTGACGGTGACGGTGGTGTCACTGCTGCTGTCTTCCGTGGTCGTGCTATCTCCTCCATCGGTAGTCGTGGGGTCGGCCTGTGTGGTCGTCTCCGTGACCATATTCATTTCGGTGCTGACGGCATCGCTGCTAGAAGTGCTTTCGTTTTGCCTCTTGGCAATTTCGCCGGCGGTGCCGAGGGCGATGAGAAGGGGGAGACCCCAAATTGGCCTCATGATGGGCAAGGGCGCAAAGACGTGGCAAAGACAGAGAGAAGGAAAAGGAAAATAGTAGAGAAGAATTAATAGGGTGCGAAGGGAAGGGCCAGGCGTCGGCGAATGAGTGTCGGGATGGCTGTGGCTGAATGAGCGAGTGTTCTTGTTTGGTGATTTGGGAGGAGGATGCGACGAAAGAGTTTGGTGGCCGTTGCGTGCGCGTGAGCACAAAGGCAGTTAGATGGGCGCTGGGCTACGGCCACGGTCACGGTCACTGGCCAGTGGAGCGATGGTGGTGGATACGAACTCGGGTCGGCTAAGCACCGCCATCCATCCACGATCCATCCAGTCAGTCGACTGGAGCCCCGAACACGAGGAGGTTGCGCGCTGACGCTGCTGCGGTTGGTGCGAATTGCAAAGGGCAATGTCTTTTCCTGAGGCTGATGTCAAATCGATGCAAGTCTGTAGGTAGTCGATCAAATGTCAGAGCCGCTTCCCCCATAGTAATAAGGGACCTCTGTTGGTCTCGCGGTGATTCGCTGGTCGCTGCCGGGAGTGGGAGCGACCAGGCTTGGCCCTGGGGTGCAGTCAATGTGGATCGGGCCGAGTGCGAATGAGAATTGCGTACGCAGTTGGCGTCGTCACTGTCAGTACTCCGTACTGTTCAAAAAAAATCGCTCGTCTTCCAACAAAAGTGACGGGACGTATGATAATTCTTGATGGTGATGAAGCATTCGACGACCAGGCGGTTATGCATGGAGGGAAGGCACATTCCAATTACGGATATGGCTGGCAACAGGCAGGTGCCCCGACGGGTAGCAGCCTAATTAGGAGGAAGGAAGGCAACGTCACACATTGGCATTCTGATGTGACCGTAATTATTTCTCACGGTCTTCTTATCCTCTTCTGCTTCGGTCATTTCAACTCCCAAAACTACTTATCACTTACCTAAAGTACCTGAGGCTTTGATCACCCTTGCTCAGTGACCCTCCCTCCGACAGACTGCTTGTCTGAGCTACCGGCATCCATCTCTCAGCAACATCATGAAATCCCTCTTCCCCTAGCCTCGGCTGGATGCGTTTTCGCCAGTCATATGACGGCTCTGGACATTGTTCAGACAAATCTAACCGTCTCCAAGTCAATGACACTGCGTCGTCCGCTTGAAGTATTGAGGGTAATGTTCCCAGGCCCCGTATCGCAGTAATATAAATGGAAGATCTTGGGCGAACAATCCATTCCTTGGCATTCTATACACCGAACTTTACAGAAAGCCTCGCCAATTGCCCAGACAGCTGATACATCACCGGCATCATGAACAAACTCGATACCACTTTCTGCAGACAGGTCACGTTCGCGTTATAGGCGTGTCGGCCATCCAGAGAAGTTGAAGGTGATGTGCGGCGCGAGACAAGGGTCGTCTCTCCAATGATCCAATGGTTTCTATCGATCTCGCGGATAGACCAGTGACTACTACTATTATTATTATTAGCCGCAGTTCTGAGCGACTATCACTGCTCAGCCACACTCACTCTACAGAGTAGCCTCGGATTATGATTCACATGTTTCACTGTGCGCAGCGCAGACAGAACCATTGGCTGCCCTGCCTCCAGGATGAAGCAAGACAGCGGCAGCATGTTTCTTCGCAATCATGCGGTGGTGAGGGAATCGTCACATTTTCATAAGCATGTCTAGTCTAGGGGGGGGTATTTCATGCGTCCTGCGCCTTTGTTGCCCGTCAACACCGCACACAAAGAAAAGTAACTAGAAATTCTCCTTCCCCCACACAAACGAGAACCTGTTGTTGGTGTCAGTCACTTTGTCTTGTCTCTGACGAAAGATTCAAAAAAACTTACCCAGGCTCGGTGTACTTGTTGCAGTACACGTGCAACGCGCTCCCCAGCCCCTTGGGCCCGCAGAAGAAGACACCCGCGTCCGTGGGCGCGTGGAGTTTCCGGATGCCGCGAAAGATCATGTCCCAGTTGGGCCGGCCAAAGTTGGTCGGGCTGCGCAGGCCGGTGATGGTGTCCTTGTCGGCGTTGGCGTCGTTGATCATAATGTTGGTCGCGTCGTCCGCCTTGATCTTGGCCGTGAGGTAGGTGTGAATCTCGATCCGGTTGTCCAGGTCCTGGGCCTCGACGGCCAGCAGCAGCGAGCGGAACCACTCAAAGGAGCCAAAGTCGCGGCAGATCCAGAAAAAGTACACCTTGCTGAGGCGCGTCCTCTTCTTGGGGTAGTTCATCCGGTACCAAATGGACTTGAGGATCGAGGCGAACGGCGTCACGCCAATGCCCGCGCCCACGAGGATGGACACGTCGTACTTGAAGACATCCTCTGACGCCGAGCCAAACGGACCGTCGACGTAGACTCGGGGCAGCGCGCGTCGCAGCGTCGGGTCCATGTTGTTGCTGTTGTTACCGTTGCTGTTGTCCTTGCCGCTCACACCAACAACTTTGCTCGTCTCGGCCTTCTTGTCCCAGTCGCAACCGAGCGTCTTGCCCAGCTCCTTGGTGAAGTCACCCACGCACCTCATGTGGATGGAGATGTAGTCCTCCTCCGGCGCACTCGTGAGCGTAAAGGGGTGGTACTGCCAGAGCGACACCGCCGGGCAGCACAGGAAGATGTACTGGCCCGCCCTCGTCTTGGTGTTCTCCTTCTTGATCTGGATCTCGCACACGTTGCTCGGGTGCTGGACGACCTTGGAGATGTACGTCTTGTGTCGTCCACGGACCTCGCGCGCCACGCGCTCCGCCAGGTAGATGAAGCCTCCGTACATCCAGTACTGCCAAAAGACGCCAATCGCCGAAGCGCCCAGGCTGGTGCAAAAGGGGGCCACGTCCGGCTGGATCATGCAGAAGGCACCGTGGATCGCCCAGAACAGGAAGAAGACGATGAACATGTGGTGCGTGTACCAGAAACGCTCAAAGTTGGCCCTCCGTGTCTTCTCAATGGACGTGGCCACCATGCCTGTGAGCGCAATGAGCATGACATAGCCCGTCCATCCCGGGCCCGAGGCAAAGTTGGCCAGGAGAAAACCGTAGAATCCTAGTCCGTTCTTGGCGGCGATCTTGCCAAAGTTGACCCAGTGGGCAATCGTGTGCAGCCACGAGAAGAAGAAGATGCTCCACGCCGTGACCTTGTGGAAGGTGATGTTCTTGTCAAACTGGATGATGCCGTTCAGCGGCGTCCTTCGCAGCAGCGAGATGAGCGTGCGGCACACGGGCAGCAGTATGATGGCAACGTCCACGTGTAGCACGAGGGCCGCCGCTCTCGCCGCCACAAAGGTGAAGCCTATGTCTCGCTGTGAGGATCGCAGACTCTCCTTCATGGAGTAGTGTACGCAGCCAAACGCAAAGATGAGCGCATGCGCGAGACTGAACACAAAAACGAAGAACCGGCGATATCCCTCGTTGATCATCCACCGACCGAACTTTTGCTGTGGTGAAAGCTCCTTTTGTTGTTCCTGGGTCATCTCGCCGGATAGGAGCATCCGTGTGAGAGGCGTCCATCGCGCGCGCTCCGTGGGTTTGTCGGAGACGTAGTACGCATCGTAGGACATGGTATCGGTAGGAGAGCCTCAAAGGGCTTTGGAGGATCGAAAGGCAGACCAGCTGAAGCGAATGAAGGGCTCGTGAGAAATTATGATTAGCGAAAAGAGAAGAGAAGAGAACGTGTCCTGCAGTTCATGTCAGTCAGTCGCGGGCCTTTCTCACTTGTAGTGGCAGCAGCAACACGTACCAGCACTGGGAAACCGATTGAACAAAACAAGTAGCGGAAAATTAAACGATTTGAGATGTCAAGCGAAAGGAAGAGATGCACTGGCAACACATTTTTACTTGGCTGTGTCGAGACGAACGATATGACCCTGACCCCCCGGCCCTAATAATCGACCACCGTCCGTCCGCGCGTCCAGGGGCCCAAACGTGGTTCTCGAGCATTCGCAAAAAAATCAGCCCATTGCTAGTCACTGTTTGTCTCATCGCTTCGCCATTCGCCTGGGCAGTTGCAACTTGCAAGTGCTGTTTGCGTGGCCTGCGTCGGGGGAGCATGTGAAACGCGGCCCTGCCACGGCTTGTGTCGCAGATCCTGTCGCGCCTCCTGAGTCTGGGCGGCTACGCCCAATCGCATCGTGCGATAATCGCATCTACCGAGTCACCACAAGCTTGTCTTCTTTCACAGTAGTTTCTTCAAGATGCAATGCTGTTATTGAGCTGTCAAAAGCTCGTCAATGCTAGTTGTACTGTACCGTAACTCTCAATAACCCAAGTACCACTCATTGCCTCTCTCAGTGATATGTGTCTCCGACGCCGCCGAGCTGAGCTTGTCGTCGCCTCCTCCCGCGCACAACCAAACTCGCACTGCCCGTCTCAGATGGCATACTTGCGAGTCCACTCCCGGGCTGTCGCCTCGTATCGCGGACGGTCTGTCTTGTACACGTGGGCAATCTCCGGGACGAGCGGGTCATCGGGGTTGGGGTCCGTCAGCATAGAGCAGATGGAGAGGAGTACTACCGCATGTCAGTCACCGTCATGCAAGATATGTCACCCGAGCGTATCCTACCTTTGCTGATGGTCAGCGCGGGACTCCACTGATCACGCAGAATGTCGAGGCAGATGCTGCCGTTGGAGTTGATGTTGGGGTGGTAGATTCTGGTGGTGAAGTTGACCTTGGGAGGCTTGAAGGGGTAGTCGGTGGGGAAGTGGATGGCGAGGAAGAAGACGCCGCCAGAGTAAGGTGAGTCGCCAGGGCCCATGATCGTCGCTTGCCAGTGAAACTGTGCAGAGTTGTCAGCATGATGATGATGGTGATGGTGATGCCCTGCCGGGCTGCAACAGGGCGCTGCTTGTCTTACCAAATCTTCACCAACTGGACCGGCGGAGCATGACGAGGGAGGGTCGCTGTGAACAGGTTAGCCATGGGACATTTCTCACACTGGCATCGCTTTGCCCGCTCGGCACGTCTGCCACGCTGGCACGGCGCTTCGTGATCAATTTGCACAATCCCATCCTCCAAGGACCCCGCTCATATCTCAGCCCCACCTTGGGGTGTCTGGGAGCGCGAGCACGGCGGGCAGGCGAGCCATTTGGGGTAAAATCTGATAAACGTACCGGCCGAGGTCAGCGAGCTCCTTGTTGATGCGCTTCAGAGCCATCGTGTGTGGTGTTGTGTGGTGGGTGTTGGGTATCGAACGAAAGAAAGTATCGTGGTTGCGTGCAAAGCGTCGGCTCGCACTGGGAAAGTGTCTCCTGCAAGGCGGGATCCGGGTTAGCGACAATGCGGTTTGGTGACGGGGCCTAAAAAAAATAGTTTGGGAACGCACGACGAAGTTTGGTCGATCGAGAAAGTTTTCGGGTCTGTGTCAATAACGGTCCGCCGTAGCAAGGGTCTATCGTCGTCGCTCGTGATGGTTTGTGACGAAGAGAAGGATGGACTGCAAGGTGGGCGGATGGGAAGACAAAGTCGTCACTGCAAGTGGAGTGGCTGATGACTGGCCGGCCGGGCGCCCAACTGTGGTGCCGTCAGGTTTTTTGTCTGGGCCACACCCGCAACGCCACACACGAGGCGACTAACACGCCTCCACCAACATTTACATGGAGGCTTGTTAGCATCATCGTATTTCTCAGCATCATCTAATGCTCTGGTGATTCACACTCATCCACCCATATCCTTCGGTCACTTTCGACGCGTTGCCTTCCTTCAGAATGTCATCACAATATGCTATGAGTGCATTCCCAGTATCCGTAGAGCTCACGATTTCGCACGCACAAATCTGGATCAACAAGGTTCTCAGCTAATGAGGCTAGGACGCTACCATTATCATACAAATGCCTGCAAACCCGTAATGGCCCGGCCTAGAATCAGGCTGTGGATGTCGCTCTGTCCCTCGTACGTCTGTGTCACGAACAGATTCGCGACGTGTCTCCCGATGCCATATTCGTCGCTCACGGCGTTGCCTCCAAACACCTCCTGCAGCACGCGTGTGTTTCGCAGCGCCGCATCGCAGTTCTGGCGCTTGACCATGCTGATCATCTCCGGTGTCGCCTTGCCCTCGTCCTTGAGTCGGCCGACTTGGATGGAAGCGAGCGTGCCGTACGCCACGTCGGTGGCTGCGTCGGCGAGCTTCTTCTGGACCAGCTGGTATTTGGCAATGGGGTTGTTCTTGAACTGCTTGCGCTCCAGCGCATACGTGCGCGTGCGAGCCAAGGCGTCCTCGAGCGCGCCCATGACACCCAGCGAGATGCCGTAGCGGGCGCTGTTGAGGCAGCTGAAAGGACCGCGGAGACCCTCGACCTCGGGGAACATGTTGGCCTCGGGCACGGGGCAGTCGTCCATCTGGATCATGCCCGTGATGGAGGCCCTGAGCCCGTTCTTGTTCTTGATGGCTGGTGTTTCCAGGGTGCCGGGAGGACAGTCCTTTCTCTCGACCAGGAACCCCCGAATCTTACCCGTCTCCTGGAGCTTGCCCCAAATCATGAGCACGTCCGCGATCGGGCTGTTGGTGATCCATGTTTTGGAGCCGCTCAACAGGAGGTACCCCTTCTTCGTGGGGTGTGGTCTCGCTACGGTCTCCATGCTGCCAGGATCACTACCGTGGTTTGGCTCGGTGAGGCCGAATGCGCCTAGGATCTCTCCCTTGGCCATCCCGGGAAGGAACTTGTCCTTCTGCTCCTCCGTGCCAAACTCATTGATGCCGCCCATGACAAGAGATGACTGCACTGACATGCCGGAACGGTAGCCACTGTCGACACGCTCCACGGCGCGGGTGATGAGACCACCGGCTACAGTCGACACGCCCGCGCAACCGTAGCCAGAGATGTTGGCGCCCAACAGGCCCAACTCGCCCATCTCCTGCAGCATCTTGGCGTCATAATGCTCATCACGGTAGGCCTCTGAAAAGATTAGCGCTGTTCTCCCAATCTCAAGAAATTCAAAGAGACATACGTAGCACGCGTGGCGCCAAGCGCTCTTGACAGTACCGCTCGGCAGTCTCACCAATGGCAAGCTCTTCCTCGGTCAGGAGATTCTTGGAAGCAAGAGGATCTTCCCAGTTGAACGGGGCACCTGGCTGGACTGCGTAGAAGCGAGCAGCCGCCGGCTTCACTGAAGCCTGGCGCGCGCATGTCCTCAACACTGAGCGAAACATTGCAAAAACTGTTGAATGTGGTGATGTATTGGAGAGCAACTGCTCGGCAAGCCTCGGTCTGGGGAAACGGGGAACGATCAAGAGGGCCGAGGCCGATGACGGACCCCGCCAAGAGGTATCGGCGCCACCCGCCCCAGATTGTCGGCACAAAACTAGGTCTAGGTATTTACTTGGCTAGGACGGGGAACGTGCGTACGTATACGTATTGACCTCGTCGAGACCTTGTTAACTACCAGCTTGCGCCCTTTCATTCACTGACTTTCCAGGCACTTCGCTCAACCTGCTGTTTGCCAGCCCCGTCCCAGCACTACCCTCTGGGCTACGACTCTCTTCGTGTGGCGGGTACGTTTCCACGATGATTGTGTCTTGCGACAGTAGCCTAGCCCGCGATACACGAGCTAACCTCCTGCGCTCCTTTCCATCGAGTATGCGAGGGGGCATGTCAGGTAGTGCGCGATACAGCGTAGCTGAGTGTCCACCAAGGGACCGCCAGATCCGTGCGCTGCGGAACCGAAGGACAAGTCGAGAAGCAAGACCGGTGGGTGTTGGCGGCTGAGAACGGGAGACGCGACGGATCTGTTCCTGAAATCGAGCCTATGCTGGTCATTAACGCGTGCACATGAAAGCGGTCTTCCAAGACTCACGAACTTGTCGCCCTCTGTGTACCGTAGCTCCGGACAAGAAGTCATAGCACCACCCTACGGATCGTCCTGGAGAGAGGCACATGGGAAAAAGCTGGCCTTCTCACCCTGCGGTGGGAATTTATTGCTTGGTCTACCGCGGAACATCAACAGTGCTGGACTGCTGCTGGCGTGGTGAGTGAGATGGATTGCAACGTCGCCTTGGAAGGGGGGCTGAAGGTCAATGGGAGCTTTGGGTGAGGCATCGCCGCCAAGAGAGCTGGTTGACATGGTTTCAGAGGTGAGCTAACAGGTTTGTTATCGATATTGTAGCGGTGCAGAGGTTTGGGAGGATGAGCAAGTGAAAGTCGGCGCAGTGCTCTCGATGCTAATAGTCTAGATCTTGCCTCTGGGTCTCGTCTGGAGGGGTATCTGTTCACACGGGGCAAGTTGCCTGAGGTTGTGACCAAGTCGCTCTTCCCTCTCGTGCCTCAAGCACCGACTGGAGCACATCTCTTCGTTGCGCTGCTCCTCCGACAATGGGTTGGACTACTGCTCATCTACGCGTTCAAAAATGACGTATACTGTCTTGGACATCTTGACACTTGTGTCTTAAATTGGGAATAAGGAGAGGCTAGAGCGGCCCGTCGATCTTCAACATGGTCCCCGAACGCAGGAAATCACCCATGAGGTCATACCAGGACATATCACTTTGAGAGACGACTGGACGTTGAAACTTCAGGCCCAATTGCCCTGAGCGCATAATCAATGGTGATGCCAGCACCAATGTTGGTTGGTTCACTTGAACTGTCAATTGCAATTCCATGGAATCGGACAACCCGCAGTCTGATATCAGCTAGAAATCGGGCTTGTCCACAGTCCGAGGCTCTTTCGCCCGGATCGCTTCTAATTTAGTTGCACGCAATATTATGCCCAGAAGCTCGGTGAATGGCGCAGCATCCTCTAATTAGGTATGGCATAAAGTTCTGGATTCAACTATAGAACCACCCTGGTCCATTGGTAGCGGCTGAATATGTCGTGGCCCCCGGCGCATAACGCAATTCGCTTCTGGGGTGAAGATACGAGCGTCGAGCGCACAATGGTCAAGCCAAGCCTGCAAGGACAGACCAGGGTCTTCACATGCCGCAGAGGGACCACGCTTTATTGTGACAGACCAGTGAAATGCAGAGACGTGGCTGCGGCCCGATGACGGCAGATTCCAAACAGCCATAACATAGGCCCCATGATGTCGATGAGAGGGAGGATCTTTACCACATGGTAGTGAATGGTGGGCGATTATAATCTACAGTCCGAGGATAACGTGGTGGTTGTCATTTTGTCGCTACCTGGTCTATGTAGTTGACAGGGCACGGTACATGTACTTTACCTTGCCTTAGGTTCACCGTTCTTACAGTGGCCTCAGCCCCTGAAGCGCCCACTGCCTGCCCTGGAAGGCCTCATGTCATCGCCGCCCCGGCCAGAAGTGGACGACTGGAGCTGAACGACGAACTCTCGCTCACAACAACGACATCGTCGTCTTCCTAGCACCTAACTGCTGCTCTCGCTTTCATCACGTCGCCTGGCAGTTTCATGCATGCTCAACCATATCAATGTGTCCCATCATTTCGCGAATTGATTAGATAAGCCCGAAATCCTTCCACGCGATATTGGGGGTGCCAAGCCTCGACTCAGGCCGCGCCAGCAGCTCCACCACGTCCACTCCTGTCGGAACAGCCAAGCCAAGCCTTGAACGCTTTGGGCGAGGCAGAGGCCCTTTGCCAATTCCCTTCATTTCCGCTCCTCGCGACGCCCCAGCACCGCCATCACCCACTCGCCGTGTGTGCAGAGACAACAGACGGCGGCCAGCTGCCAGTCACTCCGTCTCGCTCCCACTGCCCCCCCTCAAGCTGGTTGGAGCGACGTAGCTTGTTTGACGATTCGATTCGACCACGAAACGACGATTGCGACGCCCGACAGGCCATCATCACATCAGGCCGCGATGCCCTCATACGTCGACCCGACACCCATCTACAACGACAGCGACGCCGATATCCTCAAGCTGGAGGCCGACTACGAGTATCCCAACCCCAAGGCCAACGGGGCTCACCCGGCCCATCGCATCCCACCGGCGGCCATCAATGAGCCCTTTGACGAGGCGTCCAACTCGTCCATACACGACTCTGACGCTTCAGGCTCTGCATTGGACACTGCACCGATGACTGCAGCGTCGACCACAACCAACACAAATGGCAATATCACGCGGGCCACGAGCATGAACTCTCTTCCTAACGGCAAGAGTGGAAGGAATGACGAACCCGCCCTGCCAGATCGGTCGCGTTTGCCCAACGGTGTCGTCGATGGCAGCCATGCCGAGAAACCAAGACGGAGCACAGAGCAGCAGAACAAGCCCAGCCTCCCCACAATACCATCAGAGGCCGGGTCATCGTCGTCACAAACCAAGTCGTTCTTCCCCCCAATAGCATCGCCAGTGGGCGAGCCCACAGCACCGCCGCCACAAGGTTCACCGCACCGCCTTTCTTCTCCTCCAGTCTACCACGGCAGCTCTGTCAACAGCCCATCATCACCTTCACATCTGCAACCGCCGCATCCTGGTGCCGCGTTGAAGCAAAGACACACGCTTGAAGTGCCCAAAATATCCTCGGCAAGAGTATCGAAAGATGGCATGGATTCAGCACAGGCTAGTGGGCGCTTCTCCCCTACCGTCGGAACCAACGCTGGCAGCGGGAGGAGAGCTTCCCTGAGCTTGGCGAGGCGGACAACGCGGTCTATGCAGTCCGACGCGCCGCGCGACGAGGTGGTCCCCGACGAGGATGCTGCACGCTGGGCAGAGGCATTGCGTCAGAAGCGGGCGAGCAAACGCAGGCGCAAGGAGGAAGAGGACGACGACAGGGTACTGGTCGGTACAAAGGTTGACGAGACGCACGCCAACTGGGTCACTGCGTATAACATGTTGACGGGAATCCGGGTGGCCGTCTCCAGGACAAACGCCAAACTCGACCGGGAGCTGACCGACGCCGACTTTGATGTCAAGCAGAAATCGACGTTTGACGTGGCTGGGAACGAGCTGGTCCCCTCGGCCAAGTACGACTTCAAGTTCAAGGATTACGCCCCTTGGGTCTTTCGCCATCTACGGTCTCTGTTCCGCATCGATCCCGCCGAGTATCTCATGTCCTTGACGGGTAAGTACATTCTCTCTGAGCTGGGCTCGCCGGGCAAGAGCGGCAGTTTCTTCTACTTTTCGAGGGACTACAAGTACATCATAAAGACGATCCATCACGCGGAGCACAAATTCCTCCGTAAGATCCTCAAGGACTACTACCAGCACGTCAGGGACAATCCCAACACCCTTCTCTCGCAATTCTACGGCCTGCACCGTGTCAAGGTGCCGTACGGCAAGAAGATTCACTTTGTCGTCATGAACAATCTGTTTCCCCCTCACCGGGACATACACACCACTTTCGACTTGAAAGGCTCGACAATAGGCCGAGACTATAGGGAGGATGATCTGGACAAGAACCCCCGGGCCACACTCAAGGATCTCAACTGGCTCCGCCGTAAGAGACAGCTCGAGCTGGGAATCCAGAAGAAGAGGATGTTCCTGGAGCAGCTACAGAAAGACGTCAAGCTGTTGAAGAAGCTGAAAATCATGGACTATTCACTCCTGGTGGGCATTCACGATTTGTCCCGGGGGAACGAAGAGAATCTCCGGGACAAGACGTTGCAGGTGTTCAACCCAGGAGGCGAGAAGGACCGTGGGGATGAGCCACCATCTGTGCTCTTGAGGACACCGTCCAAGTTGGAGAATGCGCGCAAGGCACGTGAATTGAGGCAGATGATCCGGTCCGAGAGGCCCGTGCCGATCGGTCAGGTGTTGGAAAAGGACCACCTCGAGGGGCAGGCCCGGCCCGGTTTCGTTTTCAACCAGGATGACGGTGGTTTCCAGGCGACGCATGAGGATAACACCCCGGCGGATGAGGTGTACTACCTGGGCGTCATTGACTGTCTGACACACGTGAGTACCCTTGCCATGTCCCACAAGAGGAGCGCAGCTGACATTAGGTAGTACGGAATGATCAAAAAGATTGAGCATTTCTGGAAAGGTCTGACCAATGACAAGACACAAATCTCGGCGCTCCCGCCTGATCTATACGGCGACCGATTCTACAACTTCATCGAGGGCAACACCATGTCCACGGAGGAGGCGCATAGGGAAGCGCAAAGGAGAGACGCGGAGATGGTTCAAGCATCGCGTACGTCACAGTCAAAGAGGCACAACACCATCCCACCCATGCCCGAGCACCTACCACCGGCACCACCACCCGATAGGACGATGTCGCCTGAAGGCCGAGAAGTCGTCGAGATGGCATCCGTGCAAGCTCATCGCACCGAACAGGCAGGCGCATCGGAGAGGCATGTGCCTGAGCGCACACTGAGGACGTCTGTGCCCGGCCAGCGCGACTCACAGCAAGCTGAGGCCATCCTGCCTGTGGTACAAGAGGCCGGGGACGACGACATGCGACCGAGGACCCCGGCCAAAGACAAGATGCTGCCCCCTACTCGCGCCCCGCCGCCGACACCGCCCAAGGCGAACAACGCCAGCAAGGCCGAGAGCTCAGACAGCGGCTACGGAGGGCAGCCCAGGCTCAGTAAGGAGAGTCTTCGTAACAAGACCCTTCCGCCTTTGCCAACCGAGTCAGGGCGCACGACGGCATAGTTAGCCTGGTTGTCATACCCCTGGGACTATTACTTTCCTCGGTAAATGTCGCGAATGGAGGACGGAGACTCATCATACCTTTTTGTTTCACATACACTCAAAACAAACCACGCGAGATACAAGACGCATCAACGAACGACCCCCATCGATACAAACGAAAGCGAAGGCAAGAAATGAGACCGGCACATTTGGATCTGACCCGCCTGTTAATTGTTCTGATTTTGTTTTCCTTTCCTGTTCCTCCTCATTTTCTAGCTGCTACTACGACTACCACAGCAAAGCAAAGCAAAGCATTGGGGTTTATTTCTGTCATTGGCGATGTGTAGTAAAGACGGTCGAGGGAAGGATGAGGTTCACAACCAAAAAGCCGAAAGAGTGCAGAAGCCATGGATGATACCACGCTGTTCCGTAATGGCAGCAGCAGCAGCATGCTTGTTTTCCTTTTCAAACGTTGCCATCAAAACTAGCCTTCTTTCCTTTTCCTTTTTTTTCTTCTTCCTGTTTTCCTTTCCCCCTCTCGTTGTATCTTCTGGGCGTGTTAGAGGCGAATATGGTATCAAATTAGATATGGGTAGTCGGTCTCAATTGTTACAGTGATGTACATATGGTATATGGTACACGATTGTGGTGTCCTCTCCCTTTCCTCCCCACAGGATTTTATCGCTGCCTCTTCTCCAAGAGATCCTGAATGTCGTCCTTGCCCTTGCCCTTCTCCGCGACGCCACCCTCGGGCGCAAACGTCGACGTGACCGTCATCTCCTGCGCGCCCTGCCGTCTCAGTTCCTCCAGCCGTCGCCGCTTCTGCAGGTCGGCCACGCGCCACTGCTTAAAGTACTTGACCCACTCCTTTGCGCAGTCCTGGTCGAGCTGTGTGCTCTCCGCCTTGCAGAGCTTCTTGTCCGTCGTCGCGGGGTCCTTGAGAGGGTCGTCGATCTTGTGCGCGTCCAGGCAGGCAAAGTAGTTGTCGCGCGCGGCCCAGCAGACCTGGCGCTCGGAGCGAGTGGGGATGGCGGTGCCGGCGCGGATGGCCTCGCCGCGTGAGTCGGAGGAGAACCAGCCCATTGTTGTGCTTTGGAAGGGTATGGTGTGTGTGTGCGCGCTTTGGTGTTGTCTGGTGGCAGCAAGCAAGCTGTAGAAACTGACTTGATGACGAAGGCACCTCCAGTCGGCAGAATTTAGGTTGTGCCCACTAAATGGGCTTAGCGTGGCTTTGTGCATGTACCTGTACAAGACAGCTCCAACCTCCCCTTGCCGAGACGAGAGACTGTCCGTCATTCATCGCCAACCTTCTTTCTTTCTACCTACAACAAAAGTTCGACATGCGACACTCATAAATAACCCTCAACAGCCTACCGCCACCTTCATAGGAGATGCCTCGTCGCCGTCGTCCTCCGCGGGCGGGCGCCCTCTCCGACCTCCAACCGCTCAAGATCGCCGCGCAAATCGCCGCCTTGCAGGTGCTCTTCTATCTCACCGCGCTCATCCTTTTCTTGTTCACCGCGCTCGTGGCCGGCGTGCCATTCGGTCTCGACCTCATTTTAGGGTGGCAGCGCGTTCGAGGCGACACAACGCAGGGATGGGTCATGGGTTTCGTCTGGCTGCTTGACGGTGGACTCTGCATGTGAGCTTCCCTCCTTGCTCTTGACAGGACAAATTAAAAGAGATCTAACAAATCATTAGGGCCCTAGCCATCGTCGCCCTCATCGGGCGCTCCAAGCTCGTCCCGGACTTTGCCATCACCATTCAGGCCCTCCACCTGCTCTTCACGACACTCTACTCGCGCGGCCTCCCCCAGTCGTCCATGTGGTACGCCTCCCTCGTGGGCAGCGCCGCGCTATGTGCGAGTCTCGGCATATGGGGCTGTCAGTACCGCGAGTTGCAGCCCGTCTTCTTCGGCGGTGGCCGTATCTTGGGGAACAACCCCCCGCCCAGGGGCACGATCTCGAGCGACGGCGGTGATGACGAGGAGATGCGCCTCGTCGGCAAACAGAGTGGCGAACACGGCGGGACAGAAGAATACGAGATGGGCAAGGTTGGACGGTGAAGCCTTGTCCCTACCAGCCTGCCTGTATGATGAAGCGTGCATTGCTCGGCGTTTTGGGGGGAATTTGCTTTGTTTGGGAACCAAGTGTACTATTACCAGGTATCATACGCAGGTGGGGAGGGAGGTATTAGACATGAGATAGCATACCGTTGTATCCTAGCACGGTTCAGAGAACAATCTTGAGTAAAAGATGGCCATATATAATTCCCCACGCATGATACGCGCCTTTCCTCGTTAGCATACATAAAGTAGTACATCCATCTAGGCGCCCAAGACAACGGCCAGATTATCGTAGATCACCCGCTTCACCTCCACAAGCGCGTTCCGCCTCCCGCCCAACGGGAGTCCTATGCTCTCCACCTCGATTCTGCCCTCGGCCGTCTTGCGCACGGCGACACTCCCGTCCACGACAAGCGTACCCTCGCCCTTGAACTCGGCAACATGGCTCGCCCCTTGCATCGCGCGCCGGAGATCCGCGAGGCGCAAGTCGCCCACGTGCAAAGGCTGCGTGGCCGAACGAGAGGAGGCCTTGATTGTGCTCGGCACAATGTCAAGGGTAGGTGTCGACGAGGGAATCGAGTGGTTGACAAGCGCGACGGCCGTGTTGTCCATCTTTTGTCGTTTATTGGCCGGCCCCTCTTCCTCCTTGGGTTCCTCCTTTTCCTGCGCGAGCGCGTGCGCCAGGAGCTGGCCGCTGATGGTGGTGATGCCCAGGCCCTTGACGTTTTGCCACTTGAGCCTCTTGACCAGCGGGTCCGCGAGACGGACCAGCCAGGCGTTGGTGTCGACGCTGGCATCGACCCAGACGCCCGTCTCGGGGGTGAACACGTCTCCGGAGAGGGCGGCACGGCAGTCTTCTGCGAGAGCCATGGTCTCCTGGTGGTTGCCGCCGACGAGGATGAGCTTGCGCGGCTGGATCAGCGGGATCAGCATGTTGAGACTGCGCTTGTCGTGGAGACCGCTAAAGTCAATGTGAGCGATGCGGAGGTTGGTCGTGATCGTTTCGGTTGTGTAAACCAGTTTCGAGGGGCCCGACGGCTGCTCAGGCTCCGTGTCCTGGACCTCGTCCAGCTCATCGGCGACAAACCCGTCTGGTGCGCCGTGGCCCTCGTCTTCGCCCGCTGCGACAGCTTTACTAGGCGCGGTCTTCGCGACGTCGTCCCATTTGCGTTTCTTGCCCAGCTTGTCGTCATCCGTGGCCAGTTTGCCAGCCTCGGCTGCGTCGTCCTCCTTCTCCTCAGCGCGCAGAAAGTCTTCTGGCCGGATCATCTCGCCAAAATCATCGCCCCTCTTCCGCCTTATGGTGAGCGGGAACGACTTTTCCCTGCCCTTCTTGCCGCGCGTGTCCCAGTCGAATATGCCTTTCTTCTTAATCAAGACATTGATGCCCAGGTCCTCGTCCTTCAGTACCACATTCTTCCGTCCAGCCTGACCAAGCTGCGCAGACACATTCAGTGCCTTGCCCTGTTGCTCGTCGTCGTCTTCCGAGTCTGACGAGGACTCGGATGCGTCGTCGACAATATCACCCGAGGTCTCCATGGCACCAGCACCACCTGCTTGCTGGGTCGCCTGTAGTTGTCGCTGCGTCGCCAGCCACCGTTGGTAAACGTCCAGCTCATCCCCTTCCAGAGGCTCCCGCTGCGCTTCCTGAATCTCGAGCGATTGCCCACCGCCATGGACAAACTCAAGATCCTCCCCGGAGCTGGTCGACTCGACCGACACACCTTCCTTCCTCTCGCTCCAGATCTCCCACAGCGTCCTCGCCATCGACGGTGATTGACCCGGTGCAAGCCCAGGTCGGTCGGTCAGGATGACCAGATTCCTCGAGTCTTTGGCTAATCCCTTGAGAATGTCCCTCGAGAACCCCCACTGCATGCTCGTGTCGCTTGCTAGAATCACACGTCCCTCCGTCTCCACGTTCTCAACGGATCTCGAGAGCAGCTTGGCAATCTGCGCCTTGCGCTCGAGAAGCCGCAGGAACTTGAAGTCAAACGGTCCGGCAGCCTTGCCTTCTCCTGCCCCGTTGACCTTGCGCTGATTTTCGGCAAAGGCCTCAAACTCCTGCACGATGCTGTCGTCCATCCACTCCAGCATGCTCCGCGCGTACCGCATGGTGCTCGCCATATTTCGCCCCGCGAGATAGAGCTTGGCGCTCTTGAGCGCACCGCCATCCTCAGCCGCCGCGTCCGTCCGCCACGCGTGTTCCAGTAGGTATGACAGCTCCAGCACCCTCGCGCTCGAGTCCACGGGGATCAGCACAGTGCCTCCTCTGGTGACGCAGGACTTGATCATATCGAGGAGCTGCTCGTCGCGTTTGCTCCGCCCCGCTGTCTGTGCCGCCTTGTCAGCTCCCCGTGTGCTGCAAATGAGAGCTGTCGGTTTGCGCAGCGCCTCAATCACATCCGCACCACCGCCGCCTGCACCTCCTAGCCATGCCGCACCGGCAAGGACATTCTCCTTGGCCTGATTCCAATCCACCGCGTATACAATCGACTCCAAGCCATGCTGAATATGCCAGATTGTTCCACCGAGTGTATGCCCTGCATTGTATGCCGTAATCGTGAGGCCATTGAGAGGCGGGCTGAACGGAGAAGAGAGCGGTTGAAGTGGTTGTGAATATTTGAGCGGCTGGATGAGTGAGAAGAATCGCGCGATTTCCTCTGGCGTCGGAGTCTGCAGTAGCAAGTTCTGGGCCTGCGAGGCAGCCGATTGCGAGAATGCATACGCCGTCTCGGATAGCGACTCTGCAGATATCGTGGTCGCCGCGGCCGGCGCCGAGGAGTACAGGTCCTGTGTGAGCGTTCGTCCAAGGTCGATGATCGGTCGCGTCGCGTAGACAGGTATGCGTGTGAAGAGCGGGATGTTCTTGCAGCAATGTGCGTAGGCGGCAAGATGGGAGGCTTTGGCGTGGGTGAGGAGGATGAGAGAGAGCGTGGGTATTTGTCTTGTCGAGGTTAGCTGTCACTGTCGTTGGGGGGGAGGGACCAGCGGGATGCGCACTTTTCGAGCTCCTTGAGCTGGTCTACATTGAAGGATTCACCCCAGCCAAGGTCGACGAGGACCTTGACGCCGCCGTCGAGCTCGAGTAGCGACTGCGACGCTGAGGATTCTGTGAGCGCGCCCTGGAGCGGGCAGAAGGTGAACATTGTGTCGCTATCTGCCCATGGTCCGCCTCGATACGGCAGGCGAGAGAAGAAAGGCGCAGACGATGAAACGAAAAGGATATGATAGGCGACTTGAGGTCAATGTCAATCCGCGCTACCGCATTGCTGATGCCAATCGGCAAAAGAATGTTAGATGCGTCGCGTTATTGTAGCTTGAGCTTGGCGGTCTTGCATACGGCCCGCAGTCGTGCATCGGCGCGGAACATCATTCTCCCCCCGGTTGCGGATGAAGTACGTCTGCTCTGTTCAACGTCTTTCACGCCAAGGGCGTCACCATATTACTCGCGAACTACGGTTCTTTCATTGTAGTTTGGAGCAAAATTTATCTTTAAAGTTCCAAATTCGCTACCAAATCTAATAAGTGGACCATGCAATGCGACCTCGTCCGAGGTTTGGTTTCCCGCCCAACGCCGCGCTCATAAATCAATCAGACCTCGCATCCGGCACCCTCTTAGGAAATCATTTGCCTGAAAGCCGAACGATTCAACATCTGCAGCGCCCGTGAGTCCTCTCCCCTGACATGCGGCTCGCTGGGCGCAGGCAGAGTCTGGGAATTGAGCAGCTGGGGCAGCTTGGTCCGGGGCGCGGCGTCAGAGTGCGAGCTCTGAGGGGGGCTGATGCTGTTCCCACGGCTCGGAGGCGCCTCAGCCGCGATAGATGTCCCGGGGGCGCCAGCTGTCACGGCGTTGAGGGCTGGTAGAGGGCCATGACCTAGCGTGTTGAGTCGGGAGTCGCCAGAGGACACGTTCTGCAAAGGCGAGTCGTGCTGGCGAGGAGGGGACGGATAAGTCCTCCGCTGGGGAGGAGGCAGCAGAGTTCCGTGCTCATAGTGAGGAGCAGGGAAGGTAGGATGAGGTGACTGGGCGTGCGAGACGATGTGAGGGGGCATGGGCACTCCGGGCTGGTACATGTGGCTGTACTGGTGGGCGCCGTGCGGCCAGCCATAGGCGGGCTGGCCATACTGGGGAGGGTATGGCTGAGGAGGGTAATGCTGCTGCGCAGCGTAGGCGGGTGTGTGGTGCATTGGCACACGGGTCAATGCAGGGGTGAGGTGCGAGTCGCCGATGCTCGTCTCGGGGTACATGCCCTTGACGGGAGTGAAGTTGCGCAGATTGGGGTCGGTGGTGGGCTGCTTGAGCTCTGGCTGTCCCGAAACAGGCCGCGAGTAGTACGCAATGAGGTGCAGGTGCTGGCCGGTCGAGGTGGTGATGCTGAACGACTGCTTCATGAGGCCGTCGGCTTTGTACCGGTACCCTTCGGGCTCGCCGTCATCATGGTTCTCGTCACTGTCGCGACCGTTCTCGGATTTGGAACTCCTCTTTGCAGTGCTGAAGCCGCCGCCTCGCTTTCCCTCCATCTCGCGGTAGGTCAGGAAGCTACCTGACACGCGGCTGGCACTCCACGACTTGCCATCCGTCCAGCGGCGCATCCCAGCTTCCCGCTCATCCCAGACGAACACAGAGCCAGATCGAATACCCTGGCGCTCTTTTTCCGATAATCGTCGCTGGACTCGAGGGAGATGTCCAAGTCGGCAGGCCTCGAACAGCCGGATTGCGTCCGCGGGGGACCGGATCACGCCGTGATATGTTTCCATTGCTGCGTCGATGTCTGGCAGGGTGCGCCACACTATGATGCCAAGTTCTGCGCTGCAAACTTATGTTCTGTTGCGATTTGGAGGCTGGAGGCTGGAGATTCTGGAGTCAGCGACATGCTCTGCTGTGCGCACATGCCAGCAAGCCCAGCGATATTGAAAGTCCTCATAACCTCTGTTGCCCTATACGTTCACTCTCGGGCAAATTATAAAGCAAGAGAGTATTGACGCAATGGGAAACAGGGATGCGCACAAACAATGTCCTGGTGGCCAGGCTTGGTAGGATAGCAACGGGATCTGACATACTGGTTTACGGTGACAAGAGCGCGAGAACGGGTTTGCAGACGACCATGTATAGCCTCGTGTAATTCGTGTCCGAGTGACTGTTTGGGCGTTTCAAGGAGTCGTGAGCTTGGTAGCGGTGTCTAGTAGCCGAGATGTTAGATTCGGGAAACAGAGTAGATCCAAAGCGCGACGAAGGTGAGCGTAGATTCAAGTCTAAAAAGGAAATGCTGGGGATGATGTGCCATGGCAGACGATCTCGCCTTGGGAGGCCCACGCCGAGCGCCAGGGACGAACAATGTGGATAGGATGGATAAGTCGGCTCGGCGTCCCAAGGAAAAGCTTGGCTTGGGGTGACAGGGAATCGTGGTGTGAGGATAAAAGCCAAAGGGGTGTGCGGGAGGGAGCCAAGCCCAGAACCACTGGAACTGGTCCCCTCGCGGCAGGCTGGCCGCTGGTGGTTGAGAGACGCACGAAGCACTGGCTTGCGCACCACAGCTCGTGGCCTCTCTTTCTCTTGTATGGAAAATTGCATCCGCGCCGAGTCTTGTGACTGTGCGCAGTGATTCTTCATTCGAAGAGCAAAAGTGTGCGTAATGATGCCGAATTCGGAATGTATCATAAGAGGCTTTCGGACCTACAGTTGGTGGTGGCGGTCGTGGAAAGCGACTACGCAGGTACCGGTACCTCGACGGTGGCCGTTATCCGTTCTGTTGGTTGAGGGAAAAGGCGGAGGATGAAGTGAGTGTTGTTGCGACCTTGCGGATGCCATGAGATTTTTGATGTGCTCCAGTCCCCTGCTCGAGTGAGTGCCTGCCCACGTCAACTCAAACACTGGAGGGTATCTCACGCTCCAGTCGTCGTCATCTCAGCGGCAGAGGCAGGAGCAACTGTATCTGCCACGAGACTGGACTGGTGGAAGGTGAACCCTTAACGGCTGGGACGGCATTGCCAGTGGCTATGACTCCTATGAGGAAGGTGGATGGGGCTTGATTCCCTGCCGTAGTGCCGAGAGCTATTGCAGACACAGTGTCATCTCTCACACACTGTCTACTGGCTGCCTCCCTCCCCCCCAACATGGCCAAGAGCGTCGATCTCTCACTGTGTCAGACTATCATGCTGGCGCCGCCAGGAAGATACGGTACGCCCTTAAGCTTATTATTTCCAGATGTCGACTCTTGGCGCACGGACACCGGCTCGCTGCTCGCGATTAAGCCTACTCATTAGCCGTCGACTTGGCTTCATGCTCGCCAGTACCTGTCGATCTACTTTATGAATGCCATCTCTTCGTTTGATCACGATGCTCACAGACTCTGACGCCTAGGCTACAAAGTCACGGGTTCGAGCAAAGACCGAAGGCCGGCGATAGAAGTTCTTCGACAAGCCAACTCTGATTCACGTCGAAATCGTTGTCGGAACGCACGGCTTCCTTTTTGGTCTGCTCCATACGTATCGCGCGGCCTTTGCGTGCCGTAGCTGCCGGGTGCGGACACCATAATCGGTACCTCGACCACCACTAGCTTCACTCTGGGGAAGTACTTCACAGCAGACAGTAGCGTACAACGGTACCTCCGGCTCTCAGGCCCAGAGACGTGGAATCGTCAAGGGCTATTTGCAGTGGATTTTGGATAAGCATTCGGTGCTGGTGCACGGGTGAGGCTTTGCGCGTACTTTACGTATTCGCCCTAGAGGTCATTTGCTCTGTCGGTTTCTCGTGATCCCTAATAACCTATGTTTAGATTTCGCGACTCGTGCAGAAACAGCAAGGGCCCTGGAATGCTCTCACAACCCAGGATAGAGCCGACCTCGATCTGGTCCTTGGTCCAAAACGACGACGTCGTCTATACGTAGTTGGAAACCATCCCAGTTTCGTTCCACGTGCCGCACACCCCTCGAGTCAACCCTTTGTGCCGTACAGCCGGTGTAGTCTGTGAGGCCTCACAGCGCCACAGCCGTCAATTCATCAGTTCAGCGGCTGGATGGAGCCCTGTCTCGCCTGTAACATTCTTCTTTGGCAGTCTGTGAGGAGCGCCGAGCGCCTGTGTCGCTTCTGCGAAACTTGCGGGGATTTTAGGTGCGCCTGCAGCGCGGGATAAGGGATAAGCATAAACAAACGGTAATCGGGATCACCATTGTTGAGACCGCGCAGGACCATTTGTCTCGTGCGACATTTGGCGTCTGCCTTGATCATCCGTCCAAAGGATCAGGCTGCGACTTCTATCTGCTGTCTTTTCTTCGGGAGGGTGATTACACATTCGACCGAGCCTCGTTGTCGCTCAACGGGATGTGGGATCTTCCGTGGGGAAAACGCATCGCAAAGTGCGGACATACCACCAAAGGTCATATCATCACTGTGAGCAGTGAGGACACCGTTTTCCGTCAACCTCGAAAGACTCACTTCCTCCAAGACATCTCCGCTTAATTGGCTCAGTCGTTCCGGTACCCGAGTTACTTTTCATTTTTCAAAAGCCCACGTACGCAAAGGCGGAGCATTCTGTCTCGTTGCGATGCCGTCTAAACCGTTGCGACTCGGCAGAATCGGCACCCGCCCGCTCGGACAGACTACGTATTACAAGAAATGGCCCTAGCCAGTACCCAACCGCCGATTCGGTGCCGATGTGGCGGCTGCGCAAGTAATAATACCGCACGTAGTGAGGCCTCCGTGCACACATACGTACTTGGTACAGTTGCTGGATTGCTTCGCAATGAGGCTTACGCAGCGTTGATGATGGGGGGGATGCGGCTGAAGAGGGCGGCCGGTTGGCATGTTGAGCTTCGGCCACTCTGTCCAAAGGACGTTCGTGGCGCTAACTAATAAAAGTCAGCAAAGACTACCAAGGGTCTAGAATAACTTTGTGGCTGAACGAAACTTTCCCACTCCCGAGGTTGATCACCCTCCTCAACGTTTAACCTAAAGTCTACTGATTGTGAGTCTAGAAATTGGCTTTATTAACCTTGCAAGCAGAGTGCAGTAGGTCCAATCTTATTACATTGCTCACTACTACTTACGCTGGCGCAGATGGTACGGACTCCTAGCTTCCATGTGGCGTCGAGGCCAGCTTTCAAATTCAGGAAGCCTGGTCATTCCGCCCTGCCAAGCCGACCGCGGACCCTGGCCGGATCACCGCCATGTACCTACTTGTAAGTACCTAAGACCAGGACATCTCCTCCAGTTTCCCAAAAGGCCTCCAACGCGCGTCGCATCCCAGGTTCCCCCGACGGACACTGCGTTTCGCGGCCTCGTTTGCCTAGCGTCGACCTGGCAAAGAGGCAGCCGGCGACTGGAGTGCAAGGACGGATAACTCGGCCACGCGCTGCTGGATTGTTTAAGCATGAATTTAAGCGTTGTCAGCCATTGAGCTTGGCGCGGGTGCTAACACGGAAGCGGCTATGATTTGGGACGTGTCGCTAGCGATTTTGTGACCATTAAACACACGCACGCCAATCAATGACATCAATCGGCTTTGACGTGCCGAGCAGAGACTTCCGCCTGGTTCTTGGGGTTGCAGCGGTTTGAACGGGAAGGAAAAGGCGAAACCTCAACAACCGCTGCCAGGCTTGTCCCTCAGCTTGTGGAATCCTATTCAGCTGCCCACGTCGAGACTCTCCTATCCGGTTCTGCCTCTCTCAAGGCTGAAGGCCTCGACCTCAACGCCCCCTCCCGATCTCGTGGCTCTGCAAAGGGGTGTCAAGCTTGGGGCCGTCATGCATGAGCAGGGGTGTCACTTCTTGTCTGCCACGTCTTGGGAATGCCGTTCTAACCGACTTGGCGGACAGGGATGTGCGCTGACGCTGCGAGTATCCGTTTCAGAGCTTAATTCTTATTAGGGTGCCCTAGAAATGCGGGATGGCACTGCACTCATGTTGAAGATCCAGATGGCGATGCTCAGCAAAGCTCCGCGTCGGTCGGACGATGCTTTGCCTACCAGGTGAGTACGGACAGCTGTGGACTGGGGCGCTCCTTGGGCTTTTCACGGCAGCAGCAGACCGCTGTCGACGTTGATCTCTGGCCCCGAGTGCGAGTAATTACACTGCTTCTTGGTTCTGCGCTTGGCCCAGCCATGCCGAGCCCTCTTCTGTGCCGATCCGTCCGCCAAGGCCAGCAGTCAGTTATTCGCAGTCAAAGTCGTCGACCTTGGTCCTTTGGCCATGGATCAGAGAGGCAACCCGTGAAGGGAACGAACCCGCTGAGCCCTTGCGGTCACAGAATTCTCGTTTCCCAATGACCACCTGTACGCCCGCTCACTCAGGGAAGGGTGTAACGCAACAAGCGTGTACTTAAAAATGGCGGACATTTGCGGTACCACATCCTTGCAGGATCGATGCTTGACGCTTATGCTTATTTTGTCCTGCGACCTCGCCAGTCACCACTGCAGAGAGCCCGCAATTACCACATCTCAGCCTCAGCTCAGGGCTTCATGGCCCCGACGGCCCTCTGGGTATCACCGCTTCATATCCCCTATTTCAACAGGTTTACCGCTCCTTGCATCTGGGGGCAATATGGCCAAGACTTGCGCTTACAAGCAAGCCATGTCAACGCACGGTTGCGGACAACTCGACCCGCCCATCACCAGCCCCTCCATAGATCGGCACGACCGAGAAATGAGGAAAGGAAGGGGAACCCAATCTTAGTTGAGGCATGCCCACCGCTCTCTAAAGAAATGAGGCTATCGTGAGAGACTCGTTGGCTATTGCTCGAGTACGGAGCTGCAACGGTTCCATGACACCGATCGGGAGCCTGAATTGGGGCCAAAACGCGGACGGGCGACGAAACAAAATGGAGCCGAGGACTGGCGCGGCTGCAGTTCCGCTGCTGGGCGTGACAAAGGTGCCAGCCATCCAGTGGAAGACGATACGGAGCTCGCGCGATGATCTAACGCCGAAGGCCAAGATGCAGCTGAGGCTGCTGCTCGCTTGTAGGCCTTGGCCTCGTCCACGCGTGCCACTGGTGCCCTGTATCGCCGGGGGCAATGAATGACTGGATGCCAGAAACTGATGATATCCCTCTCGCAGGTATCTGCTGCCGTCAATAGGAAACACAGTGGCGAGCTCGAGTCAAATCGTCAAATCAACGCGACGTATGCCGAGCGTCCCCCCACAAACCAGCCGACAGAGAGTCAGGACCCCTGCTTAAGCTTATTTCGTGTGCTAAAATGCTCAAGCAAGGGTCGAATCGGTCCTTCACACGTCGTCGAGCTGGCTTCGTGCGGCTCTCCGCAAACATCATGGTTTTGTGTCTGCGTGCCAAACATGAGCTCGCGCAACAGTGATTATCTTCCAGTCATCACTGACTGCCTCTTCGAGCGTCCGTCCTGGTGCCTCCCCCCTGACCGGAGGCGATGGGCAGCTGTCACGTTTGCATTCTCATGACCCACCCGGCAAAGACGCGCCACGGCAAAGTCGGAACGGTCGGCACCATATTCTTCATCCTCCCCCCTCCCTTCTTCGTGCCATCCATATCATTTTACCTTCTTCCTCGCGATTGACCGGCTATCACGACCCCCCGAGGTCCCGGGCAATTCATCATAATACTCGCTCACTTGGTGCGCCGGTCTGCTGTCTGGGCCCTGGCCCTCTGGCTCTGGGAGTGAGAAGGCTAAAGCGTCATTTTGGGGAGAAAAGCTTGGCCTTGAGTTTGTTTCCCATGTGGCGCGTGCCTTAGGTTCCTCGGCACCGACATTGTCAATCGCACCAAGAGTCAGGCGCGCAATGCTTCGAGACGAGGGCTTGTGATGACCATCAGGCTGTTGTTGGGACTTCTGACAAAACTGTCTGAGGCGCGACCGTCTGGGTTCCCACGTGCGTGACTGTGAGGCCTCACGCCTTGATCAATGTGTCCCTCCACTCGGCATCACAGAGCCGTTCTGCTCTTGGCGATGCTTTCTCCAATCCTGTCCTGCGGTGGCTCCGGTCCCTCAACCCGAGTCGCCGCCGGGCGTTTCGACAGAGCCGCCTCCGCAGTCTTGTCCCTGCCAGACTGTGGTTACGCTACGTATGGTCGCTATCTCGGGAATAAGACTTCACTTCCGTCTACCTATCGCGAAGAGGCCTTTTTCTTCTATGCACGTTTCGTAGTGGGTGGGGGCTGCCATTACACCTACGTACGTACGTCCACGCCCTCCTGAGCCACACGGCTGGGACGGCATCACGGCGGCGACGGCGCCCAGAGGATTGACCGGACCAGCGTACCGTAATGACACGTCGCAGAATGCCCGAAATTTGCGTTTTGGGTGCAAAGATAGTATGTATGCTTATTATTGCTGAGCTGACGCGTTCACGGAGATAGAGTTTCGGGACACTGTGAATAGGGGGCACATGGGAGGCCTGTGGGTGAGTGAGGGTGACCGACATCTCGATGATAGGCTCGGGTCCAGGCCGCCGACCTCTTCGCGGTGTGCCTGTCATTGCTCAGGTGACGAGCAGCTCGTCGGCCCTCCAAGGCAGATGGCTACAGCATCAGCCGCTTGGGACATGATGTTCTGATTCAAGTAACAAGTTGAAGCTGCCATGGATAGTGCCCATTGCAAAGCCCCCTATGCTAGAGCCTACAGTTGGTGTAAGTTCTAGCCGCGGCACCTCGACTGTACAGTCGCCTTCGAAGAGTAATCTGGTCCTGGAAGACGTGTTGCCTTCTCGTGCTTACTCGCTATATGAGGGTCGGCGTCTTGATTATGCGGAGGTTTTGCGGCAACGATATGCAAAGCATCATCAATACACCCATCAAGCTATGGCAATGCTCATTTGAACGACTTGATATCAGAAGCACTTAGTAGCCTGCTCGGCCTTTGACTTCTGGTCTTTCTCCTCTCGAAAGAAAGCACATCACTCTAGTCTAGTACGGATAGATGTATCTTGGTCAAACGATGCACATGCACCCTTGGTTCAAAGCCAACTGCACCACACAATGTCTGGATCAGCTCGATCAGAGTCATGCGAGGTATCACAGCGCGTAGCCTACCATTGTAACGTGACATGTACAGGTCAACGATTTACCTTGCTGGCGTGTTAGTTTTCAATTTTCATATTGACTTGAGAAGCTTTGCTATCACGAGCAGACCGTATCGTCAGAGGAACATAAAGGCTGCACCCATGGTCCTGTCCATCAACTGCTCATGTTGAGATTGCCGGAGCTTCCCTGTTTGAGAAATCCATAGTCTATTTATTACAAGTATCATACAAGTTCCTCCATGCGCAAAATCCAAAAGGCAGCCAGTGAGTGGTACAGGGTAGGCGGCCGGACTCCATACAAGTTATCCTACAGCCCTTCAAGATTCCGGTCAACATCGTCCGACCTTGCTCTCACCGCTATATCTCGCAACATATCCAAGCATCGCCTAGTTGCCATGTTGGACGAGCTCGCGGCGTACGAGGCATCCCATGAGGAACAAACATGTCGCAACCAAGTCAGCTGTGTGCCCTCACTCACACCGCCTGTCCAGAGTCGCGTGTTTGTGACTTGGATTTGATACACGCAAGTCTCCGATCCCCAAAGAGAGGATGTTTCGCATGTCGAGCCGTTTGTCTCCTGCATCGTGGACAGATGGCTGAAGAGCTGGGAAGGCGGTGTAGTCCCCCGCGAGGCGTGATGCAGAGCCCCGTTGCACGAGGTCGCATCCGGTCTACGGGTGCATGTGGCCGTATAGGCGAGGAAAGGGGACCGTGTCCCGAATGCTCTTGACGCCCGTCAGGTAGCTCAGGAGACGATCGAAGCCGATGCCGAATCCGCCGTGGGGCGGGCACCCCCAGCGTCGAAGATCCTCGTACCAGTCGAGGACGCCCTCGCCCGAGCGATGTTCAGGGCCCAGATTCTCCAGCAGAAAGTGGTGCCGGTGCTCGCGCATGGAACCGCCTGCCAGCTCGCCGAGGCCCGGGACGATGAGGTCGAAGCAGTCAAAGACAGGTCCTTGCGTCGGGTTTGCCTGGGACTGGCGCATGTAGAAAGCCTTGATTTCTCGGGGGTAGTGCGTGATGAAGACGGGGAGATATGAGTTGCTTGCTTGATCGTAGCCTATCGTCTCGGCAAGGTACCGCTCGTGTTCGCTTTGCAGCCCCTTGCCCCATGTCGGGGGGAACTCGAAGCCGGCGCCCTTTTCTTGCAAGAGTTCAATGGCTTTTGTGTAGGTGATCCTGGGCCATCTGGCGGTGTGAAGAAGACCGTTCCATCGGCGCTGTAGGATGTCGCGGCTGTCCAGGTCGGCAACAGTTTGCTGCTCGTCAGGGTTTTTGGGATGCAGTCTCAGGTCATCTAGCTCCTTCCATGCGCTCCGCTGTTGAAGGCCTCCGACGACAGCACCCAAGAGCTTCTGTATAAAGTCCATGACTTCGTCCATATCGTCGACGAAGGACAGCTCGGCTTCCAACATGTAGAACTCGCTCAGATGCCGAGACGTATCACTTTTCTCAGCGCGGAATGTTGGCGAGAGGGTCCATACGTTGCCAAGCGCCTGCGCCAAGGCCTCGAGATGAAGTTGCGAAGACACTGTAAGGTACTGGGGTTTCTTTGAGAAGGGATCTTTGGGCGTGCCGGCTTCGACGCGGAAAGTCTCACCAGCACCTTCGCAATCCGACGTTGTGACGATTGGTGTATGTGTTTGCTGGAACTTTTGCTCCTCCATAAACTGACTCAGGATACCCATGACATCTGAGCGGATGCGGAGCATGTTGTTGTTCAGAGGTGTTCGCATCCGCAGATGCGGTATCCTGCGCAGACTCTCAGGAGTGGCGTATTTCCGCTGAATTGGATACGACTGACTTGGTGTAAGCGGCAATCCAACAGTATGCCGGTGAGCAACTCACTGCAGCATTTGAATCTCCCAGAATCTCCATCTCCTTCACGCTCAGCTCGAACGTGGCTGGTTCTCCAGGTTGTGCTGTTTCGGGCTTTGCTCTCGGCGTCCAAGTGCCCTTGAGACTGACAGCCGCCCCGAACTGAGCCCCGACTCCTGGCAAACTGATTCTGTTAGAAACAATGGCGCCCTGCGTTGCGGAAAGACTCACCCGTTGAAGACGTGTTTGTCAACAACAGCCTGGAGAGGGGCCCTGCAGGAGCCATCTGATATGTCCAGGAACCGAACGGCTGCGCTCCGCCTCACATTCTTGATCCACCCGTCCACCCGTACATCAAGACTCCGATCTATTGACAGGAGGTCGGACACGGTAGAGACAGACGTCGGACCATCCTCCTGTGAGACTCGCACAGAGTAAGACCGAGCCGAGGGTGTCTGAGGTCGTGTCAACTGGGACCTGGCGAAGCGACACGCACGCGAGGACGCCCTCATGATGAAACGAAACGAAATGCACCCAGGGCGCTAGCAGGCGACTTCACGTGCAATGTGTCGACTTTGTTGTGTGTCAGTCATGTGAAATCGAGGTCCATGTCGTTGCTCGAGCGTATGTATGTATCTACGGATGCACGTCGGACGGGAACGGACAAACGTGATGTCGTGGGGCCGACGTACAGCAGCGTCGCTCCTCTCCTGCAGGCGCAGACGGGGCGCCGTGGTCGCGTACCTGCCTCGCGTGATGCGTGAGGTACCTTATCGTTGATTAACAATTACCGCCTCAGGCACCCGGTTTACAGCATCCACTGAGCACCCTCACATCAACCGCGTATTGTGACCATCACCTGTCACACTACTACTTTACCCTCACGGACCGGGCGTCAGCCTTGATCAACCTGCAACTCCCGACGTGAATCATAGTCCTCCCCCCCGCTAGTGTGTCGTGCCCCTCGTCATCGGCACGCTTGACAACCACGGACTCCCATATGGCACTCCCTTGCGACCTGCGGTTGGTGGACCAATCAATCGTCCACCGAGTCTCAACTTCTGACGGCATCTTTCTGGCACATTGAAACTAGCCTTGACGAATGCAACGCTCTGTCATGTCATTTTCACATTTTTCAGTGCCGTACTCGATCTGTCGAGCTGCAGGAGGTGGTGGAGCGCACTGGAGCTGATGATGCGAAGAATGGGGTCATATGCGAGATGGGCATACCTCGTTGGCAGTTGGCACCACAAGTGACTGTGACGCACACAACAGGAGCAGCAAGCAAGCAAGCCGCCCGCCCGCATCATCCATGCGTCGAACATAGGAGTCTGATTGATGCACACAGCCTAAGGGCATGTGCTCGATAGCGCCTTGAGACAGGGGTTGGGTCTGCCGCGTGCCATGCCATGGACCCTGTCTGTCTGAGAGGAGGTCCAATGCTCGTCACCCGTCCGTCCCATTGCTGCTCACCGGACTGGACCAACAGCCGCTCTGTCGCTGCCAGTCTTGTAGCGTTGCACTGGCTAGCCTCGGTGTCTGAGTATGCCGGCTATCCTCACTTGGAAACCGGTCAAGAAACATGGGAGGGGCTCGCTGGGGACGCCTGGCCCGTGTGTGTCTGCTGTGTCGACCGCCGTGACCAACATGATGTGTTGGTTGCCCGCCATAGGGACGGACTGGCAACTAATGTCAGGCCCCCGATGCGACCATGGAGCTTGTTTTGCGGCGCCTATCGCTCTTCCGTGGGGTGGTGGCTGCGCTTGTCACTCGGACGTGTTAGACAAAGGCGAGATGGAGTGGCACAGATCTGGCTTGTTGGTCCCGCTCCACCACGATGACCCGGGCAGACGCTGTGTCTGCATCACGGGTCTGAAGCGACGTGTATCTCGACGCAGGCAAGCAAACGAGCAATCAAGCGGCGCTACAAGGACAGGGGCTTCTTGTTCCCGTGAGATGATCTTGCAGACGGTTGCACACAGCATCGGCGTAGCCCACCATCGTCCCGTCTACTTGGATGCTGGAAGGGGTCCGTAGGCTCCATTTCTTTTTGTGTCTTGAAGGTCTCGATGGCAAGACAACCTGAAGCCCATCTCTGTCGAATCAAGCGAGGAGGTGTTCGGCTCCTTAAGGATGTCCCTGCTCCCCACTCGCCTCCATTTGTAGCAGTCGCAAACGATGGTTCACCTCTTGGACGTCTGGTTTGTACAGAGCCCGGCACGATTCTTTATGCACCCTTCCGAGCATGTACAAGAAGCTCGCGACTTCTTACTCTACGAATGCGCAACATCAGACTCGCAACAACGTCTTCCCTCACCACTATCCACTACTGCTGCGACTGCTCCGGCGGCTCCACCACTACGAGCTACGATGCCTTCTGGGAGGAGCAGCAAGGTGAGGCCCTCGGAAGTGGCCGCAGACACCAAGAAGAACTTCATCCCCATGGTCAGCGCCCACTACGCCAAGCAGTTCCCTCCCTACTCGATACTCTACGCCCACCCGACGCGAGACCTAGAGATCCCCCGTCTTACGTTAAGCACGAAGCCACCCGTCTTCTCCATCGTCGCGGGCGATCCTGTCACACAAGCGCTGAACTGCGGCGCCCTCGACTCGCAAGAGAGCCAGGGGCAAGGTGGCCCACGAGTCCGAGTCCCCTTTATTTGCGCGGCCAATGATCGCAGACCCGGCGGCGATTGGGAGACGGGCTGCTCAGGGTACGAGGAGAAGCTATGTCGACGCAGCAACCTCTCAGCAACCCTCAGCTCACCGTTACCTGACACGGGCGTGGTTACCAATTACCCAATACCGTCCATGGGGGGCATCCTCTCCGACTCGGTGGTCGTCTGTCGAGGACCCCATGAGCGGTACGAGCGGCTCGACACATGGTACGACCTGCCCGTCGTCTCGGTTCCCCCGACCCGCTGGCCCAAGCTCAAGGATAATGGCACAAAGTACTCCTTTGCGCAGGAACGGGACATGGCGCGCGAAAAGATCCGCGGCGCGCTACGAATCTGCCTATACAACGGCTACAACCGCGTGGTCGTCGGTGACTTTGGCCTAGGCAACGGTCACCGCAACCCTCCCCAGGAACTGGCCGAGATGTGGCGCGATGTCCTCCTGTTTGACCCGGATCTGCGTGGGCAATTCCGCTACGTTGTCTTTGTCTTTGACGATCCCCACCAAAGCACATCGGGTCTCATCCTACACGAGCTCGCGCGCCAAGACGAGCTTGCGCGCAAGAAGAGCAGCAGCGGCAGCGGCAGCAAAAGACGCCGCCACCGCGGGGAGTCGTCAAGCTCCTCGGGATCGGCCGGCACGCCAACCGACCTAGCCATTTTCGAGCACGTCTTTCAGGAAGGCGAGATTGCCCGTGTGCTCAGCGAGCGGGATCCTCGCTATGGCCTGGACATGATCACCACCTAATAGATTCACTGGGAGCAGCAGGGGCCAAGGAGGCGATGGGGATAGAGGGCGTTACCAACGTGCATCGGTGAAAGGTGACACATCAATCACGCCGCCGCCGTCACGTTGGTGGCTGGCTCGCCTAGGGACGGGCTCCATCCGCCCCCAGGAGGAGTTGGTTTGTTGGCCCGAGCATTCATTCATGATGGAAATTGTGCTCGGCCGCATCGGGCCTTGTTTGCGGTGCCATCGGTGTTTGACTGGTGTTCTTTGGCCTCTTTTTCGGTTGGCGGCAGATCTGCTTGTATTATCATGATGAAAAATCAATTATAAAAAAAGCATATGACATGTCAGAAAATGGCCATATTCGTTAGCCCCGCTGCACAGTTGAGTCGTTGGAACCCAGTTTTCATGTTGGTTGTTTCTGTCGGCAGACCTCCCACCCCAACAGGTGCTGTGATCATGATACTGACTACCAATGTAGTCGTCCGCTAGTAGAAAGTAGTCGTGTGGCTAACTAACTGACTGACTTACTATCTATGTATGTATGTACAATACTCCGCTGCGCAACGATAGCCCTTTTCGATAGCATCACCAATACGCAGGTCTCAGCCCGCTGAAGCCACTGAGCGCGGACGCAACACCGCCCTCGCCGCCCTCTGAGCTTTTGCTCCTCTGTCCACTCAACTAAAAACTCGTCAGCATCCATAGTCACTTGTATAGGGGGGGGAATCGGGGGGTAGCAAACCTCCAACTGCACGGCCTTGTGCACGTGCACCAACCAATCCACATAGCTTTGCGCTTCGTTGTTGCGGTCCTCGACAAGCATGCGTGCAAACTCAAACTCGGCGCCGTCAATGCCCTGTCTGGCCAGCTGGATAGTCAAGGCCTTGGAGCCGCGGAGCGTGCGCAGGAACTCGACAATGTTGCGCACCTGAGCGTTGAGGTGGGTGTCGAGCACAGGAAGTGAGGACGTGTAGGCGTCCAGTGCCTTGAGTGAGTCCTTGTCAGGCCCAAAGAGATCCTGGAGAAGGTTCGGCGATGTTTGAGCGTGGAACCACAGGAGGCACTGCTGGCCGTTGTCGACCAGGTACACGCCACCGGCTTCCACCTGGCCGAAAGATGTGCGGATGGCGGGAGGCAACTTGAGGTGGCCTGTTTCTGGATCCGCGAACCCTTCTTCGGGCTGTAGGTTGTGCAGAGGAATCATGCGAGGGTACAGATACAAGCTGAGCTCCAGAGCACCCATGGAACGGACCATGCGCATCTCGTTGACTCGTCGGTCCGCGTTCTCAGCACCGCCCTTGAACGCGCGCGACTTGATGAGCCCGAGCATGAACATGGTGAACTCCTTAAGTCGCTCGGGCATCACCAGCTGGCTGTGGGGGTGCTGCACAGACGCATGCTTCCTATACGCAGCGAAAACCTCAATGGTGCGCTCCGTGAGCCAGTTACGGATGTCCTTGAGATTACTCGACGTGGTTCCGAGCTTGGTGCAGGCCTCCTTGGCCAGGATGGCGAGAACCGCATCCTGGTCCACAAACTTCATGCAGTCCCGGATGCCCTGCTCGCGCGTGCCAGAGTCCTTTGCGGTCTCGGAGACACTAGCAATCACATTGGAGCATCGCACACGCCGTTGGCCTGAAGCCGACGTGTACAGTAGAGCCGACTGGAAATGTGCGTCAAGCTTTGAGTCGAGCTTGCCGTCGTACGAGAAGGACACTGCTAGAGCCTTGTCTGCGTCAAAGACACCGAGCTCCAAGTCCGCACCGAAAGTGTGCTGTATGAAGTTGCCATGGTATCCGGCCACTTGCAGGCCATTCGAGCAGCGGACCTTGAGCAGCGCCTGGAAGCCAGACTCGCGCGCCACAGCGTGCGTGATCTCCAGAGAGAGCTTCAGGCTGTCGCGCGGGGCGATGAAGTTGGGATAATAGAACGTCTCGCCGCCGGTCGTTGCCGACACGTGCCCAATAGTGGCAATGTCGAGGAAGCCACCGTTGGGCGCCGCGAGGAAGAAGTCGGCGCCGACACCTGAAGCAACCATCTTCTCTGCAACCTTGCGCCACCCAGGGTGCTCGGTGGTGTAGAGCTTCTTGTCGAGCTCGCCGCCAGGATGGTTGCCATCGTCGCGCATAAACAGACGCCCAGGTCCCCAAGTAGGCAGCGCAGAGCAGGCGGCCACGACGCGGCCACCAGTGACCTCCAAAGCAGCCAAAGCAGAGTTGAGGGCGGACAAGAGCGCCGGCTCGGGGTTCTTGACGTTCGAGAACATCTCCGGGAGACGTGTCAGCAACGATGTGATGACCGATTTCGACTCGTATGGATCCACAAACAGGCCCTCGCCCAGTGGCAGGAAGGGGTCCTCCAGGTCAGGCATGATCAACATTTGCGCCGAGTCCAGCCCTGGAGAAATGTTATAGAAGTGAATGTCCTTGTCGTACGTCACGAATCCAACCTTGGCGCCTTTTGGTATCCTGCGTTGCGGCTCCCCATCCTCGCCCTCCTCGCCGCCATACAGGGCGCTTTGGATGCCTTCGCAGAAAGCTTCCAAGAATCCCTTGTTGTAAGACTCCTGCGTCACGTCGATCAGGAACAACCAACGCAAGCCAGTGGGTTCCTTAGTCCAGTACTCCTTTGGCACGACAAACTCGACAGTGCCGCGATGCAGCTCGGGTCTCTGATCGCGGTCGACTCGGACGCCCTGGGGCGTTGTAGCGCAAAAGTATTCAGGGGGGGTGTCGTTCGGATATGTGCACAGGTTGCAGACAAACTTGTTACCGCCAGATCGGAACATCATGAAGGGATTGATGTAGGCTCGGCATCGTCGACATCGAGGAGGACCTTCGTCGCCGCAGTCGATGACGGGAATATCCTGCTCGCCAGCTTGCTGTGGTGCCAGTGGCTGCAGCAGAAGACCCAGGGGCAGGGATGTCGCCTGAAGACCATCATTCGTCGAGGGAATGTTGTTGACTGTGAGTCGCGCATACTTGGGCGAGGCGTTGCCCTGGTCGAAAGACACGAACGACACAGCCGCGGGTGGCGGCACATGTCGCTCAAAGGTGGGATAAACGTTCTTGAAGAAGTGCTGCTGCGCGGCATCTCGAGAGATGGGCACGCTTGGGAGATCGTCTGGCGACACCTTGGGAGGTCCGGAGCCCGAAGTGCCTATCGTGGCAGACGCGTCGTTTGAAGGCTGCTGATTGAACTGACCAGCTGGAGCGCCGAACTGCGCGTGGCCCATTTGAGGCGTCCCCTGGGGTTGTTGCCCATATTGGCCACCTCCAAAGGCTGGCACGCCCTGCGCAGGGCTGTCGAGGAATTGCGTCTGGGGCGTACCGGGTGGCGGCATGCCATTGAAAGCCTGAGAAGAGCCAGCTGCTTCGACGTTGTGATATGCGTGCCTGTCCTTCTTCTTCCGTCGAACTGTTCCATAGCCACTGTCCGCACCGAGGTTCATGCCTCCCATCTGAGCAGCGAGAGACGCGTCTTGGGGCGCTTGTGATTGGTCTTGGAATGCTTGGGGAGCAGGAGAGCCATAGCCTTGTCCTGGGGAGGGCATTGGAGGCTGCTGGCCAGCATACTGACCATACTGCGGTGCTCCATATTGCTGCTGGTGTGGCTGCTGCTGAGGCTGCTGTTGGGGCTGTTGATATTGAGAGCCTGGCGGGTAGAAGTTCTGGGCAGCGGGTGCACTCGTTTGATTGGGATCGTTCGGATCGTACACCTCGCCCTGGCCGAGGGCGTGGTACTGGGAGTAGTCGGCCATGTTGCTGGGAAGCTCAAGCTTGGAAAGCAACAGGTGCCGCCGCTTTGGAAGCTAACTTAAGATACCCAAGGTTAGGAGAGTGTGGGGTCGTTCGAGAGTCGCGGAAAGGTTCGCAGCCGGAGCGGTACGTAAATAATGCTTATATAATAAGAATGGAAGTGTTCATGTCCTCGTCAATTCGTCTATCGTTGTTGTCCGCTGGGGCCAGACGCGAACTGGTGACCCATAGATGTGGTCGGTGAAGGTGTCTTGCCTCGTGGCCTTTTCGTCGATAATCCCAGTTCCCACATGCGAGACGGGGGCAGCTGTTGTCCCTCCCTCTGATAGTATTCGGCATAGCGTGGTGCGAGGACGAATGAGCACTGTCATTGCGCACTGTGAAGCAACGACACGCCAAGCTGCTCTACCTACCCGAGGTCACGCGTCCCTCCATCTCACTGCTGCGAAGCTCGACAAGTAGACAGTTGCGGATCCAAAGTCTAGCTGGATCTTACTGGTATGTGATCTTCTGGTCGTACTGCCGTGTTTTGATCCTATAGATCATACACATTATTGAATTGTTCAGATCTCATGCCGAGCCTATTGGTTTAGTTGACATGCCCCGATCGTCCGCAACAGGATGAGCCGACTGCGCTCAGGGCATTATCACCGACAGATTTTCAATATTTTCGAACCCAGGGTCCAGTCTCCTTGGATTGATGACTGGGGCAAGTAACAGTAAACGCAGCAAATGAAATCCCCATGACTTTGCGCTCGAGGAACGGCCACCGCCTTCACCCCTCAGTACCTCGCATTGGGCCACCAAAGCAACTCGATCGCAGCACTAGTCCCCAAGACTGCCTCAGTGCATGCGAATGAAGCTGAACCGCTCTCTTGAGTTGCTCTTCCTGATAAGATATATCCCCCTTGTCGGTGCCAATTAGTTGTCGTTGTCTTCGGCTTCTCGTGACCGTGAGTCGATGGCAGATAAGTTCCAGAGTACCTACCCGCTTCCAAAGCCCACTGAGTGTGATATGAACACTCAGAATCATACAGAAAACTTCTCAACAATTTTTGTGACCTGTTTTTAATCGACCTGGCCCCAGCACTTGCCACCCGAGTTGCACATTATCACTGATGGCACAGGATTCCCTTCCTCCAACGGTCGCACGTCGTGTGAACCGCAGACCCAAGCAAATGACCGTGCTTGCAATTTATAAACATTCAAAAAATACGTTTTATTCCAAACTGACCCTGATTCTGTCGTCTGTCTCCGCAACAGGCGTATTAGAAGAGTAAATTGTGTTGCGGTCGGGCGACTCAGTGCGACTGCGTAGTCACCTTCTGGGCTTCATTTGATGATGCTCGCACATGATGACCTTCAGCCATCCATAGTGCGAGAAAAATGTGTAAAAAAAAGTTCATGACATTTTTCATTCCACTAATGGCCCACGGCAATCTTCAAAAGCCCTACCATTCTTGACATTGTGTGGTGGAACGGCGCTCGTTCGTGGGAGGACTTGCTGTTGAGATGGCTTCATGTGCCGCATGGCGGTGAGTTCGCCTGCGACGACTTACACGACGCTACCAAGCGCATACAGCTTCAGAAGACACTTTGAAACAATACGGCAAAATTAATTTCATAAACCAGAGCTGTGGTTTCAGCGGAAGCCATCCGTATAGGTCACGCACTGTAGTCGAGTTGTGTTGCGTGGCAATGGGCGATGCGACAACAATCGTCGTAGTCGTCTTCGTCAGTGGTGGGACACTTTACAACATTGCACCGATCGGCTCCAAAGGCACATGGTGGCTGGAGCTTAATTGCCTGAGACCACCCACTTTGCAATCACTATTGTATTAAAAATGACTCATACTTGAAGCGAGTATGAATGACAAGCAGAGCCGTGACAAGAAGCGAGAGGAAGAAGGGAACTCGAGGGGACGAACGAGGAGGGGGATGGGCGGATGTTGGGAGAACACGCGCTTCCAGATCACTACTGCGCCAGCAGCACTCACACGCTCCAAGATAGATTTCCCAGTCGGGGAGTGTGGATGTAGCCTTGCACCAATCAGAAAATTGCAGCACGGGAACCATGAATTTCGCAGATCCAGAGGAACACTGACGATAACAGGCCAACGCGGCCAACGCCGCAGCGTCTGATACAGATGGTGTACTGCATGGAATGTGGCCCACCCCTGCCGAGCGTACTGGTGGTAGTTCCGGCAAGAGGCGCCAGGAGTGGGGCAGGGATCATTCTTGCTTCGACCGGGGGTGGTCATGAGCTTTTGGCAGTGGGAGGGCAAGAGCTTGCGTCTGGCGGCGCACTTCCCGTTACTGATTGCGGCCTTGGGTCTGCCACCCCCCGCCTGGTATATAAACAAGCTCCCCCCTCCACGCGCGCACCCAGAGTCGGGCTTTCTCCTCTCCGGTCTCTCTTTGATTCTGTCAGTCATCCGTCTTCACCAGCCTGCATCTTTAGGACCCCTTTGTCCCACGTTGAAACAAGCACAACAACGCGTCGTCAAGACTCCAAAACACATTCGCAATGGCTCCCGCTGCAAAGAAGGCCTCTGGCGCCACCAAGGCTGCCCCCAAAGCTGCTCACCCGACCTACCAGGACATGATCACCGACGCCATTGTCACCCTCAAGGAGCGCAATGGATCTAGGTATGTACCGACGCGCCGCATCCACCCACCCACGCGTGCTAACAAGGTGCCCACAGCCGCCAGTCGCTCAAGAAGTACGTCAAGCAGAACAACCCCAGCATCACTGCCACCGACAACATGTTCGACGCTCTCTTCAACAGGGCGCTGAAGGCTGGTGTCGACAAGGGTGTCTTTGAGCAGCCCAAGGGTCCCTCTGGCGGCACCAAGCTGGCCAAGAAGAAGCCCGCCACCGAGAAGAAGCCCGCTGCTCCCGCCGCCAAGAAGGAGACTACTACCAAGAAGGAGCCTGCCAAGAAGCCTGCTGCGAAGAAGGCCGCCGCACCAAAGAAGGCCACTGCTACCAAGGCCAAGGCTCCTGCAAAGGCCACCAAGGCTGCTGCTGCTCCCAAAAAGGCCGCCCCCAAGAAGGCTGCCGTCAAGCCAGCTGCGCCCGCCAAGGTACGTTCACATGCCGCCCTCGCGCGATACACGCTCTAACATCTTTGCAGGCTGAGAAGCCAGAGACCGTCCTGACCAAGACCAAGTCTGGCCGTGTTGCCAAGGCACAGAAGCCCGCTGCTCCCAAGAAGGCCGCGCCGAAGAAGGCCGCCAAGGCTGCATAAGCGCGTGTTATCTCAAACTATCTTGATGCGTAATGACTGGCGTTTGTGGCACACTTTTCTTTTGCTTATACAGGTACGGGACCATTGGGGCTTTGCGACACTGGGGAAACGGAAAGCGATGGAATGTGTTTGGAATTCTTTGAATATGTTAGGGACGCAAGGCCGCGATGAATGGGCGCGTTGCGTGGCTTTGGGTCCTTGTACGCGACCCACTGGTACAATTATTGCGCGGCGGACGGGGAGTTTCGGCGCCCCTCTTGCTTTGTATGATACCTCATGGAAGACTGCTATGGGTTCAATGGAATGCCTCCGGGCTTGATCTGATATTGTTTTGATTTCTGTTTGGGGTTGGGCTACCGTGAAAATGTGTGGTTGAGTGAGCGCCCGTTTGCGACGCGTCGACGTTGTTTACGGTTGCATGGCACATAAGTAGACAGGGGTGCTCCTTTCCAAGAGCCTACCCTACAGCGAGGGGGGCTCAAGGGCAGAGTCCTTCAGCTTGTCATTGATGTCGTGAGCTTCGTGAAAATGTCTCCTCCTAATGGAAGATAAATGCATGAACCTGCCGTTGAGATTTGGTACTCAGGCTTGGTGACTTGGTGCACACGAAGCAACGGAAGATGTGACGACGCATTGGTATTCATGTCATACAAATTCTACACACAGATTGACATCATTGCTATCACAATCAGTCACTTCAGAGAACTGCATGCTGGCACATGACCGCTTCCAAGAAAGCCATAAGAAAACAAATGCGTGCCGCTGAGCATGCTGCAAATTACTACTACTATTAAGTATAGGTTCATCGACTATGAGAGCCCTTGAACGGGAACTTTGATGGACGCACTTATCGAACTACCAACCACGAATGATGTCAGACCTTCACCCCACGCTTACGGGACACAGACAAGGAAGGGGCTTACAGCGACATGGGAAGCTCTCGAGGTTGTGATTAATGGCGCTGACAGGCGGTCCAAGCTACTGAGCGTTTTCCAGTTGGTGAGCACTGAGCAGGGTAATCGGAGCGAGGCCACGTGTTGTACACGTCGCCATGCTGAGCCTCAACGTATCTAACGCTTGGCCTACGTTTGGAAGAGTGATTCGCGTCAGCCTGCCCGAGGTACATCTTTTTGGCGGGCAGCTGGGAACACTCCAGCTCCGAAATAGCGGGGTACATGACCCCTGGTGAGACCCCCACCACGGCTCAAGTCCCGTCTTATCGCTACACCGGAGAGCCTCGCCATCCCTCCAAGCCCGTCACCCTCTGCTGCCCAACCTAACCCTCTTGTATCTCTCTACGCTCGCGGCGAAATGACCAGCTGATAGGGTACCCAGCAAGGCCATCTACAACAAAAAAATCGAGCCCACGAATCAGATGATGGCAAGGAACCCTCGTCCCTTACCCTGAGTGCAGAAAAGCCGCCCCGCGAACTGCGACCGCGACGACAACCCTCACGAACACCATGGCCTCCTCCAACCCCTTTCGCAAGCAGACGACCCCGATTGTCACAGACTTTGATGCCTCGTCCATTCCGCGTGCCTCGCGACCGCCTCCCCCCGTGAGCTTTGGCAGCTCCGACCCCAAGATCGATCCGGAGGTTCCGGTTGAGACGAAGACCAAGGCCAAGGTCGTCAAACGAGTGCGCGTCTTGTCGCCGCCGCCTCTGAGCCCCGACTCGCCCGAGTGGCCGAACAATCACCTACCAGCATATCCGCAAGATGACCTAGACTCCACGGACGTTGTTGTCGCGGAAGCCGACAAGATGACCCCCACAGATGCGGTGCCAGGAGTATCCTTTGGGACACCACAGCAGGGCATTGCTCTCGTGGAGGAGATGAAGAACGAAGGGGAGGCGCTCAAAGCTGGGAACAAAGCCATGGATGTCGATGCTTTCAAGCGCCTCCTCATGACGGGCGATAAGCCCGCTTCTACCCATGATGCTGCCGAAACCGTACCAAAACCCGTGACACCGTCGCCACCTCTGCCCTTGAGACAGGCGGAGGAAGACGAGAGCATGTCAGACTCAAGCATGACGGTGCAATTCGGATCGAGGAAGAAGGCGGCGCCGCCGCCTCCACCGAGTTCGCGGCATGGTAAAGCTATCAGAAGCAACACGGGGGCGTCTGACGCGAAAGCAACTTCCCCAATGGAGCAGCAGTCGTTCGCCGCGGAGCCTCGCACTGCTGCCACTGATATCGGAGACGAGTCGTCTCATGAAACTCCACCAAAGAAATCAACACCGGCGGCGCCACCACCACCACCACCGCCCCGGGGTCACGCTCGAAGCGACAGCAAGGCGCAGCCAAGCTCTCCAGGCGAACAACGCTCCTCGCCCGACGCTGCACAGTCGCAGTCACAGAGTAGCCGGCACAGCAGCGCACCGGTACCCCCGCCGCCGCGCAGACCCAATGCAGGCCATCGGATGTCCTCCAGCCAAACATCCCCTACCTCTGCGTCCTTCCCAGATGCAGAGTCCCATGATGACGCAAATGACATGACAGAAGGCCAGGCTGGACCGAGCAGGCACCCGGTCCCTCCTCCTCCTCCACCCGCTCGTAATTCCTCCGTGCGGCGACCACCGAGCGCGGAGGCCAAGTCAAAGGACAGTGCTGTACCGCCACCCCCGCCACCAACGAGGAAGAGAGGCACAAGTAAAGGCAACGCAGATCGACCGAACACAAGTGATCCGGGCCAGGGTGACGCATTGCTGGCCGACTTGAGTGCCCTGCAGCGGGAGGTCGATGCCGCAATGGGCAAGCTAGGGTAGCAGCGTGGTCGTCACTGTACCCAGGCGTCCTTTGCGGGACACAGTTCCACCAGGTACGTCCACTATGCGTTGCGCCCAAGTCCGTGCCAACGCCTTGGGTGGTCTGGAACCTCGTTTGCCAGCGGGAATGAAGCATGCGGTTTGCCGAACGGGGCGTAACATTCTGGACGGCGTCATGAGGGGGCGCTGTGCGAGGCTGCGAGAGGATACAAGTGCATGATATGATATGGGGCTGATCAAGGTCTTCCATTGACCTTCAAGGCATTTTGCAGCCATACTATGCGCTGTCCTTGCAAGCCGAGGCGACGATTGACGATTGGGAGCCGCCACGCCTACATTCAACATTTATCACACCAAACGATCAACGGCCAACACCGTGAGAGCCTCACAACCCAATCAGCTCCTACTGTACTCGCTCGCCGACTCCAAATGTGTTTCAGAGATCTGGCCACCCTCAGCTGCACCACGTGCCACCGCGCCTATGGTGAGATCGCAACAAGCACCCAACTTTGCGAGCTCAAGTGCGGCACGTTCCTGAACCGCAGCACCGACAAGCATGTCAATGGCGAGTGCGCCGTCTGCGCCGGAAACAGGGAGGAGAGCGCTCGGCGAGCCGCTGCGTTGAGACGATTTGGGAGCATCAGTAGCGAGACCAAGGCTTGAGTTTTGGGACGAGAGGGGGGAAACTTCATCATCATCTGTGGCCTTTGTTTGATTTTATACATGTGTGTTTTGATGGGCTGGGGACTCGGGATTTGAATGACGATGGGCAGACTTGGGCGTTTGTTTGAGCATGGTGTCAGCGTTGCATAGAGAGGTTAGGGATACAAAGCATGCTACCAATATCCAAGTCAACGTCATCATGGATCTTCGATTTGGTCTACGAAGTGGATTACTCGGCTTCTCGTCGTGCGTATGTGTACCTTGAGTGATTCGTTGTCGACATGTTGCCACGATGGAAGCCAGACCATCGCAGTAGATCCGGCTTCGGCGCATCGGAAGTGGACCGAAGCCGGGCACCATGATGGCATCTCAACATCTCAAACCAGCGCTCTCCCAAATGTTGTCAAGAACATGGCGTGTTCATCATTCATCGAAGACGCCTTGAAGACTCTCCGACTCGTGAGTGCGCGCTCTTCATCAAAGGAATCGGGCTGACCAGTTTGCACAGAGCGCCCAGTCGTCGGCCCGCCATGTCGTTCACTCGTGGATCTATGTGCCCGTGGGCCTTGCATTGATGCTACTGACTTGCTTCGGCGTCGACTCGTTCCTTCGACACGTCAATGTTACTTTCCCAGCATCCGTGGCATGTCTCGTGCTCCTCTTCGTCGCACTGCTTATCTGCGAGGCTGTGCTGGGAAGTCACCGGACGAGGAAGCTGGTCGCCCTGCTTGATGTGCCGGTAGATCTATCACATTGTCTCCGATGAAAGGGAACAAGACTGACAAAAAATAGGCCGGATGGGCGCTGCGGTGGATGAGCATCTTCTTCATGCCGCCGTTCGTGCTGCTCCCTCTCAGCCCACGGATCGGCGTCATCGAGGTCTTCAAGATCATCGCCGTCTTCCTTATTGGGTTCGTCGTCATGATGGCTCTGGCCGCCTACCTCACTCGCTCTCTGCATCTGCTGCTGGGCTCGAGCAAGAAGTCCATGACCCAGCGCGCGGAGGAACTCGATCCATCGCAGGAGCACATTCCTCTAGCAGACGCCGCTCCAACACCCAGTGAAACGCCTCCCAGGGGAAGCTTCTCTGGTATCGCGAGTCCTCCCGCGTCGCGGCCACAGACGCCGCCGCAGCTGAGGCTCCAGAACCATCATCATGCGACGCAGCAAGTCGTACTGGGCGACCACGTCGCCGCGAGAAGCGAGTACATGGCGCAGGACCCCGTCCCGCCGGATCGGTGCGAAAGATGGGCTGCTGTGGTGAGCAGCCACTTGGACACCATCACATATAGCGTCCTCACGCTCGTCGGCCTACCCATTTATTACACGACTGATTTCCCATTGCCGCTGCAACTGCCATTGACGGTGCTATGCTACATGTTCCTATCAGCCCTCCCTCCGCCATCCTGGAGGACATATTTGCATCCGGTGCTCACAGCCTCCCTCGTCACAGTCCTACTCCTCTGGTTCCTGGCTTTCACAAAGGGCATCGCCCTCGCCACGACACTGCACTCGTACCGCACCGGCGCCAAGTACCTGACCTTCTGGCGGGACGCCAGCACCCATCCTCCCGGGGCGGGGGACATCTTCGCCACCCTCCTCGACGCGAGCATCATGGCCCTCGCCCTGCCGACCTTTCAACACCGTCGCGAGCTACGCGCCCACTTTGCGCCGCTTCTCGTCCCCAGCGTCCTCATCTCCGTGGGCTCCCTCCTCGCCTACCCCCCGCTCTGCTACAGTATCGGCATCGAAGCCAAGAGGAGCCTTGCCTTTGCCAGCCGGAGTCTGACACTGGCGCTCGCGACGCCTGCAACGGAGAATCTAGGCGGCGACCTCAATACGGCTGCCGCGCTGGCCATTGTCAGCGGTATATTTGGCGTGCTTGTTGGCCCGAGAATGCTGGCTATCATGCACATCCCCGAAGGTACCGTATACACCATGTCACCACACTCTCTCTGAACGAATAACAGAGTTGACCGTTCGATGTGCAACAGACGACTATGTAACACGAGGCGTCACGCTGGGCGTCAACTCGAGCGCCATCGCGACAGCCCTGCTCCTCAAGACGGATCCGCGTGCTGCTGCACTGTCGTGTCTGAGCATGATCTTGTTTGGAACCGTGACGGTCATTTTCACGAGTATTCCCCCAGTCGCCAATGTGATCCGAGGCTTCGTCGGGTTGTGAAGGTCCATGGATGAGATGCTGTCTTTGCGCCCCATGTCAACGCGCAGGCTGGTCCCACAAATACTTGCTTAGTAATATTCACCAATTTTGTCGTGGTGTCGCGTTCAGCCTCCGGCTTTCGTCCCTCTTCCTCTCTCTTCATCAATGCGCTCAGCCATGATGAGGCCTTCATCCCATGCTCAAGATGTCGCGCAGCTCTTTGATGCAAGAGCCCGAGTATCTTTTTGATGGGTGAACTTACCAGGCATCGCTCACAGAGGTCAAGTGAAGCAAACCCTGCTTGACGCGGTCGTCCATCCTCTCTACGAGAGACAGTCAGTGACTACTCCGTCTCGACTCTTGCAAGAACCATTGGCGGTAGTATGCATGTTGCAAGGCCGGCCTCTGGTTCTGACACACTCAGCTCCCGCCGGCCAGCTTCTACCCAACCCGGACTAAAATTGAACCACTGACACTTCTTCCTCCATGTCTCCTGGCTCTCATTCCATCCGGAGAACAAACCCCTAGACACGGACCCTGCTCTTGCTTGAACCCAAGACGGGGTCTGTGTCTCTGCTGCATTAACCGGATCTCGTGGCTCCTCTCGCGGCCCTTGGTCTTACCATGGAGCGCACATTGTGTAAGACACATAGTTAGAGATGACTTCACCGTGCAAGACAACTTCACCGCGCAACGAAGACAGTGGGAGAGAAACGTGTTTGCTTTGTTGTGCTCGAAGAGTGAACCCTTTGTCTCCTCACGAGACCGGTCCAGATCCACCATGTATAAGCCCTTTCCTCCCAAAAAGTTCTTTTTTTTGCGTTGTTTTTCCTCTTCTACTATCCCTTTCGTGATATTGCTCACCTAGAGACACCCGCCGGCTGCCGGGCAGCTCTCTCGCGAAGTAGCCGTGCGCGAGAGGCTTGCGTTAGGGCATGGGGTTCTTCGTTTGGCCGGGTTCTCTTTTAAGAGCAACCGAAAAGGGTTTGTTTTCTCCCTCTCTCTCCCTGACACGCAATCGGCCTTCCGAGCGAACCAACCGCAGGCTGCTGGCCCAGCTCTCTCGCGAGGTGCCGTGCGCGAGAGGCGGTATGCCACGCAGCAGAGAGACTTGTTCTGTAGTGGCAGCCCCGAGCTGAAGCGTGTCTCCCCATCCCTTCCCCTGAACCTGTCGTCTATACAGACGTTCTCTGGCGCCGTCCTCCCGCCACCCAGTCTTCTCCAGGTATCATAATTTTGTCGTCGACCTCTCCCGAGCCATGTTGCTAATGCAAGGCCGTGCGGTCATCAAATGAACCCCAACCCACCCTTGTCATTTCACGGGACAAATCGACATGAGTCCAAGAACCATCAAGCTTCATGAAAGCCCGACCTTCCGTGTTGCACCAAAGAGGTGTGTGTGTGTGTGGCATGTGCTTGCCCCCGTACTCCTGTTGCGCCGATAGGTCCCTTTCCCTTCCGATTCGCTCAAAAAAAGAAAATCTCAGGGCGAATACTAACTTTACATCCAACATGAAAAGATAGACCATAGCCCTCTCCCTAAAAACAAGACAACGAAGAAAAGAAGAAAAAAAAAATGAGTGAAATCCACAGACTCCATGTACGCCTCATCATGAATGCAATGAGATTAGGCCGGCGATTCGCGCGGCGGGCCCCGACCACCACCGCGTCCACGTCCGCTGCCGTCACCTCGCCCGCGGTAGCCACGGCCACGCCCACCGCGACCCCGGTACCCGCCGTTATGGCTGGTGCCCTGGCCCTGCCAGGTTCCCTGGGGCTGCCCCTGAACAACACCGCCCTGCTGCTGCTGCTCCTGTGCCTGCGAAGGCTGTTCGTTCTTGATGATGTTGACGGGTCGAGGGATGGATTCGGGGTTCTCGTACACGTAAAGGCTCTTGTCGATGCTCGCGGGGATCGGCTGGATCTCGGTGCCGAGATCGCGCTCAATGTTGTACAGGTTGAAGCGGTCGTCCCAGTTGATGAGGTTGATGGCGAGACCGAGATGTCCGTAGCGGCCGGAGCGACCGATGCGGTGGAGGTAGGTCTCGGCATTCTTGGGGAAGTCAAAGTTGATGACCACATTGACGGCCTGAATGTCAATGCCACGCGTGAGGAGGTCGGAGCACACCAAGTTGCGGCAGACGCCGTTGCGGAAGTCGTGGAAGACGCGGTTGCGCGCCTGCTGCTGCATCCGGGCGTGGCTGTAGAAGCACGAGTAGCCGAGCTCGGTGATCTTCTTGGCGAGCAGCTCGACGCGGTTGGTCGAGTTGCAGAAGATGATGGACTGGTTGATCTGCAGCTTGGAGAAGAGCGTGTTCAGGCAGTGCACCTTTTGCTTCTCCTCGACAAAGGCGTAGTACTGCGTGATACCCCGGAGGGTGAGCTCGTCCATGAGGTTGATCTCGTACGGGTTGGTCATGTTGCGGTCGGAAAACTCCTTGACGGAGAGGGGGAAGGTGGCGGAGAAGAGCATGACCTGGCGGTCCTTGGGGTGGAACTGGAGCAGCTGCTCGATGACGGGCGTGAACTCGCTGGACAGGAGCTTGTCGGCCTCGTCCATGACGAACATGGGGCACTCGCTGAGATCCGCCACGTTCTTGCCGGCCAGATCGAGGATACGACCGGGGGTACCGACCACAATATGGACGGGACCGTCTAACCGGTAAATGTCGTCGCGCAGGCTGGTGCCGCCGGTGGTGACCATGACGTTGATGCCGAGGTGCTTGCCGAGGGTCTTGCAGACCTGCGAGGTCTGCATGGCAAGCTCGCGTGTGGGGACCAGGATCAGGGCCTGGATCTTGTTGACTTTGGGATTGATGCGTTCGAGGGTCGGGATGACAAAGGCGGCGGTCTTGCCGGTGCCGTTCTTGGCGCGGGCGAGCACATCGCGGCCGGTCAGGGCCACGGGGATGGCCTCCTCTTGAATGGGAGACGGGCGCTCGAAACCGGCTTCGAAGATACCCATGAGCAAGTCGCGCTTCAGGGCAAAGTTTTCGAACTCGAGGCCCTTTGTGTTGGTGACATCCTGAAGCGATCAGTACGGGGCACGCTGTCTGTCTGTCAGGGCAGCAGGCATTACCTCTGTTTGTTGGCGGTTGTCTTTTGCAGGGAGGTTGAGCTTTGATTTCCAGCCGTCATTGCTCCCGGGGCTGTTGGTGCCGTCACTGAGTGTGGTGCTCTTCAGCTTGTCTGCTAACTGTTCCGACATGGTGGCTGGATCGTGTGTGTGTGTGGGATCCCGCTCGGGGGGGATTGGGCGCGCACAAATTGGAAGAGAAACGTGGATGGAGGCACCTCTGCTAACGTATGAGGCTGCCGTATGTAGAATCTATGTCCACGGTGGATGTGGAAACGAGTATCGAGCCGTGAGGGTCGAGACGTGCGGGGATTGGCTCGCTCTGAGGTGGTTCGGAGTCGTGATGTGCGTGGTGAAAGTAAGGTAAGGTAGTTTCGACCTCGTCTCGTGGGTTCAGTTTGCTCAGCGATGGGGGGAGCAGGGAGGTTTCGTCGGGGTTTCTAGGGTAGTGTAGATGGCTCGCTGTAGTGGTGCGAGGGTTGTAGAGGCGTCGTAAATAGTGGCGAGCTCCAAGAATGAGTTTGCGGAAGTGGTTGTGGAGGTGAAAAGTCCCTTGCTGTCGATGTTGGTTCCATTCATCAGTGCGCTGCGCATGCATGGAGCGCACAGACCACATCGTCGTGGTGGGTGTCACGTGTGCGGAGGGGGGGTAGATCATCTTTGTGTCGGGGGTTTAAAGAGTGACCGAGGCAGCGTCATCTGGCGAGAGCATCTCGAGATGGAATTGCCAAAGTGTGCTCACATTGCATTTTATAATCCGCTGGAGGCAATGCCACTATCGAAGAGCCCTTGTCATCTGACATGAGGCTTAATCTTAAAACGCCATCAAGACAGCTTTTACGCTTTGCTTGCTTGCTTCAGGTACCTTGACTGCCGCTAGTCAATGGAAGACAGTGCACGCCATCATAAAAGGCAAAAGAAATTAGAGTTCGTCATCTATATACAGGACCATACCATGCACGTGGTTCGTTACAGCTTCATGCCCATGGCCTTGGCCACCCTCAGGCTCTGCCTCATGCTCAGATCGAGCATAATCTCCTCACTGCCACCAGGAATCGCGTACGCCCGCACATCCCTGTACAGCCGCTCGACCTTGCCGCCCTGTCCGCCTCTCGAGTAACTCAGACCACCAAAGATCTGACTCGCCTCGCGGGCGCAGAACTCAAAGGTGAGCGTGCTCTGCGCCTTGAGACCGGCAATAGGCCCACCCAGACGAAGCATGGCCTCCGTCTCGCCCATCTTCTCGCACTGGTAGATGAGGTTCTCGAGCCAGTTGTACGACGCCTCAATCTGGCGCGCCATGTGCGCGAGCTTCATGCGGATGACGGGGTGGTCGTACAGCTTCTTGCCAAACGTGCGGCGCTTGTGTGCGTACTTGACGCTCTCCTCGTAGCAGACGCGCGAGAAGCGCAGGCACTGGATGATGATGCCAATGCGCTCGTGGTTGAAGTTGGTCATGATGGCGCGGAAACCCTGGTTCTCCTTGCCGAGCAGGTTCTCCACGGGGACCTTGACGTCCTCAAAGGTGATGTAGGTCGTGCCCGAGGACCAGACACCCTGGCAGTCCATGCGGCGGGTGCTCACGCCCTCTGTGCGCTCGATGAGCAGGAGTGAGACACCGCCAGCGCCCTCGCCACCCGTGCGGACGGCGGTGGTGAAGTAGTCGGCCCAGATACCGTTGGTGATCCACTTCTTCTCGCCGTTGACAATGTAGTGCTTGCCGTCCTCGCTCAGCTTGGCCTCGCAGGTCAGGTTGGCGACGTCTGAGCCAGCATCGGGCTCCGTGATGGCAAGGCAGATGCGCTTGTCACCCGCCAAGATGCCGGGCAGGACACGGTCCTTGAGCGACTTCTTGCCAAACTTGACCAGCGGAGGGCAGCCGATGCCGTAGCCGCCAATGAGGTTCCAGACGAAGCCGCCAGAGCCCGTGCGGGAGATCTCGTCGGTGATGATGAGCTCGTGGAAGAGGTCCCACTGGTCCAGAGGCACGCACTTGGGAACATTGTCCTGGTTGACGTATTCCTTGGGGTAGTGGATGCCCAGCAGGCCAGCCAGGTAGCCGCGACGGCCCATTTCCTTGTAGATCTCCTCGGGCACGCGCTTGGCTTCATCCCACTCGGTCACATTGGGCTCAATCTCGGCCTCGATCCACTCGCGCACCTCGGCACGCAACGCAGCGTGTGTGCTATTGTAGTATGGTGAGTGGTACTGTGACAGTCAGTCTCCGCGCTCAACGTGGTTTATGTACATGGGAGAAAACTAGACTTACGCCCTGGACCGAGTTGGGGTCGGCAAATGGGATCTGGAGGCCGATCTGCTCCAGAGGCTCGCTCTGCTCCTCGGTCTTGGCGGCGACCTGGCGCACAGCCTTGTCCGCCGCAGGCCTCACCTGCACCGTCCTGGGGGCAGGCTCGGCCTTGACGGCCTTCTCCTCCTGCTTGGGCTTGGTGTCGAGCGAGCCGACCTGCAGCTTGGCCTTGTACTTTTTGAGGATGCCCTCGTTGTGGTACTTCCAGAACTGCTTCGACGCATCCTTGCCCGCCACGCGCTGCAGGATCTTCTTGCCGCCAGGGTGGTCGTCCTGGAACTTGGTCAGGTCATAGACATCCTGGTCGACAATGATGTACAGGTTGTCGGGCTTGTTGTGCGACGCCACGTCGCTGACGGTGAAGGTCTTTGACATGTTGACGGCTGTGTGTTGCGTGTGAAAGATGACGGAGATGCAAAAAGTTAGCGAGAGGAAGGAAGAGCTTCGACACAGATCGGGACAATGGGAGCAGACAGTATTACAGCAGATCCACAGGCCGGCTATGGGAATCAATCACATGTCCTCGCTACTCCGTACGGACTACGCACCCAGCTAGCTAACCCACTGCTCACTCCAGCATTTCCAATCACCCCACAGGGCCCATGGTCAGCCCATGGGGAAGCTCAACAAGCCATTTGCGTTGAACAATGAATGAATCGCCCGCTTCCGACGAGCCAGTTTCACTTGTCATGTGCGCGCCGCACCCGGACGTCGGCTGGCATGTGAATGCGCCCATCGACACCCCGGAAAGCTGATGTCATGCGCTTTGCCCCATCGGTGGAGATGCCGAGGTTCACTTGTCGCGTCCAATCGCATCCCCATCATTGCCAATTGGCGGGAGGATTCATGCTTCCAACTCAATTGACTTGATCTCCGACAACAGATGCGCCAGGTAATAATAATACAGCGGACGATCAACTCGATTCGGTGTGTCTTTCCGACCTATTAGGTGTTGCGGCCCGATCTAGATATTCGATGTGCGTACACGTTGTTAATACCACGTACATACTGTGCACGTGCTCCTCGGCTGGCCTGACAACACCATAAAGCCACACGCGTTCGTTCGGTGCTGGTACTTGTATAGCGCGACTGCTTCGAACAGCGCAGGTCGATTGCTAGACTTTGAATCTGAATTTTGACCATGAACAGTCCCAACCCTCTTCCTCGGGTTCACATCGTCCAGACGCCCAAACTCCCCCATAGCAATAGATAATCACGCCGCTAATATCCACATATTCCTGCTCTCTTGCGCATGACGACCCTAGGCAGCGCCTCGGGGCTTCGCCTTGGCCGCCGCCTTGTCCTTCTTCTCCTGCTTGAGCTTCTTGCGCTTCTCCTCCTGCTTCTCGTCCAGCTTGCGCTTATGTGCCGCCTTCTCCTCGTCCGTCTTGGGCACCGGCTTGAAGAAGCCCTCGAGACGGGCTTGTTGCGAGCTCTTGAGGTTTTTCTCTAACCGCGCACCGGCGCTGCGCACGCGATCTTCCGAGAACCCCTTCTCTGCCACTAGGAACTGAACGAGCCCTTCCACATCGGGCTTCTCCCACTTAAAGTCGCAGTCCTCATGGTCTGCTTGCCGCACGTCCGGCGCAAGGAAGAGATCGCGCGCGTCTTTGTACGGCCAGTCATCGGGGATGACGTACTTTTTCTTGGGGTCCTTCTCGATCGCCTCAACCACCTTTTCCAGGCTGCCATTGTCGCGGATCAGCTTGAGCGCGGTGCTCGGTCCGACCTTGGGAATGGGATCGAGGTAATCGCAGCCGAGGAGAATGCAGAGGTCGATGAACTGCGTCCTGTCCATGTTCAGCCCTTCCAGTACCTTGTCCAGTCGAACTTCCTGAATCGGCTCCTTTCGCTGCTCACTGAACGTCAAGTGACGCAGTAATATCGGCGTGTCGAAACAGAGTGTGTCCATGTCCTCGCTCGCGGCGGCGTAGACCTTGCCTGCCTTGGCCAGCACCGCGCACTGCGCCTCGGCCTCGGTCGGGGCAATGATGTACGGCACGCCCATCAGCTTGAGTAATCTTTGGCATTCGGCGTTGTGTTCCCTCGTCACGCGGACCGTTCGGCGCGAGAACTTTTCAATGTCCTCGGCGGTACCCGTCTCCTTGGCCTCCTCGAGACCCTCCTGTGCCTCCTGCTTGCGCTGGAATCGCTTGGCGAGTTCGCCCGACTTGAGTTTGGGCGGCGCGCCATCGAAGACGAAGAGGGGCTTGATGCCATTGTCGACCATGCGGAGAGTGCGGTAGAACATGCCCATCAGATGCGACGTGGTCTCGCCGCTTTCGTTCATGAGTTGCTGACCATCGGAGCGGACGGCGATGAGAAATGAGTAGATGCTCATGGAGGCGTCCTGGCAAGTTTATTAGCTATCGGTTTCTTGAGAATCCAGAGGCATGCGGTCGTACAATGGCCACTTTTCGACCGAAGTGGTTCTTGATTTCACCTTCTTTGATGGCATCCGGGGCCTCATCCTTGATGATGGAGAAGAGTTGTTTGATGCCCATGGCGACGGCTCTTCGTATTGCAGTGTGGTCTCCAAACACAGGTTTAAGGTCTCAAAGGGTATCCAACTTGGAGAATAGAAGGGCTTTGCAAGACAAATCGTGAGGTCCAGTCGTGATGGTGGGGAAGTGAAGAAGAGCTCAGCTCGAGCAAGCAACGCGTCGAATCATGACGTGACGCGCCCAGTCGCGCTTTTTGTGCAGGGTCTTTAATGGGATCCCACAATTCCGAGGGCAGGTGCCACCACAGGAGAGAAAGCTCCAGTCCTCGTCACACTTAGACCTTCATCACGACATGAGTTAACTTGATCATGTATCCAAAAAGACCAATTCACGTTCACTAGCCCTCACTGCAAGCTGCGAATCGTTTTGACCCCCCGAAAGATCCGCCAATGTCATCTGCTCTCGCCGTGACCGGCCTTCTACGCCCGCTCCTCTCCTCCATGCCACTGTCCGCCAGTATACTGATCAGGTCTCGTCCGTTGACCTCTAACTCGGCGCCCGTATAGCCCTTCATGGCACATTCCTTGAAGACGTGCGCAATCACGCGCTCCCCGAGCGTCTCGACACTGCGCCCCGACGCCCAGGACTCGTCCGTGCCCAGCTTGGCGAGGCCTGTGAGGAGGGTGTCACGAGTCGTCGAATCCATGCTGCTGGTAGCCTCCAGCCTGATGCCGACCTTGGACACCACGGACCGCAGACTCTCGAGGCACTGCTCGGCACGCAAGGGCGTAAAGTGTATGTCTGTCGCGAATCGACTCTTCAGACCCGGATTGACGCGCATGAGACGATCCATGCTGTCATCGTAGCCCGCCAGGACGACAATCATCTTGCGCGCGAATGTGGGCTTGGTCATGGCATCCACGAGCTCGCTCACGGCCTCGTCGCCATAGGAATGGGGTAGAGCTAGACGGTAGGCCTCGTCGATGAAGAGAACCTTGCCGAGGGCCGATTCCAAGAGTCGCCTGGTTTTCGGACCTGTCTGGCCCACGTACTCGCCCGTCAAAGCCGAGGCGGAGACCTCCACGACGTCCGGCGCGGAGAGAAGGCCCATGTCGTAGAAGATCTGGCCGACCTTGCGGGCGGTGGATGTTTTGCCCGTGCCAGGCGGTCCCTTGAAGACGTATGTGAAGGGGATGTACGGCCTGGGATCGATGCCACGGAGGCGCATGCCCTGCGCCATGTACTGGTAGCCTTCGAACTTGGCAATGATCTCTTCAAAGCCGACGAATCCGTCAAAGAGGGCCCGAGTGTTGGCGGCTGCACGCGTGTGTCGGCCCCAGTCAGGGTCGACGTCGGCGGGTTCGATGGGCGGGTTGGCGTCCACCGAGAGACTGTCGGCAGGCGTATCGGCATGCAGCTCATTCATCCGCCTTGCTCTCGAGAGAGCAGCATTGGCTAGCAGGTTGACCACCTCGGCGCCATTCCCAAAGCCGGGACGATGCGATGCTCTCGTGAGCATGTCCATGGCCACCTTCCGCGCCGCCTCCGTCATGGTCAGCGACGCCTCGTTGAGTTTGAGGTCCAGCACCTGCCCTAGTCTCTCCGGGGTGAAATCAAGGAACGACAGGGCCATATCAAGCGAAAATCGCCGGGCCAAGCCGGGATTGCCGTTCGCATACATGTCCTTCATTTGCTCGGGATATCCGCACAGAACCACGCAGCGGTCCTCCCCAGGCGCGCCTGTCACTTCAGCCACCAGCGTGTCGATAACAGCGATACCTCGGTCCCCTGCTGAGTCGAGCGTGTGCGCATCGTCCAATATGAGGACCGACCCTTTGGCCTGGGCGAGGGCTTTCTTTGTGTTGCGTTCCGTTGTTGACACGTATTTGTCCATCAGGTCGGCAGGGCTCTTGAGAACCAGGTCGCCCTTTGACAAGAGGCCAAAGTCCGCCAATATACGCCCGTACAGCTTCGCCACTGTCGTCTTGCCTGTGCCAGGGTTGCCGAGGAAGACGCGGTGCAAGGACACCGACAATGGTGCCAGCCCTCTCATTTCCCGCTCCCAATTGTGGCTCGCCTGGTTGATGATACCCAGAATGGACCTTTTCACTTCATCGAGGCCCGGCAGCCCTTGCAATTCTCTCCATGCCTCGCTCTTGTCCGGCTCCAGCCTGGGTTTCTCGCCCAGGAGGTCCTCTTTCGTCATGAAATAATCGTCGAGGTAGTCACCGTCCTTTCGAGCCCGGGCGAACCGCTCTACCTGCCGTCGCAAAGCCTCGACAAAGGCCTGCTTCACGTGCCATACGTTAGTGAAATCAGCGTCCGAGACATCCCGTCTCAAGCGACAGATGAGGGTCCTGACGTATCGGTCGTCCACGCCCCCCTCCAGCTTCATCCGCCTAGCAAACCAAAGCTGCACCATGCGCCGGAAGATGACACGCAGCTGCTCCTCGGTGTAGTTGGGCAGCTCGATGACCCGCAGCTGACTCTGTACCTGGACGCGATACTGTATCTGCTTGCTCAGTCCGTCGTCTGCGCTGCCGGCCATGACGAGGACAATGATGCCGGGGAGCTCTTTCAGCCGGATGTGCAGATTCCAGAGGTCGCTGTCATGGTTATCGATCATGTGCGCATCGTCGATGATGACGATCTAGAAGGAACCGTCAGCATGGCCTACGTGTGCACCCAAAGGCCTCCAACTTGACTTACACATCCGTTCTCCTTGCTCGTTATTATTCCCGCCGCGTTGATAATGTCCGTCTTGGAGAAGTAGTATGCGCTGCACTTGTATACACCGTTCTCATACATGTATGGACGCGGCTTGAAGAGCCCCTCCTTCAACAGGAACTTGGCATACAGCCGCGCCAGTGTCGACTTGCCCGTCCCCTGGTTGCCTGTAAAGACCATGTCAAAGTTGTCCTTTTGGAGCGACGTCTCGCGGCGCTGCGCGGCCTTGATCCTGGCGCGCGCATGGAGGAACGTGCTTTTCGCCTCTTCCAGGCCCGGCAGCGACATGAGTCGGTCGAGGTACTTGTTCTCGGCAAACTCGACTCTCTTGAGACGCAGCCACTCGTCTCTGGCGGGCGACACGGCATCGTCGTCCTCGGGCGACACGCCGTCGATGGACTCTATATCGGAGGCGTCGTCCTTGGTGTTGCGTGACGTTCTTCATGTCACGGTCAGCGCCGGTCACCAAATGAGCGACGAGGGACTCACTCAATATCGACAACCATTTCCTCCATCTTCTCGCACAGATCCAAGAACTCGGCTGTGGCATGCACACGTGACCGTCTCGACCTCCTGCCCGACATGTCGTCCCGCAGCGAGGCGTCGTCCGCGTCATTGTCGTTCTCGTATGTCTCTGCCTTTTGTTCGCTCTCGGCTACTTCCATCTCCACCGCAATGGACTCGTCTTCGCCAACACACCCATCCGATGCAGGCGACGGTATCAAGCCCAGCGAGAAGCTGACGCTGGTGTCCGATATGTCGTCTTCATACTGAGCGGCCCACGCAGGACACCGTCCTGGCCTCGGTGCGAGGCCTAGTAGCCAGCTTACGGTGAAGTGAGGATCATGGTGTTGTTCCAAGGAGAGCATCCTCATCTACTGCTGAGCGGGCTTTGGCGGGCGTACTTCCAGGCGCGGTGTTCGAATGGCAAACGGGAAGAAGTGAAGACGCAGCTTGACTCGACGTGGGCAACCCGAGTTATTGGAGTATTTGTGAGAGACGAAGACGTGAGGGCGCCACAGCTGCCTTGCTCGCTCGACAGAGTGCACGTTCTCCAGTTAACCAAACAGGGAGCCTTTGTCAAGGCACCTGGCAAGCATCGTCGTGCGTGCAGTCACTCACGCAGTCCACCGTGAAGCGTGCAGTAATAGGTAAGGTTGTCTAGGTGACCAGGACCCTGTGCGCCGCCTCATGGTCCAGTCGTCAGCCCAGTCGGCCTTCGGGTGGGGTTTTTATAATTGTCGCCGATCTTGCAAAATGGGCAGCTCTTTGTAGAGTCAAGACGACTGACTGCCTTTTTCCCTGTCGTGGGCCTTCATGTTTCCTATTTGCAGATAACAAGAGTGAACGTGCGGCTCTGCGTGATCGATTTCACGCTCTTAATAGCTTGTCACTCTGCACTCCGCAATTAATTAGTCGCGGCACGACCCGTTGTGGTAGCTTCAATCTTTCCCTAATTCCCATCTAGACTCATATGGCGACTATCAATCGTCAACAATTGCCCGTTATTATATCAAGATTCAAGCATGCGAGAGCCGCAGACTGTCCAGCGGCCGCTACCCACCAAGCTTGATGTCGTTTCTAAGCCTCCGATAGCCCTGTTTGACATTTGGAAATTCTAATTGGCCCAGCCTGGTTCTGATAATGATACCAAATTCGGAGTTTTGTCATGCGCGACCAGGGATGTCCCTGGCTCCAGTCTAGCGGACCACACGTTTGCCTATCGCAATTCGCAATGGCAGTGCGAGAGACGCTGACAGACTCTGAAACGCAAGTGAGGCCTTTCTCTTGACGGAAATACACAGCTGTGATTCGCGGTATTCCGCGCGCTGGCCGAGTCTGCCTGGCAGGATTCCATCATGCTGGTGGGGGGGGAGAATATACTTAGATATGTAAGCACCCGCGATACCCAGGGTCGCCCCTTTTATTTGTGAGGGCCTCGTGCCATTCGACGCAGCACAGGTTCCTCTCACGTTTGTCACCTTGCTAATTATGGCAGGGGTCAGTCAGCCCAGCGGAGCACAGAAATCCGCTGGCTGGTCCCACGGTCTGCCTCAGTCCGTCTCGATTGCCGCGTCTGCGGGAGGGCGCCTAACAACTCATCACCAAAATACCCTCGACTCTGTACGGAGTACCCACGTACAAGTCCAAGTTAAGCGTGATCAGAAGGCAGGCAGGTAAGCCGTCACTCGCGTTCTCGTCCTGCTGGCGCTCACTCACCTCCGACAGACAGTCCGTAGCACCGACTCTCGACACGGACTGTGAGACGCCATGTACGACAGACAGACAGCATGGCTATTTATCGAATCGACGGCGCAGCCCACTCATTTACCTGCAGCTAATGGCCTTCAGCCTTGCCGGCGAGTTTCGCTTCTCGCTATCATTTGTTGATCCCGGGCCCGAAGTTATTACCGCCTCGCGCCGTCCAGTCGTGCTTCGCTTGTCCCACACAGACATGGGTCCTGTCAGCACAGTAGCCTCCCCTCCGCCATGGGCCTGATCCTCCTGGGCCAAGTTTGGAATGCCCCCCCGTAGAGCTGGTCAAGTAGTTTTTCCATCCTTTTCGACTTTGCGCCTGTGTATTTGCATTCCAACTTTATGATTGTGGCATCGTTTCGGTGACGGCAACCCGTGGGACAGACGACATCCTCGAGCTCGACCGACTGACTGCCTGCCCGCTTAAGACGACACTACCATGTCTGTCGCGATCCAGACGCCGGGCGTCTTTGCGGTGACGAGCATACCAGCCCCCTTGGTGACCGCTGGACCCGACCTGTTTCGCCGCCAGGACGACACGGAAACCTGTGGTTTCTGGTCCTTCTCCGACCGTGAGATCTCCTCCTCCCCATCATGAATCGGATGGGCATGGCCATCGTATTCACGACCCGACTAACAATGAGAACGTAGGCACGTCACCCTACTCCGAGTACGTGTGCCCGGGGGGCTGCACCACGCAGTGGAGCGCAGGCCTGCACGGCTGCAAGGACACTTTTGCGTCGACCTGTTACGACGCCAATGACAGCTACTGCTCGTCGGATGTGTCTCTGCTCCCGGGCGAACTCTGCTGGTGAGGCTACTACCCAGCGATAGCACAGACACACGGAGGAAGGGAAGGCTGACGCATAGAAGCACCGGAGACACTTACACCAACTGCGTCACGGCGTCCAAGAAGGACGAGGGCCGCTGGCTGGTGGCCTACGAGTGCTGGGTGGGCTTGAGCGGCGAGGCCTACATCTCCGTCTCCGCGACCATTGTCGAGACGACCGACGGTACCACCGTCACCACGGAGATCACCACGGATGTACCGACCGCCACCGAGACCGACGATTCGGGGGAGAGCAAGGCCACCAACAGCCCCACGGCGGACGCAAGCGAGAGCGAGACAGCCGGCAGCGCGACCAGCGACGCGAGCACGAGCGACTCAACAGGCGATGCGTCAGAGGATGACAGCAAGGACAGCTCGGGGGCTCCCATCGGCGCCATTGTCGGCGGTGTCATTGGCGGCGTGGCTCTGATCCTGGGTATCGCGTTTGGTCTCTGGTTCATGCGCTTCTACAAGCGCAAGCACGCGAAGCAGACGGGCGCCGAGCCCATGCGCGAAGACCACCCCAACACATCCTACTACGGCGGCGCTGGTGGTGCCTACGTGCCACCGGCCGGGACGAGTCAGGGCGGCTCGCCCAGCGTGACCTCTGGATACCACGGCAGCAGTGATCCCAGCCATGGTAGCAGCTATCCAATGCAGAACGGTGCCTGGGGATACCAGCTACCGGCCGAGGCCAAGCCCGCGCAGCCGCACGCGCCGGTGGAGATGCCCGGGAGCCACGAGCGGGCGGAACTGCAGTGATGATGGTCAAGGGCATGGTCGTCGGTTGGGGAGGAGAGTTCTGCGTTCTGCGGCATTGTCTTGGCGTTCCGTAGTCAGTGCGTCCATGGTTCATGGTCTGATGGGCGTTGCTGCGCTTCATGTTGTAATGGTGGCTGGCATATTAGCGATTCTGTAGTTCAATGTGATTGCTGTGATGTTCATGTTGCAAATGCGCTTTGCGGTGCGGGAGGTTCGTCGTAGGGCTGAATGGGTGTTGGTGACTTGGAGTTGGAGTTCGGTACGGGCCACGTGAAGGACCACGCCACGCCACAGCCATAAGTAGACAGCTACATGTGAACATAGTGACGGAAAATCAAATCAGCAGCCTGGAATATCAAATTACTTTCCTAGCTGTCCCATTGCATCCATAAGCTACGTACCAAGACTCGAGGTGTTCAAAAGGCAAACATACACAGGGTAGCCGAAAGCGCATGATATGATGCTACCGTGAGACAACCTCAACGCGCCTCGACAGACGGGACGCGACCGTCGCAATTGGTGGTGATGTTACTTCGACAGTCGAACGGACGGTCGCGCGAAGACTATGAACGCCGCCGCTTCAATTACTCCGTTGACCAGGTCCTCGCCATACGACTGGGTATCACAATGGCCATGTCGCGACGACACACAGATCAGCTTGGAACACGCCTGAGCGCGCCTGACCCAGTCACCCAGACGTGGCTGGCTGCTCCCCACGATGCCGTGTAATCACTAACTTACCTGTCTGCCCCGGGGAAGCGCATCTAGCGAGCGCGCAAATGGTGGTTCTTAACTTCTTTGTGCGACCTGCCACGAGACGACACCAGATTCGCTTCACGACGCCCGTGCGAGGGTGTCCTCATCAACATGGCTGGCTTATTAATCTCTATTACCCAGAATGACGGAAAAAGCAATTCGCCCATGTGACGGGCCACGACGCGCTGTCGGCTGGTCAGATGATCTCGACAGGACAACGCACGTCGGCCGCGCAGTGCATGTTTCAAAGCAGAACCTCGCTCGTGAGAGATGCTCCTTTGGGAAGAATGGCTTCCAAATCAGACTGATCGGTGAGCCGGCTGCTACAGTATGCGCAGCTCTCGCCTTAGCTGTCGCTTCGGGGGTTACATCGCGAGGGCCATGTGGCCGACGCGTGGGCGGTTGGGCGCCTGTCTGTCTGCCTGGATTTGGCAATGCGAGTCGGAGTCTGGACAAGGACAGCCAACTTGGCATGCCGGGACGGCGGCGCGCAGCGGAGATGAAGATGCAGCCTTGCTCAGGAGTCACAAACTCCGTGTCGCTCCTATTCATCAAAGAAGCACACACTTCCAGGTACATAAGCTTGGATGGATCTGGAGGAGCGGACGTGAAGGAACGGCGGGGACCCCACCGGGGACGCTACGTACGCACGCACGCAGCACGCTCGATCATCGGGAGCTTGTTCATGAACAAGATTAGACACCGTGAAGTCTGCTGCAAGCTTGTTTCGGCGACAGGCACGCTGCACGCACCACACATAAGCAGAGGCGGTGAAGCGTTGCTGATGCCTAATGAATGAATGGGCGGTTTGATTGCTCCGTCAACTGAGGACGGGCGGATGCGTGAATGCCGCCCCCTGGCCACGTCCCTTTTCATCACCTCGGAGAGCCTTTTCAAGCCTGGCAGCTGGCTGGGCGCCGAGCTTGACCGACAAGCCGGGATGGTGCGGCCGGTGGCGCTCAAACAGAAACTCAAAGAGAGAAAGATTCAGCCGGATGAGACATTGCCCGTCACTGCCAAGGCGGTGCTGCCGTCCGTCCGTGGGTTAGGCCAAGCCGTCAGAGTACCTAGACTAGAGCCATGTGGACGACGCCTGAAGCAAGTGCCGGCGTGGACTTTGTCGTCCTCTGTCGAAGATCGTGTGTTGGACTGGGTAATTACAGTCAGATGCCATGATAGATGCCGGCTAATTGTCGACGGCGGCCGAGGCTGTCGAGATCCACTGCCATGTGCGCAGCTCGCCTCGCTGCCGGCTGGGCGACGCGCTGTCAGGTAAATTAACTGACGGGTGGCACATCTGTCCTTGGCTGCGACGGATGCTCCAGTTGAGCCGATTCACTGCGCCTTGCAAGTTGCGTCCAGCCTCCAGATGCATTCGAGTCGAATCGTGAGCCCAGTAATTACCGTACCAGCCGGGCAATCCGTCTACGCGCCCAGAGCGGGCACTGGCGAGCGCTAGTCTAGTAGGTGTCTTAGCTTTGGAGTTTCGAAGCCTTCTGGAACAAAGGATCATCGCCCCTCCGGAACGAACCTGGCCCCGGTTGCGGACTGGACAGGGATCGGGTACGGAGTACTACCTAACACTGAGCTGCTGTTGCTGGAGTGCAGCACAAGTCGGTGCATGTACGTAGCACAGTCTGTCCGCGTGCGGCGTCGTCTCGCGATGAGCCAGTATCTAGAGGCTGCCTGTCGTCGAAGAAGTCGCACAATGTTGGTAGAGCAGAGCGATCGCAAGACATTGTCGTAACTCGTAAGGAGGGCGGGTAGGGGCTTGAAAAGTCGCGACTCGCGACACGCGACGGGTGGAGACTCGACGCTGAGGCCATCTTGGCCTTGCCGATGCAAGGTCTTAGGTGCGTGCGGCGTGCGTGCGTGGGTACGTAGCAGCAAACTATCGATGCTTGTGCGCTCAGGCGACGTCTCACCTTCATGTTGCTCGCAAGCCATGTCGTGGTTCAGTCTCAGTCATCGAGTCCATGTCGTCTACGTTACCGCGTACGTAGCCTCGACACTCGTCGAAACGCAGAGGAACGAGCCGATGCAAATGCAGATCCGCGCGTCTGACTCGCCGCCTCTCACAGTCTCACTGCCACAAGTTCTGGCGGCCCCACGAGCACTAAGAAAAGAATCCCTGCTAGACGGCCATCGGCGCCCAACCGGAGGACCCTTATTACTGTACTGTACGCACTGTACTGCAGCTGCCAAACGGAGACTAACTTAAGTACCTTGGGTTTGGGGCGCGGCAGGGAACTAGGGATGGATGGGAAAAAAGACTCGTTAGCCTAGACGGGACCGTGAAGAATGAATGGGGAGCCGTCGTCGCAACTCCAGTCTCGAGGTGACAAACAATATAACCGGCTGCCGCCTACCGTGCATGCACTGCGACTGTCCCTGTTCTTCTTCGTTTGCGTCCAGTCTGCGTATTACTGCGCTGTCTGCCTCTAGACCTACAGGCCACAGCTGCTGAGTCCGAAGAAACAGACCTCCACCCCTCCGAGCAGCCGTGCCTGCCTTCCATCGCCTCCGGACCGGCTTCTGGCTGTCTAGTCGTCTCTTCTCTCCTCCCCCCTCAGTCTCAGTCTCCAGTCGCTTCGCTTTGCTTTTTCCAAACCTTCACGAGCGCATTGGCGTTCTTCTCTTCGCCCCGCGGGTCGCAGCGCCGTCGACGTAGACTGCAACGGACGATCGCGCAGGCCTGTACCTACCAACAACCTTGTCGACGCCGCTGTACTCAGTACTGTGTGTACATTTGTTCGACCACGCGACCTCCCCTCGAGACAGCTCCCATAACCTCATAGTCTGTGACGCTGCCCGGTCCTCGCAGAACAGAACCGTATCCCCATTAGACGCTCGCTCAACCAACCATTCTATGAAACTGCAGACGTCATGACTTACATGGTGAGTGGCATTCCATATTATCAATCAACGTGGTCCCGGTGGCACAGACGATGCAAGGCAGGCCGACAGCCAGCCAGCCAGCCAGCCAGCCAGACAGACAAGCCCATGCACGCCGTCATGCACGCACTTCCCGCATCCCTCTACGGAGTACTATCGCTGCATCGCACAGACAAGCCTTTTTCAGGCTGGTCTCTCACCTTCCGCAAGTCGCAACCAAGAATGAACCATTGGGCGAAGCCGTCATGTATGGTCACCACACCCTCTTCCCTACCGTGCTTCGGCATACCCTCGCACACCGCCTTACATGCCTACATGGTCTGCTGGTGTTCTTTTCCATGTGTGGCCCGACTCGAGTCAAACACGGCCAGCGCGTAGTTGCGCCATTCCGGGGGAGGAGGAGTCTTGTCGGCTCTGCAGGCAGGCAGACCGAGTAGACTAGACTACCTTGCCTTTGTTGCCCTTCCCCTTGTCTATTTTATACTCGCGATTCCTCCTTTCCCTCCATTCCGCTACTATTTCATCCTTTCCCCTGCTCGCCAAGCCCCGGCATGTCATGAATGCCGCGACGGTCGATTGTGCCCTCCTGTACAGAAACCCCCACGCGAACCTTGAGTTAAAACCTTCTGTCTTCCTCCACCACACCACATTCCAGCCAGCCACGGTGGCGGGCGCGCAGCAGCAGCAGCAGTAGCAGCAGCAATGGCAAGGGATCTTGAGCTGATACCAAGGACTTTCCAGCTCGCCATCGCCCACTACTGCGATAGTCATGGTCCCACCCCCTTGATGGTCACCGAGGCCATCCCGACAACCTGCAACACATGCTACGACTACTCATCCTCCCCCGACAGCCAGCAAGGCTCGCCGACACCAGGCATGCGCGATGTAAACGAAAGACTGCGACACATGACCATCCGATCCTCCACGATTCCCACCTCGGAGCCGCGCACCTCCACGAGCGGGCAGCGTCCGTCTTCCATCCTCGAGACACCTCCAGGCAGTCCGCATGGACCACCGCAGCCCCGTCGGGACTCGAGCTTCCGCCGGACGTACGACGACACCGTCACCAAGAAGCAGGGCCCATGCGAGAACTGTGCCATGACTGTTCCGCGGCAGTCAGCCAGCAATGGCCCAGAAGTCCTCCGCACGCGCGTGCCAGCAGCTCGTGTGTTCGGGCCGGGAGGACAGGCCTCCCCGCCAAACTCCCAGACGTCTAGCGATACGGAAGGCGAGACAGAGGGAAATGTCTCACGCAGATCACAGCACAGTAGGCGAGGGCCACCACCACCCATGCCAAGCTCGCGCTCGAGCACCTCCTCCGAGTCTGCGCCGTCACACACCCACTACGTGGACTACACGTCGACCCACGAGCCTACGGTGGCCACATCATTCTCTCTCCTGCGGGCATGTTGCCTGCGAGCCTTGTCGTTCGAGACCCTGCCCCGAGCCCCGAACACATCCAGTGCCGCGGCTTCGTATGCGAATCCCGCGAGCAGCATACCACCTTCACCAAACTCCGCGACTGCCTCGTTCGTGACAACGCACTCAAACGGCGCGGCTGTTTCTGGTGGCTCCATCTTCTTTGGAGATGCCCTGGCAGGCTACACCACAGCCTACATCTTCCGGATCCCCGATGTCCACGCACGAGGGCACAAGCGCATATACGCCTTTCTCGCCTTGAGCACATATCGCGAGACCAAGGCCGTCAAGACCTTTGCCAAGGCCTCTAGCGCCTTTCACGAACTCGCCATCTGGATCCAAAAGCTGGCCGAGGCGGAAGCCGAACGCGCAGCCGAGGCGTCCCCGACGGGCTCCAATGCCCACGCCTCATCCAGTGGCCTTTCGCAGCCGTCCCCGGCCTCGGCCATGGAGTCTATGGCGTCGCGATCCTCTGGCTTGTCGGGCGGCAGCAGCTTCCTCACAGGAGGCAGCGGCTTCACGAGGCGCATGGGCGGCGGAGGCGGTGCGTCTGCGCCCAAAGCACGAGGATTACCAGAACTCGTTGGCCAGCCGGACTTTTTCGTCGCCCTGCATGCCAAATTCGTCAACATCTTCTTTGAGATTGGCGTGAGCCTCAGTGGCTAATCTCTTGCCCCCTTTCTCTTTGAAATCTTCTTTTTACCCCCTTTTTGTGTGTTTTCTGTTTGTTTCAACATTTGATACCCCCCTCACGACGTGATGAATTTTGTTTTGAGTGTCTTTCACCGCATGGCGTTGATGCAGCAACAAGGCGTGGAGATGTAGGAGGCGGCTGGCGTACGTAGCAGCATGGCATGGGGGATGACGGACGCGAAACGGATAATGGTAATCTTGATAATGTCTCAGACTCACTGGCAGTCTTGTACAAAATGGTCAAACGGAGGAAAACGGCACCATAGGGCGGATCCATCACGCTGGTGCCCGGCGTTACGAGTGTTTGGAATCCTGGGGGCGAAACGTCGAGTGTACTTAGACTAAACAAGGCTCAAGCATTGTAATTGCACATTGCAAATTGCACACTCCATTGATGATGATACAATCCCATGGCGAATCCCCCTCCAATCTATGATTTCTACGTGGCGCCCCCCAACGTGACAGACTATTTGTAGAAATCAAACTTGTTATCATCCTGCGTCCCCTTGACCTGGCTCGAGTACGCATCTTCCAGATCACTCTGGATAATGTTGTACCTGTTCTTGCGCACGGCTCGCAGACCAGCCTCCTGCATAATGGCCGCGATGATGGCACCGCTCAGGGGGTCGTTGCGCACAATCAGGCTGTCGAGGTCGACCTCGGGCGCCAGGCTCATCTTGCCGGCAATGGTCGAGAAGATGAGACGTCGCTCGCGACGGTCGCGCAGTGAGGGGAACTCAATCTTCCTGTCCAGACGGCCGGGACGCAGCAGCGCCGGGTCGAGCGTGTCGGCGCGGTTGGTGGCCATGATGACCTTGACGTTGGACGTCTGGTCAAAGCCGTCCATCTGGTTGAGGAGCTCGAGCAGGATACGCTGGACCTCGCGGTCGGCGCCGGTCTGGGCGTCGAAGCGCTTGGTGGCAATGGCGTCAATCTCGTCAATGAAGATGATGGACGGCGAGTTCTCCCTGGCCATGCGGAAGACGTCGCGCACCATGCGGGGGCCCTCGCCGAGGTACTTTTGCACAAACTCGGAGCCGACGACGCGGATGAAGCTGGCCGTTGTCGAGTTGGCCACGGCCTTGACCAGCATGGTCTTGCCCGTGCCGGGGGGCCCGTACAGCAGCACACCGCGGGGCGGGTCGATGCCAATCTGCCGGTAGAGGTCAAAGTGCGTCAGCGGCAGCTCGACGGCCTCGCGGATCTCCTGCTTCTGCATGTCCAGCCCACCGACGTCGGCGTACGTCACGTCAGGCTTCTCGTCGGCGCCGAGCATGGCGATGGAGGAATCCGCCTCGGGCGGGAGGATGTCGACGAGGGCGTTGGAGTGGCGGTGCAGCGCGACCGAGGAGGACGGCTTGAGCTTCTCGCGGTCGAGGGTCGACAGGACGCGGACGACGTAGTTGGATCCTGTGCTGGACTGGACGATACCGGTGCTGCGCGGCGTGCTGTTAGCCTGGGCTCGCACTTCGTTTTTTTTCTCTGGTCACCACTCACTTCTGGTCAATAGCCTCCATGAACTGGCCGATCACCAGCGGCACACTCTGGATACGCTTGATCTCCTCCTGCGCGCGCACGAGCTCGCGCTTCAGACTCCGTTGCTCATCCTTGATGTATTCTTCTTGCAGGTGGATGTACCTAGTTCAGTCAGCCGCCTGTGATCGAGTCCACGTGGTGTGAAGCGCACGCACTCCAATTGCCTCTGGAGCTTCTTGAGCGAAGCGTAGTCGTCGCCGCCCTCGACCGGTAGGCCCTCAAAGCTGTCGATGGTGGGTATGGTCGAGGGAGCAGCCTTCTTGTGCGGGAGCACGCTGTTCGAGGCCGAGTCCACCGCTACGTCACCCATGGTTTCTGTATGTGCTGCCGCCGGAAAATGTTCGTTCGTTTGTGTGCGTCGGTCTGCAGCTCGGATGTGTGGTGTTGTGGTGTTGTGGCGATGATCAAGTGCTCGAGGTGGATGGATAGCTCGAAGCAGCCAGAATCCAGCAACGTTGGCGTCAACACCGAGCCTGCCTGGTCGCTGGAGGTCTTGGCATCGGTCACGAAGCGTGCTTAGTCATTTCAAGCCTGGCCAAGCCTCAGCTGTGGCTGGTTGGCTGCTGTGGCGCGCTAGGCACGAAGGGTGGGGGGAGCTTTTCCCTGCAGGCGTGATGCCGCGTGAAGCCAAAGCCAAGCCGTGGTGGAGCAGCGCTTACCGGGGTCTATCGACCATTCCGATGACGGGGCGGGATCATGAAGGTCAAGTGATGCATCTCGATACCACATTCGCGATAAGCTACTCGCACTTGGACCGCGGGGACGCCTAAGACGGCCAGGGTATCTTGCATAATGCTGCAGTCATGCACTCACCGTGTGTCGGCTTCACCTGCGGTGTCCGTGTGCATCCGCAGCCGTGCCTGACTGAATGACTGACTGACTGACTGCTCCTCATCCACCCGGCCGGCTGCCTTCTCTCAACCATCCTCGTCGCTTCTGAACCCGTGCTCTTGTCTCCCCTCCTGCTTGCTATTGTGCTTCCTGTTTCAATTTTCCACTCTAGCCATCAAACGCCTCAGAAGCGGAGGCGCCTAGCTACCTACCTTGCGCACCCGCCTAACCGAAGACTCAATTCATTAAGCTCGCCGTCACCCCGCGGCTCCTACCTTGCGAAACCCTGATCGCCTTGCGCCGTCAATGCACCACCATCATCACCAGCCCTGACTGTTCTCGTCTCTCCACCCTTCTGCAACAAACAAAGCAGCCTGTCCTTCCTGGGAGTCTTCCTGGCCAACCACCAAGCCATCACTCGCGTATCGCTTCACATCACCTCGTCCCTCCCCGCCTCGTCCTGATTCACGGCTCTTCCTTGCCCGGTCACTTTCTTGTACTATTCCGCCATGTCGTCTCGCATCAACATCCCCAAGGGCAAAGCCAAGGCGACCGCTGCCAACCTGGTCGACTCATCGGCGAGTTCCTACGACTCATCCCCCAAGTCATCGACCTCGTCATCACGCTTCCAGCGCCCCAGTGCCCACACACGTCGGCCTAGTCTGCTGAGTACGACTTGGCTCTCCCCTGAAAGAAGGCTTTACTGACCACATGCCAGGCGATGCCCTCTCCAAGCAGGAAGCGACCGTCATCAATATCGGCGAGCCGGATGGCGTTCCTCGTCTGGTGAGCAGCTGTATTGCGGTGTCTCCGCTTCAGCGACTGACAACCATAGATCTCCTATCTCTCCTCCAGCCAGGGATATCAATGGAATCCGGGTATGGACTGCTGCCATTTGTATAGATACATACTAACAGTTATAGAAATCTTCCTGCCATCCTACATCGACTGCGACTACGAGCCACTAGAGCACGGCCGAGAACCCGTCATTGAAATCACCCTCTCCGACGAGGAGATCAAGCAGATGCTCCCTCAATAAGCGACCCCGTTTCGACAAATATCACTCACCCCACCTCACTTGCAATACTTTTATACGGCGCCTAGAATGGCCTTGACTCCTCTCCAACAGAGGACATGATTATACGAACGACCGGATTTTGGGTCAATAATTGGGAACACCTTGATGGAGTTTTATGGACAATGTTGGCCGTCGCACTGGTCTGAATTCGCCTGGACTATTTGTCCACGGCACGATAGCTGCCATCAGGCGTTGGGGGCTACACATGCTTTGAAGGACAATCACCACTTTTTGATTGGGTTGTTGGGCGCACGGTAGTGTCTTTGATGAGTTTGGGATTGTTTGTAGGTACCTTGCACTTTCAGATAAGATGCTGTTCCCAAGTACTGTGGCCAACCTGCGTGAAGCTGGTCTTGTGCATACCTGAGTGTCACTCATCGTCGAAAGACAAGACGGCCTTGTGTGGTGAATGGCACCCAGCTTCAGGCGGTCGACGCTTACACGCCTTGTGACGGTCCACCTGGATGCTGCAGACGCTGCCCCACAATGGGGGTCCCGGCCCGCCAACTGCCATTCCTGGCACTGTGCTGCAGCCTCACTTTTTGATGTTGCATGTGACCAGTATAATAAGATTCTTCTCTGTCCGCAGGAGCTGGAAAACCACAAACTGAACTATTTGTAGTATTATATCAAATATTGAATGCCATGAAGTGGCTCACCTACCTGGTACTGAAGTTGCGAAGCTCAGGTTATGGCGGGGTTGACTTGACCTAGCCGCCCAGCCGGGGCACTCATGCTGAGTCATCCACCAAGAGCCCGCAAATCCAGGGTCCGGAGTAAACAGACGCGATGCACAACGCGCTTCTCACGAATGCGCCAAAAGTTCAGGGACAGCCCGCAACATGGATGCTGACTCGGCCGTCTCGCAAGTCCAGCGACGGATCGAGCTCCAGAGTCCGGAAGATCTGACATATCTCATCACCAACGTGCGGAATGCGGCTGCGACGCGGTTGAACGAAGCGTTTCCGCAGGTCGATGGCGGCGGGGAGGACGAGCTGAGAAACCAGATTGAGGCGCTGGTCAATGAGGTAAACAGCGGTTGCTCCGTCGAATATTAAAAGCAGTGGAGCTGATTGCTCGCTTGGCAGTACATCGACAAAACATTCACTCTTGCGGCACCCAACCTCACAATCAATGGACTACCCGTCGCCCCGGGCGATGCCCTGCGAGATAGCGGATCAATGGCCCTGGACGAAGCATACGAGCCGTTCGATACACGGAAACGCCAGAGGGTCGCCGATTTGATCACGCAAGAGGAGAAGCTGCTGGAGGACGTGGCAAGCCTGAAGAGAGCCGTGCCTGGGAAAGCAGCCGCGGAGCATGCGCAGATGCTCCGAGAAGAGTTGCGGCGAGACGACGAGATGGTGAGTGCCATGGCAGCGACATACCAAGAAAGCGCCAACGAAACGATCACTCTGGACGGCACGGCAAGGCTAGACAGGCAAGAGACGGTGGAGGGCGAGTTCAAGGACGCAGTGGAGGCACTGGGGAGGTTGAAACGCGATATGAGCACAGTGGTGGCCAAGATGGAGAGGGCACGTCAAGCAGGGGAATACGTCATCACGCAAGGGCGATGATAGTTGCTTTTGGATTTCTGGCGCGGCGTTTCCAGGGGCCACAAGGGATACACAGCAAGCAGCTGGCCATCATGATACCAAATAGGATGTCTATTCGTTATTTGTTTGTTTACCGGATTCTAGACTAGGGGACTCGAATTCTTTTTTGGCCGGCAACACAAGGAGAAACCCCAATACTACACCACGCCCCATCTGTCGCGGTCCTCTTCTACTCTAGACCTTGACCGCTAACTCACAACGCCCGCCCGAAACTACACCTGAACACAACATGATCTTGGACGCTTAAGCGGCAGCGGGCTGCTTGGCCTCGTCACCCTCGCTCTTCTCGGGCACAGGGGCGGATTCAACGCCAGTCGTCACCTCGGGCTTCTCCTCGCCGGCAGAAGGAGTGGCATCGGTGGCGGGAGCAGCCGCAGCCGGAGCCGCAGTCTCGCCCTCCTTCCTCGCCCACTTGGGGGGCCTGGCGAACTCGGGGTCGCTCCAGGGACCGGCGTCGCTGTGCTCGCAGCCGCCCTCGCACTCGCAGGAGCCACCAAACTCCTTGGGCAGGTTCTCGGCGGGGACCTGCTTCAGCAGCTCGCTCTTGTAGCCGCTGCCCAGGATGTGGATCTTGGACACGGTGACGGGGTCGAGCCAGCCCTTGACGACGCTCCAGACGGTCGAGAAGCCCCAGGGGGCGTTGATCATGTACATCTTGCCGAGGCGCTCGGGGTAGTAGTTCTGCGACAGGCCGGCCGTCTGCTGGACGTATGAGTAAACCTGAGGCACCTTTGTGATGCCGACGCCCTTGAGGTCCATGATGGTGCAGCACGTCTCGAGGAGGCTGCCCTGCTTGCGGGAGCAGGCCGGTAGACGGGGGTCGGAGACACGCTCGTACTCGACGGCAAGGTTGGTGATCATGCGGTCCGCCGAGGTGATCTTGTACATGGCAGCCAGGTCGATGCCACCAAGAGTCTCAATGTAGACAGGGCGGCCATCCTACGTACTGTTAGCGTTCCCTTGGAATCGATCAATCATCTGCAAAAGCAGAGTTCGGGCGTACCTTGTCCGTCTTGTGGTAGAACTGCTTGTAGTACTTGGAGATCTCGGCTTTCTCGGGGTAGTCCCAGACGGGGACGAGCTCGTCCAGCTTGATCTCTTCGCGCCACTTCTCGCATTCCACAAACATCTTCTTGGATGCCTCGACATCGAACTTGCGGGCACGGAGGAAGCGCAACTAAAAGAAGTACCAAGAGGCAATGGTCAGCCAACTGCGTCCCTAGATCGAAAACAAACAACCGCCGGGAAAGGGGGGCATCGTCCTACCAGGGTCAAGGTGTCGAGACGCTTGGTCAGGCCCTCGGCTTCCAGCATCATGCGCAGCTGGTGCACCTGGGCAATCTGGCCCTCGGTGAGATGACCGGCGTGACCATCCTGAGGCTCGGCCTTTGTGTAGGGGAAGTCGTAGTCGTCGTATTTGGGGTTGATATCCATGGTGGGGGATGAGGGGCGGTGACGAAACAGGGATGAAAGGAGTTGCTGTTCTTTTCTGTTCTCGCACGGGAGAAAAACCTGGCCGTCGTGATCTTGATGCAAGAGTCAAGGCCAAGATTTGTTGAAGAAGTGCTGGGACAGGAGTAGGGGTACGTAGAAAAATGCGAGTTGGGAGCTTGCAGAAATTCGTGTTTCCTTCAGGTTCAGTCCCCTCTCGAATCTCCGGGGTCACGACATGGATCTGGCGAGTGAAAGTGGGACGGGGAATCCAACCGGCCACCGGTAGAGACCGCGTCGCCGCGACCACAGTGGCTTGGCTCACCTGGCTCACTGTAAGTCTATTCTTCCAGCGCCCTTCACCGCTTCCTGATAGGCCCCACCGGATGATGCAGATGCTCCTATCGCGTTTCTTATCGATATCGATAAGACTCCAGTCAATCGTCTGGCTCCAGCTAAAATAATTAAGTTGCTATCACCGTTCCATTGTGTCAAGCCACACGGATCAATACGCCTTTGCGCACCTGAACAGGTACACCACAAAACATGCAATTATGAGACCATCCCCTTCGCGGATCGCCCTTCATGCCGTTCGACAACTACCCACGTCGGTGAGCGGGCCGCGCCCGCTGCGCTCTTTTCACATCACGGCACCCTGCCAACCGCGAAAACGCAGCTTCTTCACATCGAACCCGTACCTAGCGCTGAACGGCACCGACGATTTCAAGTCCGCGAGGGAAAATGATAAAATGCAAGCGTCCGTTGCCCAGCATCCCACGAAGCGAAAGGCTACCAGGGCCACTACGGCCAAGAACTCGTTACGCAGAGTCGCCCTGATAGCGCAGTCACCAAAACGAGGCACCGAGGGGCCAGTTGCTGGAGACATCGAAGCCGACACAACGAACCTTGTGAGCGCGACATGTGTGGCCGAATCTTTCAAGATGCCCATGGTTCTGGACATCTTGTCGTCCCATGGCTTCGCCATCAACCCCGACGGCACTGACTTTGACGCCAACGAGGTCGTCCATGCGCGAGGCGTCAATGGCGGCGACATCTTCGTGTTTCCCTCCGGCACAATCGTGACATGGTCCTTACCCCCGGACGTGGTGACCCGACAGCTCATGCGCGCCGCAGAGGAGCCGCACCAGGCAGTCATGCGCGAGCTCGAGGATCTCGAGTTTACGACGGACGTGAACCGCGAAACCAGCACCATGAAGGGGGACATTGTAGTCCTAGGCACGCGCAAGGAGAACAAGGAGGGCGACACACTGGATACGACATTGGCAAAGGTGGCCTTCTCCTCGGGGCTGGCGCGAAGCACCAAGCTTGCGGTCCTGGAAAGCGCACTGACGTCGTACTTTGAGTCTACCCGCAAGATTCCACACATCCTGTCTCGCGGTGCGGGCTTCCCCTTTGGACGCAAGTTCATCCTGCAAAAGACAGGCGAGCTACTGGGCTTGCGTGCCCGGCTGAACCACTACTCCGAGCTCACGGACTCGCTCCCCGACATCCTGTGGGACAGCCGTTCCGAGCTTGGCTTGGAGGGCTACTACGAGCAGGTTGGTCGGGCGTTGGACGTCAATGTCCGCATACGTACTCTGAACCAGAAGATGGATTACGCGCAAGAGATCGCGAGCGTGCTGCGCGAAATGTCTAGCGAGCAGCATGGAACACGCCTAGAGATCATCATCATTCTGCTCATCGCGGTCGAAGTGATATTCGAGCTCAGGCGGATCTTCTTGGAATGGGCACAAGAGAGGGAAGCTGCCAAAGAGGCGGCGCTGGCATTGCAAGGCAACTGAATATTTGAATCATTTTTGTATAACACGTTGTGATACCCACCCCCAACTCAATAGTAGTTGCAGCTCTGTGCACAACAACAGACTTTTTACAGGTCAAATCCTTGCTTCGTCTATTAATTCGCACGTACAACATTTTCTTCTCAATAGTACCGTCGGCGAGGAATAGCCACATCCGTTGAACTTGCCCCCCTTCCCTTGTCATGAATCCCACCCATTGCTTTCCCCAAACTCCCTCCCAAAATCTAATACAAAGTACATACTCAACGACACCACCCCATCAAGAGGGCTTTTGCTGCTGTTGATGGGCGACCATTTGCGGTAGAGGCACGGGCGTCACCTTGCGAGGTATTGGAGTTCCGTTGGCGCCCAATGGCGTCGGTGTCCCCGAATTGGCTCTCGGTGGAACTGCCACACTCTTGTCCATGTGATTCGCTGCTCGCTCATGGGCGGTCACCCGGGCTCTAGCCTGCTCCAGGACAGCCTGCTGCTGCGACTCTGGCATAACGGTGTGGTAGCCCAACGACTGCTGCGTTGGTTGTTGCTGCGCTGTAGGCTGCGGAGTAGGACCACCTTGGTATCTCGGCGCTTGGTTCGGGGTCCCATACCGCTGAGGTGGCTGCTGATGCTGCATCCTAGGCGAAGGACTGAGTCCCTGCTGGTGCTGCACTCCACTCCCATTTGTGTACTGGCTGAACGTGCCCTGGCCAGGAGTACCCGCCTGTTGTTGCTGCTGCGGGTAGCTTGGCGTTTGATATTGGCTGAATCTGCTCGTCCCTGGTGTCCCTTGCTGCGCCATCTGCCCATACTGCTGCCGTTGCTGCTGATTCGCGTACTGAGGCATGTTCTGATGGCCAAAGGGCGTCTGCGCCTTCGAGAGCTGCGATGCATACTGACTGGGGAACCCGTTAGGTCGAGAGTACTGGTTCGAAGGTGGACGCTGTTGTGGCGTCGACGCCGTGGGGTATTGCTGTCGTTGTTGTTGGTAGTTGCCATGGAAGCCTGGAGTGGGACCACCTCGGTAGTACTGTTGTGATTGCGAGGCCGGTCGCTGTGGCGTGCCATACTGGTTGCTTGGCTGGTAGTGGTTGGCGTAGGACATGCTCGGTGTGCGTTGTGGTTGCCTCTGAGATGCTTGGGCCGTTTGCTGCGCTCGTAACCTAGCCTGCGCAGCAGCATCATCCTCTTCCATGACGCCCTTGTATTGATCAGTCGAAACCTCTAGCTTCGTGCTGATCAAGAGGTCGTTCAACTGGTCGCCGTTGAGCTTGGCCACAGCATATGGCGGCAATGTCTTGATGATCAGAGACAGTTGCGCCTTCAGTACCTGGTAGGTGGCCCGCTCCTCTTCAGCAACCTGTGGTCCTGCGGTGGCCAGCATATCGCCTGCCACTGGATCGCTGCTCTGGCGATTTTGCGAGTTAGGCAGGTTCAGGTTCCGAATACGTTGGTACGACGCCAGTGTCTCGATAAGGTCGCTGACCTCATCCAGAATTTCCTCCACTTCCTTCTCGGCATCATCGCGCTTGGCGCCCATGGCGTCCTCTAGAGTCGGGTCCACGACAGCCTCGTCCCAGTTGTCAATGGCTTCTCGAATTGCAGACTCATCCAGGTCAACGTCATTTGCAGTCTGAGCGCCGTCATCAAGGCCGTAGTAGTCAACTTCAATCATGTTTTGGAAGTTCTGTTGGCCTGCTCGTTGCCACCAAACGCGACCTGCCACGCTAGCTGGCACGACAGCCGTTGAGTCGTCCTTGCAGGGGGCAAAGCTCGAGAATGCGCCCCGAAACAAAGTTTCCATCTCAGACATCTGGACCTCAGTTGCTGATGGTTTTTTTCCAGCAAGACTCTTGACCCGCTCATGTTGCCGCGCTTTAGCGCTCGCGGATGGAGTGGCATGACTGTAGTCCAGGTAGTGGCCGGCAGACAGCTTCGATCCGAAATATGAGTTGCTCCAATACTGCGACTTGTCCGTCAGCTCGGGATGATAGAAGTCGAGTTGGTTGCCCTTGGCTTGCGTCTTGGGCTGCTTGGGCGGCTGCAGGGGGGGCAGGGCGCGTGGCGCAGGGAATAGCTCCCCCAAGGTAAGCACCCTTTCTTGAGATGTGCTTGGGTAGACCCTTGTCAAAGAAACGCCCGCAGGTAGGCTGGCGTCTGACAAGTGGGCAGCTCGAGAGTCGGCGAGGCTCGAGAATAGTCGCTTCTCCTGTGGTGCAAGGCCGAACAATGATAATACTTCGCGCGCATCACTATCATCGTCAAGATCATTTGCCGAGCCTGATGATGTCTGCGGGTATGCCTCCTCTCGTCGCAATAGACCAACTGCTTTGGTCCGAAAGTCGCGTATTCGCGCAACTAGGTCCGCGCCGGATGAACCTTGCGATTCAGCCTCAGCGAGCGAGGACTTTACGACAGCAGCCACATCGTTGACCAGATCGCTGACGTGGGCGTAGAAGTGGCCGGTGAACTTGTCGTCGATGCTCCGCAGCGTTGGGGGCTCAGCAGATTTCTGGCGTTTCGTGTCGGGCTCGTCATCAGGCGTGATGTCTGGCAACGGTCTTTTGAGCAGAGGAGGCTCGAGATCGAAACTGCGCGGTCAGATAAGTTATAGGCCAATGACTTTGCGATCATGGCACACTCACCTCTGAAGGACCCGGAAGCAGGTATCTATCAAGGCAACCTGATCGCGACGAAATTCAGTTCCAATCGCTGCCTTCGCGTCCTGTTCGTTGTCGGCAATGCCATCCGCTTCAGCAGAGTCGCGTTTCCTTTTGCCGGGTGCGACGGGAGGATTGGCGTCAATGTGGTCCAGGGCAGCCTGCGTCCCATCTGGGGCCGTGACGGCCATTTGCGCCATGAAGGGCGGGAGTCGCAGTGCTTGGACGTGACGCTGTTGGCTCGTGTCGAGGGCTGTCGTTGAAATTTGACGTCGCGAGTAAGCCTAATGTTCGCTCGTCGCGACTGGGGACAACGCGGTTGGGCGGGTTGCGGGTGCAGGAGCGCTTGAATCGCAGCTACTAACAGCACCGCCGGCCAGTCTGAATGCGTTATGTCCACCAGATACAGTAGCGGGCAATCGATTACCCGGACTGCTGATGCACGGCTGGGGATCAACGGAAAACGAGATAATTTGAGCAATAACTACAGCGATGACAGATGAGACCAACGATCAAAGACTTGAGGGCAGAATTGAAATGTGCCTGTCTGTCCGGGGCCATTGGCGCTGTCTGCGACCGTACCAGCGCTAGGCTGCTTTGGACCAGTCATCTAAGATTGCCTGCACGTGATACCCCTCATGGTGGACCAATGCCTGTCACTATCAGTGTCCTTGCATTCTGCACGAGTCTCATTGTTGATTTGCGAGAAGCTGATTGTCAAATGTCGCAGAACAATTAACGTCAAGCTCATTTCGAGGTGACAGAGCGCCATGGATGCACGGAAGCCTTAGGAGGAGTGTATTAAAACAGCGCAAACCAGACGTTACTATCAACAACAAATACACAGGGAATCATCGTTCTCTTCAAGCTGTCAGGATCTTGTCTAACCCAGCAGTTGCAGGTCCTGCCATTATGTCTGCTTCTTCACAGATGCACAGTCTCTTACTTGGCGCGAGCAAGACCAACGGCGTTCTTGCCGAGATCATACACAGAGTACCAGCGGCGCAGGAAAGCATCGCCGAGGATGACAAGGGGACCGGCAGGGGCAGGAATATCCATGCCCTGGAAGGTCGAGATACAGCTGCCGGAGACCTCGAGAATGTAGTCAGATGCTGGCAAGCTGTAGTTGGAGCCAGCCAGGTTGAAGGTGATGTCGGGCAGAGAGTCCCTCTTGGCGCAGTCAACAGTGTACTGGCCATTGTATCCCTTCTTAGCCCCAATCTCCTTGTTGAGCAACTCAGCAAGAGAGCTAGGAAGGACGTTCAGGGATGTTCCGGTGTCCAGAATGACACCAGTGTCCTCAAGCTCGGCAATCTCATCACCCAAGGCGATGCTCTCGAGGTCGACTTCCCAGTAAGCCTTGCGGCGCAAGGGGATGTACTCAATCTCGCCCTTGTAATGGTCCTTATCGACACCTCCAAACACAGCCTCGCTCTCGCCCTCAGCATCAGCCAGGTAGAAAGCAAAGACAGGCTCGTCAATAAGCTTCTGGTTGACCATCTGATTGAAGGGAGGCACGATCCCGTTGACAGAAATGGTGTCATAAGCAAGACCGAGGATACCGTCAAAGCGACCGAAGGCGAAAGCCAGGCCGGGCTCGCTGGTGGCCTCGGCAAAGTCCTGGCCCTTGACCTTTAGGTCGCCAATGGTGAAGTCATCCTGGGAGACGAAACCAGTCAAGCTGCCAGAGCCGTAGTGGATCTCGAACTCAGAGCCGTTCTTCTTGTAGGTAGACGACGCATCGGAGTCGTAAGTGGAGTGCAAGTAGCAGGCAATGCTGCTGCATGACTTGGAAGGAACCCAAAGGTTGGAGCTGCCGGTATCGAGAACAACCTTGAAAGTCTGGGGAGGAGTGCCAATGGTAATCTCGGAGAAGTACTGGGCGTTCATAAAGTTGGAAACGGGCACGGGGTGAATGCCGTCAGACTTGGGCGCCTGGGTGTTGAAGATGACATCGGCGCGCGAGTCGGGGCGGGCGGAGCCAAGGTACTTCTGGCCAAGGGCCTGAACTTGCTCCTCGATGGAAGAACCAGCCTTGAAGGATTAGCACAATGATGCGAGAAGGTAGGCAAGATAAAGCTTACGAGCTGCTCAGACAGAGGAACTTTGTTGAGCTTCATCTTGTGCACGCCACCAGCCTGGGCGGACCCAAGCAGGGCGGCAGCTGTGACCAAAGCGCTCTTCATGTTGGGCGGCTACTAGGATATGGTGCAAAGTTGTGAGGGCTAATGGGCAACACGACGAGACCAGTGAGAATGATGGTACTCGATGGTGGTGATGGAGGAGGAAGGAAGAAGAGCGGGAATGAGATGGATGTTGTGACGACGGATGGGGAAGACGGATGGCGAAGCTATCGAGTCACGAGTAGAGATGCGGGAGCTTGGGGTCTGGTCTGACTGGTTGCGCCTGCCTTGTTTCGATTATCGATAGAGCGCCTGCCTGTGGTTGGGCCGGTGACGTGGGATGGCTGGAGCCTTGATGGCCTTGCTGTGGCTGACGACTGGCTTGAGTGGCTCCGGCCATGGGGTATCAGTTACTGCTTTGGGACATGAGCACTCCTCGGCTGAAAGTCCCCCCGCCTCGTCCAGTGTCATGACGCATCACAACGAGAGGTGCTGATGCATCACTCGTGACAGTGTTGTTACCATGCGTGTGACAAAGGGGCAGATCCACCAAGCATCCACAATAACGTTGATTAAACAACACTCATGACCGACGGGGAGAAAGAACAAGCGCGAAGATGTCCCCAAGTTATAAGGTAGATCCAAAACTCACTCTAAACCTACACGACTCAGCGGCTCAACCCCACGATTGTCCTTCCCATGGCTTCGCAATCCTGGACATCCTGGACACGTCGCTAGCATTTGTTGGACTCTCCGGCTCTCGATTGTACCTGGCAGGCTGACCCAAGCTATCTCACCTAGTTAGAGTATGGACTTGGCACGTTAATCGATTGCACAGATGGATCGGTTCGCCTGTCTCAACTCCTTCGCCGTGCGTTGCTGTAGTTTGGAGTATTTCTTGACACCAAATCTGCCCATACTTCTTTATCCAATTGTTGTGGCCATCTCAGACGTTATTGTCTTTACACGTAGAAAAGGCAGTTGGCGATCAGACTTATTAATATCATTACATTATTGATAATTAATCGTTGGTAAACTGGACCATGTGCAGCCCAGCAGTAGCAAGAGTCAGAGCGAAATACCCAGCATCCGAATCTGTCAACGATACCTCCGTACCTTGCTTAACATACCATAGCCAAAGTAGGGGTTGAATACTCGAGGACTTTTACGTACAGTAAAGCCAAAGTGCGCAAGTCTTATTATTGTATCGTGGTACGTAGATAATATTGCTTTGGGCGGCATTGTGTAACACTTGGACAAGTGGAATAATGAATGTCTTTGGTCTATCCTTTTGAAACTGACCGTCGCGCCATCGAGGTACGCGCGGACCTCCATTCCAGTCCTGGAGGGAAAGTGCTAATAGAATTGTGTTCCCTTACGTATCTCGGCCACCTTGCAGCAGCCATTGTTCGGTGAATGTTGCTGTGAATAAAGAGCACTGGGCGACAGTACAAGACACCAGATGTGTTACTATTACGAGCGATCGATTGAATAATGAATTCCGTGCGCAGGAGCGTCAGGATCGACCTTTCGATATTGATTAAGGCGAAGTATCAATTAACACAGCCTGTTATCATTAATCTCGGACAGAGGCGCAGGCCCGCAGGGTGTGGTGTTGCACCGCCCACTGTACCGTATTCATGTGGGTGGGCATCAACGGGAATGCTGGACGATCGACTTCATCAGTAATGAAGAGCCTGAGAGGACATGGAAGCTGCTGCCATCAACTTGTTGCAATTGCTCTCAACCTCAGCGCCCGAACCCGATGATCACGTTTTGACCAACAATCATGTACGGGTTTACAGTATTGGTCTGGACTCGTAATGACCTGGGCTTGCTCTGGCGATCAGAAGTTGAGATGTCACAATATTAATGCCGCTGAGCCAGTTGGGGCGGAGTCAAACACCACGATAAAGCTCGAGGACTAGCATCAAGTACGTGAATCTCATGCGAATGCTTGAAAGCAATAAAAATAGTACGCATGCTTCGCTGCAGGCGCGTAACATGCTGGTACAGTGCTCACGGACACCGGGCGAATAATACCACAACAAAAGTAATTAATATTCACTTCATGTCAGGTAGGTGCTTGAAAGATGTCAGCGTCTTGAAGTCAAGAAATATCATTACAGTAGAATACGTCTTGGGCCTGTCCCGTCTGGAGGGTTACGCCAGTCTCACATTTGTGACCATGGCCCGCTTGGCAGGTTTCAAGGCAGAATGGGGAGTGCAGCGATGAATGCGAATCGATCACGACCGCTGGCAAGTTTAATGCAAGGGCTCGTGTTATGTTGCGCTGTGTACCTTGGACCCCGAGTTTATGAACATTAATAGTATTTTAGTCCGTCCGAGTCTCCGGTCGGTTCACACGCCGTAAGGATGGTACACGCGCGTTCACAGCTGCGGCTCAACATTGTCGCCTTTTGCGATTGCTCTCTTTTGCGACATTAGATAACAATGTCAACCGAGCGCCATGTCCTAGAAGTCAATATTTGTTGATGGCTCACTCGCTCGAGCCTCATGGACACAATTACCACGTTGTGGAATGTGCCCAACGCTCACCAGGGATGCATAACCCGAGGCCCGTAACGTTATGAACTTGTGAAGACGCACAGCGTTTAATTGCAGTGGGTCGGACGAAACGCAATGGACTCAGCTGGTAGACGTGACTTTTGCCACCTCATCTTACGCGCACGGATTGCTAACGTTGACCGGTAAAGGCCTGCCATGGCTTAACGCGGAGCGACGTGTCTCACGCGTATTGAGTACCAAATGCACAGCAAATCAGCAATCGTGCCCCTGGCAGAACTGTCTGTTCCTGCAGGTCTAGACTGCATCAGTTGATGCAGACCAAACCAATCAGTACGCTTCATTCCAGTCTTTGCAGTAGCATTGGCTGGCGTGGCTTGCGGTGGAGCGGGTAGAGACAGGGGCTCGGAAAGCTTGTGGCAGGGGAGGCTTTTCTGGCTGCGAGGGATGGAGCCTCAGGGGCCGCCAATGGCCCAGTGATGAAATCAGGATTCAAGGAGCGTTCAACTTCCGGCGGCGGTCACAGCGCACTTTAGGCGGGTGCGACAATCACTAACAGCCACTGTAACACGTCTCCGGCGATGCACCCAGGTGCTTTGGAAGGAAGAAGGCCTCCTTTCCTCCCACACCCACCCGTGCGGCCTTTCCTTCCCTCACTCCCTCTCGCACTCACGCTCACGCTCGCACTCCTCACTCCTGTCTCTCTCCTACTTGCCCTGGTCATCTTCGCTTCAGTTTCTCCCCTTTCAACAAAACAGACAGCCACTCCCTCGACCACGCAACACCGCTCGTTCCAGTCCCTCTTTTCCCTCTCCACAACTTGAAACTCAACTTGCAACCACCTAGGTGACCACAACGACCTGTTCGACTCGAAGTAGAAGCCAGTCGACTGCAGATTTACAATCGTTCGACAACACCGCAAAATCAACCAGGCCGAGCATTTCTGCTGGTCGAACCGCAGAATCATCGAGGCTCACGAGCCAACTCAATCACAGTACGCAGGCACGTTCAGGTTTGCAACAACGCGCAGACCGGGCTTCTCTGCCCATTGTTCCAATCCTCGTGCCCTCGAGACACGATACGACGCGGCCGACTCTCGCTCTTTGTTCCGAGGACAGCATCAGTCTTTGTGGTAGCTCTCAGCACTCCCAAGTGGAGTCGACAGGTTGTGGTTTTTCTCGGCTGGCCTAGGACTCCTCATCTGTGGCCTCTTGGACGAAAAAACGTTTTTTTCAACATATTCGATTCTTCACATTCGCTACACGCAACATCAAAACACACAAAATGAGGTCATTAGCAATCCTTGCGGGCTCCCTGGTGGCTGCCTCGCAACTGTTTGGCTCCGGATCTGCCCTCACGCCAGACCGCGTTCATCTCGCTGCCCATAAAGTTGTTCGTGAGGACAAGACTCCTACTCAGACACCTGTTGAGGACCCCAAAACCGATGTCATCACCTCCCAAGGGTGCTTCTCGTCGACGGGCAATATGACCTTACAGAAGATGGACCCGACCTCGGTTTCGACCGGTAGCTGCCGGCTGGCGTGCGAAGATGATTTTCTAGCGTTCGGCGTGACGGGTCAGGAATGCTATTGCGGCAACGAGTATCCAGAGGAAGATGCCCTTTCAGCTGACAAGAATTGCAACCATCCTTGCCCAGCTTACCCCCTCGAGGTCTGTGGCGGTATTAAGAAGCCTGGATATATATCGGTTTTCAACCTTGGCAAGCAGCTGATCCTGGACAACTACACACCCGAGGACAAGAACAAGGACAAGAGCGATGACAAGTCCAAGTCCACTTCCTCAACTACTGCTGCCGCCGCCTCCACGGCTACCTCAGGCCCCAAGGAGAGCGCATCTCAAACCGAGGCACCCCAAAAGGAAAATAAGGACGACGGCGGCCCTAGCGTTGCTGGCATTGTGGCCGGCTCCGTCGTTGGAGTCCTTGCTATTGCTGGTGGAGCTTTGGGCGTGTGGTTCTTCATGCGGCGCAGACGCAACACTGAGATTGAAGAAGAGCATCGTCGTAATGCAGCCGTCAATGCCTTCATCAGTGGCTCCAAGCCCCCTGGTAGCAGCGGAAGCATTTCCATGACTGATTCACGCCTGGAGCCTGGCTTGGCTCACCGTCGACTCAGTGATGGCAGCATTGCCGACAACGAAGACTATTCCCGCAAAATCCTCAGGGTGAGTATCCCGCCGCGGCCAATACCACTCATTGCTGACTTGCACTTAGGTTACCAACGCGTGAACGTTGTGAAGAGGGTTGTTTCCTACTCTTCCGACATACCGTACTACCACCTCACACATTTGGCATTCTTGGCGTTTTCGGGATGACAGCTCATGTCTACGGTCGTCCTTTGATGAACCTGTGGCGTTGGGCCTTTTACATTGGCGTACGGATAGAATATCTGACAGACGGATACGACTGGATTTGACCGTTTCAACGCAACCACATGTCGACCGCCTACACGCCGTCCGCTCCTTACCACACAATCAACCTTTTGAGAAACACGTGCTTTCATTTTCTGCCACGGGAGAGCTAGACCAGGCGATGCAACTGGCCTCCCGCGGGGCTCCTCTCCTGTGTCAGCGATCTCTTGTACGAAATACCCTCGACCGACTATCTAGAGGGGAAAGATTAGCATATTGACGCTCGGCGCGTTTTGGGATAAGAAGAAAGGGATGAACGTCGGGCAAGCAGAGGGGAAAGCTGGCGACGTCTGCGCAGAGCTCTTTAAATTTAGTCTCTTTAACTTGTGTTCTCTTCTACGGCCACGGAATGGAGGAGCTTGGCATGTACGTAGGAGCGTGAAAGCAGCTTTGTGACAGTCACAACGGCGATGTGAGAGATAATCCCAGCAACAGATACCTTACCCTGGGTGAAACATAAATCAGCAATCCCCTGTGATGTTTCTTTCAAAATCCGTCGTATTGACTCTCCGCACGGGTGCTTCCGAGGTTGGTGATGTAGTGGCTATGCGAGTGGTATCGCACCACGTGACGTGCTATTCCACTACGTACCGTGCGCGTAGCTTGTCGCGTCTCTTCAAGGCTGCAAACTTCTTGGCGCAAGCAAACGAAAGTCGAGCAACAGTTGGAAACGTCGCTACCGTCGGCCAGCATTCAATACCCCACGCCACCTTAGCCCAGCTTCGCTTCGAGACGTGTCGCGGACACGGAAGAGTATTAAACTGCAGACTGTTACAGCGACAGTGGATCGCCGGCGCGATGTCGACGACAGCTTCACGTGTGCGTCGCACAACGACGAATACCCAAATCACGTACGGCACTACCTCAGAAACTTCGAATGTTGGCTGACAGTCGCAGGCATAGTTTCGCCCGTCGCATCAATGACATCCAGACATACCCGTACCGATCGCCCCAAGGCGCCACAATCCTCATTCATTGCCACGACAGTGGTGTGACAATCACATGGCGAGGTGGCCGGAGGTTCAAGCAGAAACCAAAGGTTGCGAAGAAGGATAGGACGAACGGGAAAGTCGATGATTCAGTTATGGTGATCGATTCCGATGACGAAGCACCGCCTTCGAAAGGAGCCGCCAAGTTCGAAGACAAACCAGAGTTTGAGGAGGAAGATGTAGACGAGACACCACATTCGGAAACTGTCCAGACGCTTGACCTCACGTTTGGAACAGCTGTGCAAAATGTCGCAGTCATGCCTGTCACACCAGGCTCGGGCCTCGAGGACAGAGTTCCGATCCTTCGCCACAAGCTTGTTTTCACAGCTTCCACAGTCACAAACGATGTGTATCTGGTCACACTTCCTCTTACACCACCATCCCCAGAGTCGAAAGCGAGGCCTGAGCTGAAGAAGGATCTACTGGCGGGCAAGGCGGGCTCAGGCGCTTGGGGGGAGACACTGGTGTTGTTGCGAGGCAACACGCGGCTGAGCGATGGGCTTGCGATTGGACTCTACATGCCGGAAACCGATGATTCCGGCAAGCAGGCGAGGGCGGTGGTGGCAGCACATTCAAGAGAGGCCTCAGGCGTCCTGCGGTTGTGGGAAGTACCTCTCGATCCGAAATCCAAGATGGAACGACAGGTCGAGCCTTTCCAGACTGAATTCCTACCAGCACCACTGACCGGGATCTCTTTCAATCCTACACACCGCTCGCAGCTGCTCACAGTGACGGCGTCACAGGGTGCTCGCGTCTACGATTTTGCGCGGTCCTCACTGCCTACGGACCCAGACGCGACCGGTATTTTTCCCACGCAGGGTTCGTGGCAACTCACTCTGTACCAACCCTTTGTTCGACCCTCAGCACTCCGAAAACCAATCGTTGCCGCTGCATGGATATGCCATGGACATGCTGTCTTCACGATCATGGCAGACGGCATGTGGGGGATTTGGGACATTGACAGTGTTGGCGCCACGTCCTCTGGCTCGCTCCTGTCCAAGGCCAGCCCTGGTATCAGGGGCGCCGCAATCACTGCCTTTAGTGTGTCTGGTTACGTGGATGGAACGAGTCTACTGCGCAGTACCGGAGCACACCATACAGCAAGAGACTCGCAGAGCGGAGACTTTGCGCCTATGACACCACACACCCGAAAGCAAACGACCGCTAACATCCATTCGCCGGCCACAGCCGATCGATTTGCGACAGTTCACGGTGGAATTAAAGTCGCATCATTACCGTCGACCGAGAAAGGTCTGCCTGACGAAAGCCTTGCCCTCTGGATAGGCAGCCAAGAGCATGTCTGCCTCATCTCGGGCGTATCCAAGTTTTGGGAATCTCAAGTCAAGAAGGCGGCGGGTGCAGGCAATGGCTCTGCCCTTTTCAACGGACCACAGCCTGTCAAAATGTCAAAACTGCAAGACCTTTCCACTGGGCTTCTGGGGGAACGCTGCTGTGGCATCGATCTCATCACCTCGGCAGCTACGTCGCAGCCCGAAGTCCTCCTTCGCGGTGAGACTCGCATCGTCTTCGTCCACGAAACCGCCGACGCTGGTAAGAAGTCCCTCACGACGAAACGCCGACTGTTCTCCGCAGGCCACAAGTCCAGTGCCATCATTGTGCACGGTGGCAACACGAACCGAACCCCAAGCGCTTCGTTCAACCTCAGCACCGTCAAGCCTGGCACGCTCCGCCAGCGTCCTACGATTCTCGACAAGAACGACCACAGCAAGACCGCCGACTCGCTCTTCGCCCCACGACAGAACCTTGGGTTCGGGTTTGGGAGTACCCTCGACAAGGCGGCTGATTATGAGGACGGCGACGAGGACATGCTCGACATTGCGGGCATCGACCAGGCCCTGGACGGGATGAACGGACGAACGGGCGGGAAGAAGAGAGTGCTTTTTGAGGAGGACTAACTTGCAGGATCACGTTGTACGATATACCCCTACGACTGAAATGAGCTTTTCCCAGGCTGGCGACGGAAGCAGCCTCTGTCCATACCGGCCATGTGCCCTGTGATGAATTACGTGAACATGTTTTCTTTTTCTCTTCCGCACGGCAAGGTGGAGCGCAAGGCGAGATCCATCCTTGACTGCTCTGTATTCCGAGCGGTATATCAACATTACTGTCAGCTATCTGAGTCGGGGAGGGTTACGGGACGGGAAGCACCTTTCTTTGGGAGGTTTGCTTGACTCATTCTATGGCTGGCCAGACTATATTCTGTTATCCATTGCTGTTTAACCAGCTGGCGATCCCTTTCGGGTTGACTATCTGGCGACGATCGCAATGGGGGATATGCGCGCTGGTTGGCATATGGGATTGCTGATACATTGTGAATGTCCTTATATGAAATGTAGTGCTGTGGGATATCTAGATGCTCGTATGTGGTCAGAAATGCCGATGCTATACATGTTGGCTGCACGGTCCTGATGTCTCCTTTTTTTTTGCTCGACTCTTTTGCACCATGACAGTCCTCTTGATACGCTCCTCGCCGCCGTCTTCGTCAGACCTATTTGGTGTCGCTGTTCTCATCACTGCTGATGACAGTCCGGCCTCGTTGGACAGATGACGATGACCGAGCCACCGCTTGCACCAGTATGCTCTGTGTTCCCGAAGCCGAAACGTGCCTCGAGATTTTGGCAGGACGGTTCGATCCCCCTGTTGACGGTAGTGGACGTTTGCCATTCGCATCGCGGGATGAGCTCGGTGACCTAGACCTGATTAAGCCCGCGCTTGCCTGATGATCAAGTCGACCCATGCTGTTATGTGTTCTCGGCCCTGAAGCTGGTGGTGACATCGCCCGCGGTATCCTTGGTGGTGGTGTGCTGGCCTCCCCTTGTAGGCTCGATTGAGAGGTTAAAGGAGTGTCGGTGTACGCATTGGATGGCCGAGCCAGGGTATCCTCCAGATGGTCGTCGTCAGTGCTCGAGTCAGTGCTCGAGTTAGTGGACTCCCCAATGCTACTCGCAGAGGCGGAGGTGACCGAGTTGGCAGTTTCAAAAGGTGTCTCTTGGATCGCTGCCTGCGGCAGGTCGTTGTCTCCATTGACACCCAATGTCTTCTCATATGCGTCACGAAAGGCCAGGCCCCATGCCACCGCGACCTCCCTCGCCACACTATTACCAACAATTTTATACTGGTTGACCAGCTCGCCAAGGAGGACATCCTCGTCTGGAAAGCCTTGCGCACGTCGGGCTTCCATCAAGCTAAGCATTCTGGGCTCCTGAGAGTGAATGGCCCGGCCCGCCTTTGCGTCCCCAACGTTAAGCTTGGTAACGACGGTCTCGATAAGCTTTGTCGGGTCTTGCCTTCCATAGGCCGACGACACGCGCGCTGTGCGGCTCATACGGCCTTCACCCCTATCTGCTGGAAAATGGCGGTGTCTGTCGGTAACTGTTAAGACCCCAGAGCCAGGCGCGCCCTTTTTTGTGATACCGTACCAAGCTTTGGCGAAATCCATTCCATACGGTAGCGTCGGGATGCTGTTAATCTTATGCTGGAGATTGCTTGTTTGCCCGACTGTCCGATGATCAGGAAATGGAACGCAAATATCAGGCTTCGCATCCCAGATATATGGCAAGTCGGCCGTGGCCTCGGCGGCTGGTATATGAGTGAACGGCGTGGCTTTTAGCATAGAACGCGTAACCATAGGATCACCGGTGGGGAGCTTTCCAACACTCCCAGGCCTCGTACCCGGTGGGTGTAAGTGAGTTTGCTGAGGGGGTGTAGGGAGTGTGTAGCCTGGTGCTGCGAATGCTACGAAGATGCGCGAGCGTCTCTGCGGCGAGCCGAGGGAGCAGGCATCGATGTAACACAACTGAATCTGGTATCCGAGGCCTACTAAGGCACATGCGAGCTGGCTGAAGACATCGTCGGCTTTTTTCTCCTTTTTCTGGACGATACTGGGTACGTTTTCTAACAGACCGTACTTGGGGCGGTAGAGATCGATAAAAGAAGCAAAGGCAGCGATGAGCGACTGGTTTTTCCGTTGCTTTGTAGTAGTCTTGTCATTTGTGAGTCGCGAAAAGCCAGGGCATGGACTTCCAGCCGAGATAAAGTCAACAGACCCGGGCCTAGGTACGGACTTTGAGAATCGCCCCATAGCAGCGAGACGATAAAGATCGTCTATTGAACCAAGGAAAGGATGTATGTTATCTTTTGGGTCCACATTAGCCATATATGTGTGGACGGCTTTGGTGTCAAAGTCATTGATGTACTGCATCTGGATGGCCCCCCCGTCTTCGAGGCCACGGCCAAAGTTACCACCTCCACAGAAGAGATCGAGACCGCGAAGTTTGGGGAAGCTAGTAGCTACGCCTGGGTCGAAGCCTTGGTGGAGCGATAGTGGAAATGGGGCGCATAATGGCCGGATCGAGCCGTCTTGCGATATTTTGTGGGTGATATAGAACAAAGAACCCACTCCTGCTCGGTCGTATGGGCTCGATATCGGGCTCCTGTGGTCGAAGAAGCGGACAGAGCAGCTGCCTGTAATATCCCTATCCCGAACATCGAGAACCTGCTCGGAGTAAAGAAGCTCGTTCTTTGGGGCGCGAGAATTGGGCTGTACATGCGCTCGTCGTAACAGACGACGGACTTTATATTTAATACCAGCCGGTCCATGGAGTGCAATGATCTCGCAGGGTTCCGAGACCTGACTGCTCTTGTCGGTGTGCACGAGGACTGTATTGCCTCTCGTATACGGTAGAGACTCGGTGGTATTCTGAACATGCTCCCAAAATAGATGAGCTCGCTGTAATGAAATCCACTTCCGCTCCTCGTGGATATATGTCTGGCGACAAAAGAACTCAGACCTGGTAGAAGGTGATCCGAAAAAGTCGACGTCGTGGACTCCAAGAACCTCCTCTTGTGTGATTTTCGATGTATGAGCGCAAGAACAATGGTCGGAAATGAATAGCTCGTTACTCCACGGGTACTTCATTATTCCACAGAGCGTATCCACAGGGCGATAATACCACAGCACGTCGAAGGATATACGTCCTGCCCGGTTGTGTACTTTTAATACCCGAGCGAACCAACGATCAACGTCATGGAAGTCAAGGGCTTCTTCTCTTATCCATTTTGAACCAGACTCTGACGTGTCTCTTGGTGTCGAAATGGTGTCGCCAGGCTTGATATTGTGAATCCGATCGTCTGTGGGTTCGAGTCTCTGTGACCGTTTGTCCACGTGCTGTAGCAATGGGAAGCCCCGCGAATGACTGACTTCTTTCCATAAGCACTTCGTGTGACTGCTGAAAGGCAAAGCCTTGAGAAGCTGCCCAAAAGGGAGGTGGTTGAAGAGAGCCATAATGTACGGCGTCACGAATGTGGGATGGATCGCCTGTATGTTAGCGTCCGGGCTTGGTACACGCTGATACTGTTGGAAGGTCCAAACTTCGTTCCAAAGCGTGTGTCTGTAGGTGTCTTCTTCCCCAAGTACTCCGATGGCCTCTTTGCGAATAAATTCTAAATAAGCCACGATTGATGTCCTGTAATCGTTGCTTGGATGCTGGGTTAGCCATGGAAGGGCGTTGTCTCCATGGACGCTGACAACCCACGACACAAATTGCGCCTTGAAGTCGTGAATCGTGACCAGCATTCGGTGTTCTTCCCATCGAGAGTTGATGTAATCCACAAAGTGCTTGGCAAGATCTGTAACCCAGGCGAAGGGCTCGAAGAATCGCTTATACTCCACTGCCGGTGTGTTGAGCCTGTAGTAGAGATCCTTGGATTCGCTCAAAGGGGATGTTATCCAGATTTCGTCGCGGACAGTTGACTCTAAAGTGCCATAGTTCCCTATAGGCAGAGTCGAGATAGCTACCCTCCTCACAAAGTAGCTTTCCTCTCCGAAGCTGAGCCGTCCATCGAAATAACAGGACTGCGTGTTGTGCCTTATGAGCGAGCGCATCTGCACGCCGTAGTGCTTCTCTTCAGTATATATGACAAAGTCATCCAACTGAATCTCGTGGAATTCGTCTGGGCCTAGCACAGGCCTTGCACTCCGCAGAAGGTTTTCGATGGCCGATTGTTCTGATAGTATAGGACATCCAGCTTCGAAGGGCTCGTAGTGATTGCGAGGCACTAGTAATGTCGAGGCGGGCATTTCGACTGTAAGAGTTTTGCTCAAAGGCAAGGGGGCGGCGGAGTTAGCCTTGCGCTGATGGTCGCTCTCATGGTCACTAGGCGTAGCTGGCTCCTCGACCTCGATAGAAGACATAGACTCGGTATCCGACGTGGCCGAATCTTCGAAAGTCGTATTGACTGCATCCTGAAGAAGCTTCTCAAGCAAGTCGCACGCTTGTGTCGGTTGTTGACCATGAGTGGTGTCTAGTGTTCGTATAGACAAAACTGAATCGTTGGAAGCTGGAAAGATCGTGTGGGAGTCATAATACTGGTTGGACGCTCCTGAAGACGGTGTTGGCGGATGCATCGCCGCGCTTCTGACCAGGCGGGTGCAGCAGTAGGAGTTTTGGGGGTCAGAGCTCAAAAGTGGTGAGTTGCGGAGGTCGCTAACTTGCCATAGGCAGGTGATGCAGATGATGATTGCAAATAAATGCTGGGGGAAAAATCATCGTCAGTCAATGGCGAGGAGTGGTTGAGGTTGCGAAGGCGTCTGTTCATCCTCATCTCCGCCTCAGATGTGTTAAGCCCATCCACATGAGCCTATCCACATGAGAACTAGTGAATGGGTGAGTGAATCGAGAGACGGCTCAGATTTGGAAATCATGTATTCGACTCGTGCTTCTCCCAGTTGCGGTCTTTTTTTCTTCTCGGCAGCTGGTGGTTGAGAAAGCTGGAAAAAAGGCAAAAAGTTTGCTAGCTTTATATGTGGCTCGCATAGGCTCGTAGCGAGGTTGGGAAGTTGCTCCTGAAGTCCCGAGTCCTAATAACTCCTGCCACCTGAGAAGTTCACCGCTGCTGCTGAAAAGGGTTTGGCGTGAGAACGAGATGCAGCCTTGTCACGCGTCACGCTGTACTTGTAGATCAGATGCAACAAGCAGCCACGCATGACTTAGTGACCCGGAGTGAGTAAGGTATGCGTATAATAGACATCTTCTTTTCTTGCGTTGTTGGAAATCTCAAGGCTGCTGAAGTTCTGAACCATGTCTCATGGGGCCAGTCTAAGTTCGTGCCTGGATCCGCCTCCACGAGCTGTCCTACCTACCCTGAATATCTCACGTGTAAGCTGGAGGTCTTCGCAATTAGGTAGGTTAAAGGTGGGAAGATAATTCCGTGAGTAGTTGCGAATATATATGAAATTCGGTGTTCAATGGAAGTGTTTTCGATGAGAGGTTTGTTATGTCAAATTCGTGTCATGTTGTTGGCAGCACGGACGGTCCAACGCTCAAACAAGGAGGAATAGTTTTCACAAGCAAACACAATCAATACCCGAGTGGAAGAGACCTTGTATTTCAAAATGAATCTGGCTTGTGTACAAAGAGTGGGAAGCAAATTGAGGTAACAATTATAACCTGCTTGATGCAACCTTTAAGACGACGGCGCTTTGGAGTCGAGTTGGCACATCTCACACGATACACTGCTGCCGCGTGGACATAGCAATGGAAGGAATCTATGGATTTATAACGTGGACTTGAACAGGGAGCCTGCCCGTGCCGGCTCGGTCCGGGCGCTCATGGGATATTGCTCACCAGCAATTGTCGAAGGATCTGACTCAAGGGCTGTTTCATATGATGCCGACGTCAAGATCCAAGATCCCGAGAATCCTACTTGATCTAGGCAGAATACCAATAGTTGCAGCCCCTGGATCGTCATGAACAATTGCCGGGTTCAGTGGAAGGAGCTCAAACTATCCACGGCGACAGCGTCCATGCGTATTGCTCCTCTCCGTGGCCGGCCAAGGGCAGGGAGACTAGAAGACGATGACCGTCTACAGAAGACACAGACTTGCACCGTTCAGGACAGAAGCCACATCCTCTCACCACAGTCTCCAATAGCTATTCAACGCCAAAGATAACAACCCACAATCCTCAACATGCAGTTCACGCTTCTCATTCTCCTTTCCCTTGCCGCTCTAGGCATGGCCCAGCCTGCCGACGTGTGAGTTCACCTACTCGAAACACCAGCTGGGCTCATCACTGACAAGTTGTAGCTAGGCTCGCCAGTGTGCTCGTTTCTGGCCTGGACCCATCAGCAACTGCCAGGCGAACTGTGACGCTAGTTGCTTGTCTGCCAACAATGGATCGGAGGATGGCTTCTCTTGCGTCTGCTAGGCTCATCATTAGGATTGTGAAGTGGTGAAGTCGGATCTTACACTCCTCGAGCAAGGGCCTCATACAATACAAGTCCATGCTCCCTGGGCAGATTGTTACGCAACGCTTCGACTCCGTGAATGTGTGATGCTGTGTTCAATTGCCTATCTTCTCCTCCGAAACCGGCTATTCTGCCCTGGTCCACCCTTGGCGCCGCTGTTCTTCAACTTCAGTCTCTGAAAGTTGGCATGTGCCAGCTCATTGACCTTTCTAGCGGCTTTCTTCACGGTGCCCTCTTTCTTCTCCACCTTCTTCTTCTTCGCCTTCTTTCTCTTCTCGGATTCGGATTCCGACGCGGAGCTGACAATGTCCCCAAAGTCCTCGTCGCCTTCGTTGAGTTGGGTCTTTGGAACGACTTCCTCATCGTCCTCGTCGATACCCACGGTCGTGACTGGTGCCGTGGGTCGCTTGTTCCATGTCGGCTTGATGTTGACCTTTCTGGTCGTTCTCTTCTGCCCCTTCTTCTTGAATAACCTCATGGGCTGCCCTTGCCGATCTTTGCCCTCGTGTCCATCGCTTTCGGAGACATCCACGTCATCAAAACCGCCAAGTGGGAGATTGTGCGCTTGGCTGTCCCCAACAAGTATGTCATCCGGTGCTGGCTTAGGTTTCGCGACTGGTCTTGGCTGGCCCGAGTCCTCTGCCTCCATATCCCGCAACGCCTCCAAGTCCTCGTCGGCCTTGTCCTCTTCCACTTTTCGTAGACTTGCCACTATCTCACTGAGGCCTCTGCCAAACTGTTTTCGCGGCAGCCTCAATGGCGCTACTCTGTCGATCTCACCATTCTCGTCCACGGTAGAAAGGGTGTGTCGTCGAAGGAATTGAGGCGTGTCGAAATGGAGTTTCGAGGGAGTCGCTGCGGTATTCTGAAGGTCGCCGCCCGGTTTCACTGGTGAAACGAACGTATTGAGATACTTTCGTTTGCTGTCTGACATCGGTGTCCTTCCCATCCGTGGTGTGACAGCGAGATCCAAACTCGAGGTCGTCTTGCTAGGCGTGGCGTATATCTTGCTTTTGCTGGTTGTGCTGTGCACCTTGTCCTTGGAAGGCGTTTGTGCATCATCGCCGAGCAAGTCGAAAAGCCCAAGCACCTTGCCATCTCGTTGCGGTGTAGGGCCTAATGATGTAACAGCCGTTGGACTGAACAGCTTTCTTGATATGGTCGGTGTCTGCTCCAGTTGCACATCCAAAACACGCGATTTTGACGGAGTTTCAGTGTGTCGCGTTCGCTTGGATGGAGTGCCCACTGGTACGCTGTTGCTTGTTGACTTTCGTTTTCGGCCTTGATCTTTGGCTGGCGGTGATATCTTGCCATCGAGTATGTTGCGGTATCGTTGATATTGGCGGTATTTGTCGGCTGGATGTGTTAGAGAACCGTGCAAATCATGGTGACGCAGGCAGCATACCGATCTCGGGGTTGCTCTTGATGTCCTCACGACCTGGCTTCTTCCCGTGCTTCTCCAACCATTGGGTCTCCCACGTCTTCAAATCCAGCCGCACATTCTTGGCCTTAACATCGTACTCGGTTCGGCTTTCCTCGTCCATGATGGCAGTGTCTCATCAATGGAGCGTTTCTCCACGTTGAAATAGGATAGTGAGGAGTCGCCAATGATAAGCGAAGTGCGATACTGGAAGATAATATGGGTTTCGAGATTTGATGCGGGACGGCGCGCTGCGACGCGTCGGATTTGACAGACGGACGCGCCTGCCCGTTAAGCATGGCTGAGGCCCCACCATACGTCATGCGCTAAGGCCGCCTTGGCGGGCAGAACCTCTAAATCGCGACTGGGCGCAGAACTTGTCCATCATTATTCATCAACAGACATGAACCACGAGGACGACGATCAAAACTGGAAGTCACGAGCCCTTGCCGCCGCAGTCTACAGTTACGAAAAGCCCGAAACGAAGAGCGAGGGATGCGTTATATGTCTGCGGGATGAGGTGGTCGATCCCTGTACCGTGCAGCCATGTGGTCACAGATTGGGATGCTGGGAATGCGTGCTGAAGGGGATTAACCTCTTGGGGCACTGCTGGCTATGCCGCACGAAGGTTCTAAGTCTAATTTGCGAGCGGACAGGCGAGGTCGTCCCCAGTGATCATCTCGGACGCGAAAGCCAGAATGCAGCACCTGACCACGACGTGCCAGCAGAGGCCATCGCGATCACGACGAACCTCGAGCGACAGCAGATTGAGCAACGTCAAGCAGTCTACCGCCATGCCATGTACTCAAAGCACATAGGCTCGACCCGTCGTACGGGATATCGTGAATTGACGCCGCAAGATTTCCTTCGCGACCCGTCTCTCGTTTCCCGCGCGCGCATGTTTATCCGCCGCGAGTTGCATGTGTTCACCTTGCAGCAGCCTTCAAGAAGCATATGCAGAGCGGCGAGGGCAAACATGGCGCGACGGCGGGCGCAGAATGCCGAATTCTTACTCGAGTACATCATTGCGATCCTCAAGACAGTCGACATGATGGGCTGGGCTGGCGAGGCTGAGAAAATGATTGGCGAGTATCTGGGCCGTCAGCATGCGAAGCTCTTTCTGCATGAGCTGCGTTCGTGGCTCAGAAGCCCATATCAGCGACTTGATGAGTGGGACGCGGTCGTGCAGTATGCTCGACACGCACCCGAAGAAGTCTCACGCAAAGAGGCGCTTGGCGAGGACGCTGAAGAGGTCCCTTTCGGTGCAGATGGGGACGGAAAGCCATATGTGTCAAGACGTGCGCGTGAGGGTGACTGCTATCGTCCTCGATACAGCGACAGGAAGGCTGGTCGGCCTGGCCGTTCCAAATGATCTGACTGACCTGGAGAACTACAATACCATTTATGACTGCGTACGATAGACGATGAGATACCCTGAAAATAATTAAACCTTCTTCTGCCTCACATGCCTACAGGTAGTCAAGTAGTGGATGCGCCTCTAATATCTTCATCGACTGGAGTGAGACGGTTCACACCGTGCGACCCCACGTTGCGTAGCCCAGCCCAAAACATCGCGGGGGGGGGGGGGGCGCAGCTCGCCGACGCGGTTTGTTCTCTTTGAGAATCCCATTCTCTACTACGTACGATTCGTACGACAGACTTTAGTGTCCCGCCAATACTTTCCGCCAGAATTGCTGGTTTCTGAACCTTCACTGAAGACACTGTTTCGTTTCCGCTCTCAACGTTGCGCGTGACGCGTCCAGCCAAGATGTCGGTCCTCGGCTCGCATCTCGACCAAATGTCTGTTTGCTGCCAGGGCATCGACAGTCTCCCGTGCGTATCATCTAGCTTGACCTGGCCACTTCTCTGATTTGTCTAGGTTCCCACCCCCCAAGATCTTCACCGCCGCTCTACTCTCCTCACACGACATCACTTCCCTCATCCGCGACACAGAGTCCCACGAACGAGCACTCTTCTCGGTGCCACCTCCACCTCCGCCGCCCACAAGCCTTCCCAAAGCCAAGACAGACGATGAACCTAGTAGCAAGCGTCGTCGTACGGTGTTCAATGTGGCGCAGGGCGAAGTCACCACCGGACCCCCCAATGCGAACAGGAGGAAGCACACCGCCGTGGCCGCCGTCCTGGGTGGTGAAATGACAGAGAGCCTGCAACGGGGCAAGAGCGAGGTCGATGTGGAGGTTCTCCTCAAAGGTGCTGAGAAGCTATGCAGCGTCTACGAAATGCCTGGCGCGCGAGACCGCATTAACGAGCTGCGCGGACGGTACAGAGCTGGCAAGGGCACACTGGGCTACTACGAGGGCAGGGTAGCAGAACAGGCAGCGCAGCTGGCAGAGTACAAACATGACTGGATGGATGACGACGAAGAAGAAGAACAAGGGGCTGATAATGATGTGTGGACCGAGGACGATCTGCGACGAGAGGAAGAAGAAGCGCGGGAGCTGGAGGGCAAGAAAAGGGAGCTGCAACGGCGACTGAAAACCATGGAGAAGGATCTCGGCGGTTTAATGAGCATTTGAAGAAAAAAAATGACTTCGTTTCTCTACGACGACTGCGCCTTCTTCAGGGTATCGACAAAGACAGACAGGTCCTGCGCGCCGTTGATCTCCCACTTGTCGTTGATCACAAAGTGCGGCACACCGCGTACGCCACGCTCATAGGCATCCTCCACCTCCCGATCGACCTCGGCCGCGCCTTTGCCTTCCGACAACCACGTCCGGGTCTCCTCCTTGTCGAGTCCGCCCTGGACAGCGGCGCGGGTGAGATCCTCTGCCGAGGTGATGTCGCCACCCTCCTCAAAATACATCTTCATAATCTCGCTCATCACCTCATTCTCGACGTTCTTCTGTTTCGCGAGCTGGATGACGCGATGCGAGTCCCTTGTGTGGCCCATTCGACCCTCGAAGGAGAAATTCAGACCCAGCTCCTGTCCCATGGTCTTGATGCGGTCCTGCACCATTCTGACTCTGTTCTCATCGCCAAATTTGCGGACGAGGATATCCATAGCAGGCTCCGACTGGGTGGAGGCATGTGGGTTCAGGTGGTATGCTTGCCATGAGATGCTGGCCGCCGGCGAGTCGAGTGTCTTGAGCGCTTGTAGGAGACGCGCATAGCCGAGGTAGCAGAAGGGGCAGACAGTGTCTGAGATGATGTTGATCTTGAGGGATGCGGGCGTGGTTGAGGGCATTTTGAAAGACCTGAAGAGCGAATTCATTTAGCTGTTGAGTTTTGAGAGTGAAAAAAAGGATGTGGCAAGGTGCTTGAAAGCGTCGTTTGGTTGACTCCGGTGGGATGTGTAATGGGGTTTGTCGATGCTTAGAAATCATCACCATGTCACTATCGCCGGTGGCATATATGAGTGGACTAGTCCCACTTTGAGAAACGGAAAAAGCCATTGCTCCAAAATCATCCCGTAGATGCTCATATATCCCCATCTATCATAATGCCAGAGTCGTACACGCTATGCTATGCAAATGCCCTCAATCATCGCGCGTACAGATCCCTCTGTCTCTATCCGTAGAAGAACCCAAGTGAAAAATGGAGCGGCGGGCCATGCGAATGCCAGATTCCCCCAGGGCCTCGCACGCACACTCCGTCTATGCAATCTCTCGCCAATTTTTTGTTTGTTTGTCCTTCCTTCCTTCCTTCCTTCCCATAACGTCATTATCATCGTCGTGATCATCATCATCATCATCGTTTTGTCGTCTTGTCCTCCACCGTGAACGTAAAGTCGTAGCTCGACTCCACCTCCGAGACCTCCATCTCCCAGAAGTACGGCAGCTCCTGCGCCAACTTCCGGCCCGCCTTGGCGCGGATGACCCATTCGTCTTCACTCGAGTTGGGCTCCTCCAGCTCGACAATCTTCTGCGGCGGGTCGTGGAAGAGGAGACTGCTGCGGTGCAGGCGTTTCCGGAAGCGGCGAGCGCTGGAGCCGACGTCGTTGACGTCGAGGAATTCGTCGTCGCTGTCGTCCGACAACTCGCTGTGCGTGCGTTTGCCGACGCTGCTGGACATGCTCACCCGACGGAGGCGACGCATATGCTCCTGGTGGCGCTCAAAGGCAGCGCGCTCGGGATCGAGATCCGCCGTGCATGCATCGTCGTCGTCCGAGTTCAAGTCATCCGAGTCCTCCTCCGAGTCCTCGTCAGAGGAAGACGGCGATGCCACGGCTGTTGTGCGGTTGAGTCTCGACGGAGGCGGCCGGCCGATATCTGGCGGATCCCTTTGTATTGAGGGCGTTCCGGCTCGCGAAGCCTCGATTTCATAAGGAAAGAGTACCTCGAGCGCAGGGCTGCCTGGGTCCATCGGGTCCATGTCTTCGACCACTTGTATGTCCCAGACCACGGCAGATGTCTTTGCTGATGCAGTCTGCTTCGTCGGATCCATGGCACTTGGGTCATCGTCGTCTCGTTGGTCCTCATCGTCCTCCTCATCTTCATCGGATTCCTCCTCTTCAGAATCCGATTGACTTTGTTTCCTCAAGAAGATCTCATATCTTGAGCGATTGAGTTCCATTGGCATGTTTTGCCCCAAACTGTCTTGTTCATCCTCGTCTTCCTCATCTTCCTCGTCGTCCTCCACCTCTTCATCCGAGCTATCTATAGCCTGCGACGAATCTGAAGACGAGTCCCGAGGACTGAGTTGCGCCGGCCCTATTGACGGCCTGTAGCTGAATTGGTGCCCGTCGCCTACAGGCCGAATATGGGGATCGTCGGCCAACGCGGCAAAAGGCGGCTGGTGTCGCGGTTTGAGGCTGCTTTTGCGGGAGAATGGGGAAAATCTGGTGGGCGTCTCGGGTGGTGATGCAGGATCGGCGGTGTGGAAGCTCCCGGCCTGCTGGAGGTTCGGCGTCGACGGCCGCCGGCGGAGGCGTCTGCTCCGTGGCATCGTAATGACCGTGAACCAGTCGACGTCTGACGAAAAAGGAAAAAATTCTGTCTGGCTTGGTGTTTGTGCCTCAGAATGTGCGGGCTTTTGGTGTGACGGGGCTGTTTGTGGGTGCGACACGAGCCTGTTGTGCTGTCGTTGTACAGCGACGCTCTACCGGATTGAATGAATGCTCGAATGGATCTCGCTTCCTAAAGCCGATCTAAGGACCGCAAGAGAAGAGCCGGAGCCTAGACGGGAGCGATGGGTAATGGTGGCGCGTGTGGGGTAGAGACGGCCAGGGATGGTCGTGTGTGAGCGATAGGAAGTGTGTGTCCAGAGTGAGACACCCAGCTCCAGGTGAGATGGCGCCGACGATAAATATGCGACACCGGGATTGCGATGATTGAAGGAGGGAAGAAAAAAGGCAGAAGAGGCTGCTGGTACGTATCGTGGCCCACGGGGTCACAAGGGAAAAATCGACGTGTGAGCCTTATGCAAGGCAATTGAAGGTACAGGTACAATGTACCAGGTCCAACGTTTGGTTGACAAGGTACTGTAAGTACAGTACTAATTAGTCGAGGCAATTAGACACTGCTGATACCAGACTGCTGGTGATTGTGGTGGCGGTGGTAGTAGGTAGTGGTGGCGGCGCTGCTGCTGCTATCGGCAGTAAGCCAGAGCCGTAAATAACGTGTCTACCTCTTTATCGCCAACAGAGCATCGCAGGATGCAGCAGCGCTGCAGCCAGACGTGGTTTTTTGCTTACTGCTGTTGAATATGCAGGCAGCTCGAGCGGTGGGTCAGTCAGTCGTCGGTCGGCCGGACTGGGACTGGAGGGAGCTGGAGCTGCAGTCGACGATGGCTCGCTCTCTCGTTCGCTCGCCTGTTTTACTTGAATGATGCTGCTGATCCGGCTGATTGTGTCCTTGGTGAATGATTCTGAGGAAATTGGGTCAGGGCACCGAGGTCCGGGTATGGAAACTCCAGCCAGGAGTGGTCAATGTGCGTCTCTGCGTGCTTATTGGGGTCATCATAGAATAGAGCATAAAAATGATCGTGAGGGGTCGCTGCTCGTCGGGCACGTCGCTGGGTGGGTTCGTTCGCGCGGACAGTGGCCGTGCGTGGCTGAAGTTCTGATGAACAGCACGTAGGTAGGTAGCCGTCTCGAGTCCTTGGAGTGATACCCTGGAATCGGACGCTGGCCAGAATGAACGCCGCCGCTTCAGATCCCGCTGACGAGAGCAAGGAAGCAAAGGTGAGGCGAGTGGTGAGAGATGACAACTCCAGAATCTGAGGCGCCAGTGGAAAGCTGACGTGACTTCAATCGCTCAGCGCTGTGCTACGTACTTGCAGCAAAGCCGTAATTATCCCGGTCCTGGCCGCAAGAGATGCAAGGAGATGCCTGTCTCGCTGCTGCGATGGGCAGGCTAGACTAGGATGGCAGAGGGTGCAACGCCGTCTTCAGCTGCTGCTGTTTCTCATCGATCAACGCTCAATCAATCAGTCAATCCAATCGCTGCTCGCCCGCCTTGCCGATCTATCGGATCGATCAAGCTGACAAAACGACACACAAAGTTCCCAACACGTAGTTGCCGTGTCGCTGGACCAAGCTGTCTGCTGTGCGGCTTCTTGTTGTTGTCAATGTGAGTCGTGCGCAGGCAGTTGATGAGTGTCGTGGGACTCGTGGGTACCTCGACGACTGGCGGTGTATCTTGCGCGCTTTGCCCAAAAGTACGTACCCCGTCGGTACCTGATCAGTGAGATGAATGATTAATAGTACACAGTCTGCTCCGGCAACGATGAAACCGATGCGGAAATGAGAATGCCTGCTGTGCTGACTTGTTAAAGACAGATTGGATGGACTTGCATCAGACAACCAGCTTGTGGTGTTTCAAGCTTCACCGTCCAGGACAACTGGCGGTCCGCCTGTTTTAATACACATCATGAGGACACTCTCTCATGTACGCTGTGCTAGCCGAAAAGCATGCTGGGCGTCATGCCGGCCCTGCTCGACACCTCGACTTGCCTGCATGAGCCTAACCGTCCAACGTTCCGAGCCACCTACTGCGTGGCCTACATTGTTGTGGTCCTATTATCGCGTGGGGTTCGCTGTGGCACCTGTCAGTGCCCAGCGTCAAGTACCTATCCGTAGTTTGGGCATCAATAGCGGGCTGCAGAGATCGACCAGGAAGCATGTCGAAAATACTGTAGAGAATACTTCCATGGGCTCCAGCCGGATCGCCGTCGAAATCTGCGCGTGGCCAGGTCCGTAGGACGAATGATGGCCCTGCCAATCTCCAAACGACAGTGTGACTCAGGTCAACAGACCAGCTGCCCGCCAACTATGAGCAATATTATAGGGCATCATGTTGATGAGCAGCTTTGTATAATTCCCAGCAGCTCAGATGACTCTTCACCAAGTATTTGTCCTCATTTGCTCTATCGGATGCGCGCATGTGGGCATCTCACAGACGGCCAATGATTGAAGGATCCTGATTCTTGATGCCCAGCTGGCTGGAGCAGACTTGGCCGGGCCTTAGTTGATGAGTACGTATCTTACACTTGAATCGCGGATAATCAGAAGCATTCGAGCTGAACGGGAATTTCAATGATTGCCTGGTGGTGTAATTCAGACGCACGTGTGAACAGCTTGTGTGCACAACTTGAAAGGATCTTGGCTTCCGGCAAGTGCCCAACGGGAGATGACCGGATAAACCTGGCTCCGACTACCGCTCTCCAGTTTCGCCGACGGTTGATCCACAATTTTCCTCAACTTACTCAGCAGCCGCCGCGATCCGCGTGCATGGTCGCAACGACGCATCGTGCTGCCATCACGCGCAGCAGCAGCGGTACCGGAATTCATCAAGGCCACCTATCGCAACCATCCGAGGTCACTCTCTGAACTTTGCGGATTGTATTCGACCAACGTACACAACCCGAGCCCACCCTCTTCGACCGCAACCGCCGACTCACATCGCGAGTCTAACATCATGAACCAAGGCCAGGGCCAGATGCCCGTGCAGGGCCAGGGTCAAGGTCAAGGTCAAGGCCAAGGCCAAGCACAACAGCAAGGACAGCAAGGGCAAAACCAACAGCAGAAGATGCAGCTCATTCAGCCCCAGCATATTCGCAACCTAGCCATTCTGTCCGAGGAGGAAAAGGCCAAGTATGTCACAGGCTTGGAAGGGCTCTGGAACAAGGTGAAGAGCACGCCACCAGGCAGCGCGGAACACAAGGCAGCAACGGATAAGATTCACGCGTTCAGTCAAATGCTTCGAAGCAAGGTTGCCCAACGTCAGCATATGACACAGCACCGCCAGGCCATGCAACAGCAACAGCAGCAGAATCAAAGCCAGAATGGCCAGCAGCAGCAAGGCCAACCACAGGCGCAAGCCCAGCAACAACGATTGCAACAAGGTCAGGGTCAGCCCCAACAGCAGGCGCCTCAGCAACAACAGACTCCGATCCCACGCCCACCCTCAGCGCCTCAAAGAGCTCCCTCCCAGGCTTCTCCGCCACCTCCTCAACCTCAGCAACAAGCGCAAGGAGGAGCCACGCCCCGACAGATGCCAGCTCAACCCTCACAGGGACAAGGCGCCCCACAGCAACAACAGCAGGAGCAACAGGCACCGTCAATGCGACCCCAGAGCGAACAGATGAACCAACATGTAGACACGCTCAAATTTCGACTCCCGGCTGAGCTGCAAGGCAAGTCTGCTGAGGAGATAGCAAGATGGACTGAGCCCAAGAGAGAACAATACCGACACAAGCTCGCCATGCTTGAGATGTATAACCTACGTATCAAGAGGGCCGAGCTGCAGTTGACCCAACGCCAACAAGCAGGGACCATGACTGAAGATGATCAGAAAAACCTGACCCAGATGAGGCAGAAGATGGCGGTTGGACGACAGGAAGTTCAGAATTGGATTGGGTCGTTTAGAAAGCAGTTCACCGATGGGCAGCAGGCTGCCCAAGCCAAGGCCATCACGACTCAACAACAGGAGAATGGCCAAGCTGGTGCTCAGCAGCCGCCTCAGCTCGCGGCGGCGGCGGCGGCCGGCAACAGACCTTCCCCTGCAAATGGAGGCATGCCTGCGCAGCAGAACCGTGGCACGCCCAATGCTGCGCAGCAAGCACAAGCCCAGCTCCAAGCGCAGCGAGCCGAGCAGTCTAACGGTGCTGCCAACGGAGCTGCTGCCGCTGCGCGTCCACAGCAAGCCCAGGCTGGTCGTGGACAGGCTGCAGGTGGCGGACCGCCGCCCAACCCAACTCGAGGGCTCAGTCACTCACACGCGAACACGCTCGCCAACGAGCACGCTGCCGCGCAGTCACAGTCGCAGTCACAGGGCCAGCAACAGACGCAGCAGACAGCACAGAAAGCAGGCACTCCTGCCACACCACAGAACGGCGCCACCCCGCAGCAGCAGCAGCAGCAGCAGCAACCACCACAGCAGCAAGCATCGCAACCCCAAGCCCAGCAAGCCCAGCAGCCGCCTCAGCAAGCTCATGCGCATCCACATGCCCCACAGGTGCCAGGAACAATGCACTCCAAGATGCCCATCCCGAAGCAACTACCAGAGAAGGCCATGGCTGTTCCTCAAGGTGTTGTGGTGGGCGGAGGTGTCAAGGGAAACAGGCCGACCATGAACCAGGGCAGCGGGATCATGGGACCTGCGATGCACCAGCCTGTGGTTCAGAAGATCCCGGCGTACAACAACGAAGCGGAGGGGGATCGCGTGCTCAGCAAGAAGAAGCTGGACGAGCTTGTGCGCCAGGTCTGTGGCGGTGTCTCGGACGGTCAGGAGAGCAATGTCCTGACGCCTGAGGTTGAGGAGGTAAGCTCGTGGAAGATACCTGGATTTTTCGATGATGCTAATAGCGAGCAGAGCGTCCTCACAATGGCCGACTCATTTGTGGATAACGTCCTCCATGCAGCCTGCCGCAATGCCAAGGAACGTGGCTCCAAAGTTCTCGAGATTAGAGACATTCAGCTTGTGCTCGAGAGGACCTACAACATCCGGGTTCCCGGCTACTCCTCTGACGAGCTCCGAACCGTGCGCAAGGTGCAGCCCGCGCCCGGTTGGATCAACAAGATGAGCGCTGTCCAGGCAGCCAAGGTCATGCCAGGAAAGGGGGAGTAATGGACATTGTTTTACACTGCGTAGGGTCGGCGTTCATGGACGGCATAGTATTCTTTCCTTTGCAAGGCGCAAGGTCAAAACGGCGGTTGATTGGAGTTTGGTGCACTCACATTGCGCATACCCGACTTTTGCAATGAATGTCATATGGTTCAACCAGTGTCTCCGTTCGCCTGTGAGATCTTGTGCGTGCGTAGTAATATTGTGAGATGCTATTGATATCGCGGTAATTCCACTTGTACCGATTGGGAACCGCTGAACAGCTCAAGGCAGAACTGGGAAAACGTCACCGCACGTAGACGTAGAACCCCACAGCGCGCCCGGTGCACAGCACAAATCCTCCAGCACAAGTCTGCATAACAGTGGTCCCGGGTACCTCCACCGCGCACCTAAACTGTGTGTAACAACAAGTACCACTACTATTGCCCTTCAGCTCGCCTGACTGACCGAATGCTTGCTGGTCCTCCAAGCTCGAACCTTCTCCCACGCTCAAACAACGACTGCACCTTGACGCCGAAACCGCCTAACGACGTCAACACAACTGTCGACGCCGATTATCGCACGTCTCAAGCTTCGCGCACGCCTCATCAAGCTACCGATTTCATCAAAAGTACCGACGTGCCAATTCGAGGACGCGTTTACCCGGCGATCTTGACACTTTTGTCATCATCATCATCAATCATCATCCAAGTGATAAGCCTCGACAGCCTACAGATCTACGCCATTACAGGCCGCCGCGATGCCCGGCAAAGCACCCCCCAAAAGTGACAAGGATGCCAAGGGCGTCAGCAAGGGCAAGAAGGGCGGCAAAGATGCTGACGAGGAGATGACCGTCGTGGTGCCTCCCTCGAAGAAGCAGGCACAAGCCGCTGATGGCGATGGCGACGTCGAGATGGGCGGCGAAGAAGACAAGGTCGAGGAAGTTGATCCAGCCGTGCAGGCTGTCACTGGTGCGTGCTTTTCCCAGGATGAACCGGCAGCTGGAAGTTGACTGACCTCGCCCAGACATCAAGAGCAACTTTGCGCTACTGGACCGTGCAGTCGCTCTCTTCGACCCACGCTTCTCGTTGCGCGCACTCCGCTCCATCTCGCTCATCCGCAAGCGACTGACGCCCGACATCATCGCCCAAGCCATCGCCGACAGCTTCCCTGCGACAGCTGCCAGCGCCAAGAGTGCCAAGGTCCTCCTTGCCGCCATCGACCGTGCAGATACACCGCTGGGCAAGTCATCGGGGTCCGAGATGGAGATTGATGGAGATGCAAAGCCCGCAACCAAGAACGGGTCCAAGAAAGAGGTCAAGGATCTTATCCCCGAGGTGGACATCTTCCTGGGCATCCTCATCCAGGTCTATCTTTTCGACTCAAAGCAGTATGCGAAGGGTGCACGGTTCTCGGAGCAGCTGACCGATCGCATCCAGTCGCTCAACCGACGCACGCTCGACAGTCTCTCGGCCAAGGTTTACTTCTATTTCCAGCTCTTTTGCGAGCACATGGCGCCCCTGCCCCCCTCGCCCGAGTCACCAATTGTAGCAGTGCGGCCTATACTACTTGCTGCCTTGCGTACGGCTGTCCTGCGCAAGGACATTGACACACAGGCGTCGGTCATTGTCCTGTTGCTGCGCAATTACCTTCTCACATCGCACATCAACCAGGCCGACTTGTTGGTGTCGCACACCCAGTTCCCTGAGAATGCCGTCAACAACCAAGTTGCTCGCTTCCTGTACTATCTCGGCCGTATCCGGGCGATCCAGCTGCGATACACGGAGGCGCACGAGCATCTGACGGCCGCCACGCGCAAGGCACCCGGGAGCAACTGCGCCCTGGGCTTCTCCCAGACCGCCACCAAGGTGCTGCTCGTTGTGGAGCTGTTGATGGGTGACATTCCCGACCGTTCGACTTTCCGTCAGGCGACCATGGAGGAGGCGCTCCACCCGTACTTCCTGCTCGTGCAAGCTGTGCGTGTGGGCGACATTGAGAACTTTGAGACGACCCTTGCCGACCACGCCGACACATTCCGCCGGGACGGCACGTACAGCCTCATCTTGCGCCTGCGCCAGAACGTCATCAAGACGGGCATCCGCATGATGTCGCTGTCGTACTCTCGCATTTCGCTTCGTGACATTTGCATCCGCCTGCACTTGGGCAGCGAAGAGTCGGCGGAATACATTGTGGCCAAGGCCATTCGCGATGGCGTGATTGAGGCTACGCTGGATCGCGAGAAGGGTTTCATGAAGAGCAAGGAAGTGGGCGACGTGTACGCCACGAGGGAGCCTGGTGAGGCTTTCCACGACCGCATCAGGGCGTGTCTTGCGCTGCACGACGAGAGTGTGAAGGTGAGAATGACCAGACATGTATCAAGACGTCTTGCTAACACCCCCAGGCTATGCGCTTCCCCATGAACCAGCACCGCCTTGAACTTAAGAATGCCCAGGAGGCGCGCGAGCGGGAGCGGGAGATGGCCAAGGAGATCCAGGAGGGCGATCTGGACGAGGACGACCTGGGTGGTGACTTTGAGGGCATGTAATGTGCTGTGTACATCTTCACCGGCTAGAGGAGACGGTCCTGTGTTAATACATCAAACAACCAAGAGCTGCATTGGGGTCCGGGTCATTTGCTAGGCACGGGTTCTCTGGGGTGGCAGGGAAGGATTGCGAATAGATGTGGTACCAACGACTAATTGCTTCACGATGCCGGTCTATTCTTGAATGTGACTCGCGCACCAACACCATGCCAGCAGAAGAGGTGAAGTGGTTGTTGGTCGTACGTAGTCCTTGGTAGTCTGTCCACGACCAAGTCGTTCTCTTTTCTGGAAGTTTCGATGCAGCCCTGTTGAAGGTCTTGCGGCATGCGTACGGCTTACGCCCTGCTGGCGACATGTAGTGTGAATCACTCAGTCTGACTGTCAATCGGGGCCTCCACCTTTCGTTCAGCCTCACATCTCAAGGCAGATCAATTGACAAACATGGCCAGTCGATCTGACTGATGTGGTAATTGTGGGTTCACGCCCTGTACATCGTACGCCCTTGTCGCTGACATGCTGCATGACCAGTCATGCATACAGCCTTGTGAGCCGCAGGACTCGTCAAGATCACAACCGTATAAGAGGAGATCCCCAATGTCCACGGTTACTTGGGCAAGACCAAAAGACAAGAGAAAAATTCCATGATGGCGACTGCAACACAGATCCAAACCTCCACCATCTCGCTGGCCAACGGCCCCTCGGATGAGGCGATACGCCTCGCGGCCCTATGCCGAGCCGCACTGAACACTCTCTACGCAGAGCTACCCGAGTTCAACCCTTCCCAGGCCTATTCACCTGATGAGATTGTCGCCCTGCCCCTCTCGACCCACCGGGTTCCCAACGAGCTCTACGCCCTCCCCCGTCGACGCTCCGCGCGCGCCAGCCTGGCCCAGGAGATTGCCGCGCTGCTGTCGCCCAGCGAATCCGACTCTCTGACGGCGATCATTCGCTATGAAGCCGAACGCGTCAAACTTCGGGGCTGGGCCGCTCTGCAGAGGGAGTTTGACCGTCTGACGGCTACGAGGAAGAACGGTCGGTCCACGCATGGCTTGTCCGGTGGTGTCTCGCCTGGCGTGCAAGCCCCTGTGTGGTCTTCACGCATCACTGCGCAGGGGCCTTGGGATCCGGCTGTGAAGCCAATCTCGTTGGATGGTGTCAAGGCGATTCCCATGCCGGTGGAAGTCGCACAAGGCGAGGATCTGAAGCCTTTCCTGGGACACCTGCGTCGCAATGGCACGGCCGACGTACCTGAAGATGACCAGGCCCACGCTCTCGAGGAGCCGTATTATAATATCCATGCTCTTGAGTTCAAAAAGGGCGTTCTGTACGATGATGGACGCATGGACCTCTGCAAGATGGTCGTGGGACCCGAGCATATCTGGTCTCTCATGTCTTCTTTGCGGCACAACACGTTCATTAAGCATTTCCTGCTGGGGAACAATGTTATCGGACCGTCTGGTGCTAATGCTATCGCCGAGTTTCTCAGGGACCACCCAGACAGGATAGAGACGTGGTATCTGGCGGGCAACTGCATTGACACAGAGGCCTTTGCCATACTGGCTGAGGAGCTTGTGAAGTCTGACAGCGTGACCAACATTTGGCTGAAGCGCAATCCTCTCGGGTCTGGAAGCGCAGGCCACCTGGCCAAGTTGGTCATTGGCACCAAGAACCTGAGGACGCTGGACTTGGACCAGACGGAGCTGGGTGACCAGGGCGTCGCAGACCTGTTCACACAGCTTGCTGCGCACAAGTCCGATGATGGCTCACCACTGCCCTTGCGAAACATCTACCTCAACGGCAGCGGTATATCCACCAAGGCCGCCACCGCCATCGGCCGGTTCCTCGCGTCCCCAGCTTGTGGGTTGACATCCCTCTACATGTCCTCCAACCCCCTTGGCGACGAGGGCATCCAGGCACTGGCAGAGGCTCTGCCTCACGCACCGCAGCTCACCCGTCTGCTCGTACAATCAGTCGGCGTCAGCACCAAAGGTGCCATTGCCTTGTGTCAGGCTGCCCGTGGCCACCCCAGCCTCCGAGTCTTGGACTTGGGACAGGCGTATACCACCGAGGATCTCGGCCAAGCGTACAACTACATCACGGATGAAGCGGTCGACGCCATCGCCGAGCTGATCCGCACCTCCAAGCTTGAGTATCTCAATCTAGGCCACGCACCCATCTCACCAGCCAAGGTCAGAACACACAATGAAGTGGTCATGGGCAGCCGCTCGCTGCTGTTCTGGAACGCAGTGTCCATACTACCGGACCCGGACCGCAAGGTCCCTACATTCAGACCATCGCGCGACCAGACGCTGACGCAGGACCCTACTCCGCCCAAGGACCATATTGAAGCTGAGAAGGCTCTGCGAGACCACTTGGCCGGCAACGTACGCGCTCGATACGGTGAGGGTGTCACGTACAATGACTTCTTGGAGGAGGAGAAGCGTTGGCTCGTCAACGACAAGGATGTGCGCAAGATTGATAGCGTCTATCGGAATCGGGAGGCGGGTATGGCTCGACGAGGGATCGCCAAGTTGGTGAAGGAGTGGGAAGAGGGTGATGGTACCTTGGAGAAGGTGAAGCACGCTGTAGGCCCTGTGTGCACTTTGCGTCGGAGAGATTGATGGTGCCATGGGTTGCGCGGCTTCATTGCTTTCTGTAGTGTTGAAGTCGAAGCGGTCTGTTGAGGGTCATCGTTGAGGCTGGTTCATGGCTGTGGGATGGATGAGGAGAAGTAGGCAGTTTGTGCCAGGACCAAACCTGAAATCATCGTAAGTATCATAGTTGAACGAACCAATGTCCACGATTTTTTGTTGTCTTTCGGCGTGGCAGTGATTGTGAATAGCTGTGGGATACAAGATCTCCTTGACCATGGTAAAGCCAGCCAGTAGAGAGGCTTACTGATGTGCATGTCGTTCGGGCCTGTCATTCGATCCATCTTCTCACTCAATCATCATATCTGCTGCTCTTCTGGTCTCAGCGGGAGTGATTGAATATCACTTGGTGACAGCGTTGATGGAAGTTGAGGTTAGGCCCGACCCAGCTTGGAGAGGCGCGACGGCGTTTTGATCCCACCTCGCGCCGCCCACCTGCGTCTGGACTTCACACAGGTCTCGCCCTATAAATCCTCAATGCAAACAGCTCCTTTTCAATTCTAAATCTCATTCTAATCTTGAAAGCGCGTACTGCGAACATAGCGACGATATTTGATTCAGAAAAAGTCCCTCGGATTCCCAAGGACACTTTACCACACGATCGAAGGCTAGGACCCCGCGACGCATCGACGCGCTGGCTGCACTCCCAACTTCTGGGCACCATCGAGCTCAATACCTTTGTCCAGACCGAGGTGCATACTTGAGGAAACTTGGCAAGGTCATTGTCTGAGTGTAATTGAGCTTCGCGTAGCTGTACAAGACCCACGATAGCGGCGCGCGTCGCCACCTGACGACCGTGTCTGCGACGACAATGCCCGCGCCCACGTCAGACCTGGTGGCGCCCGAGATCACATACCACGTCCCGTCCTCACGAAGCCACAACATGACCTCCCTCGTACGACCGCACGGCCCATCTACCTCCTCGAGTCCCCTCAAGATGGCATCGAGCCAGCGACCTGCCGAACAACCCATCCAGCCCTCCCAACGGGCCGATCGCAACATTGACAAGGTCGTGCTTGGCGATCTGGTGTTCGACACGTGGTATCCGAGCTACTATGGCAAGGAACTACTGGGGGACGTCTCAGCTATCCCGGAAGATTGGCGATCGAGTCATATTAAGAAGGATAGGGATCAACACCCCGTGCTAGATAGGCTATACGTCTGTCCTAGCTGCTTCAAGTACTCCAAAGAGCTGGTCGCATGGTGGGGACATGTGCGCGTTTGCGAGAAGAGAGAGTCCGTCCCTGGGCAGAAGATATACGTGCACCCGCGCCGTAAGCAGAAGAGCAAGGCCGCGCAGACAGAGGGCAAGGCTGCGCGATCTCGGAAATCGGAAGTACAGCCTGACGACACGGTTCACAATGAGGGCGAATGGAGCATATGGGAGGTGGATGGCGACCAGGACCGAGTAAGTTTGACCTTCATGCTGTAAGCAAGCACACACGCATGAGCTGACCGATTGCATCAGCTCTTTTGCCAGAACCTCTGCCTATTCGCAAAATTGTGGCTCGACAACAAGTCCATCTTTTTCGATGTAACAGGCTTTACCTATTTTCTCCTCGTCTACACTCCTCCGGCTGGCCCATCTGGGCAGAATGAGTCGTCTTCGGCAGTACCCCAGATCGTTGGCTTCTTCTCCAAGGAGAAGATGTCGTGGGACAATAACAATCTAGCCTGTATCCTCGTCTTTCCTCCGTGGCAGCGCAAAGGACTGGGCGGGCTCCTCATGAGCGCGAGCTACGAGATCTCGAAACGGCAGGGCGTCATTGGCGGGCCAGAGAAACCCATCTCGAATCTTGGCCAGAAGGGGTACAAGAGCTTTTGGGCGGGCGAGATTGCGAGGTGGTTGCTGAGCCTGGATGAAGGGGTCATTGTCGACATTAAGGACTGTAGCGATGCCACCTACATCTGCCTAGAGGACTGTCTGTACATGTTCCGCGAAATGGACCTTTTGCAGGATGCCGGGGTGGGACCAGGCAAGCCCGTGGTACAAGATGACGACGATGTCGAGGAGGAGCCGGAAGACGAGGACGCAAGGGCGGTGGCGAAGGAGGTCAAGAGGGTCAAGGTCGACAAGGCTGCCGTGAGGCAATATGTGGCCGACCACCGTCTGAACCTACAGAAGATGTGTGATCCGGATGGGTTTGTGGAGGGCTACGCAATGGGAGAGGATGGTACCGGGGAGGAGGACGAAGACATGGAAGACTAGCGACGCGATGATACCCTTTGAACTTTATTCACCTTTGCAGATGAAGCCAGTCATCCCGGAGTTTAGGGTAGTAGTTGGCCCGCAGGACACACCGGCTGCTGCTTGAGGGCCCGGGAGGACGAACAGAGTTGCGGTGACACTTGGCGATCCTAGCTGCCACAGCCGTTGGACTCCGAAGCAAAGGCCTCCATTGGAGCTCCCAGAGACCTTTGTCCCTGCTGTACACAGATGGGCTAATGCAGTCACCGGAAAGCGTGGCGTTGCCCATGTCAGGCACTCACGAGTCACGACATTGGAGATGAAGACCCGGACTGATGCTGCAAGGGAGACTTTCTGTAAGTTCGGGCCAGATGAAAACAATCCTACTGCCATGCAGTGTTTTATTGGACTTGGGACTCAACAATATATCGGCTGTTGGGACTTGACCTGGGGCGTCTTCAGACTCGCGTGTATGCAAACGCCTCAACATCATGGACAGGCCACAACATTATTTTGGAATCATGTCCCTTCCTCACGACAAACAGGCCACTAAGTTAGTCTAGTCGACGCCGATCAATCCCCCCCATACCAACAACACCACGCTGGGCGATTCAGTGTAGCTCAGAGGACGCATGGCTGCCTGGTGCTCGCTTATCCACTGCCACATTCGCTTACGATACACTGCATCTCAGTCGTTTCGGCGCAGCTTCACTTCCGAGGATCTCCAATGTCATCATCGGACTTAGCAGATTTTGCAGGCTGCATACTCAATGCATGATCGAAGCGCTGATCTGTACTAAGCAGCTACTAAAGTAGCTCCACCTTCACGGTCTCTCTTTGGTCCGCGGTCGTGCCTCATCGAGTTACTAATCACAGCCTCCCCTGAGGCCTGAGCACATCAACCCCACGATCATCGACTTGATTGACTCTCCGTCGAGATGCGAGGTACACCGCAGGACCATACTGGCCGGGTGGGGCTCTCTCGTCTTTGTCGATCGCTCAGATAGATCACGCCAGCTAACATTCGCAATTTCAACCGCCGCCAATGGACCACAATGGCGATGTCTACACACAGCCGTGCCTGGTTGATGTAGGTACCGTAGGCAAGCCAACCTGGGGCGCGAGAACATCATACGTATCTCTCGGATATCGACCGGCATTGGTGTGATTGAATCCCTATCGACTGCTTGGACGCTGGCTGAATTGCGGCTCCTTCGACTGTCGCTGGCACAATTAGCCCCCAATGCTAGAGTGGTCGCCGAGGTTCATGTCTTCAGCTGCGGACCTGTGGTCCCGCAGTGAAGATCTGCAGCATGGTACCGACACTATGAACTAGGCGGCCTGGAAAGGCAAACCCCACGATGATCTTCGCGGTAGCCGACCGAAACCACACCGTCGGATGGCCTTGCTGCCGACAGGACCCCGGGCACCCGGCGCCATGGGCCCTGACCACGATGCGAATGCCGGCCTCATCTGCGCATCACTATTTCACGACGCATCAGCAAAGCCAAGAGCACGCCCTCGATCTACGTACGCACGCCGTACGGTCGGTACACATTAGCTAGCCTCAGCTAGCTGAGACTTGCATGGCAAAGGCCCCAATCACAGGGTTGGCTTCTATGCTGGATGGATCAGTGGCTTGGTCCACGTTACGTAGGTAAAGCCTCAGGAGTCAGAAAGGACAAACTGCGGGACGCACTAATGACTCCGTAGTGTCATCAACGCGGGCCGTGGCGAGGGCGTCTAAGGCTCTGACAGTTGAAAGATAGAGGCAATCAGTGGTGAGGAGATTTCTACAAGAACCATCAATCATCCAGCTCTCCCACAGGAGCTTTCCGAGACCAGACTCACCGGCACATCCATCTTCTCACATCTTCCGCTTCCCGCAATACCATCTATACCCAACACCTCAGCCAACCCCACTCGACAACACAGTCCAAACAACATGCGTTTCACATCTCTCCTCGTCGCCGGCATGGCCACCCTCGCCTCTTGCGCTCCCGTGGCGGTTGTGGAAAGGGGCATCAACCAAATGACCTCCATGACCCTCAACCTCCAGGCTCCCGCCGAGAAGATCTAGCTTCTAGATGGGCCCCTTAGCGCTGTTAACGCAGGCAACCTCCCGGTAAGTGCTCACGGATGAGCACGGCATCCCGCGCGGGGAAACATTTGAACTTACTGACCTGATTGAACCAGCCTGTCCTCCAGGGTCTCAAAGACATCGCAACTGTCGGTAGCAACCTCGCGGATAATGTGGGCACGAAACATTTCAGCGATGCGGATTCCCATGTCATTCTCAACGCCTCCCGGGACTTTGTCCAACTCCACCAGAAGCTCATGAACGTCATGATTGGCAAGGCTGGCCTCTTTTCCGTGGTTCCTGAGATCGGCCAGCCCGTGACCGCTGCCCTGAAAGACGACCAGGGCGCCATCGAGGTAAGTCCACAGCAAGAACAAGTCAGCATTCCTCCTGTACTAACAAACCGTGCGCTCGATAGACTCTTGCTTTTGCTCTCGAAGACACCGCCGATCTTGTCGCCGCTGATCTGCGAGCGGAGTTTGCTAGCCTCGACGATTCGATCGCCACTGCCGTCAAGGCTTACGAGGGCCTTAAGCTCAACTAAGTCTATCGGCCAGTCCATTGTATCAATAGGTTGGAAGCAATTTGGCCGGTAATGCCTAGTCAATGAAATTTCCTAGTGGATTGGATGACCTATAGTGCAAAGAAGTGAATACGATGTTTGTACAAATTGTGCCATTTTGATTAATGTGAACATGTTCTGCCCCCTGTCCGCAACTAGTTTCCTATACATTTGATACATGATGTGGATCGGACTCATTCATGGCAAAAGAAGCAATGGGAAGGTTGGCGGCCTCAATGGGAAAGTTTGGGCGATGAGTATTGATGAGTAAGTGGATTGAAATTGTTGACGAGTGAGTATGGGGAGACCAACTAAGGAGGTAATCAAATGTTTAACAAATTAGAAAGCCTCATAATACACAATAATCTGCCTCTCGACCAGCAAGTCAGCGGTTCTAACTTCCGCATCGGGCGAATGGTCTAGTGGTATGATTCTTCCTTAGCATGGAAGAGGTCCAGGGTTCAATTCCCTGTTCGTCCAAATCTTTTGCTTTTTGCGCACTCTAAGGATGCAACAGTTTTCTTTTTGCAGTCTGTATCAATTGACTGTTGAGTTTAATGAAAGATGAGGGAGGTATGCTGCGTGGGTGAGACCTGGGTGAGGTGCGGGCGGGGCGACATTACTCAACCAGATTCTTTTGTTTTTTTGCCCCCTCTGATAGAAGCTTCTTTTAAGTAGGAATACATGCTGTCTCACTTCCATGCCATTTCACCAACAAATTGCTTGCGTCGCTGTTGGGCTTGGAACTGCGGATGTCTTTGGCGAATCGTCGTAGACCCGCAACCCTAATGTCAACAATGTCTCCCCTTTTTTGCACAGCGCAGGTCTCCCCGATTAAATGAATTTGTCAACGCCTCATTTTACTTCAACAGCGCTCAAGAGCGCCTTATTCCGGAAATCGACGACTTATGCGACGGACTTGATTTGAGCTACAGGCTTGCTTGCAATTTGGGCAAGTGGCTTTGCTAGCGGGCACGAAACTCAAGCCCCTTTCAAGCCTAGTCACTTGGGCAAAAAGTCTCGATCGCATCACTTATGCAGTCTCGCTAAGTCACTGAATTGGCTTTATCAAGAGACTCTCATGAAAAAGTTACGAGCCATGTGCGCGATCATGAGCCTCTGCTGCATATTCACACTTGTAGCTACGGCATTGTGCTTTGCATCAAGCAGCCACTTTGTGCGCGATTCACACTTCCCACAATTAAACTCTGCCGCTGCGCTATTAAACGGGAGGCACAGTAAGGTACCTGGCATTGCCGTGTGAATAAGCTTCGGTGCCTCGTGATACCTTATCTGTCCTCTTCCCGTCAAGCACTCTACCATGAACCCTGCTGGACGGACTAAGCTTATCAGAGTTAATATGAAGACGCTACGAGTATAAATATCAAGCAAGCACTCCCCGCGCCCTTTCTCTGTCGTCTCATATGGTCCGTCATCAAGTGTTGGTGACCATACGTGTAGTATCTGTTCTTCTTACCTTTGACCTATGATGAGAACTTGGCACCAAAAGGCAATGCGTTTCGGGGGGTTCCCTTCCAAACAATTGTACTTGTCGCCAACTGAGGTCATGCGTACATGTACCATATTTACATGTAGGTACTGGTACCCATTCGGTGCCTTTTCTTGGCATTGAGGGGAAAGTATGAGGAGAGCTATAGAGCCACAATCAAGGAAGCAGTTTTCAGGCAGGTGCATGCTTCAGCATTGGAAATGGAATTATGATCACATCAAGTATTAATGTTTCATGTAGAGTCAACAAATAAGGGTGGTGAAGTCTGCCTCGGATCCATCGAACACTATCAATATCTTCCCGTGCCCTGAAATACGCGGCACTGACCACCTTCTCCATTGTTGGCTCCCTGAACTTGAACTGCTCTTACTGGAATTTGCAGAAGAACACCTTCGTAAAATCGCTTCCAAGCACGTTTCTGGGATATGTGAACTGTTTGCCAGTTATGGCAGAGTCTTTCGGAACTCGTATTCTGCGGAGTCTGATCGACGGCAGTCTCTTCAAGGTCCGCACTTACCAAGACACCAACGGCTTGGTACGTAGCATTGCCCTCTTTGAGCCACCCCTGGACCCAGGCATGCTCGTACGAGCGAGCGCCAAGGGCGTCAGTATCTCTCAGCTGCTGAGCGACGAGTTAGTGCCTATGCCCAGCTATCGCTTCTCGTGTCTGCTCGAAAGGCGTTTGGCATGTGCAACGAGCTGAAAGCAGTGGGTCTGTCCCTCTAGCCATCAAGCAGAAGAAGCGCTGTCGAATCTCCGTGTGCAACAGGACAATGCGATTCAGGGCCTCCTGATCAATATGAGATTGGTATGGCAGAGGCGGCGGCAAGCCTCAACCATAAGGCGACGGATCTCGGCATTGCAACAAGCATCATCAAGATCATTCCAGACATCAACGAGGCCGGGGAGCACCTCGGTGTCGAGATCACGGTGGATCCCATCACCAAGAACATCTGCAAAGCCATATCTCTTCACCTCAGGCGTCATGCGGATCCAAGCTCAGGCGTACAGTGACCAGGGTGCCCAGGCATCTCATACAGCCTCAGATCAACCAGGCTGGCCGAGACATCAAAGTCACAGACAAGCAGCTTACGGTGGCGCAGCTCCGAGTGGATATGTGCGAGCGCGACATTCGTCTACACAATCAACAGTACCACTGGGAGGCTTGGGCTTGAAGAAGGACAGTGTACAGAATCCAGAAGGCACTTCTGCACGTCTAAGCCTCGTTGACATAGCACTTATCTCTTGTCACTGTTGGAGGACGGGATAGTACGTTTGATTCGGACTTCCTTTATACTCGGTCATGAATTCTCCCCCAGTCTTCCCCATCCTACGGGCGTCATCCAACCCACCCACAATCTACAAGCACTGAGAGTACCAGTCATTGCTGAACTTGCACGTCGAGCCAGACTCGCAGCACGTCGGTCCACTCCAGCCTTGACCACCGCACTGTCCATAACGTGCCGCACATGGCCCGCTGGTAGGGCCAGTCCCAGCCGTCGTCGTCTTGGTCACCAACGTGGTCGTGGTCCCGGGGTCGCCACCACCCGTGTCGCCCTTGAGACCATCCTGCGTGAAGAACTTCCAGATCTCGCCGGGCGCCCAGCTCTGCGACTGCCCATTGTCCTTGGGATCGGGGACGTGACCGCCGCTGTGCGCAATCCATGTGACAGGATAGCCAGCGCGGCACGAGTAGTCAGTGCGGATGTGGGTTCCAGAGCCGGAATTGGGCTCCGGCGCGTTCTTGCTCTGGCAGCCGTTCAGACCAATGTACTTGTCGCGCAGCTGACGACCGAGGCTAATGTTGAGCACATCGTCGGCAGTGCCGTGGATGCCAAGGTAAGGAACTGGCGTGGTTCCGCCGTTGCAACCGCTGAGTTGAGCACCGGAAATCACAGCAACGGCCTTGAATACGTCTAAGCAAGCATTGATTAGCATCCCATTCTATGAACGGGCGACATGTGGGCTTACCGGGTCGAGAGCAAGCCACGCTGAAGCTCATGGCACCACCATAACTCCAACCAGTCGCAAAGATGTTGGATTCGTCGACGCAGAGGCTGTCCTGCACTGTCTGCAAGATGTTGTCCGTAAAGGTAATGTCCTCTCCTCCCGTGTTGGCCCATCCCGCATTCAGACCGTCCGGTGCGACAAAGATGGTCGTGCCGCCAGAGAGAGGCTGCAAGCCGTAGTACTGACCGTTGAAGACGGCGCCCATGTTTCCACTGAGCCAGTGGTAGGCAATGACCAGCTTGTACTCTGTGTTTGGGTTGTAGTTGGCTGGGACCTGGAGCGTGTACTGGCGGTTTTTGCCGTTGACGGTGGTGGACTTGATGCCGCTGGAGGGAGGGCTTTTACCGCATCCTGCTGATCGGGCCTCAGCCAGGGGGGCAGTGATCGCTCCGAGGAGCGTCAGGAAATAGGTGATACTGAGCCTCATCGCGACAGGAGGTCCGTGACTACTCTGCTTTTGGATGGACTGGAGGATGATACGTCCAGGCAGCGCTCATGGGAACCGAGTTTCACACTTTCTTATATATACGTCTATATCCCAGTCGTGGGCGAAAAGGCCCTCGGGCGAAAAGGGCAATAACGGAACACACGATCCGCCCATGCGGACGTCAAGAGCATGGGTGTCGCTCGTTTCATGTCGGCAATTCATGGCCTGCCTTTCCCCGCAAACGTCAGGCACTCTGATAGAACAGGCTAAATCGGCTTCCTGCAGGTCAGACTGGGTGTCACTATTCAATCCCAGTCTAGGTCCCTTGGCATCAAGAACTTGAAGCAACCGAGAGTCGTGCCAATTGAAACCTGGTATGCAGATGCCAGACCAACGACTAGGCGACTGAAGGGACACAACGTACTCATCCGGTGAACAAGTGTTCCAATGTAGAACGGAGTCATCATGTCCGCAGGAATGAGTCTCGCTGCGTTGCGATTGTTCGGCACATCAAGCGGCATCTCATCGAGGGGAAACATAGACTTGGCCCTTGTCGAGTGAGGCTGGTGTTACTGTCGTCTAGGCGAATGTCCACATGCCTGGCTCAGCTGGTGATATATAACCCCTTTTCTGACGAGATATGTATAGGGTGTTGGGAACTGGGTCAAATCACTGTGAATATGCTCGTAAAGCCTAGATCAGGCAACATGGGTCTTTGAACGAGCAAGGAATGAGTTCATTGCGAGTCTCAAGCGTATTGTAGTAATTAGGGAATCCCTAATAAGGGCGTGAGACTGACAGGGTGAACAACTGCGCGATGCTACTACGTGCGCCTCTGAGGAATTCACGTGCACTTCAAAGGCCATTATCGATGCTCAGTGGGTGCGAATTGGGACATTCTCCTGTGCAAAAGTTATCAAATGAATGAGGCAGCCTTAGTATCAACTGCATGTAGTCAGCACTGCACAACGAGCAGGGTCGGGACTTATTTCGAAATCACAACTCGCCTCCTTCACTGTCCACTAGCCCATAAGAGAGGATTCCTGAATGCTAATCCTACGACCTGTTATTTACCTGTGTTTGCCAGCATATCGAGCAGAGGCCCGCCTCGAAGAGACCTTGGGCATGCGGCAGGCAAGTAGCTTCTCTTGCTCTATACATTCGAAGCTAAGGGAAAGTACACGCACCTGAACATGACTTGATGCCTAGTCATTATATGTTTGAATATGTTCATACCAGAAAGGGGCATCAGGCTTGAAAGTGAGAGTGTCAATGAGGAGAGTTGGACAGTCCAAAGGTACGGTCACTTGGGTGCAGGATGCCAGACTTCTTACGGTTGTGCCGAGAGCTTTGTCAGACTGGTCAGGGAGATCCAGAGGAGCAAAAGCGAGGTCCGCATAAATCTGCGTATTGTTCTTTCAAACATGAACCCATGTACGGACAATGCGTCCAGTGGCTGGCGGATCTTAGGGACGCCCTACTGCCGCATGCCATCCGCAAAGTCGCGATAACTGGAGCAATGGCCTCCTCAGGGCACTGTGCTCAAAGTAGCGACAAGGTGTTCATCGCAACGACTCCAAACACTTGAGTGCTCCTGGCCAACTAGGAGTGTTGAGGGCATCTGACCCCACGGACGATCTGGTCCAAGATGTGGTCGCGCGTCTTCTGATCTACACGTAGTGGATTGACGTGGATTGACATTTCGCCAAAGCCAAGAAATCTGCCTATCAATTCACGTATTTACAAAACGTCGTGCTTCCTTCATTCATCAAATCCGTCGGCCCCAAGTGTCTGCTGTCTCCCCGCGCTCCAACCGCCGTGATAGGCTGCGACTTACATGCATCGTCTGGGCGCGGGCGCTTAATGACACAAAGAACACCACAAACCACACACAAAGCCGCCCGTTCCATTACTGTGTACGTCGATAAATGCCAATAAGCGCCTTTTGTGTAGCGGCAAGCCTTTGTGTTTGATCCCTGATGCTGCCATGTCAATCAATTGGTTCGCACGGGGCCAGTCTGAGGCGTACCACCTCGTTGACTTCAATTCAATGCTAAATTTAGTTGGTTTGCGCCTCGACGCATTCATTCCTGATTATTTCTCTCCTCAGGTATATATAAAAGGTGGCCCTCGCGTTATGGAGATGAGGGACTCCTGGAGCTGTTCATTATCGCATCCTTTGTCCTGATATAGATTTCCTTCTTGTTCTTTTTCCTTTGTCGCTCTGCGAGCGTCTGCTACTTTGCTTTATATCGGCCCCTTCGATTTTTCCTTCACTGCGATTTGAGTGGTTGCATCTCCAGCGATACTGAGAAATCATCTCACTGCCTTTCAAGTGTACCAAGCGACATCACGAAGCAACGAAAAGACAACGGATAGAACCAACACCCCACAAGCAAGGACAAGCTATTCTCAACCATCAACATGGGACTTCAAAGTGCCATCAAAGCCGGCCAGACCGCCGTCGAACTCGGCCGCACCGCTCAAGGCTTTGCCGGCGCCGCCTCCGAGCTGCGGTCCGCCGACAAGGATGAGCTGGGCCGCAAGGCCGGTCGCCATGCCTTCAACGAGGGCGCCGAGACGGGCAAAACAATGGGCAAGACATGGCTTAAGACGTTCGAGGTAATCCCCCGCATGATCGCCCGCGGACTGCAGTTTCTCTTTGCCATCATCGCCTGCGGCTTCTACGGAAACAGGGTCGACGCCGATCGGAAAGACGACGATGGCTTCTCGCCCGAGTGGCTCCTGGCCATCATTGTCGCGGGCCTGTCAGCCATCACGGCGGTCCTCTTCGTCGCCGCGACGCCACTAGGTGCCATTCCCTACTTTGGGAGCCGGATCAAGCTGTTCAAGACGTACCGGGCCTTCCCCTGGGACGCGATCCTCTTCTTTGCCTGGGTGGTGGTGTTTGGCATCTTCGCGGGCATCTTCCTCCACAGGAGCGGCGACGGCGACGACAAGTACAAGGGGAGCTCGACGGGGGCGATGAAGACGGCTGTCTGGGTGGACTTTGTCAATGCGCTTCTCTGGCTCGCGTCGGCGGTCTATGGCGCCTTCAAGACGTTTTTGGGTGACAAGGCGGACGAGATGACGGATAAGGTCGGGACCAAGCTCTTTGAGAAGAAAAAGGCGGTCCCCAAGGACAATTCTGACGCCGAGAGCGTGTGAAGCTGCGGCCAGCGGGCTAATTAAGTACATAACCTCCAAGGACAAGCCAACACACATTTATCACAGTGACAGTCGAAAGCCGACAGTTGTGGGTGTCTCGCTTCCTTGGTGTATTTAACGCCACATGAATATATACCTCCTTCTGCGCCGAAGCACTACCTTCTCCCACTCTCAGGTTCTCTCATCTCAAGTTCTCTAGCCAAGTCGGCCTTTTCATCCGTTGTCAGCTCAGACGACGCCTTACCAAACTTAATGGTCATCATAATGATGATTGCAGAGCTCGCAAGGCCGACCGCTGTCCAGAATCCAATGCGATATTGTTGACGGGGAGTCAAGTCTCCATGACGGGCGTTCTTGACTGTTGACACCGCAAGCTCACCAATGCCCAACCAGAAAGCCATGCCCAGGTAGAGAAGACTGTTGATCAGCCCGCTGGCGGCAGCCTGAGATTTGCGGGGCATACTCGTGGTAATAAAAATGTTTGTCACGGTGTAAGTGATGTCGATACCAATCGTAGAGCAGATCATGGCAGGGAACACGTATGCCCAGTAGATGAAGCTGCGAGATTGACCTGACTCCGATTGCGCGGGGATAACCGCGAACAACAGGCCACTCAGGAGGAAGCCAATACCAGATATAGTCATCAGAAGCTTTCCCGGAAGTATATGCAGAATGAGGCCGCCAGCGATGGCGAGGATTATGCCTCCGACTGCCATGGGGGTAAACCAAGCGGCGGCAAGAATCGGTGTAGTACCCAGTACATTCTCCAGGCTAAAATGGTTAGCATGTGAGTTTGAGGAAAAGTGTATACTCAACTTACTAGTAACTCGCGAAGAAAAGGTATAAGCCGAAAACGCCATAGAAGGAAAAGAGCACGATGGACAGACGCTTCATATACTTTTGATGGAAGACTGCAGGCGGCATCAACGGCTGCTCTGAGACCCAGCCTTGAATATACACCGCGAGACAGAGCAATATTGCGCCGATGATCAAAGTGACATAGATGTAGGGTGTGCGCCACCCTTGAGGAGCATGTCCACCATCCGTGAGTGCGTACACAACGAGCGCTAGTCCAGGCACAATCGTCGCCGTGCCAAGCCAGTCCATCTTCGCCTCGGGATTGACAGTATCAACGCTGCACGGGATCGTTGAAACACCGAGGATAACAACAGCGAGGATAAAGAAAGCTCCAGTCCAGAAGTACCACCTCCAGGTGAGGTATTCCCCAGAAACCGAGCCCGTGAAGATACCAAAGTAGAAGCCGAGCGGCGAAAAGGACCCATAGAGGCTGAACACAAGATTCTTCCGTGGTCCTGGCCGATAGGTTGAGGCGAGCAATGTCAAGCCTGTGGGAAGAAATGCAGCGAATCCGACGCCCTGCAAAGCTCGAAAGATGATGAGCATATTCGGCGTTTTACTGAACCCAGCTGCCACGGACCAGACAAGAGTCCATGCGTGACCAGTCAGGAAGACACCACGAGCGCCATAGATATCGCCCAGGCGAGAAAAAGGCAGGAGTAGAGCGGCGGTGCTAAGGTTGGGCACAGCAGCGGGCCAGGTGCGGACCGCGTCTGGGATATCGAGCTCGAGGGCGACACTTGGCAAAATGATGTTGAAGCCAGAGACGTAAAACTCAGACATCATCATAGAGAGTAACATGGTTAAGACGAAACAGGACTCTGTGAGAGCATTGCGTAAGGTATCAGGGCGTTGACGGCCAAGGCGCTCGAGCTTGGCCTCGTCGAAGATCGCCGGAGAGTCATCTTGTGGTGGGATAGGATGCTCTGTAATGTCTTCTCGGTTGGAGCAAGTTGTCGGGTCAGACAACAGGTTGCCGGGAGGCACATCAGGCTCGTAGGAAGCCGGTGCTTGTGCCATAGCCATAAATATAAGGTGTTGATAGCTGCTCTTTTCTCAAGTATGCGGTTGTTGTATCTTAGCACAGCCAAGAGCGATGGCAGATTTTCTTCATAAATTCAGCAACACCCTCAGGTATTCAATACTTCTATCATGTTGCGGCCGTGGAAATAGAAACCAAAGCAAGTGGTGTCCATTTGTCAGCTTATGGGTACTACATTCAGTATGCTTGATAAGAACAGAAGAAAACAAAACTGGAAAACCGGATTCAGCTGATTGCCCCACGGATGTCTTACGAAAGGGAGTGACGAAAAGCTCACGAAGTTTTCACTTCACCATCTCCTACATAGATTGCTGTAAGATAGGCGCTGCAGATGGATGGGTCGTTTGCTGCGTCTTGGCTGCCTCTTTGGAGACAAGCGCCGGAAGAGGTGAGCTTTTCCACGGCCCGTACCCGATATAGGATCGCTTGCTGCGCCTTGGCTGCCTTAAAGAGGCAAGCGCTAGAAGAAATAAGCTTTTCCGCAGCCCTGGGGATGGGCTTCAGAATTAACCCCACACTCTCTCCCCCATAGGCGCCGCAGATCGATGGATCGTCTGTTGCGCCTTGGCTGCCTCATAGAGGCAAGCCCCGGAAGAGGTGGGATGTGTTGAACATGGCTTCACATGGGACTAGTGATCTGCGAGAAATTCGTTGCGATCGGCATCAAGTTCCTGTCTAGTAAAAGCCAAGTATCTAAGAAGCTGCTATCGGTGTGGCTCGCTTTGAAGCTTCTAGGTGATCCACGTGGGACTGGAAGTTCATGATGACGTTATGCACAAAGATTTTCCTGTCTGCCCAAAATATCTCAGCTTGAACTCCCCCTATGTATCTTGTAATCCTGTTGGTTTTAGTAATCTGGTGGCCTTGCCCCCTGAGGATCGAGTGACTCCTGCGTCATTGAGTCTTCGACCCCAACTTGCAGGGGGACTGTCACCCTGATGCTTTGACCACCTGAAAAAGCAATCTTGAGTACAAGTGTATAGGTCCTAGAGAACAGACAACAATGAAAAGTGGGCATGAACCGCTTGTTCCTAACATGATGCACACCAAAGGGGATTTCCAAGCTTGTTCTGTAACAAGTTCTTGAAACGGCCATCAAAACTGAGCCTTCCGTCCAATTGAGCTCTCCAGGCGCATAGTTGATGATTGGCGTGGTAACTTTGTAGTTGAGTAGAGGGTCAATCGTGTGTTGAGCTTCGGGTAGTCGCTGCGGCCACTCATGCAGCACACGAGGTCCAAAGTACGTGTTCGAAACGAGATCCCCACACACACGCTCGACGTGCGGTATGGAAACAGTCTCCGAATGCGGGCTAAAGGCTAAGCCAATGTGAACAGAAGAAGTGGAGGGTGCGCCTCCGTTAGCCTTCAACATGATCGCGTTGGGCTGGTAAGCATTGGCCTCCACATGGCCGAGGGTTCGACCCAGTATGTGTCGTTTCAAAGATAAAGTCGCGCGCGGCATGAATGTGGTGGAATGCGACTCCAGATCCAACGGTGCCTCTTCTGGAAAAGTAGGCAGGATAGTAACTTCGAGCCGCTCTCGAAAGCGATGGTCCTGTGGCAGAATTGACCTTGAGGGTGTGACCGTAGTGTCGGTTTCGATGACAACTTCAATGTAGTAGCCGATGCTGATAAGATCAGGGCACATGGCATCTGCACCCTCGCTGCATATCGTCGGAGGTAAACAGAGGTGTTGATCCTGAAGGCAGGGCGCAATCTTTGTGTGATTACATGTACCAGTCGGAAGTTGTCGAGGCACACGGAAGTGAAATGGGATAGGCCGCTGTTGCCTAGCGGGTACGTTACAGCACGTTTCGAGAGCTTGGCCGTCTATAGGCATATGAAGACTCAAAAAAATCCACTCGTCAGAGGATCGGCTGCCGTTTCGTCCAACTTCAAGGGATCTTCTTCCGCAGCCGATGAGCGAAATGCGAACATCTTTGAGAGTAAGATCTTCGTGGGCACATAAGTCGACAGTCCCATTAATAGCCGAACATGTTGTATATGTTAAGCCTGTCGAGGGCGGTTCCGTGACGATTTTGATCATGGGTTTGGCGGACATTGAGCGCCAGACGGGCATCTCGTCGTATGATGATATAGATGTGGGGACAGTAACAAGTGAGCGGATCAAAGGCTTCTGGTTGCAAGCTATCAAAGTCTATATATGTTCATGCCACAGTTCGACAGCGAACAACTGACCTTGTGATTTCAAAAGAGCAAGAGCATCATCCACTTTCCATTACCAAGCCTCACGCTTTACAAATTGCCGTAGATTAATAAGAACGTTCTGTTCTCATTTAGACTAAGCGTACTTTATGACAGCAACCAATGACAGACCTGTCAGCGAGCAATCTGGTGCAGCGTTGTCCGCTACTTTACCCAACTTCTGTTTTAGGCTGCCAAGCGTCACTACCAGATCAAGTTGTAAAGAGGCATGGGCGCCGGCACCGGCACGTGCTCCTGCATCGCAATCGGCCGAGAATGTCGGCACGATTTCGATTGATGTACTCTGGGTCGCTGTTCCTTCGCCAGTGAGATTGCCTGGTGTCAAGACACCTTTTAGCGGACAGCACATCGCGTCCACCAGTCTCATCGATTTGCAATGCTGTTGCAACGAACTGTTCAAGCTTGGGACAGGAAATATCCTCACCGGAAGTCTCGACTCGAAATTCGGATCATCGACGCAGACCTTTTGTTGCAAGCCTCCTCGTCATGTTGGAAGTCGCATCATCCAAACGCATGACGAGCGACTCAGGATCACAGTCGATTTCGTGCATAGACAAGTCGGCCCTTGCAACCACGACTAGTACAAAGGAAGCCTAGCTTCACCAAATGAGCATTTGTTGCACGAATTAGCACATACGACCATACCTAGTGGAAGATACGGGATCCCGTCCGCTTGGGTCGGTGAAGACTATTAGCTTCAGCAGATGTCGGCCTCTAAGGCAAGATATTCCGGATCTTTCGAAGGAGGATTGACGGCAGGCAGGATGTTTGTAAATTGCCCTCCCCGTTGTCTTCTGTCTGTCAAACTGCTCTGCATATCTACTCCTTTTGCTTTGATGGCCGCATTGGACGAACAAAAAAGACTCTAACTGGCAAGTGGCTACTGAAGCGGTCTACGCTTAGGTTGTTCCCTTTTGGGCTGGTGATGAGAAGAATATCCTCATGCGGACCATCTTGCAGCAACAAGAGGAGGTCGATGGCGTAACGCTAAAGGTGTATCCCGCAGATATGCTACGGAATCAGAATTTCGAGGCAACATTGTCCTTTGCCATGGAGACATGATCCATGTGATCCAGCGTTGGGGAGATTTGAATACGCTGGCATGTCACGCTTTCCGACTGCCATGGCACATATTATGAAAGGCTTGCCTGGACTAAAGACAACAGTATTTCTCCGAGACCGTGCATCTCTAAAGGCAGGCCACATTGGACAGCCGAACTTCATGTCCCGCCTGCACGGCCGCGACTTGAACACACGTGTCGTCTGGTAGTGCTAGTTCAAAGACAGTCTCGAATCCCATTTTGGCAGTGACAGCATAAAGTGTTCGTCTCTTCTGCATGGGATGCTTCATGTAGACATTCCACCTTTCCACATCCGTGGCACCATTCCAGCTTACGTGCCCATGGACTACGCGCTGTCCCGCGCCCTGTCTACCGCCTTGCTGGACAAGGACCAACGAAGGGTCCCAATCGCGCGGGGTGGCGTGCCACGGGCTCTTGTATGCGCGGTAGCTCTGGGCGAAATCGTCGTGCCCGAAACGGCCCTCCCATAGTAACGGGCTGCCGTGCTCTGGCGGACCAAATTCTCGCACGACCGGCACCGGCCCGTAGCTCGCAAGCTGATTGCCATGCTGCAGCTCGATCTGGAAGTTGCCCTGGCTCGGCGCCTGCTTCGCGTCCCCGGCATCTATGCTGCGGACAACCTCGGGAACTTGTCTGCGATCGGGAGGGAGTCGTAGGCGGATGAGAAGCCCTCGGCTGGCCCTCGTACAGACCTCCGTAGCCCTGCAGTGATTGTCAAACAAGCTGAGCAGCATGTCGTGTTCAGTGACATTGTGGGCCCGCACGTCGTGCTGCCAGCGAAACTGGCCCGGGACAGGCAAAGGCCCAAAGTCGCTGGCGTCGTGGCTGTCGCCACCCAGTGTCCAGATAACGTGTCCATCCTCGCCCGAGACAAGATAAACAGCCCAGTGGTGGCGGCTGCTGATGAGATAGTCCTGTCCCACGAGCTGGACGGAGTTGATGTGGAAGGCATCGTACGATGTGTCCGCCTGGACGGCGCTAAGATTGGAGACGATGGGCAGGCGGGAAGAGGTGATGGGGAAAAGGTCGAGTGCGCTCCAGCTAAAGAGGACTTGACCCGTGCCCATGTCTACCTCGAAGAACATGCTATCGGTGACGGTGCCATTGCTTAGGCCTCCAATAGGCGAGAGGTCTACACTAGTCTCGTTGTACGCCGTGACAAGGACAGTGTTCCGTGGCGTGAGCTCCTGCTCGTGAAAATCCATGAGACCGGGAACATGCCTTAGTAGTGGTGAATGACGGATGTCTGCCTGGAGGGAGACGCTCGTCTCCCGATACTCGTCGTCGAGGAGGACAAGATCTCCATAGCCGCGGCCAGCGACTATATCGCCTCGCCAGAACGTGAGACATGGGGCCTGCTCCCACCGTTGCACGCGGAAGCCGTTAAAGTGCGTTGACGTGCGTGACGGCGAGGCATAGACCAACTCGTTTGCCGGTGTGATAATGTGCGGCCCATTCTGTTGCTCACCGCGGTGGATACCGCGCGAGCCCGGGGTGAGGAACAGGTACCCATCGGCGAGACGAGAGTGACTTATGCCGATCGAGATGTTGGGGGGGTTCAGGGGTGAGCTCTTGAATACGCGGTACGGCCATGTCTCTTCGTTGAGCGGGGAAACAACCTCGACGTATGGCCACGACGGGAGCACGTTGGGCGCAGGAAGACGGAAACCCAAGCCGGGCAGGCTCCAGTCTCTACTGAAGAGCTGCCAGACGAGAAAGAGGGCGAAAAGGCCAAGTAGCCCGAGGGCCACCGAGACGCGTTTCTGACCGGGAATCATGGCGCACGTGCAGGCTGTCTGGGCGAGGGAGCGAAGTCTGGTACGTAAGTAGCAGCTTGGCCCTACACTCGGTTCTGACATGTGTTCCCGTCGATCATTGCAAGACCTGTTCAACAGCGTCATCGAAGCGACCAGCGACAGCCGACAGGAGAGGTGTGATAAGACTCGACTCTGGCGAACCACAGCCGAGTTGGAACATGGGGTGCCATAGCGTGGCCTGGCCTTGCCCTACGCTGGATGGATGCTATCATGCCGTCATGTCACGGCACAGGATGGGAGGCCAGAGGCAGAAGATACTGTTGCATTAGCCGACGGCATCTAACTGGTCGGGTATGGCTACACCGCACAGCGTCGAACCAGTCCGCAGATCCACCTACTGTAAGGTACCTTTAACTGGGAAATACCTCAAGGAGCCAGCCCGTTGCGGTAGTACAAGTGGTTCAAGGTCGCAGCCCTTGAGACGTCATCACAGGCCCAGCCCCCTGGGTATTCTCTGGTCTTCCCCTGCTTCACCGGAGAGCTTTTGGCTGCTCGGTCCCGAAACCCCGGACCAAGTGTGAAACATAGGGCTTAGAAGCGGCATCCGATGCCGAACCGATGCCTAATCCGGATAGTTTCCGATATCCGTCTCCACAGGGTACCAGGCCCACGATCCTACAGAATGTTCCCCACAGATGCATGCGTACAAGCGATTGATCATTGCCGAGCACATGGAACTTACATGTACGTAGTTTCCACTCAACGGTGGCCTTCACCTTCTCAGGAGATGCCGTCACTCAAGCGGAGAACTGGCTGGTCGACGAGCTGGGGTCCCGGATCTAATTACCATGTCGTGGGCGGATGAACCTACCTCTGGCATCCTACACGCAACCATTCAGTGTACGTACTACGTAGTACATTCTGTCCGGGCTATTGCCCTTAGGAGGCAACGCAATGTCCTTAAACAGGTATCCCTCATCAGACATGGCGGTGTCGATGGGATCGAAGAAGCTCCATCCTCGAATCCTCCTCGACAGGATGGAGATTCCCAGACTCCCAGTAGAGTCAAGATCTGCGCAGTGCTTCGATCAAGCCGGGCTTCCTAGCTTCACTTCAGCCACGGATCCTTCTGCTCGCAGTATGGGCATCACGGAGCACCACACAGACAAGAAGACATGATGGACGTCATCGAGATGGGGCAGCCCCTACGGCTCTGTCTATAAAGCCAGCCGGTCCCGGTGCCTTGGACGAAATCTTATGCCAAGCTCATCAGCAAGACTTGGTTACAGCCAAACACAGAAAGCGCCCAACAAACCAGACACACATCTTCTCAGTCACGCCACGCCCTCCTCCTCATCACCGCCATGCGTCTCTCCACCTTCTTCGCCGCGACCTTGCCCGCGCTCGCCGCGGCCGACTTTTACGTCACGGACTGGGTCTGCCAGCTCGGCTTGGACTCGGACTACGACTCCGGCGTGACCAACAACTTCTTCCAGATGGACACCGAGGGCGCCTGCAAGACTCGCTGGCAGGTCAACCCGGACGGCAACGACTGGCACGGTGCCAACCCTTGCAACGCCGACCAAGAGGACCCCCTGACGCTCCGCAACACGGGCGATGGGGCCTGGGACCTCATTGTCGACAACACGGGCATCCAGGTCGGCACCTGCGGCTGGTCCAACAGTGACGACATTAAGGGCGCATGCACCAGCATCAACTATGGCTGCGTCGTCAACTCCAGGATCAAGTGCAGCACTGCGTACTGCGTGGGTTGATCAACGATGGGCGGACGACATGGATGGGACCGCGTTCGGTCGGTCCATACGTATGTGCGAGACCGTGGCACTGGTGGAGCCTCGGCGGGTAGTTTGAAGTTTGCTTGACACGTTTTGTTCATATATTCTTGAATATTACAACGTTCACTTTAGTTCTGTCCATGGGAGTTGTTCGACATCTCCTCTCGAGCTCGCGTCCCTCGTGCCGTAATCTCCCAATGTCCCGCCCTGCCTCGCAACCGCCTCACTGCTTTCTTCCAACAAGACATTTTCCCAATGATCTAAGACATCTCGCGGCTGTGCGGACGCCTCTAGATGCAAGCAAGGATGTCGTCGAGTGCTTCTGCTGGGAGATGTAAATTAAAGGCCGCGCATCGTGCGGGACACCGAACCCGCCTACCGTGCAGAGGATGTATCACACAAATACACGGTTAGTCTGACCGCTTTCTATCTAAGTAGTCGGGCATAATAGCGCGATCACAGCTCCTGTTCGTATAATTTTTTTTTAAGTCGGTTGGGCGCGAATCCCCGCACTGATGGTACTGATGAGCGCCTCTTGCTCGCCACGACGGTCTCGAACAAGTCCAGCCCGTTCTGGACATAATATTATGTTGGACTTGGAACAACGTCTTCCAATGCATCTGACATGTCCGCTAAAATGAGAGAGTTGAATCCGCTCTTCTGCATCCTCTGATCCTCTCTGTCGCGAAGCGTTGGCCCTGTTGCCAATCCCCGTCGCTGTTGTCAATCTATCACGGACAATTGTGTTCGCCAACGCTGCTGAACTCTCTCTTCTTTCGACTGTGCCGTCGCCGCGTGAAGCCAATGTGCTTGGCCAGCATTTGCAGGACCTTGGGGTTTCTATTCATGAGAGGTCGTTTCCCACTTGGGAGGCATTATTTGACCACCTGGCCAATCATGCGTCGAAGCAACTACAACCTCAAATTCGAGGAAACACTGGACACGCTGCCACTCAAGGTCAATCTCGACCACAGTCTCTCGGTACTTCTATCGTGCAAATTGCTATCATGCGCAGGCCATCTCATGACGCAATTCCTGGCCCCGAAGGACGGATGCACACCTGTCCTATATTACCCGGTACTGTCCAAGTATCAACGTGGGTGTCGACGGAAGACCAGATTCACTTCACTTTGTGCTTCAGTGCAGTATCACCGTCACAGAAGCTGCAAGCCACAGAAACAGCAAAGTCAACGCCAATAAGTGTATATTCTCCGCTTCCAGCCTTGGCCCGCACCCAGCAGGGTGACACGATAGTCAAGAACCAGAAGAACATGAGAACCAATTCCATCAAAGCCGCCATTCTCCACGACATCAATCTGCCAGTTTTGGGATTCTGGGAGAGTGGCAGTGCCGTGTATCTCAACCAAGGTCCAGTGTTTCAGCACACCATTACCATGTCTATCAGTGACTGACCCCAGCTCAGCCGCGAGAGAACTGTCAACTAAGGCTGCCAGCATACCTGTGGACGATACCGAGATCCTGGACGCAAAGTCAGCGGTTCGCTGTCCCGTCTGAAATTTGCGCTGACACGATTAGATGGCTAACTTTTACTCACAGCTGAGATCCTGGGACCTCTGGACAAAAGACTTCAGCCGGCCACTGGAGAGAGACGAGCATCCAAACTGCATTCTACTTGCAACAGAAGCATCCTTTTCTCATTTGATGATAGCTATTCGCTACAAGGGTGGTGAGAAGGCCATCCTGGACTGCGCGGGCGAAGCCATCAGGGATGAGGTAACAGGAGAGTTCCTTGGCGGGGCAATTACATTCAGAAGTAACTGCCCCCTTAATAGTGTGCCCGACGGCATGTCCCAAGAAGAGCCGCATGGAGACAGGAAGTTTGAGACCATTTGTAACAACTTACCTCAACTGGCACGTCACCCTCCTCTCGAAATCCCGTACCGTATATAGGAGACAGCCAATCGGTGCTGACGCCCTTACAGGTCTGGACATGTGCTCCGGAAGGATTTTGCAACTTCCACAACGTCCGCTGGTTCGAGTATACAGGCCAGACCCAGAAGGAATCGCTGGGTTACGGCTGGACTAAAAGGCTTCGCCCTGACGACGTCGGTGCCACGAAGGCTGCTTGGCTTCGCTCTGTACAAGACTGCGCGCCTTTCAGCCTGGAGTATAGATGCTGACGGAAAGACGGCGAATTCAGGTGGATGCTCGCCAGGGCCGTCCCGCTTTCTACGGCAGCCAGTGGACAGGTTGACAAATGGTTCGGTAGGTTGCCTCATCTCTTTCGACCCCTACTTCGGGTCAGATGTTTCTCTTTACCAATACTGACGCCGAGGCAGGCACGACAACGGACATTCACGACAGTATGCAGGCCAAATTGGAAGCGAAAAACGCTAGACAGCGCCTGCTGAGTGTCCTTGCTCATGCTCAAGTTACGATCCTGACATTTGATACTACTCCTCGTGTCACCATGCTTGAAGGTGCTGACATTCGCGACGTCCCGTTTCGCACCGAGACAGAAAACGGGAGCTGGTACGATGGCAAGGACGTGCCCAGTGTCCTCTCACTCACCAACCTCGACCGTGGTCCAGAGTTCGCCGCATTCACCAGATGCGTGACCAACGTGATCTCAGGAAAGGTGGAGTCGACCTACCTCGAGCATGGAACTGGTAAGTCAGACTGGGCAATTGATTATAAATGGTCTGTATCATTGAACGACATTAGACGGATTTTGGTTCCGCACTCGCTTTTTAGCGTTGCAAACCCCGAATCCACCGGACGACGCACCAAACGGTATCCAAGGGCTGATCTGCCTGATACAAGATATCACCGAGGCGAAACGACAAGAAGAAGCATTGAAAGCCGTTGAAGAAGAACGTTTGCAGCTTCTCGCACGCGAGTCAGCGGCCAAGGAGGCAAACGACTTGAAAGGCCGGTTCCTTGCGAATGTACGTCAACCACGCTCCGTCCAGTCCTCTTCAACTACTGATTCCACCGGATGTCCCACGAAATTCGAACCCCCCTCAGTGGAATTCTAGGTATGGCCGAACTGCTACTGGAGCTTGACCTTGGGAACGAACAACGAGCGCATGCAGAGGCCATCAAACTCTCAGCCATGGCACTATTACGGGTAGTGAACGACATTTTGGACTACTCTAAAATAGAATCCGGCAAGCTTGATTTGGAGAGCATTCAGTTTTCAGTCCTCTCCATGCTCCGGAATACCTTCACGGTGCTCCGCATAACGGCGAGAATAAAATCTCTAGAGTTCCACTTCGACACCAGTGCGGTTGACCCCAATTTTTCAATCGTGGGAGATCCCGGTCGCGTGCAGCAGATTCTTTTAAATTTGCTCTCAAACAGTCTCAAGTTCACAGACCGAGGATTTGTTCGGTTATACGTCTCAACGGAGCCTGGCGGGGAAGAAGTCAAGTTCGTCGTCGAGGACTCGGGCATTGGAATCACCGCAGAAACTCAAAGCACTCTGTTTGAGCCTTTCATCCAGGGCGATGCATCAGCCACCCGGAAGTTTGGCGATACTGGCCTGGGGTTGGTGATCTCTAAGCAATTGGTTACTTTGATGGGCGGTCGCATCGCCCTTGAATCTGTTCCGCACGCAGGTACCAAGATCTCCGTCTGGGTTCCGACCAAGCAAGCCCAGCGTGAGGATGGCCTTGCTTCCAGCAACCTTGCCACATCAACCGAAGCGACGGATTTCACGTACACGGCTTCTCTTCAAAAAAGCTTGGTTGTCGAGAACACCAGTCGGAAATGTAATGACGTTCTTACACCGTTAGCGGGAGGAACTGCCACGACTTCAACCTCTCTGGAGGATCAGTCTCGCTCTCAGTACAGCAGTACAGTCGTTCTGCTAGTCGAGGACAAGTTGTGGCTCCATGTCAATGCGTTGTGATTGTTGCTAACGGGCGATAGTGCAATCAACCAAAAGATCGCCGTGAGCATAATACGCAAGCTGGGCTTTCGTGTAGCTGTGGCTTGGAACGGCAAGGAAGCTCTTGACTACTTGGTCGTGGCGCACGAACATCCAGACATACAACCAAAGCCTGACCTGATCTTGATGGACATTCAGATGCCCGTGATGGACGGGTACCGTTGCACAGAAATCCTGCGAGGGGAGTCTCCTTATATGGAATACGCAAAGGGTGTTCCTATTGTCGCGATGACGGCCTCGGCAATTCGAGGCGATATGGAAAAGTGTTTGAGGGTTGGGATGGACGACTACCTTACTAAGCCTATACAGATCGAGGCGTTGGAGCGAAGTTTGATCCGGTGGAGTAGCAGCGCTGGAAAAGCAGGGTTGTTGGATCAATCAACCTCGGAGCCTAGATGTGGCCAGCAGTCCAACGACGAAGCGAGAGACTGCGAGTGAGGTGGGAGAGAGTGCGTAGTGTTTCGGGAAAAAGGGGCCGCATAAGCTTTAGCAAAAGCTGCATCTGTCACATACGACCATACCCAGTGGAAAATACGGGATCCCGTCCGCTCTCCCATAGTCAAGCCGCTGAGGGGCTGATTAGTAGTTGGGTCGGTGACGACCAGCGAATACCGGCTGTTGTATGTTTTTAAATTTTTTGCTCTCGACTCGTGAGTGAGAAGCATGCCTATAATGTTCAGTAACACCCACTTCTGGTACATACGACCATACCTAGTGGAAAATACGGGATCCCGTCCGCTCTCCCATAGTCAAGCCGCTAAGGGGCTGATTAGTAGTTGGGTCGGTGACGACCAGCGAATACCGGCTGTTGTATGTTTTGCTGTATGTTTTTTTGCTGTTATTTCTTTTTGCTGTCCGAGTGGACGGGAAGCCCTGTTCTAAGCTTCTGGATATACTTCCTCGAGCTCCTGGAGATACGCATCCCGATCCAAAGTATCAGGCCAGCTATGCTTCCGCAATGTTTGACTCACAACCTAGTTACGTCGCAGACATTAGTATTAGAGCGTTATCAGAACTCGCAAAGACATGACATACGCTTCCGACGTCCCATGTGTACGGCTGGATTGTTCTGTTCCACGATTTCTTCCCCTTTGGACAAGAGACCATCTTCAATGCTTTGATTTCGTTGTAGATTTCGTCGAAGTAGTCTTGAATATCGCGTGGAACAGACCCCACTAGCCAAGGCTCATCTCTTGGTGGCTCTACGTAACTTTGTCCTATCGGATGTATGATACCTGGGATAACTATCAGCTCTCTGGTGGTATATATGTGACATGGGCCACATCACCGAACCTTTCGCAGTGTCGATTATCCACCATGTTGCAAATTGGTCTCGTGTCAATGAAATGAATCCAGCAGGCCAGTCTTCACAACGAGGCATCAGCAGTCTGTCGGACAGCCCTTGTCCTTGGCACTCTTCTGCGACCAAAGATCGGAACGGCCAGGTATCGCGCAGATAGCTAAGATGCCGGGTCTCAAAGTATGCTTCATCTTTGTCGTCACCGTCGAGCTGTTTTATATAAGGTAGGTGTCGTAGGAGGTCGATTACCTCCTCGGAGCGACCTAAAGCACGGAGAACATCAACAGCAAGCTGCTCGTCGCTCTAGCCTTCCTCTGGAGGGTATCGAACTTCTGCGGGATCAAAGTAGGCTGCTTTCAACAAAAGCTCGTAATGTCGCTTGATACAATGAACTACCACATCCCGATCATAGGCCATTCTTAACGTTGCGGACAAATTGCAGGTCGTAAGGATCGTGGCGGACTGCCCCAAATTTATTGCGCGGACAGTAGAGGGTACAGTTTGTTCAACGGGCTCCATGGTGAAGTTGCCGCGGAGATAGCTGCTGCAGCAGTGGTAAGAGGTCTAGGAAGGGTCGTGATGGCTTCACTTGTTTGTCAACACGTCGCGAGGGGGAACAACGTCGCGTCACGTGCACGCGTGGGAGATGCGACGTCAGCCACGTGGCAGATATCACGTGACTTTTACTACTGGGCTTGCTCAATGTCGTTGTTGCGTGAACAATGTCTGCAAATCCCTAAGCGTCTCATATAAATAGTTCGATTGAACACAAATGAATCGTATTGATTATTGAAGCTACGCTGAACCTCAAATAGCTTATGCGTGGCATGTTTCGTTTGTCAGTTTGGCAAGCACAAAATACATCTAGGCTTTGCTGGAACTCACATGAGCAAGTCCAAAATATGAGCAAGTCCAAAATATGAGCAAGTCCAAAATAAACCTACTAATATTGCACCTCGACACGTAGTAAAACGAAGCGTTCTTGTGCCCTTTTTTTCAATACAATCATTGAAACAATACCACAGTACTTTATGGACTTAAAATCAGACGCAGAGTATCTTGTTGGATACTAACATATAGCGTCTAGGGTAAGCAGGCCAAGCAATGACGCGAGTCGATAAACTCCCCACTAACACAACTAATTCGCGTCTTGACTCGGTCAGGAATGCAACCATCATCGAGTCGGTGCACGACGAAATCCGAAAAGAAAACCAGAATGCACTCTAATTACAGTGACGCAGTACTCAACTGCCACTACGATTGAACCACAGTCATCAACGATGATTATGATGCCAAACATGCTCAGCGCGAAATTCTGTCGCCATCTCGGACCGGCCCACGCTCATTTCCCGACTGGGTCGCTGGCTGCACTGACAGGGTCCGCTGATTGGCTTCAGCAAGGGAGATCCGTCCCGGTAAAGTTTCGCGCCAGAAAACTGAAAAGGAAAAGAGGATCTGGCGTCAGCGTTCCTCAATCTTCCGATCCAGAAAAAAATTGCGACTCCAGGCGCCTACGGTTGAAGCCTCTCGTCAAAGCTCACGGCATGCTTCAACACTTTGGCAAAGCAATGTGGCTGGAAATTCGTAGGTCTGCAATAATGGGAGAACCGTCAGAGCGGTGATGACGCCTTGAACCAGGGGCACGGGATATGCAGGCGGCGACATTGGCGTGCGACGTGCCCGATCTGACGTCGCATTCCTTTCTCCCGGGAGCGATAGCCTGTGGTGTCCTCACCGTGGCATCGCGCACCATTTCAGGATGGCTAGAAATCGCCATCAAGAGGACAAACTCTCCCCAAATCCACCTTCTGTTCGACAAGCGGACTGTGGCCCTTTTATACCCATATTCCCAAGCGTCCTCATGCCATCTTTCTCAAGGGAATGCCTTAGCAGCTGAGCATCGCGAAATTGGCACTCATGATCCACCCACGTGCCAATTCCGCTGCTTGATTCGTTCCCAGCCAGAATTAAAGCCGCCAAGTGGGGGTACTCTCGTGGGGGCCTCCCGGCAGCTGCTAAGCATGTTCCTTCTTTGCGTCCTGAGGCTCAAAACACAACCGACTTCATGCCTTAGACAGACAGCCAGCCGGAAATGATGGGAAAAATTTTCCTGGCCTGGCGGACAGCCGACAGCCCCCTTTTGCGCGCAACTGCAGCCCTGTCAAACGGCAGCGCCTTGCCTTGCATTCCCGTCATCGGCAACTCTCGCATTTGGCTGGTCATTTTGGTTGGCATCATGTTGGCAGCCCGTCTGGCAAACATGGCCTTCCGTCGTGGCCCTTCTTCGCTGCAGCACTTGACTGAGGCCTTTTCAAATATTCACCGCCCATGACTCCATCACGACCCGTAGCGTTTCCACTAATTTCATGATTCATGATCCACTGCTCCTGACGGAAGCAAATCATGCCCTGGCATTGATTCTGAAAAGTCCACCCGGCTTCCCCCGACAGGCTGCGTCGGTCGACCAAGTGTCCACCCTTGGGTCGACATTGGCACAGACCTTGGCTCCCACGCACGCGGTACGCCCTGACGTCCGCGTCTCACCACCAAGAAGCAAAGTCCCTCGTAACCACTTCGCATCTCGTCCTGAGGCATCAGACAGCTTCGCTTCGTCTGTTGCCCCGTAGCCCGTGGCCGGCGCCCCTAGCCAAAGTGGGACCCCCAGCTTGCTGACTTTTCCCTCTCGTCTTTCCTCCTCTTCCAAGTTTGCTTCCCTCTTCCTTTGCTTGAGCTTTATCCATCCACCTCCAACAAATCCCAACTCTATCCCTCACCAACCACCAACACCCTCACAACCATCACAATGGCCGCCCTCCGTGTCTCCGCCTCCCGCATCGCCGGCCAGATGGCCACCAAGGCCGCTCGCCCTGCCATGCGTGCCCCCGTTGCCGCCTCCAAGCGCACCATCAGTGAGTAAAATCTTTTCCGGGCCGCAGCCACGCAGGCATTGAGCTCGACCGCGACCTCGAGCGCCTCTGCGACCACGCCAATTGCTCCGACCGGTAGCTGACGACCTCGCCACTAGGCACTGCTTCCCCCATGCAGGCCCTCAAGCGCCAGCAGGCTTCCAACGTCCTGAACGCCACCAAGCGCAACGCTTTCGGCGTCCAGAAGCGTGCCTACTCCTCTGAGATCGCTCAGGCCATGGTTGAGGTCTCCAAGAACTTGGGTATGGGCTCTGCCGCCATCGGTCTGACTGGTGCTGGTATCGGTATCGGTCTCGTCTTCGCCGCTCTCCTGAACGGTGTTGCCCGCAACCCTGCTCTCCGTGGCCAGCTCTTTTCCTACGCCATTCTGGGTTTCGCTTTCGTTGAGGCCATTGGTCTTTTCGATCTCATGGTTGCCCTCATGGCCAAGTTCGTAAGTGTTAAATCGCGCATCACCGACCGGCCGCAGCTCCTAACCGTGACCAGACCTAAGTTATCTCTCCACCGCCGGCTGGCAACGCTCGTACCGATCGACCGAGCTCGAGTTGAGACGGAGCCCGTTGGGCTCGATGCATTTCGCGGAGTTTTATGTCCAGCCACTTCCACCGCGTGTGCTGTGTCATCATCATGATAGAAGGGGACCTGCTTTGTACTTGATGGGATAGACTCTGGGGGAGGTACCCCGTAGATGGAGTGTCGTCTTGGGGTGATAGAGTTGGGAAAGCGACTGTTTTCCCCAGGGACCACTTGTAAAATAAAAAGACTCAACCAACTCGTATTACCCGAGTGAAGAGCTTTCTTTTGTCACAATTGAATAATCAACACACTGTGTCTCTCAATTGCATTCATTTCGTGCTTGTTCTGGTGATTGGTCTTGCACAGCTACCCGAAGTGAGCCGAATTGAGGCATTTCACGATGCCGCATATGCTTGACGCTCCTGCTGATTGTGAGGTTGGGGCACCTTCGGGCGGCAGAACTGGCTGCCTGCGACCGCGGTACCTGCAATTCGCCCAGAGACCTCCAAATGTACCGAACACTTCATGCCTGCCATTCGAGGCAGCAAGCTGGCTCAATTCGGCAATGGCGCGCAGTTCGTGGCATCAACTGAGGCCAAGAGTCGACAGCCCCCCCCACACGGTGCCAAAGTGGTCATGCCCTTATCGCGGAGCCACTTTCTGAAGCCATGTGGAGACCAATGATGCTGCTTGTCTGGGCACACGAGGTGGATCGTTGGATGAGTGGCTTTCCAGATCGGCCACAGATATGAGAGGCCGTTTAGTATGTAAAGACACGGACGTTAGGCTTTTGCTGCGCATCCTGACAAGCAAGTTCGCTTGTGAACTGACGATGATGCTCCGGACTCGTGCTTCGACTGGCTGTCCTAGCCTGGCTGTCTTGAAATGAGGCCTCGCGATATTTTCGACGGCTCCACCTAGCCACCATGACCACCCAAGGGACCAGAGGATCGTTCACGACAAGGATGGTTTGAGCCCCGCTGGAGGTCATGGGACAACCAAGTCGAGGGGTTGGGTGTGGGTAGACCGCCACGAAGACGAAACTCGGTAGCCATGGCACTTTTCGAAGCGGTCCGCATCAACTCGCCCATGGCAAAACCAAGCTCGACACTTCGAAGCAGTGTGTCGCGAAGGGATGAGACCATCGCGAATGCTCGGAGAGCAAACCCAAGGCGCATTGGTCTCATGCTATGCCGGTTCCCAATTATGGTCGAAAATGCGCCAATGTTTGAGGAGCACTGCCTGGACGACACCTGAACTCTGTGGTAATTCCTTGGCCTTCACGAGGCCTTTTGGAATGTCGTGTTCGGATACCTGGAAGCCGCACGTCGCTGCGCACCAAACACGACTTGGAGGGAGAAGTCAGAGCAATGACCGGGACCTCATTCGTAGCCAGTCGAGCGGTGTTAACCGGCAGTGCTTGACTCCGGCCTTTTCAGGATTCTGGACATGGTCGGTAGTCGTGTTGCATCGTTTCATGGCGGAGGTCGCTGATTGTGCGGGCGATGAGTAAGAAGTCGACTTACAGCAAGACAATGAGCAGCCGCCGGCATTCGACATTATTGGGATTCGACGAAAGGCATCGCTGGCGGACTCAGACGAGCCTTGAGACAACGAAGACCAGCTGGAGGTTCACTGCTCGTGTGTGCAGGCGTGGGCTGCTGCTACGCAGGCGTCGAAAGGTCAAGTGATATTTCACCATGCTGTCGATCAGGAGTTCATGCCATGGTCTCTGTAGATTGATCTGCTAATCATTAGCTTGGGCGGATTTGCCATTGTTCTTGACTCACCTTTGGGCGACGGGGCTCACCGAGCTACCCACCGAATCCACAATCAACGACATCGTCGACCCACTCTCGGTCTGTCAACACACAACGCTCCAGGCGACGCGATGTGGCATTGTCGTACGGCGAACACAGCAATTGATGAGGGATCAAGGGAATCGATGAAGGGGGCAGAACGAGATGAAGGTGTTGTGGCCCCCCTCACCTTCCCCTCACGCGGACGAGTGGCTGGTCACATGACCACATCTGCACGAGAGATGGCGAGAACAGAGGCGACAATGTTGGCCGCCGTCAAGTGTGTTGGGGATACGCAGAAGAGCCGTAAACCGTGACCGCAAGCAAAGAGAGCTGTAGGTAGTGAAGGAGGACGGGAGTGGCTCGGACTTGTGCCTGGCGCGGAGGAGTATTTGAGGAAGAGTCAGCGTAGCGCTGCACGGCCCGGGGTAACGTGTGAGAGGGAGGGTGGCAATGCACGCTGGACGGCTGGCTCGGTTCCAGCCCCCCATGGGGTAATACGGCGGCAAAGCAGTAGGGTCACATTGCTTGCAGGATGTTGAGTGCGTACGTACGTGGCCATTGTTTCTCGTGTGTCCCACCAGGCACAACGCGTTCGGCAGGGATGAGCTGCACTCGACTTTCGAGTACAGATCGCGATGAGTGAACCACACGTCTCGTGAACAGCTATCTCTCTGCCAGTATTTGGTGTAATGGAGGAATGGCTAGCCCTGATGCCATGGCTTTTCAACACGAACCGTGAATAATGGAAAGGTAACGCAATTAAGACATGGTGATTGATCTCCAGCTGGCTATTTTCTAAATGTAGCGCTCCTCTCACCCTTGATCGGAGGCGCCTTTCTCGCGCCCTTCACACCCTCCTCCACCGACTTGACGTACGGGTCAAAGACCTTTTGCTTCTTCTGCTTCTTCCCCTTGGCCGCCTCAGCCTCCTTGGCGGCATCGCGGTCCGCATTGATGACACTGGCTGCTTGACTGTAGTCAAACGGCACCGCGGAGAAGGACTTCTTCTCGTCGTCGCGTTTCCGCTGGATCTTCTCCTTCTGGCGCTGTTGGCGCTCTGCCTTTTTGCGCCTCTTTTCCTCAATGGCGGCCTGCCTTTCCTCGTGATCCTCAGCTACCTGGTACTTGTCCTTCTTCTTCTTCTTCTTCGGGATCGGCTTAACGTCCACCTCAAGTACGCCATCTCCGGGTTCTTTCTCCCCTTCAGATTCCTGCTCGGCTTCCCCTGAGCTCTCCTCGTCGCTCGTGGAGTCTGAATCTTCAGTTTCCACCTTGCGCCTCTTGCCGCGCTTGAGCGTGAACTCATCGTCTTCCTCTTGCTCAAGTGGAAGCTCTGGCGCCGGCTCATCGTCGTCCCGAGACGCTGTATCGCCAGCATGTGTGTCAATTGCTGGAGTTGCAGATGCCTCGCCATTGGCGGCGCCTTGGACGAATTTTTGCCACGGGAAAGGCACGGTCTCGTCGGCCCTCTCGTCCTTCCGTGTCTCTTCCCACCGCGAGCTAATTGGCATGGTGCCAAATAGCTGGGATTTGGGGAGACTCCGGATCGCCACCTCACCATCAACAACCGGCAGATTGCTACTGGACTTGGCAACTCGAGGTACCCCGTGCTTGCTCAACGACTCTGGCTCCAAAGAAGTAAGAAATTGTAGCAAGCTTGGGCCACCCTCAGCTTTCACCTTCTTCACTGTCTGCCAGATTTCACTCAGATTTCGCTTCGCTATGGGTGGACTGGGTGGCAGTAAGCTGTGCAGCGCCTTCTGGTCTGGTGGACATGTCCGAGCGATCTGAGTCAGTGTAGTCGTACTCATGATGTAGTTGGGGTTCTCGTCTTCTCGTCGCGCGGCTGTGTCTCTCCACTTCCAAAGCGCGCGGAAGACAGCGAATTGATCGGCGTTCAGAGCCAAGTGCCCGTTCTTGAGCACATAGTTGTACCAGCCCCTGGTTCCTTCGCCAGTCTTCTCATCAAAGTCGAGATGTTCGTGGCGGTACAGAGAGACTTCCTTGGAAGCATCCACAGCTTGCTGAATGAGGTCGGTCTCGGGGTTGCTTCGATCTGACGCATCGATGAGCTGGTTGCGAACCTCGTCGTAGATATATAGCAGATAGTGGGTATCTGAGCGGGCATAGTACATCATCTCTGATGGGATCGGTCTGACCTGTTAGCTGAGAAGCTCAGAAAAGATTACGAACTATTGGGCTTACCGCATGCGCCAGTCCGCAAGTTGGTATTGCTTGTCGGCAGTGAAACCTGCAAATTTCGAGAGGAGGAATGCAAGGCCACGGCCGGGGTACTGCAGGAGCTTGCAAGCAAAGTAGGTGTCGAAGAGACCATTGACGTAAAGACCCAGGTCCCTCTGCAGCCAGATCATGTCCATGTGCGCACCGTGAAAGACCTTGACAACGCCTGGATCGGTAAAGACTTCGTTGAGTACCTCGAGCTTGTGGCGCCATGGCTGCAAAGTGTCGATGATAAAGTCGCGCTCACGCGTGCTGATCTGCATCAAGCAGACGAGGCCGGTGTACGTTCGGAAATCATGGTGCTCCAAGTCGACTGCGATTTCCTCCGCCTCCTTGAGGTGTTCCAGCATCTCCAGCACGCCCTCGTAGGTGTCAATGTACGTGACATCCGACTCCTCCATCGGTCTAAACTTGATGGGCTCTGCTTTTTCGAACACCCGGTTCGGATAGTCGTTTTGGGTGATTTCGGCTTCGTAAGGGTGCTTGTACTGGGTCGAACCGCTGGGTGTGGTGAACGTGACAAGGCTCTTCTTAAGAGGCAATACCGCGTGGTGCTTCTTGGTGATGATGGGCTTCCAGGGGCCGTCCGGAGAGTTCTCGGGCTGAAGCTCAAATGTGGTCTGAGGCTTCATGATGTTGGCGTTGCGCACCACCTTGGGCGTGGCTTTCTGCTTCTTCGCATCCGCGCCATTCTCGGCGCCCGGAGGATCCTTGCGTTTGATCAAGCCAGTGTACTCGTCCAGCGCAGTATCGGCCTTCTCCAAGACCGTGTCGACGACATCCACCACACCACGCCAGTTCATATCAATGTCCTCCGCATCTTCGAGTGTCGGCGCCGTCAGTCCGCAGACATCAGCCGCAGATTTGAGTAGCCGTGTCGTGAGATCGCGCAGGCGGGCCGATTGATCGTCGAGGCATTGTGCAACGGTAGGATTGACTGTTCGCTGGAACGTGAGGTCTTCGGCGGCGATGCGATTCGTCGTCTTGACAGTCGAAACAAGAGACTTTTGCACACTCTCTTGGAGTGTCGTGAAGTCCTGCGAGGGCTCCATCTTGGGGACGAAGAAGTTTCTCAATGAGTTGATGAGTACGGCGACCTCTTGGATGAGCGAAACGACTGGTCACCGTCTCAGCGTTTGTTGAAAGGCAGGCACTCGGGCGCGCGCGCGTGGCTGCTGTCGTTTGACTTTTCGCAACAATGGCAGAAAATGTCTGGTATCGGCTTTGTGATAACGGCTATCGATAAGCCGCTGCGTGGCAGCGCCATCCACTTCAGCTGCAGCTCCTGGTGGCCGTTGAGCTGCTGCCCTTGCATGAATGTTCAATCCGTTGCGACTCGCAACTTGACATCATTACAGCTTTTGGACAATCTGTTGAAGCATGACGAACAGTGTCTCTCAGATTCGATCTCATGGCGCTTCCATCTTCCCTGTCAGGGCTCTGAAGTGAGCTACGCACCTCCAAAGACGGTGATTGGCTCCTACTAGCCTCTGGGTTATGCTGTCCAACCGTTTCAACATGTGCCGTTACTGACGTAGTTGCAACTATGGGAGCCTGCACTCACGCCAGCACGGTCCTCAATACCAGGCTTCTCCTCGAAGACGGCTGGATTAGACATCCGTGCAAAGGCAAGGTGCTGTGCAATCATTACGACCCTCTATAATAACTTCAGTCCAGCTTGACAGGTAGAGCGGACCTTCGCTCCGGAAAAAATGGAGCAATGCGGGTGGTTTGCACCGTGACGCCTCGCGGGAGCTCTGTTTCTCTTATCAAATTTGCATGAAATCGAGATGCCGACCTGACCGCTGCCGACACAAAATCCCCATATTCAACTACTGATACATTAAAAACTCGATCAACACCTTTTCCCAATTGCCTGCCTGTGACGTGGCGCTGTCTGCTGCCATGATTTACTCCGACTGAAATAAGACCCCTGTAACTCTGCCCCTCCGTGCCTTAACAACCTTTCCCTTAGAAGTCCGCGGAACCTGTTAGTGCCCCTCCTCGTCGGATTGTGACCCGAATCGAACACGGTCGAGACAGACTGGAGCTACATCAGCGAAGGTTCCCTCAACAAAGACCTCCGGCGCTCGACCTGTCCGTCTTTTCTCTGCGGATATTGCAAGTCAAGTCAGAAGGCTACATGTCCTCGTTATCACAGAGTCCTTAAATACACCCTCCTCAGGGCCCAGACTGCCCCTCACAGAGCACATTCAGCACACGACGTCATCACGACCACCTTCACCGACAGCGAACCATCAGTCCGAACCGATCGAACAAGAACGCTTGTCCCTCACAGCCAAGATGCCTTCTGTGGAATCTGACGCACAGGCCGCTTCCGGTCGCCTGTTGCTTCTGTCCAACCGACTGCCCATCACCATCAAGCGAAGCGAGGATGGCGCCTATTCCTTCTCCATGTCGTCGGGAGGCCTGGTCACTGGTCTCAGCGGTCTTAGCAAAACGACGAGCTTCCAGTGGTATGGCTGGCCGGGACTCGAAGTGCCTGCGGACGAAGTCGATGGAATGAAGCAGCGTCTTAAGGACGAGTATGGCGCGCATCCCGTCTTTATCGACGACGAGACCGCCGACAGACACTACAACGGCTTTTCAAGTATGATTTCTGTGGTACTAGAGACAATAAAACACCCACTGACACGGATACAGACTCAATTCTCTGGCCGCTTTTCCACTACCACCCCGGTGAGATCACCTTCGACGAGCCCGCCTGGGCCGCCTACCAAGAAGTCAACCGGCTCTTCGCCAAGGCTGTCATCAACGACGTCCAGGATGGCGACCTGATCTGGGTGCACGACTACCACCTGATGCTTCTCCCCCAGATGCTCCGCGAAGAGCTTGGCGAATCCAAGAAGAACGTCCGCATCGGCTTTTTCCTCCACACCCCATTCCCATCATCCGAGATCTACCGTATTCTACCGGTCCGAGAATCCCTCCTCATGGGCCTCCTCGATTGCGACCTGATTGGATTCCACACCTACGACTACGCCCGCCACTTTCTCTCCAGCTGTTCGCGCATCCTCGGCGCGCCGACGACTCCCAACGGTATTGACTGGAAAGGCAAATTTGTCACCGTTGGCGCGTTCCCGATCGGCATCGATCCCGAGAAGTTCGTCGAAGGGCTCGAGAAACCCACTGTCAAGGACCGTATCGCTGTACTGAAACGCAAATTCGAGGGCGTCAAGATTATCGTCGGCGTCGATCGCCTCGACTACATCAAAGGTGTCCCCCAGAAGCTCCACGCCCTCGAAGTATTCCTTACCGAGCACCCCGAATGGGTCGGCAAGGTTGTCCTCGTCCAGGTCGCTGTGCCCTCGCGTCAAGATGTCGAGGAGTATCAAAACCTCCGCGCTGTCGTCAATGAGCTCGTCGGCCGCATCAATGGAAAGTTTGGCACGGTCGAGTTCATGCCCATTCACTTCCTGCACCAGTCTGTCTCTTTCGACGAACTCACTGCCCTGTACGCAGTCTCCGACGTTTGTCTTGTCTCCTCGACCCGCGACGGCATGAACCTTGTTTCTTATGAATACATTGCCACGCAGCGCCAGAACCACGGCGTCATGATCCTGTCCGAGTTCACAGGCGCCGCCCAGTCCCTGAATGGGTCCCTCATTATCAACCCTTGGAACACGGAGGAAATGGCCAATGCCATCCACGATGCCGTCACCATGAGCCCCGAGCAGCGCCAAGTCAACTTCAAGAAGCTCGAGCGCTACGTATTCAAGTACACTTCAGCTTGGTGGGGGGCGAGCTTTGTCGCAGAGATGACGCGACTGAGCAAAGAGGATACACGGAGCAAGACGCTGCGCAATGTGCACGGTGCTCTGGTAACTGGGGGTCTGAAGCCAGACCAGGCAGCAAATGCGCCGAAACAAGTACGGATAGATGGCGAAGGCGTCACATCTGAATCGACCGTGGCGAAGTAGGTGCTTGTTGTTTTGCGAATGGCTTTGCGAGAAAAAACCAGCGTGAGAGGCCATGTAGTAATGAAGATTTGGCTGCAGGCCATGACAACTGAAGGAAACTACGCAGATACGTACGCCGAATATCACGGCGAAGTCGGAGTCTAGGTTTAGCGGCTGGATTGAATTCTATTTGTTAACAAACAACGGTTGAGGGGGCCAACTACCGAGTGAACAGCTTGGCTGTGCAAAATGTAGAACAGTTTCGTTTCTCGTAAGAGCTACTAGACACAGGTATCTAAGAAAATATGGATGTACTTCGCCCGCCCCAACTCCCGAAATAGATAACCCCCCCTGATCAGTACGGCGAGTCCACAATGTCGTCTCTGCCCAGCTTGTACCGTCCGCTGTTGGCGCCTCCAATCCTCCCCGAAGACTTCCTACCTCCGCTCAGACGAGCATTGCCCATGATGCTCTCACGGGTTGGCTTCTTGAAACTCTGCTTTGCAACCATGTTGACCTCGTTGGGCAGAGCGACAATGACATTCTTGTCACTGCCAAACTTGAAGTCATCTGCTTTGACCTCGTCTTCGTATCGCTTGATCTTGTAGGCCCCCTTCATGCCACGCAGAACACGCTTGAGACTCCATTCCACAATGTACGGACCCGTTGCCGTGATGATTGACGTCTCGGCGGCACCGTCGATGCCGGTATTGAACTTTGCAGGTGTGAAGGATATCGGCTTGCCCGTTTCGTGGAAAAATTGGGCAACGTGCTCTGCAGTCAGTGCGAGACGGCGAGGCTTGGGCTTCTGATCGGCGGCGAAGCCTTTCTCAAAGCCAAGTTTGCCCTCGTTCTTGCCATCCTTCTGTTGTGCATCGATAAGCAAGATGTAGTTCTTGGTGGTGCCTAGAATCCATCTTCCGTCGGCCGAGACATCCATGCCGACAATTGGGTCGCCCAGTGCGGGTAGGGATGTCTTGGCGCGCATTCCAAGCTTGTCAAACAGTCGAATATCACCCTTGTTGCTCGCCACGGCAATGTAACCCTTCTGCGTGGTAGCAAGGGCAGAGAAGTCGTTCTTGGTGGCGTATTGCTTGAGGTCCGATTGCACCAACTTGTTGCCCTGTACACGAGGGTCAACACGGAAGAGTGCGTTGTTTGAGACACCCAGGAACGTTTGCTCGGCGGTCATCTGTGCGAACTTGTTCTCGGGACCAAAGCTGACAACACCAATGTCATCGTGGACGTTCCACTCATCGACAACCTTTCCTGCCTCAAGATCCATGCGGTAGAGCTTGTTGGGGTTGGTGTCGCTTTGGAAGACAAGGTCCCTGTCTTCGGAGTGAAGCATAACCTTGGAGGGGTTGCCCATCTTCTTGCCTGTCGTTGGATGCTCCAGTTTCGAAATGTTTGTAGAAAACTCGAGCTTGTTGTCAGGATTGTGCCTGAACACACCAATCTTGTTTCCGCGGACCACAAAAGATCGATCGTGCTTGTAACCAACGGCCAGCTGTGAGTTCATGTCGGCATCCTTGCCTTGGACATCGACATCGTCGAACTCCTCGTCTGGGTCGTATTCTTCACCGCGGAAAAGGCCCTGGTCCTCCTCCTCATCTTCGTCATCGTATTCGGGTTCCTCTTCTTGCTCTTCTCCAGCAGGCGGGGCATCTTCCATTGTCAAGTCATTGAATGCGTCAAGGACATATTCTCGTTCCTTGTCCTGTATCTTCTGCCACTTGGTCTCATTCAGCTGCTCCCAAATAGCTTGCATCAGACCTTCTTGAAACTTTTCGAGGAGGTTCTGATTTTGGAACCTAAGCAACCACGATCGCGCGGTGCCGTCCGGGCTGAAGTGGTTGAATACAAAGGAGAGCATCTCAAAGTCGAAGACTGGGTTCATGTCGGCCTGTACAGTAGTACTGACCCACACCCTGTCCTTGCCCTTGATCTGAAGCCAATACTGCCACTTGCCGACTTCGGTGACAGTGGCAATAACAGAGTCCTCTACCAGTGCGAAGTGGCCAGGTGCCGGATCGAACACATGTAGCTCTGCAGGCAGCGCCGCGTATAGTTCCAACGCCTCGGGGGCCTCGGGAGGCTCAGCGGGTGAGAAGACATCAGGCTCGTTGGGTTCTTGGACTGGAGTCTGCTGTCGCTTCACTCCAATATTGGCGTTATTGTTGGACGACACCATGTTGTCCAAGGAATCGTCAATAGATCGAGTGAGATCTGATAGGTCGGGGCCGTAGAGAGGACTGGCAGGCGGGATCGGAGGATCCTCGTCGAATGCAAACTCTTCTAGATCCTCCTCGGTAGCTGTCGCGCGAGGAACCTGGTATTCCGCCTCGTACTGGCAGCGCTGTGCTTCGAAGAGGAAGGTCTTGGCGTCTGTCTGCGTCACCTTATCACCACAGATGAACTCGTAGAGGTCTCCCTCATCGCCGTCGGGAACCTTCCAAGCGATCAGCGCTCGACCCTCAGCTGCCACGCCCGTTCGAAGATGGAGCTGGCCGTTGAGCTGAAAGCTGGTTTCCTCGGTATGCTCGTCTGTCTCCTCCTCCAGCTCTGGGTCTTCCTCGTCGTACGCGCGCTGGACAACAAGTGTGTATTCGAATGGTCGGGTCTCTTTGCGGACGTAGACGGCAGCGTCGGTGAAGATTTGTTGGGATGCTCCCTTGGGCGAGAGTGGCGGCCGGACCAGATAAAACTGGCCGTTCGGAATCTGGCAGATGATCTCCTCTTCGGTCTCTTGAGCTTTGAGCGCGGGTTGGGAAGAGCCAAACAAGACTGAAGGTTAGGAATGTCAGCGTTTGTATAAGAGAAGTAAGGTAAGGTAGTAGAAAGGCGGCCACGGCTGGAGCCAATCGTCGCATCACAAAGATGAACAAAGGGCAACGGCGACCGCTGGTGCGGGGCAAGCGAGGGGCAGATAAACGAGAAAGTGCAGGCAGAGGCAAGGATCGCTCAGTGATTTTCGACTAGCGGAGAGGTTTCACACTTACGAGCGCGAAGGGAGTTCATCTTGGCAATGCGAGCGGATCACCCGCAGTGTGTATGAAAGGTTGAATCGACGGTTGGGGTGGATGTTGGTCGGAGAAGTAAACAAAGCTGAAGGGCTGGGCGCGTTGCTAGATTGCCGACCCACTCAAAATCTCATGGCAGGTGAAGAAGAGGGATGTAAGGAAGGGAACTTTGACGGTCTTTAGATCAAAGTCCAGAAGTCGGCACATAGACGATACAAAGCACTAAGCCTGTGTCACCTGAGAGCCTCCCGTCGACACGAAACCTCTTTGGTCAATTTGGTGCGTCATAGGCCTCTTGAAGGGTGTCTGAGTACAAGCTTGCTTGGTGATGGGTGGTGTGGCCATCGATTCCTCCAGGCAAAGGTGGAGGGGTAGGTGTTGCGCTCGCGGCAGCCTGGATTGCATTAGGCAGCAGGTGTGGCTGGGGAGCGCCACAATTGTCTAAGTGATGCTGTGACAGGAGTCAAGCGGAACCACAGTGCCCTGATGGATTAGGAATAAATCGAAAGGCTTCCCTGAATGGAGTATTCTCTGTGTCTTGCGCGTGGTCAAACAAAACGAGCCCAAACACTTGTGTGCAGGCCGGCATGGAACTTGTCACCATGGGTATCACGTGACGCGTCCTTCCCCTGCTTCTCGGGAATGGCCAACAGCGAGTGTCAGTGCTCACCTCGTCCATCATTTCCTTCTCTGAAATTTGTTCGTCCATCTCAGACAGATTTGCCGTCGAACGGGAACTGCATCTCTTTTTTGCACTTTGCGTAGAATCGCCATGAAGTTTCCATGGCTGGAGTTGGCCTTGACAGGCTTCGGCGCTACAGCAGGCGAGGCTGAGGTGGACGATAATGTTCACAACATTGCCATCATAGGTAACACTGCCGTCGTCAAATCTTCCAGAAATTGCTTTGACAGTCGAAGGTGCTGGTGCAGCTGGCTCATCAACAGCCTATCATCTCAGTCGGTTCGCTCAGACGCTACCGTCAAACGCGCCCGCCCTTAACGTCACTATCTTTGAGAAGACAGACCGCATTGGTGGACGTTCTTTGACCGCCCCAGCGCCATCAGGGCAGCCGATCGAGCTTGGAGCTAGTATATTCATCACAAAGAACGAGATTCTACTCAATGCAACGCGCGACTTCGACCTTGCCCTGGGGGGCCTGCGCGAGGGCTCTCCCGGTGATATCACTGCCATTTGGGATGGCCAGGAATTCGTCTATCAGACTACCGACGGGGAGAGCTGGTGGTGGGATGTCGGCAAGATGTTATGGAGATACGGCATGAGCCCATACAGGGCTGTGAATCTCGTCAAAGACACTGTGGGCAGATTCCTTGAACTATACAAGGAGGATAACTTCCCCTTTAGGTCATTAACGGCAAAGGTCTACGAGCTTGGCCTTGTCAAGCAGACGGGTATCACAGGCGCAGAATTGCTGAAGCAGAACAACGTAAGGCACTGGGTTCCGTGCAGCGAGCGACGCACGGAGGACTGACAAGAAGCAGATTGACGAGAAGTTTGCAAGGCACATCATACAAGCAGCCACACGCGTCAACTATGCCTCGAACTTGGCATTCATTCATGGCGTGGAGGCGATGGTGTCGTTTGCCACCGAGGGTGCTGTATCTGTCGAGGGCGGTAACTGGCAGATCTTCGACAAGATGGTCCAAAGCAGCGGCGCTACTCTTCACCGAAATACATCCGTGGCATCCATCAGCAGGCCAAAGCAGGATGGGAAGTACTTCGTCTCGACAAAGGTAGATGGCTCAGCATCCACAGCCGAAGCCTATGGCATCGGCTTTGACGAGGTCGTCATCGCCACGCCCTGGCAGTTCAGCCAAATCACTACCGACGCGTCGGTCCTAAGGCACAAGATCGAGGAGGTTCCATACACAAAACTTCACGTCACGCTCTTCACCTCACCATTCAGACTCCACCCTCAGTTTTTCGGGCTTGCTCCCGGTGCAAAGGCTCCCAGTAACGTGTACACCACTCTTGGCGAGGACGAAACGCCCGCCAGTGGCGCTGATGGCGTAGGCCGCACCGGGTTCTACAGCATCAGCACCCTACGAACGACCAACAATCCTACCACTGGGCGTCTGGAGTTTGTCTACAAGATCTTTTCCGCCGAAGCCATCTCCCCAGCGTTCCTGAGCTCGGTGCTGGGTACCGCGGTGCCTGACAGCTTTACGGGTGACAAGTCACCGATTAGCTGGTATCATCCCGTGTGGTTCCACTCCTATCCCATTGAGCTGCCGCGGGTCACATTTCAAGATCCGGTGGTTGGCGATGGTGTATGGTACACAGGTGGCATGGAGAGCTTCATTTCGACGATGGAGACGAGTGCCTTGATGGGGATGAATGTGGCAAAGCTGATTGTCGATGAGGTTGGGAGCTCTGCACAGAAGGGCGGCGAGGACAAGGTCGCAAAGAATACATATGGCAAGGGCGCGGACGGTCCTGGCGATGAGTTGTGATATAGCGAATTTGTGATGCTTTTAGTAGCGATAATTTCATTGATCTTTCATTAAGAAATCATTCCGTACGATGTGGTCAAGTATGCGCGAGCATTCACAAACAACACAGGGGAGCGCCACAGCAAGAAGTACGTATCGTAACAGCAGAGCGAAAAATGGTATCATTCCAATGACCCAGAAATGCATCCTCCAACAACGGCAGACATTTCAAAAGGCTGCAAAGGGGATATCATGACGAAAACCAACAAACGCCAGGCAAAAATGCATGCCTCTTTTGTAACCACCACCACGCCATCGCTATGCTTGAAAAATGAATCAGAGCAACAAAACCCAGACACTAGGAACTCATATCATCATCGCTGCCCACACTGCCAGGTCCACCGACCGTAGCGGCGGAACTGCGGTCAGTGCGCCCTGTAGCCTCGAGGCTGCTCTGCCTCCGACGCTCCATCAAGTCGACAGGCGACACCTTTGCCGGGCCCACGTACATTCCTTCAGTATCCGGCTCATTCTCCGGATCCTCTCCATCCTCGTCGCCGCTCGTGAGGTCAACGCCGTCGGGGTACCCGTCGGATTGGTGAATGTCAGCACGGCGACTGGTCACCTCGGAGGACTCCAGCTCGTCATCCCCATAGGAGGAGGTCATGTCGTCGGCATCGCTTGACCCGTCGCTGCTGAACGGAGGGAAGAATATCGCTGGTGGTGGCAAGCGCACTGGAGCGAGTCGCTTGATGCGTCCAGATGTGTACTCGATTTCCATCGTGCGCGCCTCCTTGCGGGACGAGGTCGCGGTGATGGCGGCGGGGGACGAGGTACTCATGGACGCCAGGCGGCCGATGATGCTGTCCGTCGTCTCCTCCGTTCTCGACATGCCGGTTTTGGTCTTGGAAAGTTCCTCCTTGGGTCGCTTGGTCGTGACGACCACCATGAAGTGATCCTCGGGCATAACGCCGCCCAGCCCACAGGGCTCAAGGGGGTGGACTTCGAGAAATTGCTGGTCGTTCGTCCAGGCAAGGTCAATGTCGACGTCGAGCTCATCCCCGGATTCGTTGCCCGAATCAGGCGTCAGAGCGGGAACGCCATCGTCAATATCCATCTTGGACATGGGGTCTGCACAAGGTGCCTTCTCCGTCAGTGGGCGGTAGGGCAGTGACGAGCCAGAAGCTGTGCGCAGCACTTCGGGGCGAGCCTTATTGTCGTTATCCTGAGCCTGTCCGTTCGACATCATGTAGGTCATAGGCGAGGCACTGCCGGCATCGCCAGAGAGATCCGTACAGAATGGAGCGCCACTGTAGTAGATGATGGCGCCATCGTGACGGCGTTTCCGGCGGTTGTTGCCGGTACCACCAGATCCACTCTGGCCCCAGCCCGACTCATCCATGTTGCTGTCCTCGATTGGTCCAAACGAGGAGAGGGTTTCATCCGGGGATGTCTGGCCGCCAGATGACTGGCGGTGGACAAAGATGGGTTTGTAGTGAAAGCTGTCTGACGAGGCAACCTGGGCGCCGGCTTTCGACCTGCTGTTGGAGCTCCCGGACTGAAACTCGTCGCCGGTCGATTGGCCAGTCTTCTGGCGCTTGCGAGACACGTCTTTGTTGCTGTCTGTCTCCCCATTCTCTAGGCTTTTCCCATTGCCCTCCTCCGAACTGTCGCTGCTGAACTTGGTACCATCGGAACCGCCTTTCCAGCGGATCTTGCGACCATCTGGCGACAGTTGGAACTTGGTGCTGACGCCAGTGATTGCAGAGCGAACAAAGTCAGGAGTTACATTGATCATGTGCAGCTGAGCGAGACTGGTAAGAAGATTCAAGTACACCCATCCATCCGCGTCAGGGTGGATGTCGGATTCGTCAGAGGACCGTTTGATGAGCTCCGGTGGCAACAAGCCGAGATGCTTGATATAATCCATGTTCTCAGACGGGATTTGAACACGGTCGGGGTCGAGGTCGTGTAGGCGTGTAGGTCTCTGCTCAGGCGGTGGTGGGTCGGATGGCGATGTGTTGTTACCACTTCCGTTGCCATTCGACTCGGACTGGTCGCCTCCTGAATGTGACGTCGACGTGTTGTCTCTGGAGCGACTCGTCTTTTGGTTGCCGCCTCTCTCGTCGGTGGCCAATATCCTCGCCTCGCGGCTGGCTTCGTTGGCGTTGGCGAATGCGGGAATGGAAGCATTAGCCAACTGAGGTGGCTGGTGGACGAGAGGTCTGGACTGATGCTGCTGACCCTCTGAGACCACAGATTGTAGCATGGGGTTGACATCTGGCTGCGCGCTCTTGGCCTCCCTACGGTTACGCCCGCTGATTTTGCCAGTGAAGAGCTGTTCCAAACGACGGACAACGAGTTTCTTCTTTTCCTTGTCGGTCATCATGACATGGCGGGGGTATAGTCCCTCGGGGATGTCACGAAGGTAGCTCTCCACCTTCTGCTCAGATGACTTGACACGCGAATTCATCGACTGGTGTCGTCCCGCTGACTGTCCTGACGAGTTTGCCCCAGTCGACATGGATGCGTATGCAGAGTCGACTGGACGGTTGTTGGAACCAGAGGACGACGAGGCATGTTTGCTCATGGACCCGGAATTCGAGTACATGCGATCTCGGTAGTCCTTGGCCTTCTGGACCTTTCTCGACGAAGAAGCCGCATCTACCGAACTGCCCAGGCTGGCTGTGAAATCTCGCAATGTCGATTCCAGCTCGCGCTTCTTCCTCTGTGGTAGCCCGTGATATTTGATCTCAAAGAGCTTATCCTTGCGCAGCATATCGGGCCCTTTCTGCTTATACCGTTTCAATTCGTCCTTCAGCTTCTGGATCTCGACGGTCAAGTCGTCGATCACGCTCCTGTATTCGTCGGCACTCGAGCTTTGGGCGGCAGCGAGACGAGCCGGGGCAACCATGTGCTGGGGGTGGGGGATTCGTTCCTCGTTCGATGAATCGGTCTCGCGCTGGAAAAAGGGCGGGTCAACGTCCATGGCATGACTGTCGAACGTGGCTGTAGGGTTTTTATTGGACTGATCGAACCATTTGTTCGGATCGCTTTGTCCTGTGGCAAAGCTGTCGCCTGAAGAGTTCCTGCGGGAGGATGAGGTGGTGTTGGATGACTTCTGGCCAGCTGTCTGCTGGCCTTTTTTGGAAGCAGCGCGCTGTGTCGCATCTCGCGCGATCCGGTGATGCTTGAGCGTAACTGAATTGCCAGGCGATGTCCTTCGTGGAAGAGGGTGGCCTTGGCTCGAGAGTTGTGGTGGAGGAGGATCCAGTCCCTCAGAGGGTTTCTCTATATGGGACATCGTGGCATGTGTGGAAATGGATTGATATTCTGATTCCGCGTGTGGTCGACTGGAGGGAATCATAAGAAAAGAAGAGTGCCCTCGGGGAAACCAAATGGTGCACTCAAGTGCCCATGACCCCAGCGCAGAGGGTCCGTGGGTAGATGGGCGACCCTTGCTCGTGACGTATGGAGTGGGGCAGTAGAGCACAGATAGGTGTATATCCTTCTCACCTGCATAAATACGTTAATTCTTGCTGGAAATTCTTGCATGTAACGGATGTATGTAGGAAACGGAACGCCATCAACAGAGGCTCGGGCTTTGTGATTGGCGGAGGCCGGCAATGGCATCGATCGATCGGGGTGTCATCGCTATATGACGGAGGGCTTCCCACTGAAAGGTCGCACTCACCTGATAAAACGAGTCGAGATCTTGATGACTATCCGGCGACGGTTGTCAATTCCTTGTCGCTTAGGATCGTCCCAGACAGACGTATTGCTGTAACGATGCGACTATCACGCGTCTGGTAGCAATTGAATTACACCTGGGTCTGATCTCGATTCCCGTGCTGGCGACTGCTTGGCAGATGGTCTGGTCTGAGGATCTAATGGAAGCACGTCCAATCCGTGTCACCAATCTTTTAGTGGTGCCAAACGGCTGTCGCGACCTTGATTCCTCGTAGCGTTGGCGTGGTAGTGATATAGATCGGTCGTGTCTGGCTGACCGTGTCGATATCGCCTTCTTTCTCGACCCTTTCGCGCAAAGCCTTCTGTTCGTACTGTTGCTTGTTGAATGGTCCGCACTGGCAAATTCTGGCGACCCGAGCTGCGATGATCGGTCGATGTGACAGGGCAGGGCCCGCGAGGACGGCGTAAGGGCCTATTGGGCGCTCCGTAACCTACTGCGTGATGCAGGCGGATCTCCTTTCGAGCTCGTTCTCGTCCAATTTCGGTGGACCTGGCGCAGTGAGGCTACACGGGGTTGGCGATGGTGAGGCGTCCCGGGATTTAGAGGTTGTCAAAGGTTGGGTTGGCCGGATAGCGGAACCAGCAAGTGTGGTTCGAACTTCGAAGTCGTAGATGTGTGATTCTCGTATGCTTGTGTGGGCGACTAGAGGTGTAGTATGCGACGAGGGCCGTGTTTTCAGCCTGTTCGTGTGCCAGGCCGCACAAACCTGCAATGCCTGACTGACACCGAACTCAAGTACCGTTACCTTCCGATGCCCCAGCATCAGTCGAGATCCCGCTGTCACCGCGACATCCACGGTGATCAGGGCCATCCCAGCCACTCATTTTCCAACCTGGCGGGCAGCTGTAGACCCGCTTGTTCCAGGCCTGAAGCGCAGAACCGATCTTTGGCTTAGCGGAGGTAGCGAGTACTTTGGAATCAGTCACCCTAATCCCTGCACCACAGGCCCACATGGGGCCACGAAAGCATTTGGTGGTCGACGAAAACTGGGAATGCCCTCTCTTTCCGAAGCCTTTGTCGCCTCGCCCCTTGATGCAATTTTGCCTTATGCGACATTCATTTTCCGATAGCTTGGAGATGCGTATTTCGGTGGCAAAATACAACACACATTCGATTCACAGCTGCCCTACAGCCCCTGGTGCCATACTGCAGGAATTGCCTGTCGAGACTCGAGACCAAAAGTCGTTCGAGAAGCGGGCAGTTCATCTCACCGGCCGTCCAGCTGTGTGTCTAACAATCTCAGTTTTGCTGGTGCATCGACGCTCAACAAGGGCATCGCAGCACCACAGTAACCACACCAAACGCTCCTGGTATCCCAGCGATTGGCTACATGCGCCTACCAATAGGGGCATTTCGGCCAGGCGCAGGGGATCACGATGCTGCCTTCGCCGGAGAACCCAGTACCTCCCAACGGTGCACCATCCAGTGGATGGAGTCGCCGGAAATCTAGACTAATTAGACAGTGGGGTTGTTCTACGTGCGGGCTACCTATTACTTGCAGGCGCTGCTAACAACTTTCTGGCAACCCTGTGACCGGGTAGACTACCTACCCTAACGTAAGACTACGTGGCTACTGACTTGGCGCTGCCAGGCGGAGGGGGAGATGCCGGTGTCGTTAGAATGTGAAGGGCAAGACTTGTTGAGAGCTCTGGAATCCGCAAGGTTCGACTTCCGCGTTGGGATCCAGCTAACAGTTATCTATCGCTGACCATGCTGTAGTTTGGATATTATGTACTTGCTTTCCTGTGCGAATCTCCTTGCCCCTTTGGGTCGGCGCTCACGGATCGCCAAGGGTCCGGTCAGGGTCCGGTCAGGGTCCACCCCAAGATCGACACCATTGTTTGCTTTGGGATGTGATCTTCGATGCGGCTACGTACATGATTTTTTTTGGCTTCAAGAACAGGAGGTGTGCGGATGTTGGACTCCCCATGTAGGTTTCCGAAGATAATTGGGTGACTTGTAGATTGTTTGGTGGTCGGATTCTCATCTATCTACGGATACCCTTAGGTGCGGCATGGCCTGCCCGTTCTGAATCTTGAATGGCCTGTGGAGTGGAAAGCCACGGTTAGGGCAAAATGTCAGTCAGCCTCTGAACTCAGAGCAGTCTACATCGAGCGATCTTTCAAGTTGACACATGCAGAAAACGGGTACGGTAAGGTTTCATCCGTATGTGTAACTTCGCCGACTGGGTCTTGGGATTAGCTAATAGATGCAGGCTAGAATCCCACAAGCCAGGAAAACCTCGAGTCCCCTCATCATGATGCCAGCGTCATTGATGAAAAGGCTGGATCGCTTTGACGCGTACCGCCCACTTTCTGTTCGCCATATGCTATGAGCCACACTCCCCGGGGCGGTCCGTCCGACCTAGAAAGGCTTGCTCTGCTGAACAGGGAAGGGCAGACTGGGCAGTTGATCAGGTCGTCGTGTTCATCTTTGATGAACCATCTTTCGATATGGCTAAATCGAGAGCTCGGCTGCGCTAACTCCAAATTCGGCCTGTCATGACGAGGAGGTCAATACGCAAGCTTGCTATTTGTTAGGATCCCGTTCAGGCATGACCAGACAGTTGATTAATATCTGACAATTGCGCGAGCCGTTATTAGCAAGTGTTGCAGGTTGACCGGGATGGGTCGTCGGGGCCATCGTGGTATCGTGGGCCATCGTGGCTATTCTCGTCCATGTCTCCTCGGAGATGCTAGTACGTAGTCTAGGTAGTTTTTCCAAGTGGTCTAGAACCGCATCGGCAGCAACTGATACAGAGAAGTGGCGCTCCTCCGCGATGCCGTTTCCTTGTTACACACGGATGTGCCTTGCCAGCATTGACAGCTGGAAGATCTTCCATTACTCGCCGCATGACGCGCATGCTCGAAGCTAACGACTGACACGTCTAATCGGGACTGTCAGCATCGTCCAGCCAGGCCCCGCGGTGTTCTAGACTCATCTAATAGTCTGTACCGCGCTCCGTCTTTGGGTCACATTACGTGCGCATCGCGACGACGCCATGGCTCGACGCGAGGGTGGTTGAGTACGTATACGCTGTCCGCAGGTGTACCACTCATCCTGCCTGAGCTGCGACGCCGTTCAGGGGCTTTGCCAGCGACCTCCAGATGACCATGATGAGCCACCCCAGTTCCAGATAGATGAGCATGTAGCTGAAGGCGAGCATCCAGTTGGGTTTTGTTCGATTAGGACCCGTGATGACCTTTGATGGCGCTGTTTGCGCTCGACGTAGCGATGGGCGCTCGCTCATCTTGGGGGCCACGCTTGGGGCATCAGAGATACTCGCGCGTTTGAGATGGGGTTGGAACATGGTGTATTCGAAGTAAGGTGCTGCAATTGATAAGGTACTGCCGACGCGACTTTTTTCTTCTTCTGGGTTTGGGTTGGAACGACTGGGAGCTAGCGAAGTGAGAGCGCGTTCGTTAATTACCGTCGACGGTGCGCATATGGGGATGCGCACCGTCCGGTAGTCATTTGTAGTGCGCAATTTCACAGTGCATGGTATCTGCACCACACCGTACCACTCAACCTCAACAGCAGCTCGGCAAACCGCAGAAACGCAGCTTCTTCCTGACAACAGCCACGGCAAGTCCACAAAACCCGATCGACTCTCCCATAGTCTACAGACCTGAAGCCCTGCGATCCAAATCTTTTATCCTCGATCATGGCCCAGAACTACCAGAACCCACTGGCATTGCCGAGGACGCTCTCTCCAGACTCGCTCGACGTGCTCACGCACCTGTACACCGTCCTCACCGAAGTACGCACGACGCTCCAGACATCCACGGGCCTGGACCCCACGTCCAACGACGGCAAGAAGACCACATCGCCGACAGGTCTTTCGTTCAAGGACGTCGTTCGTGCCAGTGATGGCCTCCGACACAAGCTCCAGCGCGCCCGCGAACAGGTTGGAAAACTCCCGGACATGCAACGCGGGATAGCCGAACAAGAGGCAGAGATCAAAGAGCTGGAGGCGAGAATAGAGAAGCAGAGGGTGCTGCTGGAGAGGCTGCGCGAGGGAGGACTGCAGTTCGGCCAGGATGGAGGGGAGAAGATGGAGATGTGAGACTTCGCATCCCGCCCATAGAAGAAGCGCGCAGTGCTACGAGGTGCGTCTACAACTGTCTTTACTTTGCGTTCTGCAGTTTGGAGTACGGTAAAGCTAATGTATCAACAGCCCACACAGAAGCAGCGCCCCAAGCTAAACCGACGAACAATCCAGCTATCGCCACTAAGCCATCACCTCCTCAATGGAGCGATTGATCTCGACACCCGACGACGCGATCAACGGAGGCCAACACTTGCCAAGGTCTCCTCGACGCTGGCGCCTGGTCGGCCGTGCATGACTTCAGCCCACACAGTCTCGTCTAGCCTCTGGTCCTCCGGAATCACCGTCCAATTTGGATTCTCCCCGCCCTTGCGCCAGCTAAAGTCTTCAATGCGATCCCATCGGTTGTTTAACCCTTTGGATGTGTCATTCGCCTAGTCAAAGAGGTCAGTGAGACCCATAAAGTCTCCAGCTTTGTCATTACTCACATAGATGGTAGGCAGCGGGGCGAACTGCATTTGAGAACAGTTCTCAATGACAGGATCGCTTGCGCAGAAAAGATAGACCCGCACATTCTTGCAGTCATGGATTCTCGCTTGCTGCGCCGTCAATACAACGATGCTGTCCTTGACGTTTGTGATATGCACCGAGCTGGACACGCGCCCTGCAATGACCAGACTGCCGGAAATATTCTTCAAGGCCAGACTCGGCAATGGGGCGCCGTTAGTAGGAAGGGACATGTCCACAATGCAGCCCTCTAGATCCTGGAGACTCCCGGCAGCTGTGGCGCGCGATGCTGAGAGAGGGAGGATGATGTGCAACCCTTTGTGCTTCGATATCTCAATGGTATCAACGGTAGAGAAACTTGGTTTACGAATTTGCGAATCGCTGGACTGCGCCATCTCCTGATTGTAGTCCTTGCCTTGGGCCATGGTTGCATTGCCTGGTAGCTCCTGTGATCTCAGTGTTGGGACTCTGGCCTGGCTCGTGGGCTGAATGCCTGGGTTGTATCGCGGGTCATTCTGAACAGCACCCATGTCGACATGTTTGGTCTTTGGCCTGAACTTGAATCTCGACGGTTTGGCATCCTGTTCGAGTTTGGATCGGCGAAGCTCTACGGCCGCTTCGAAGGCCTGCCGCAGACGAGCGAGATCTTCCACACGCTGTTTCTTGACAAAGTCGTTCTTGTGATCAGCGAAAAAGTCGTTCGTCATGCTCTGCAGCTTGTTCCGTTTGGCGAGAATGATCTCCTTTGCACCCTCATACTCCTCTTGGGACTTGGACGGTAGGAGGGCAATCTCATCTTTGATATCTTGTTTTCAATGTCAGATCCTGCATTGCGCAGCGTGAGCATGACTGACCTGTCTCCTGGAGAGAGAACTGTAGACGGAACTCATCCGTAGGGTCCATCATTCTGGCCTTGTAGAGAGCCTTGGGTCCTGCAAAAGGATGTGACGCCCAAGCGGGCTGAACCTGAATCGGAGTCGCCATGTTAAAATGTCGTTTGAGGAGTAGATAAGTCTGATAACGCATGTGCTATGGAAGGATCCGTGCCAGATTTATACGTGCGGAATCTACTTACAGCCGAGCCGTGAATGGGAGGATCTGTAGTATGACGAGCAGACGGTACGACCTCCCTTAGGTGATTGACGTCAAGTAGCGTCGCGCAGCTGCCGTGATCCAACAGGTCTGACCCCGCAAATTAAGGGCGGCGCCCAAGATGAAGGCGCTCGCGACGTTCAACTTCGTGAAGCCGGTTGCCGCTTTGGTGGCGTAGTGGTGGTGTGGTCGGGTTGCTTGACGTAGACTGCTGAGAATGCGGGGGTGGTGAAGCGCGGAAAGGGGGGCATTTGCCTCAGTCGAATGCTCGAGTCAGGGCGGAGCCGTTTTTGCGAAACCAGCTGTCCAGGTGACCTACGATCTGCAGTGCTGGCTTGCGAGACTATGTGTAAATGTTCCAAATCTCGGGAGATTGTAGGAGCATCGCCTGTGCATACATAGGTACTTAGTATGCGGTGAAGTGGGACCCGAAGACGCTACTGTGGTGTGGAGATTTTTGGGCGCGCGCTCTTGAACTGTCCACAATCCACATTCATATTGGCCTTTGCAGCTTTACCAGCCCCAGGCTTGGTACTTGGTAAAAGCTAACAGATCGCAAGGTAATATCTCGTCATCCGAAGTCTAGCGTATTCTGTGGCAGTGACTTCACTGTTCATGAACTCCTATCGACACTATTTCGAACCACAGACCTCAGTTTCCAAAACACTCCACCACAATTCCTGAACAAAACAAGCTACTGCTGAAATGCGTACTGTCTCGGTTTGACCAAGGACATGTAGTCAAAACATCACTGAAATCGATAAACAATTCCTAAGCTTCCCACAAATCTTGTTTGGTAAAGCTGACTGCATCCACAGGGCTCGCCGAGTGACTATTCACCAAAGCACGTTGGAAGAGCCATCGGACATTGATTTCGCCCAGTGCCAGACTCAATACTGTCGATGACTGTGACGACTCAGCGGAACATGGATGGGTATAACTTAAGCCGCTCTTTTGCTGACAGTGGTAGGGTTGTCCCTTGTCGGGGACTTGCCACAAGACACTGGTGGCACCAACGACCCTGACGAGTTTATGGTTGATCTCGACGACCTCGATTTCGTCTAGTTTTCGCGCTCTTCTGGTCTCGTGGACGACGAAACGAATTGCGCAGTACTCAGTGCTGTGTCCTGCGTGGTCCCGTGAATAAACTGCACCTCAGATTTCAGAGCACACTCTCAGCGGTAGCCATGAGCCAGGACACGGGGCTGCAATCAAGCTTTCCTGAGAAGTGAAGCCACAGAATAAGTTGAGAAATTGAATCCCAAAAGGATTGAGGTCCAATGTTGAATTGTGCCGACAATGGCGTGGCTGGTTGGTGAGATTCTAGGCAACAAACATCAGCGCTCTAGGATCTTGCCAGCAGAACCTGACTTCAAGACAGACTGTGTGTTCCAGAATCTAATCCGGGAGGAACATCATATGGGATAGAGTGGGAATTACACGTGCACATGATGCTGTGGTGTTTCTGACTGCTGACTGTTTGAACAACTCGCTTCTGGGGGTTGTATTGAACAGATAGACAGTTCATACAGAATTCCCAAAACTCAGTGAATGGCTTCCATCTGATGAAGCAATGCCAAAGACAACTGAAAACCAGTATATCCAGAGACTTCATTATTTTCACAACGCGCCGGCCCAAGACGAGTACGTGTCGTCCACAGGCAACTAAATGATATGCCATTATGCAACTATTCAAAGCGGTGCGCCTCTGTGATTGTGTTCGCATGTTCAGATGTTCCGGAGCTAGAAGCAGAATAAGGGGTCTTATGAAGTTCGCATTGTTGTGTTCTGGCGCGTACGGTCAGAGTTCTTGTCGTCTCAACTCCAGCACAGAACAACACTGCCACCAGTGACTACCTGGTACACTACCCTCTCAACTACAAATAATCCCCTTGCACCTGGACTTATCGGAGGAACAACCTCAATACAAACTCCCACATCTCTCTCAATACTCCTACAAGACTCGCAGACTTGTTTCCAGGACCCTTCACTTCACATACAACCATCCAGCCCCGGAATCTTCCCCTGAACAAGATGGCTCAGGTCGCCTTCAACGTCCCGCGCGGAGCCGACCCGAAGAAAGTCTACGATCAACAGACTGCGATAGCCAAGATGAGGCGCAACAGTGCTTTGAAGGCTGTGCACAATGATGAGCGCCTTCTGGAATGGATTACCAAACATCACAACGAGGTATGTCAACCCAAGAGCACCCCCCAAGTACAAACAAGACTGACAGATTCTCAGATTGAAATCCCCGGTGAACCCACCAACCCCTACAACTTGCGCTCAAAGAACAAGAAGCCATGAAGCGTTTACGACATCGCCTACCCAAACTTTCATATCAACGACACAGGGAGTTGACGAGCACTACATGGGCGAACGACGCAGGTGATACGGAGACGGGGCACATGGAAAGCCAAATCATGAGCAAAGAATCTTTGGACACATCTTTATGTATTCGCAATAATTGTCACCAATAAAACTTGTCAATTGCGCACGTAAACTCGCTGGGCTTGCTATGCCATCCTGGCGGGCTCACTTCCGTTTGCTCTTTGATGTCTGAGGCCCTGACCGTGATATGTATGTTTTGGCTTGTTCCAACCAGATTTACCCCCGCGTTCTCCCATCTCCTAATGTCATGGTTTTATAGTCGTAATCTTCTTTTGAGGGCCGTTGGCGAAGGCTGGTCGGGCAGCGGGCAGCGGGACTCGTTACATCGGCTTCGTTTTCGTTCGCAAGTTGCAAGTCCAGTCATCGAGTGGACGGTCGCGCTGAAAAAGCTGGCAAAGCAGACGCAGGGAAGAACTCGAGCATGGGGCGGCGCGTGCGGGCGAGTCTGCATGTATCCTGTTGATCAGCAGGCTCTTGCGAAGGTTGAGTTTGTTGTGAGGAGCTTTGTCGCGATGCACTTCCCTGGATGTCGCTGTCCGCGAAATTCGATCTGTCGGATGCTGGCGGTCAATAAAATCTAGCACATCAAAGATCGCCCATCAGAGCTGTTGTCAATGGTTATGGGCGACAGGCTCGGCGACGGCGTAGTTCAAGCCAGGGGCGCCACATTGAATCCGTGGCGCGTGCAACTCCCCGAGACTGTTCTGCAATGTTCCAACAAAGCCATGCCCTAGATGGGCTTGTAAACTTTCCTCATAGAAAGCTCCAAGAGCTGGCTGCATTGTATCAAGGACACCTGGCGCTTGTTCGGATGTGCGCATTGAAAAGCCACATAGCCCCCCTGAACACTGTGAGTTTTCCGGGAACAGATCAGGCTTTCATCGAAGTGACCGCCGCGAACACGCTTGAACGATATGATAGATTTGATGGCCTGCTGAAAGTTTCGCGACCACGAGGTTCAAGTGTGTGGGCATCGGATCCAGTATTTCCTGAAGTTATTGGGGCATGTAGTAACGCGAACAGATGACTTCTATTCAACAGTGGCATCGACGTTGGCGAGACCTGAACGTCCAATGGAAGAAATTTCAACTAAACTTCATATATGGGTTAGATAAATGCAGACAAGTTGCTATTTGTGTCGAAAATCAAAGATTGTGGGCGACGCTACTCCATGTCGTGTTGCATACACGTACACATTTCAGATGTGCTGCGGCTGGCTCAACTCAACTTCACCAACACAACTTCACCAACACGCTCCTTGCCAGCGCGACGTAGCAAGCACTTGTCCCAAGTTCTATTCCTCACCACTCCACGCCAGGTACTTGTTATCATTGCAAACAAAATACACTCGAAACAAAATCCTTCATTCCAAACCCGATGCCTCGCGTTGCGCTTGGTCTGCGAAAGGGGCAGCGGCCAGACACAAAGGTGGTACGTTGTTGCATTGAGCCCTCATTCTTTCCCACAATGTCTAACAATGTCAGGAGACGCGGGACGCCACCGTGGTACAAGCGACTGCCCCCTGCCAAGGGGCTGTCGAGAACCCAAACCGTGGGCCAGTACAAACCGAAACCCATCGAAACAAACCACGTCAAGCTGTCGAAGAACCCGCTGGACGAGATTTCGAGGGGGACCCGTTACCCCTCTTAATCGACAATATTGAGGCTGCGAGAAACAGAGGCCTGACAGAAACGAAAACAAACACGGCTCAGCCCCTGACCGAGGCTCAACTGTTCAAGATTGTCTGGTAGTGCCAGCAATGTATGAACAGTCGAGGCCCAGGCAAGCTGAGCCTGAAATCAGAGACTGAGCTCGAATACATTTATCAAAGAGCGAAGTATCGGGAGGGGTTTGCCGGCCAGGATCTGGACATCACTTCGCATCAGAATCCTGAGTTCGCAACCGAAGAGTGAGACGGTTGAATGCATGTGTCAAGGAGTCTTCAAGTTGGGAATATGTCTACAGAGAATTGCGCAGATGATGGTAAAGACGCCAGAGACGGAGGATTGTCAAAACTACACATAGCACAAATTACAGAGTCATGACCAAGTCGGCCCAACTTGTGTTGCTGCTGCCACTGTTTCTTCGCCAGCTTCAACTAGTCTCACTATGACCTCAGGCAGTTCTGCACAGTTTTCCACGCCCAGTCCTTCGACTGGTAGTTACAAATCCCAGTGTCACTGAACAGAACTAGACGAGTGCTGTGGATTCAGTCACTACAGCGCTGGTCCAAACTTCAGTCGAAATCATTGGCTCATCTTTCCCAGCCGCTTCCAACCTGACCTTGTTTATCTTTCTCTTCTGACTTCCATCACTTCGCTCTGACCATACACCGCCATCTACATCTTGACCCCTTACTTCTCGAACAACACTTTCACAACACCTGGAAAACAACAACACAATCATCCAGACAAACTCACAATGTCTAAAGCTGTCTTCATTTACGATACGGATGAGGAAACGCAGCTTGCGAAGCACCTCCGAGAGGTCAGTCCCCCTCCTGACAACGGCTCCCCCCTGAGCGTTGATCAGCTAACGTGGCCACAGCACAAGCGACTCGTAGACGAGAACTCGAAGCTCAGCGCGGACGTTTTCCAACGCGAGCAACAGCTCGCCAACAAAAGCCTTGAAGCGTACCACTTTTTCCTTCAGCGCTGTGGCCTAGGCGAGCAAAGCCTCGTTACCCTGTTCTGGGAGGGCCACATGAACACCGACCATTACAAGGGCCAGCTCGCCGAGATTCACAAAATGAAGGCGGGCTATGACAAGAATTTGGTGGAAGCCACCAAGATCTACCAAGGGAAGATCGTTCCCCTCATGAAGACCCTTGGCGAGAAAGCGTGAGTACCTATCCGCCCCCTCAAGTTTGACATGTTGTCTGTATGCATTCACTGACTTTCGAAGCATTCCGGTCTTCTACCAGGAGGTCAACTTCCCTCTGATTTGGCTCAACGTCAACTCGATTGACGCGACCGCCTGCTTTTTCTAGGACATGGCTCACTCATGTAGAGATCCATTGATGGTCAAGAACAGTGGAACAGGATGTCTCTGCTGCTGATTTTTTGGAGTTGTTTGGCCGGAGTATAATGAGTTATGAAACCAATGAATCATGCACTGTAATCAAACCCTACAAAACTACTCTCATGATCCTCATCTACCGTCGAACGTGATGGACAGGGCAAAGGGTCGTTGTTTGTTGTGTCGATAGATTTGTAACGGCGATAGCCCGCCACAATTGGCGCTGCTTCGAATAGGGTCTATGCTTGTTTTTGCCTAAAAGCAAGCTGTTCTGGTGATGGGGGATCTGCGCCCTGGGGACTTTCAACCCTTGGGGGCTGTCATGAGGTATCCTGGGCAGCATGGTTCACACATCACCATCACGGCGGCACCATGCTGAGGCTTGTTCTGCCACCCATCCATCTCCGACATGCAACGTCACTGTTCTGAAAATGAAGCCGGCCCTGAGATCCGAACAACGGCGGCACTCTGCAAAACTGACCCAATGTTCAAGACAGCTAACCACACACGACCAAGCCAAGAGACCAAGTTGCCAGCTACGCGAAAATGGCAGCAATATCTGAATCCTATTATTGTCGAAGCTCTCCGCAACCCGTTTTGAAGGTTGGCCAAAGCAGGCTCTGGCACACCGCCACCTGGCCCCCTTTCAACCTTTCGTGATGTCTTCTCGCAATGACTTCAACAGCAAACAACCCCCAGCCTCAATTTTCAGAATTGATCATGGGACCGCGTAGCTGTGGTTACCAAGGACGCTAATGCGCCATAAGCGAGTTTGCTTGAAAAGCCTGCTGTGTAGCTACGATATCAGACGAAAATGCGTCCAGTCGATGGAAGCCATTCAAAATCCTCCTGAAGTTGGCGGCGACTTCCGGATTTCAAGCAATCCGAGCAGCCCGCTCTAGGGTAGCCAATGGCTCGGGAAACCCTGACGGGGAAGGCACGACTTGAATTAATATGGGGTTGGGCGGTCTTGGCTGGGGAATTGGGAAGGGGCTCTACCGGCACCCACTTGCCTCCAGCTAGGCGGCTAGCAGCTCGATCATTGGGCCATTTTTTCCTGGAGGCCTGTCGCTCATCATTGAACTCCTCAACTCATATCAAAGACGCGACAGCCACCGTCGAAGCGACCCTGCGCGCGCAGCTCCTCTCTCATTTCCGTGCCAGGCGTGCGACATGTCCTTCCAGAACTTTGAGCAGCCGTATCCGCAACCCACGTCCCAGACTGTCCTCCCTCAGATTCAAGATCAGCCCTCGCGCGTCTCGGGAACCAAGCGTGCAGCCCTCGGCTCCTTTGGCGACCCCACGCACGCCCGCCATAACCTGACATCTGCTGCGTCGCCCAGCGTGTCGATAGCTTCGTCCGCCTCTCCGGCCAATGTTCTGCCCAATGGGTCGGCGGCTGAGAACCAGTACACTCCCGGCCATGCCAGCGGCTCGCCAGCCGCCAAGCGCTTTCAAGTACCCCGAGCCTGTGAGCGCTGCAAACGTCTTCGTCGAGGCTGCAGCGAGTATCGACCATGCCGAAGATGCGTTGATGCTGGGGTCGCGGACCAGTGTCAGGTGACGGCAGTAGGGCCTCAATTGAACGGGCCCGGGCAAGGTAACGATGCTCAATCGCTTCACCAGCGGCTGTCGGATCTCGTGCCCGCACGGCTGGTTGACTACTGCACGCAGCGCTTCTTTGACCGACTTCACCCCACGATACCCATTCTCACGATGGAGTACGTAGCCCGGCTTAGGGCCGCAAGTATCTCTCCTGAAGGGCTGGAGTCCCTCGCAGTGCTGGTGGGGATGTGCGGGCAAGTCTTGTTGCAGACTGAAGAACCGGAGGAGCTGTTCCAGCAGGGCGTCATCCCAGAGAAGAACCTTGCCTTTGGGCGACTGTTACTCGATACAGCCATTGCAGCGTATCAGATCATGCCCCGCCGGTCGGTCGTGAGCATCGAGATGTGCATGTTCAGCTTTTTCCTGTACGCGTGCGAAGCGGTGCTCTTTCATCATAGCCGGGCATTTCGGTTTCTCAGGGAGACGACTACACTGGTCCTGCTCTTCAGACCCGAGGAAGCAGACGACACGACACAACTTGTGGCCAACCGGCTGTTCTGGGTGCTCCTGATCTCGGAGCGATCGCACGCGATTAGATACCGACGGCCGATTACACTCCAGATCACAAACGCAACACCAAGTATCGACGCAGGCGACTCGTCGCTGGTAGGATTTTGGAGCCTCGCGGCCTTGTTCAGACCGATCGACACCTCCTTCATCGCGCTTCTCAACCACGAAGAGCTGGCTATCGGGCCCTCGCCAGAGTCGATCAATCACATCGAAACCAAAGTCAACTCGGCGCTGAGTCCAGGTCTCGACCTACGCGACACCCAAAAGGCCAATCTGAGGGTGACGCAGCTATGGTTGCGGGTGATCATCTGGCAGCTGCGCCTGCACCTTGGATACTTGGTGGAAGAATCATACCAACACAGCCTCACCTACCGCTATCCCATTGACGTGGCCAAGGATCTCATGTTGTCGACGCGAGATTTGTCTCCGCCGGCATTCAAGGTGCATGGCGTGGGATTGACCGAGAAGCTATTTGACATTGCGTCTGCGCTCGTGGATGTGTTGGCTCGTATCCCCCTCAACTCGACGTCTCCCCGCGGTGTCGCGATGGGGACCCTGCCAGAAGATGACTTGCTCTACCTGCGCAATCTCATACGGAAGCTGCCGGGGGGCCAGACTATGTTTGATGACCTTTTGGAAAAGCACATTCAGCAGAGCGTGCCGGCGCTGGCGACACGGCGGCCGAATATATCCTCTCCGAGCACCTTGGATGCACGGGGGCAGCTGGGAACGCGGGGCGGGCATTGAACGCGCTTGTCTGGATGGCGTTGCAATAGCTTGACGTGTGAAGATCCAGCTCGCATTGTCGAGGAAAAGCTTCGACTCATTTGGCCTGGAGACGCCATTTCAACATTTCACAATCAGTGCGAGGCAGGGCAGCATGACCTCCATGAATGGTCCACCACGAAGCCGATTCAGGGAAGCATAGCCTGGATCAACGGTCTACTACGAAGCTTCCACCGTCTCAACGTCGAGCGGGAGAGAATGCTGCGGCGATCGAGGCGAATACATCTGCGCGGCGTCCAAGAAGTGCGGGAAGGTTATTACAATCATGCATCAAGGGCAACGACAATGGTCGATTTGCAGGATCTGGAGGCCACAATTTGGCAGCCGAGTCGCTTCGCTAGAGGCAGAGCAAGGCTTTGCACTGGAGTCGCTCAACTCCTTGCAGCGTCCCATGGAAGAGCTTTTGTCAATGTTCGCGTCCGTGGGGCCGCGTTCAGATGAGCCTGCTACACAGAACGCTGGAAAAATATCATCAGCGGGAAGGGCCGGTGTTCTGGTCGCCTGGTCTGTCGGCAGAAACGACTTGTTCGTCTCCACACACGGCTCTTCCACGGTAACACCAGCGGATCATTGCCGTACATTTCGAGGTCTGTGCTATGTTGGCTTAACGCAGCCGCACTAGAACGCGATACTACCCAAGCAGCCGCTCCACGTGGCTCTGACGCCGTTGCATCCCGAAGCTCGGAACCTAAAGGAGGAAGTGCTTTTGCCTATCAGGCGGGTTATGTGCCATGGGCCATGGCCGAGAATTCCCTCGTTCAAGTCGACAAGGCCCTGCTATGTCCAATCGGACAAGACATAGATATATCCGAACAAAACCAATCAATCAGCTGCATGAGCAAGCATCCGCCCTTTGAAGAGGATGCTGATTGCATGTGCATTCGCGTGACGAGGGCCGCTTGGGTGGCTGGAATGGAATGCCAACATGTTGGCCGCTTTGTCAATTGGCCAAGCGTCTGTGTCATAATTTCCGCCGGGCCTCACTGGCGCCAAGCGGAGAGAAGCTGGGTTCTGTATGGGGGAGGACGGGGGTGGACTCGCCAAGTCACTGTCGACCAGCCGCCCATCAACTCAGCACGACTTTTGCCCCCAATAATCAAGCAGACGCACGTAAAGGTTGGTGACGTTCGTGGCTTCGACACCGGCAAGACTGCGACGCACACGCATGCATGCATTACAGGCCCGAGGCGCAATATAGCCTAATAGGCACTTCAAGCCCGACGCGCTGGATCGACCGGCAACAGGCCTCGCGCCGGCTTCGATTTAAGCATATGCACAGTGCAAGCAAGCCGCCCCCTGCACCTTGCAAAATGCACGAGCGGCTGGCTGGCTGTCTGCCCATGCTCGATTGACGTCAGCAGGAAGAAAAGCGCAAGCAAGGCTCGAGAACGGCGACACTGCACTGTGCCCCGTATCCGTACGCGCAGTGGAATTCGTGAGCAACAAATTGAAGAAGCGCACCATAGAGATGAGTCGGCTGGAAACTCCAGATTGTAGCCTCCCAGTGCCCGCAATGTACGTACAGAAGAATGGCTGTCGAGGCGACTTTTCTCACCAGAGCGTGCCGTCATCGCCTCGGCTCGCCATGCCGTGGAACGGAGAGAAGAAGATGGATCGAAGCACCAGTGCAGCAATACCAATTGGCGCGGCAGACGTCCTGGCCCCGTTTTCCCGACGCATCGATCCCAGACGCCGGGCAGCGATACCCATTCATGGCAACGCACCCGCCGATCATCGACCGACTCCCAGTCTGGCACCGGCCGTCAGCCTTTCGGTGGATAATATTGGGTGAACGCCGCCTGCCATGCTGAATGCTGATACGTGCGCTTGTTATTCTCTTGGCCTTGACCACGGGGCCCCGTATAGAACCTACCCCAGGACGCAAAGTGAGGAGCCCCCATGGGACAGAGAGAATGGATATAAAATGACGACGCACGCGAGCATCGCGACGACCAGATGATACTCCTCACTCGTTGCAGAGCATCAGCTTCCCAGCAAGAAGCCCATCATGTATCGCATCTGGAACGTCTACGTGCTGGCCGCCTTTGGCACCATTGGCGGCATGCTTTTTGGTTTCGAGGTGTCGTCCATGAGCGCGTGGATTGGCAGTGACCAGTACCGCGCGTACTTTAACGACCCGGACAGCACTACACAGGTAATTGTGCTCTGCCTGGATCACCCGCGAGCCGAGCTAACATGCTACAGGGCGGCATCACCGCCTCCATGTCTGGTGGTTCCCTCATCGGTGCCCTCATCGCCGGCCAAATTGCCGACATGCTCGGCCGCAAAATCGCCCTCCAGATCGCGTCCGTCATCTGGATCATTGGCGCCGTCCTGCAGTGCTCGTCCCAGAACATTGGTCACCTCATCGCCGGTCGCATCGTGGGCGGTCTCGCCATCGGCATCACATCCTCGCAGTGCCTTGTCTACCTCGCCGAGCTGGCCCCGGCCAAGACGCGCGGCCGCATCACGGGTATCCAGCAGTGGTCCATTGAATGGGGCATCCTGATCATGTACCTCATCTCGTACGGGTGCGTGCGCGGCGTGTCCGGCCCTGCTGCGTTCCGCATCGCCTGGGGCATCCAGGCCGTGCCCGGCTTCATCCTCTTCTGTGTGCTCTTCTTCTTCCCCGAGTCGCCGCGCTGGCTGGCCAACAAGGACCGCTGGGAGGAGTGCCACGACATCCTGGCCAACCTCCACGCCAAGGGCGACCGCGGCAACGTGCTCGTGCTCGCCGAGCTCGACGAGGTCCGCGAGGCGGTCCGCATCGCCAACGAGAGCAAGGACATTGGCTACCTGGGTCTCTTCGCGCCGGGCGTGTGGAAGAGGACGGTGGTGGGGGTCAGCGTGCAGGTCTGGCAGCAGCTCCTGGGCGGCAACGTGATGCTCTACTACCTCGTCTACATCTTCAACATGGCGGGCATGTACGGCAACATTGCCCTGACGTCGTCCATCATCCAGTACGTCATCTTCCTGGTCACTACGGGCGCCATCCTGCCCATCATCGACCGCGTCGGCCGCCGCAAGCTGCTCCTCGTGGGCGCCGTCATCTGCGCCGTCCTGCACTTCGCGACGGGCGCCGTCATGGCCGTGCACGGGCACCACGTCACCAACGTGGACGGCAACTACAACCTCAAGTGGTCGATCACGGGCGCGCCGGCCAAGGGCGTCATCGCCATGTGCTACATTTTTGTCGGCGTCTACGGCCTCACTTGGGCGCCCGGCGCCTGGATCTACGCGGCCGAGGTGTTCCCCCTGCGGTACCGCGCCAAGGGTGTCGGCCTCGCGGCGGCCGGCAACTGGGCCTTCAACCTGGCCCTCGCCTTCTTCGTCCCGCCTGCCTTCACCAATATCCAGTGGAAGACGTACATGATCTTTGGCACCTTTTGCATCGCCATGACCTTCCACATCTTCTTCACCTACCCGGAGACGGTCAAGAAGTCGCTCGAGGAGATTGACACCATCTTTGACAAGAATCTGCCGCCCTGGAAGTCGGACAAGGTCGGCGGGTTTGACAAGAAGGTGGCGTCCATGTCGGCGGGCAAGGACGGTCCCGAGGCATCCCAGGCGGAGACTGTCTAGGCGTGCTGGGGCGTGTATAGTAAGCGAGGGGAATGCACCTTGCTTTGTTGTGATGATAGGAGTAGATACCCTTTGAATGTCAAACATTGGACATTGTACTAAGATGATCGCTCAGTGACACGGTGGAGGCTTACTTCATCTTTGTATGCACTCACATGCCTTGGTTGCCTATGCCATAGGTATTAATATTGACCAAAAACCACAGCTAAATATTGCATACTTCGCGACACTCCGATTGCAAGTCGAGTTGCCGTTATGTTGGCTGACCGTCGCGAGGGGCGGACAACATGAGAAAACCCGCCGCCTTCTCCAAGCCAGCTTCATGACCTCTACATCACCCGCATTCAATCACCTCCATGTCAACACGATGCCTCCCGTCGACACGCTCTCCAGCTGGGGCACGCTAGTCCTCTCCATTGCATGCAACACCCTCGTTTTCCAGGCCACGCGCACTCCAAACACAAAGTCCTCCGCGACCGCGGCCTCGGGCCATGTGAGGGCCATCTCCGCCAGCCACAGCATCCTAGTCACCATCCTCACCATCATCGCCCTCCGTCAGCAACACTGGCAGCTCTCCCTTGACGACCCCACCCCGCCGCGCGACGTCGATGGAGACGGGAACCTGGATGACGCGGCCAACCCAATGATCCAAGGCCGCAGCCGACTCGCCAACATGATCACGTCCTGGGAAGCGGGCTACCTTCTCTACGACACGTGGGCCATGGCCTACGCCCTCCCCAGGACCGTGGGACGCAGCGCACGCCCGTCGCCTGTCATGGTCACGCACCACGCGCTCATTGGCGCTGGGCTGCTGTACCTCCAGCACTACATTGCGCGGGGCAAGGAGCGCGGCGTGCGTGTCATCTTGGGTCTTCTCCTGATGAACGCGTCTAATCCTCTGCTGCACGCCCGATGGTGGGCTCGGAAGACGGGTAGACAGTCGAGGTTTCTGGACGCTGCGTTCTTGGTCGCGTTTGCTGGTGTGAGGTTTGGCAGCGTCGCTTGGATTCTGCGACAATATGGCGCGTATCACCGCCTGGGTCTTGTGGACGTCTTTGGGCGCTTGAGGACGCCTTGCAAGGTGGGCACGGCGAGTCTTGTTGGGCTCAATGGTGTATGGTGGCTATGGATGTGCAAGAACTTTGCGCAGCGCTACGTGGAGAAGACGAAGAAGCGGATTTGAAAGTCAGCTTTGTATTTCACTTCTATTCATCATCTAATAGCCCGTCTATATCCTATCCGTCACCACTCTTCGACTATCTACACATCTCCCATAACCTGTCCCACCAGCAGAAGAATGGCTCCAGCCCGCCGCCCCCGCCGGCGTGATGCTTCATATGCGTCCTGGCACCGCCCGCCCATCCTTGTGGAAGGACCTTGTCGTACCCCCAGGGCAAGTCCATGCCACTATGAATCTCGACGAGCAGCCAGACAAAGACGGGCACAAAGAGGGTGCGCGTCAGCACATGGCTGCCGATCATGTTGAGACTGAAATTGGCGAGCAGCACGAGACCCAGACGCTCAAACAAGGAGAGCTGGTTCGTGACCTGGGGGTGAATCCCTGTGTCGTGGGCGTGGTGCGGCGCGTGCCAGCGGCGTAAGGGACGTATCTGGTGCAGGGACAGATGGAAGGCGAAGAAGAGGGCGTCGTAGATGAGGAAGCTCGCGATGAGCTCTGTGGCGAGTAGGCGCGAGGAGGGCGCGTCGGGCGGCAGGGCGCGGACGAGCTGGAGGGGTGACGAGGCGGTGAAGTTATGTAGCGTGGGTAGGAGGAACGACTTGCTGGGGAGCGAGGCGTTGGTCGCGAGGAGGTGGTGGTCGTCTGGCGGGGCGAGGTGGGTGTGGGCGTTGTAGTTGCCCGAGGACAAGATGTCAGCCAGCGGCACGTCGGCGAACTTTTTGATCATGGTGAGGTCCATGGTCAGAAGAGGCGCGATGTAGAGCAGGATCTCGCCGATCCGACGAGACGGGCGGCGCATGCCCTTGGGTTTGGGTCGAGGCTTGGATGATGGTGATGAGGAAGGGGATAGGCGCCATTCTGGATGGCGGAGGAAGACAATGGTCATGGACACCTCGATGGCGGCGTAGCAGAAGACGGTCCAGATGGTCTCAAAGGTCGACCAGTTGTACAAGCTTGTATATCGGAGAGTCGACCATGTTGAGTCCAGGAAGGGCTGGTAGAGCAAGGGGAAGAGAAGCGAGGTCAGGAGCACCGGTGCCAGGACCGCTCTGATCGTCTGAGCCTGGCTGAGCATTGCGAGTGAATGGCGAGGGGATTCAGGATCTAGACTTTGAACATGATACCATCTAGAATATGATTTTCTTAGAGGAATTACTTCTCGTGGAGGTTGGTGACGGCAATGATGGCTCATGGGAGAGCTAAGCCTGCAGGCCGCTGTCTATGAGGTCAGAACTCAGTCCCCGCAAGGGGCGCAGGGGCTGTCCCGCTATAGTACAGGCACCCATGCTCTGTAAATGATTCCATATGGTGCAGTAGCGCCATCGAAGGCCCCTGTCGGGCTCCGCTCTTGGCCGTGTTATGCACCAGGTACTTTTACACCCGACCTCCGTACAAAGTGACTTGTCACCATATCGCTGATACAGGACACCAGTCTCTTCAACATCATGACGGCTCATGGAAGATCTCAACGCTTCAACTCAGCTTCATCTCACATCCAGTCATTGAGCAGCCAACATGCTCGACATTACGCTCCGCCCCCTCAAAGACAATGTCTTCGCGCCCCTGTCACGCTCCGTGCCAGCCTCCATCACGCCTATCCACATCACCGCGGCCGCCTTCGTAGCCGGCCTGGTGTCGTGCCTCTTTGCCTGCGCCGGGCACCGCACGACGAGTCTCGTCTTCTGGGCTGCGAACCGTGCTCTCGACTGCCTAGACGGCGCCGTCGCCCGTCATCGCGATCAGCAGACCGTTCTGGGCGGCTTCCTGGATCTGCTGGGGGACTTTATCGTCTACGCCCTTGTGCCCATTGCCTGTGTGGTCGGGAACGGCTGGAGCGGACAGCAGACGCCTGGTCTGGTCGTGGCTCTGCTGGAGGCTTCTTTCTGGATCAATAATTTTGTGCTGCTGTACATTGCTGCGCTGGTCGAGAAGGGTAAGGATGAGCTTACTAGCCTGGCCATGAGGCCTGCCCTCATCGAAGGGTTTGAGAGTGCTGTTTTCTTCACGCTCATGCTGGCCATGCCGTCACTTGTTGGGGTTCTTTCGGCTGTCATGTTTGTGGGTGTCGTCTTTGGCACGGGGCAGAGGGTGCGATGGGTCGTGTTGGCCCTGTCACAGCCAGAGGAGACGGCGAGGATGAAGAAGAAGAGGTAGCAGGAATAGACTTGACAGGACATGTCTTTGTCTACTATTGCCGCCATCATAGCACGTTCTTTGCCTTGAGCTCTTGTAGAAACAATTGAGCGTCGCCGTTGCACTTGCCCAGCTCGGTCCTGTCCATAATCACCTGTAGCTTTCCATCCGACTCGCACAGCACGACGGGATACGAGAGCTTCTCCGTCTCCACGAATGACTTGACCTGATCTTGCGTCAGTTGGAGCTGTCGTAATGGCTGGCACAAACAGGAAGACCAACCTCGGGAGACAGCTCATCGCGGTGCCACTGAATCACGCGAACATCCGGCGTCGCCTCAATCTCCTTCTTGACAGCGACCCAGGACGGCGTCTCCTTGAGCGATAGGCCGCCGTGGGTGATGTCACATGCCGCGCAGACCTGATCGCTGTCTTTGGGGCAGGTCATCTTCTGGTATCCGTACCGTAACTTGCCCATGACCGATGCGTCGGCATTGTAGAGGACGTAGACTGTTCGCTGGGGCATGTTGGGTCGTGTGCTGGTCGGTCTGATGCTGGTTGTTCCGTGCAGGTTCAAGTTGTCAAGACGAGAAACGACTGGAGCTGAAGTGCTGAGGTTTTATGTTAAGTCGCCCCTCCAGAGTCACATGACAAATCTGGCGTATCTTGCTAGCTGCAGACTGCATAAGACTGCAGAGAATAGCATGTATTCTTCCAGGAATGCGTTTGCTATCCTGCTACGTCTTCATGCTGAAGCCTCAGAAGCCACAGCCCCAACATCTGCGGTCCAGGAGGCACTATTTTCTCCATTCCGTACATAAATATGTCTAATGAGGCTCGCCGCCACAAACAGTCACTACAACTGGCTTTGCAGGCCGCTGGGTAGGCAGCTGCTTCATGTCCCTCGCCCAATCCTCCGGGGCAGCCTCACCCTCACCACCAGCTCCCGCCTCCCATCCAAGCCAGTCTCTCACCCCCTTGGCCGTGATATCGCCATCTAAGCTAAAACCACTGTCCAGCATGGCCTCTATTACGCCTATACATATTTCTCGAACAAAGTCCTGACCCAAGCACGCCTTGCCGTGCGCGGAGAATGCAAGTCCCGATGCTTTGTCCTGCGTGGCATCTACAAACCTGTCTGGCACAAACGCAGCCGCATTGTCTCCAAAGGCCGCTGGATCACGCCCAGCACCGACAAAGTAGAGCCATGCATCCCAGCCCTCCGGAACGAGGACGTCAGGCGATTCAGTGCTCCCTGAGGGCACGACAATCTCACGGGTCACTCTGCGCATGATGCCCACGATAGGCGGACTCAGCCGCTCCGTCTCGCGCGCGATGCTGCGCAGCATCGCGGCTAGTTCGTCGCCTTGGAGGGCTTGGATGTTGTCCAGCAGCCGCACGCCATCCTTTTTGTAGAGAAACATGTTGAGAAGATACGCAGTGAGAAGAGAGGCGATGCCTTTGACAGCCAGGCTCGAGGTGAACATGAGCACGTGGTTGACAACCTCGTTCTGCTCATCGGCTGTCAATCCCTTCTCCGACATGGCGTGAAAGGGGCAGCCACCTTGTAGCAATGGCTGCATTCGTCTCGAAATCAGCTCTCGAAGCTTGTTCCTGGCGGCAATGCCTCTACTACGAGGGGACTGCCAGAGCCCTAGATTGACGGACACAGGGAAGAGGCTGAACTGTCCCCTGAGTAGATCCTCCTGGAGCTTTTGAATCTCTCCAAACAGACTCTCCTTCTCGTCAAGCAGGAGGAACGTCCGCATCACAATCTTCCAGGCGAGCGACTTGAGCGACTCGTAGAGATCGATCTGTGACCCGGCAAGGCTCTGAAAGTGCTCCGTCGCCGCCTGCCGGATAAACGGACGCATGCGCGCCTCCTGGCCCTCCATCCGCTGCGCCCAGGCCTCGCGCATGTCGGAATGAGCGACGCCATCCGAGAGCAGCAGATTAGGTCCAGGGAAGAAATCCGCGAGGAACTGCTTATAGGCACCCGTGGCCACGAGGGAGGGATTGTCCGCATCCTTGTCATCCTTGGTGTCAGGCCGTGCGAGGATATGCTTGACCTGGGCATGCGACGAGATGACGGCCACATTTCTGTTGAGCACCTTGGCGTGGACGGCCGTCCGCGACTTGACGACGTCGGGGGCGCGAGATTGAAAATCACGGACGCAGGACGCTATGAAGGCTTCTGGGCTGGCGTGGAAGGCCGTCGTCTGGGCGAGGACGTTGGATGCCTTGGCTGGGCTGTAGGCTAGCTGGGGCTCTTGTGCCATGGTCGACGGCTACCTGGTGAGGTTGGGTGATGTGGACATCTCTTGGTGATGGGCGCGGCCGTGGGGGCCGACAAGGAGATCTTTGAGGGAGGTCGCTAGCTGTGTAGATGAACAAGGAGGGAGACATTTGGAATCATGACGGCATGCATGATTAGTGACTCCAGATGTCCTTGGCTGGCTGGCTCGCCGCTCAAGTCAACAATTGTACCCCGCAGTTGTCTGCCGATGCCACTTCTAACTTCACCCTTTTCGCTCCTCAGTGTCTCACCTCCGCTTCCCTCTCCAATTTGTTCGGCACATACCTGCACGAGCGTGAATCGTCATGCCGAAAGAGGCACCACGCAGGGCTGTCAGGTCTTGTGCCTTGGACTGGACGGACGTGGCCTCGCAGAAGCAGTCGAGGCTCATGGCTCTGCCCGCTGAGGTTCGCATCAAGATATGGACGCGTTTCTTTTCCCACGTGGCACGCCCGCGCTTGCGGTACGCCGTCGACTTTGAATGGGCCCTTGACACGGACTCGCATTTCGACATTGCCTGGCTCTACGCCAGCAAGCGGCTCTACCTGGACGCCTGGCCCGTCTTCCTGGCGCAGGTGCGTCTCGACGTGGTGTACATAGGCCACTCGCCGACGCAATTGGCTGTTTTGCCCCCTCCCATCCTTCGAAGAGAGCTTCGCGAGATATGCTTCCACTGCCCCGTGTCGGTTATGGAAGAGCGACCACCGAGGCGGCCATTCCCTTTCCACAGGTACCCGCGCTTGCGCAACTTTCACATCGCTAGCAACATCTTGGTTCTTCTGGATAGATTCCGGTGTAAAGATAGCAATGGCCCCATGACTGTGGACATGTATCGAGCCCTTTCGCCCCCGGAAAGGCTGGCCGCATGGAAAGACGCAGGTCTACCGTCCGTGGACGAGATCATAGAGCACATGACCAGCATGGGCAAAGGCGGCTGGCTAAGCCGCGTCGTAGATCCAAAGACCTTTACGCGCCCGCTCGTCCTCACGCAAGACTCCTCGGATGATGATGATGATGATGGGGAGGACGGCAACGAGGAGTGGCAGGGGTGGACAGAGCCACAATATTCGGAGGACGAGCAAGAAGAGAAGGGCTTGTTCTATCGGGCCCGCCGCTCGGCGGAGTGGTTGGAGGCCAAAGAGGCCAGGGACCTGGAGGCGTTTCGAAAGGTTGCGAAGCAGATGCACACCTTGGTGGAGGCGGAACTCACCCTCTTCGAACGGAACGTCTACCCCATGCCGGACGATACGCTGGATACACTCTTCGTTCTTGTAGACACGAGGACGCGAAAGATTATGGAAATGAGGATGTTGGATGCAGAAGAGATCGAGGAGAGGGCTCGGTGGGCTGCGCAAGCGTAATCTATGGAATGGGCATGGGCAGTAATGGAATTGACCTTCGTTCTGCTTGCCGACCGAGTACGCTAAAGCAAGCACAATCGGCGAGACGAAGCGAAATGGGTTTCTTCCTCGTGACCAAACATCTTCTGCTGCTATGACGTGTCAGAGATATCCTAGTGCTTTCTCAGTCTGTTTGTTGCTTTGGTCCGCTTCTGGAAGCTCGTCCTTTGATTCTCAATCGGAGAATTCATCTCTAAATATTACGGGTTGCATTCATATTATGACCAGACGGCGTCTTTATTAGGACAGTTGTGGATTGGTGAGCTGGGACAGTTTTCCTAGGATGTATATATTGGGCTACCATGAGCTACCCTACACCGCCCTACCCTGGACAAACTAACTAGTCTAGCGCATCAATGACTGCCTCACCCCCGCACGCTCAATCAATGATGATGTGTGATGCGCTGTGGAGAAGGTTGTTCAAGTGCCTTGTATTATTACAAAAGAGATAGCCGTTGAGGCTCTATTTATGCGTTCTTGATCGCAT